AGTAATTAAAGAGACAAGAGCTCTGCAAGCAATAATTAAGACAATTGTTTAACAGTCTTTAAAAAACCGATATCGAGTAACAGTACACTCATTGCTTGGTCTTATATACGTGTCCCCATTTTAATTTGGGCCGCACATTCAAGAGACAAACAAGTAAGAACCATTTGAGATAAACTGTTCGTGCTTTATCTGTGGAACGCCATAAAGTCCTTTTACCCGTTGATAGCCGGAGCATTAGATAAGTAGAGTTAATTACGATCACAGTTTCTCTTACAGTATGTCTCAGATATTTCCAAGACCATGGCTTCATCTGAAAGGAAGATCTTTTGCAAAATAGCGAGGAAACTGCCTCTGCAACCCCTTTTTTTCGGCTTGTTAATAATCGGAAAAACAATTTTCTCAAATTTTCAAAATTTTGCGAGATTTTATCGAAGCAAATTGAAGAAAATCAAAAGCAAAGCCAGATTATCGCTGGCGAGCGCCTCCCTTTGTGGAACCTTAGCTTCATGATAACGAAAATCGTTTTGATAATATTTACTACAGCAAACGATAGTAAAAACCATGCTCGATACCTTTTGATGGCTTTTAGTGACCTTGAAAAGCGAAAACATAAAAATTCTCTGAAAAAACATAACGCTGGCGGGCGCGCCAACATTGAGCAAAAACCCTAACAGAGCCTCGTCAAGTCAATTTATGACCAGCACGAAACCCACTCACTCACCCACAAAACTGTTTAACCCGGCATGCCACCAAGTGGCCTATTTTATAATTCTCAAATACTGATTAATCTTTTGTTTCGTCATGTTGAAAATATTCAAGGTCATTATCTATTAATAACAAATTCTAGACTGATAATTCAGCCATATCCTTTATTTTACATGGGTCATCGTTTTCTTTTTAACTCGTTCATTGCGCAGCAATGGATAAGTTATTGTGGAGAGGAGAAAACGGCGTTTGCAGAAGTCTGTGTATTCGAATGTGGCAGCTTGAGTAGAAATGGCGGAGGTGACGTAATAAAGTGGTTGAACGTGAGCAACAGCTAACCATGTAACCACCCTGCCTTAACAGCAAACAAGCCACTTTCTGGATGATTGCGAAACACCTCGACGGAATTTTAATTCTTCAATGTAGGTATTTAATTTTTCGGTAAATAAACTAGTCAAAATAAAATTTCTTTCTTCTCCGAATTAAGCCCGCGTCTCGCGTATCATGCCCGTGAAGGCAGATATATTTTGGAAAGAATTTTCAACTTTGTTTGTCTTTCAGACGTCATTTCTGCGAGTAAATTTGCTCTATGTGCCAGTTTTTCATTTGCTCTAAAACGTACTACTTAACAAATAGAGAAGCCTTGACTGTGCTCTGTTCTGTTATAAAGCACTTAGGAAGCGGCTAGAGCACTCAAGAAGTGGGAAGAAACACTCGACTACGTCTCGTGTTTCTCCCTACACTTTTTGAGTGCTCTAGCCGCTTCCTAAGTGCTTTATAACAGAACAGAGCACATTCAAGGCTTCTCTATTTGTTTTATAATCGAGAATCCGTTAAATTACCCAAGAATTACTTTCAATTTTCAAAACAAACTTTATTTCCAAAGCGAACAACAGTGTCGTCAGCTTAGGGTTAGCTGTACAAGACTAAAGCTGTAAAAAGTGTCAAACCATCAAAGTTCACATTCTACGATAATTTACAAACTAAAATAGTTCGGCAAGTCAAATTTAACAAGTTTTTGAAATTTTGAAGTTTTTAAAAAGTTTTTGAAGTCTCTAATACAGAATCTTGAAGTGAAATGTTCAGTGAACTTCAGCCGAGTTATGGCTCATAAAAACACGCGAGTTTTTTCCACATGACAAGGTAGAAAACAAGCTGTTCAAGGCGAGTGTTTTTTGAATGAACGACAGCCGAATTCACCGGAACATGAAGATCGCTCGTGATGACAGCGCCGCAAAACTCGGCTGCAGTGGCTGATGTGAATTTTCACTCAACGTATCGGAAAGGATATCAGAGCAAGCTCTTATTTTTTCATTCGAAGGGCGGCCGATGTAGTTTCCGAGGTTTGCTTTACTGTGATGACCTGAGATCGCCATGATGAGCGAGCTGCGATGAACTTCAGCATGATCATATTCGCTCAGACACCGTCATGATTAGTATGAATTTTAACAATTATGCCAGTTTGGATATATTTCTCATCATTTCTGTTTTGTTCTGTTTTGTTTTTGAACACTAAACTTTATATACTATACGAGTGTTAGCTGTGTTTGATTTTTATTACCGTACGTAAGCTTGCAATCTAACTCAGCGTGAAAATCTTTAAAACTCGGAATGTTTATTTTGTTTTTCCTTTGAGGATTTTCGTATCTGCCCACGTTTAATAACGTAAATTACGGCGCCTGGTATGTTTACAAACCTTTATTTGATTCTTCTGTTGCTACTTGCCGGCTCGCTTCAGTTCCGAAATTTCACTTTCAATAATCGGAAAAAAGCTAAAAAGAAGTCCCAGAAAAGGTCGAACATAGTACAATTGGCAGATGGCATGACAGCTTTAGCTCACTGCTATGCTCTATACTCTCATAGAGCACGCTCTTTCAACCAATGACAGCGCGCGTTATATCCGAACTTTATTATAAAAATACACAAAAAGTGAAGTAACCTAGAATCTTACTAACACTGTTCATATCAAACTTTGCCTATTGTTATGGTTGGGATTTTTTAATACAATGGGCCTTTTGTTATCCATCCTTGGGAACTTTTCTATTTAGTATCACGAGCTTTTACTCGGCTTGATTCGGATTCATTCGGCAAATTGTCGGCGATGACATTTTTCCCCAGCGGTAGTCTACTTGGGAAAATTTGAACAGACTAACAGAGGGTTAGTCAGTAATTGTCCAGGGTAACGATTGTCATACAGTGTTTGAAACGAGCGGACCGTTAATGTATTTTCTCTTGAAGTAACTTCCTCTGACTTCTTCAGAAGCAAGATAAGCCGTCAGTATAAAATAAATTGGTATTCAGCCGCTTGTGACATAATAGTTTGTTTTCAGTTCATGTTTTCACGGCAAGGGGCCGCGAGTAGCTTGGAGTGATTGAAAATGCGGTCTAGAGCTTATAAGCCAGGACAGGACGCAGTTAAGCTGTGTTCGCTCAATATTTGTTTTCCTTAAGGCCCGTTTACGCAGGCAGGCCTTAAATACAGTAAGGACTGATCGCAGAAGTCTAAATTGTATTCTGCTGAAAATTTCTTCTCGCGTTGTCAATGTTCAACCACTGGCGCGATGAGTATAAAAGAGTATGCAAGCCAAGAAAACAAAAAGGTGTTATTTTCGCACCTTTTTACGTTTGACTGATTTCACTTTTTCCGCTTGAAGTGCGCAAGTTTTTTGGTCTATTGAAGCAAATAAACCTCGCTGTTGAAGGCAAAACAATGGGTGCGATTTTCGCACCTTTTTCCGTTTCAGTGACTTTATTCTCCGGTTGGCCACAAGTTCTTAAACAAAAAATGTTCATCACTGCATTAGGTGAGTGAAAAAAAAATGGTGACTTGTTGGACTTGCTTGTTTAAACCGTCGTTTTTTGTTCCTTTTTTTTTCGAAACGACTCCCTACCTTGTGCGCGCTCACGTTTCTCGTAGATTTGTTTTTTTTTTATCCGCTCACGCGATTTATCAGTGGTACTTGCATAAAAAGGCCTCGTAAACGCAAGTCATAATCACTTTAGATTATCCCTTACTGAGAGAATAGCTAAGAACACAAGCAAGTTTTACGAAGTCTCGAAAGTGCTCGATAAGCGTACAGACGCCCACGGTCGCGTTCAGTACCTCGTCCGCTGGCGTGGCTATGGAAAGAAGAACGATAGCTGGGTGGATGAAGCCGACACAAACGAGCGCCTTAAACAAGTGTTTAGGACACGCCACCAAGGAACTCCGGGCTTGCTGCAGACCTTAGCTGTGTTAGTGGCAGAAAAGCTGAACATGAAGAAACCGCCAACAACCTGCATCGTGAGACGTTCGTCTGTCACCATGCCGATGGATGCCGAGACCTTTAAAGAGTTGTTCGGTGGTCTTCCTTCCGCGCCAAATCTTTTGCAAGCGACCAAGTTTTCTGTGTCCATTCACGAGCTTGACGCCATAATGCCTGCCGGATGGTCACTAAATACCTTCAAAACCTCCACGACTTGTCGGTTGCAGCCCGGTTGAGGTTCAACCAGTCAGGTTCGACAGTTGCGCGTAACAAACTGTCAAACCTTCCAACGGGGAATAGAGGGCGATGTGTGACGAGATTAAACAACGGCTGCGAAGGAGACTACAGTAAGCGTGGTACCGATGCATTTCATTTTTGTTCAGAAGTACCTAGACAATAAAGACAAGGGACCACAATATACCTGTGTGAGTTTAGATAAAATAGGCTTTTTCTCTTTCTCTTAAAGTGAAGTAATGCGATATTTTCGTTCTTTTGAAAGTTATGAAAACATTAGGAACACAAAGTGTCCCATCTCGAACTACCCAGCTTAAAAAGTAACTCTTATATGCTATGCATGCCTATATTTTAATTCCATTCCCAGGTCCAGGGAAGAGGAAATTGTTCGAACAGAACTAAGAGACAAAATGATTCAAGAAACAAACAAAACGGTACAGTATCTAGGAACACAAGAGATTTTCTTCAAAGAGAGACCGTTTCCAGGTGACTAGGATTCTACCACGAGACAGTGACACTCAGTGTTCTAAGGGAAAACCTGAACAGGTTACGCGATCAAAAAGCTGTGGTACATCATGAAAGGAATTCGTGCTTTCTTACATGATCGATAAGCAATACCGCTGGATGTTGTTGATGCATCGGGGCTTCAGTCGAAAATTCAGTGGTTCCTGTTTAAACTGTGATCGCTGTTTCTTTAAGGATTTGTTGTTTTGTTAAAGGTTACAATACAGCATAGCCTTTTTGATATCATTCTATTCTTTATTGATATCGTGTTACAATTTCCTCCAAGGCTTTACGCGCTTTTTGCGGTGAAGCTCACTCAATCAGGAACGCTCCAAAGTAAGAGTGGGCAGTCGCCATGAAAAGTGTGACAGGTGTCGCGGTTAGTAATTCTATGGTGTCATTAGCCTCAAAATAAAACGCTCCCCCTGCATAGTGGGGTCCTTCTGCTACGTTGTAGGAATGTTGAAGCATGGTGATAACTTCGCGGTGATTCTTGCGAATGCCCACTCTCCCGCCGCTGCGAAAGTACAGTTGTGCGTAGACATAATACTCTCCATCTTGAGGCATAATCAGACGTCCATTACTGTATTTCATGCCGTCCTCGAGATGGCTGTGCGCGTTGTCCACGTCCCAGTCTGTAATTACTGTAAGGAAATTTTCAAGTTGACTATCAGTAAAACTGAGAAAGCCGTTGAAACAACGAGAAAAAATTGAAACAACCTTGCCCAACGCCATAGGGAGTCACAAGTTTCCTTATGGCCTCGATGTGAGCCAGAGGCTAACAATGGAGCTACAATAAGATAAAAAAGGCGAGTATTAGTTTTATATAAACTTATATAAACTTTCTAACCCACATTTGCGGGGACTTGACTACATCTTAATCTTATAAAGACTAGAGTATTTGTCTGTGAATATTTTTATAGGATGACCTGTGACTCAAGTTTTTAAATTCTCCTTTAAAAAAGATTTAGACTAGTCATTTATTTGTGAAAAAAATGCAAAACTGTAGAACTTGATTATGACAGATAGGAAAAACCGTCTGTGATAGAATGTTTAGAACAGATGGCAATCGGCCTGAAATCAAGAGTGAACGTCCTCTCACTGAGGGGAATGAAGGACATCAGTGATTAAAGAAAGGTGATGAAATTAAATGAAAGCTGGATCGTCAATAAAAAAAAATATATCCAATTCTAATTCTAATTCTCACAAGTGAGGGACGAGGAAAAAAAAATCTAACCCTCAACGGGGAATCGAACCCTAAACGTTTTGTTTTCGCAATCTGACGCTTTACCATTGAGCTTCAGAAAATTATGAACAGTTTTTGCACTTGTCTTACCTGTGGCGATGGAGCCGCTTCCACGTTGACGTATATCAGAAAAACACAGGACAAAAGAATCTTCACCCCAAGAAAATTCATGATGTTGGGAATATCTGAGAGATACTGTGGGATGAATTGTTATTGTTCAGAAGGAGTTTATGCGCGAAATCAAAATGGCTTTCTACACGAAACACTACACCAGAAACTGAGCTTACCGTGACTAGTTGTCTCTTGTAAATGTAAGATCCGAACTGGGAAAGGAAGCAATGTGTCTGCTGTAATAGGATCCTACCAAAGACCACTTCGGAGAAATTGAAAAGCAATTAAGATATTAAACAAACAAGTACTTCTGCCAATTATTTTAAGCGACACATTAAAATTAAAAGTAATTGAATGGCTTAAAAATTTCTTTAGATAAACAGGTAGAGGAAAGTAGAGAAATTCAAGTATTGCTTTTGTCGTTACAAAAATTAAAATCGATACATTACATCTACAGAAGTTGAAACAAATTTTCCCTTGTACATCTTAAGAGAGGGAGAAAATTGCACTTATTGCTCTTGAAATGTGCTTACTTGGTGTCTTTGGCGGTTTAATTATTTCATTTTTTTCTTCTCGTTCTATAGATATCCCTTATTCGTTTGCTGTGGTCACTCGTGCCTGAGGATAAAATTCGTACCTTTGTCAGCAATGAGTTGACAAAGTTAGCCTGGGATTAGATCTAAGGAGGAGAGTGTTGTGACAAAGGCACAGCGGTAAATATTTCGGATCTATCCGATCATATCAAATGAAATCAGTAAGTTTGTGATCGTGTGCAACTTTTGCATTCTTTTAATTAAAGAGAAACAAAGACAAATTTGGATGAATATAAAAGCAATTAAGATATTCAAACAAGCAAATACTTTTGTCAGTTATTTTATACGGCACTAAAATAATTAAAAATGACTGAATGGCTTAAATATTTCTTTAGATAAACAGAAAAAAGGAAAGTAGAGAAATTAAAGTATTTCTATTCTCGTTAAAAAAATTGAAATCGATACGTAATATACACAGAAGTTCTGATGATTCAACTTGAATGGCGGTTTCGGGTAAAAGAACAGTCCAGATAGTTGGTTTGGCTTTGAACGCATGTTCAAACACAGCAGATGAAATAATGGCCGTCATTACGATAAGCATGCAAACCAAATACGTAAATTAATGTTGTGTCGTTGAACTTTTCTGTCTTTTCATAGAAAAGAAAACCATTGATGAGGTATGGAATTTATTTTGTTATTTCTCTGCAACTAATAAGTTTTTACCAATACGAAGATTGTTTAAACAATAGACCACACTTTCTATCGGTTTACCGGCGTAATAACCCACACGAGATGTTGGGAAAACACGATAACAATGTGTGAATCACGAGGCGAAGGCGATTACATGATTTACAAACTTTTCGAGTATTTTCCTGACATCCAAAGCAGTTTATTACGCTGGTAAACCGATGGAAAGTACGGTCTATTGCTTTTACAAAAAAAAAAAGACTTTTAATTATGTCGGGTATACAATTCCACTAGACGATAGGTTTTTGACAAAGCGGCCACAATCGTTCTTGATAGAATTTCAAGCCTTCAATATGGTCTGATTTTCAAATATTAATATTTGCGTTGTCACCAAACAGACGAGAGATGAAACCACCAGAAAAGTAAACAAATGGCCAGTCACGAAAGCAACGTTTCGCTTTTCCCTATAAAAATTGGCCGGTTCCCCATGTAAGCCAAAAACAATTTGAGGCACATATTTGAAAATCAGTGCGTGTACACCCCTGAACGTTGAAAATATGTCAAGTCGAAGGAACAGTTTTGGTCTCGGTTCGCATTTTTGTCAACAAACTGAACACATATCGATTAAAAAGATGAAACGTACTGACCACCTGCAAAGCTGTCAACTAATTCTCGAAAATTGCGCTTGTCAAATATTCAAAAGTGACATCTCATTTATTAAGTTGGTAAATTCTCTACGGACAACCGACTCGCGCGCAAAGTGAGAAGATTATACGAAGGCTTGAAATTACGTTAAGAACGACTGTGATCAAGAAACGGCCAAGGAGTATTCCACAACAGTCTAAATAATCGTGAAAGATCATCGTGGAAAAGCGATTTCGTGACGCTCCGTAACTTGTAAGATGACATGCTATCACGTATCAGACGAAAAAAACAGTATAAATTCAATAAGTAGTTCTTAAACGAGACCTGTTCTTTCAAATCTCCTAAAACTTCTCAGCTAATTCTCAATTAAATTCAGTTAAAGGATTTATGGAACAAATCGTCTCTGAGGATCATTGACATGTTAGATGTAATTTCTAACGCTCGTTCGGTGGCTTCTTTCTTCGTTTTCTCTTTTACTACACAAGTTACTAAAACGGGAACTAGCTCAGATCTCTCAAGGAAAGTGTGGGTCACCGCTTATAAAGGTGACGCTTACTGAACTGTCAATCTCTAACCTTCTTCATCCTTTTACACCTAATTAGCGAATCACGTTAAGCTACGCAGAGTGGAGTTCGCATACTTAGTAGGTACCTTCGAGATGTTTACGCTTTATAATATCATTTTCTAACCTAAATTTCTTAGTCTTACGGTCAAGGTCGGGCAAAACAAAAACAAGATTGACAATATAAAAATTGTAATGATCTTACAGGCAGAATTAGAATCATACTTAAAAAGATATCGTCATAGAAAATAGTCCTTGAAAACTGTTACATAACAACAGAATAAACAGAAATTTCGGAGAAGAAAGGGCGTATCCAAGGTACCGCCTCTGAAAGAGCTACGTGTTCAGTTAGCGTAAGTTAGCTGACCATAAATTCAGTGCGGATGATGAAAAGTGCTACATGTTTACACCTTAAGTCACCTCTAAGGAAAAGAGGTGTCGAACGTTTTGTAATGAAATTTACAAACTATTTTCCTGATCGGAAATTCCACATGGTTTTAACCTGAAAAACGAGGATAAAAAAAAAAGGTTAAAAAAATATGAGAAAACTTTTTTTTACTTTTTTTATTTCCGGGTAATTCCTGTACGGGATCAATTTTTATGAGATAAAGTCGTTCTTCTTCGTAATCAACCATCTTTTCGCAAAATAATGGAAATACACCAAAAAATACACCTATATTTAGCCGCAAATTGTAGTTTACGTAGAAACAAATGTCTCCATATCAGTTTCACGATCCCCCTTTTAATGTCTGCTGAGTTCTTAGTCGACAAGTTTGGTATTTCTCATTCTTATAAAAGTTTTGGTTTTTATTATTGTTTAAAGCAGTTGATAACAATCGCATGGCTAAGTGTTTTTGAGTTATTTTGTTATTTTTTTTACCAAAAAAAAAACTCTTTGTTAGCGTATGTTACTTTATTAAGGTATGTTATTCGCACCAATCAGATCGCCGCATTGGGGTATGTATGTCACACCAATCAGATTTCCGCATTAGGGTATTATCTCGCACCAATCATATCACAGCATTTGGATATCTTGCACCAATTACAGCGTTTGGGTGCTATTTTCTTGTAAATGATGTCATGGAATTAGGGGGCTGTGCACAAAGAATGACATTAACCATAAATTTTGGGCTCTTTTGATAAATTTTGTGGTTGTGGCTTTTGCAAGAGTCTCGTCGACTGAAGTCGAGATTTATCGGGATATGAAAGGTTCGCATTTATTTTTATTGTATCATTTTAAAGTTAAAACGTGTTTTTCCGCCCCCATTCTCACAACTCACACGTCAAACAACTTGCATTCCATCACGTACTACGAACATACCCAATCATTGCATTACATGAACAACAGGAAATTTTTTACGTGCCTGAATTGTATTAGACCAATCAAATTCCATTTAGCCACATTAGACTTCGCTCCATCACATGCCATTTCCTTGTAAACAACCTGCATTTTACCACGTATTCTAACCGCTTTATCCAACCCAAACTGACCTGGAACTTAATGCTACTGATAGCGAGTTTTCCACGCAATTCTCCCGTGTTTTGACTTTTCGACGGATAAAATTCACTTTTAGCTACCTTGGACTTTACCCAATCGCGTGTTAATTCCTTGTAAATAATATGTATTTTGTCACGTATTTCACACGCAGAGAGCAAAGTCCAGAAAGGCAACATCCAATCAAGGAGCCCTCTGAAATATTATCCTTTTCTCTTGTTCAATGTATCTTCACTTATTCGAGATCGCAATATACCTTTGGGTGGGGACTATTGGAGATACAACAGTTTTATTTTGCTTTCCATAGTAAAATTACATGGAGTTATATTTTTGAGACGTCTAACTATAGACCAATAATTCTTATTTTCTTTATGTTTGAGGAAATCAAAATTGTTGTAAACGTAGTCCCTTTTCTTGACTCTTTTGCAACCGTTATTTGGTCCCGTCACGCAATGGCTCTCTCCAACGGGGAATAAGAGGTGTTGTGTGATGAGATCAAACAACGGCTGCAAAGGAGACTACAGTAAGCGTGATAACGATGCATTTTATTTCTGCTCAGAAGTGTTTAGACAACAGAGACAATAGACCACGAAATACCTGTGTTAGTTAAGATAAATTAGGCTTTTTCTCTTTCTCTTATGCGATGTTTTTTTTTTCCGAACAGAATTAAGAGACAAAATGATTCAAGAAACAAATAAACCGGCACAGAATCCAGGAAGACAAGAGATTTTCTTTAAAGAGAGACTGTTTACCGGTAACTAGGATTCTACCATGTAACTAAGAAACTGTTTTGAAGGAAAAACCTCGACAGGCTACGTGATCGAAAAGCTGTGTTATATCATGCAAGGAACTCGTGCTTTTTTTGCATGAACGATAAGCAATGCCGCTGAATGTTGTTGATGCATCGGGGCTTCAGTCGGAAATTCAGTGGTTCCTGTTTAAACTGTGACCGCTGTTTCTTTAGGGATTTGTTGCTTTCTTAAAGATTACAACACAGCATAGCCTTTTTGATATCATTCTATTCTTTATTGATATCATGGTACAATTTCCTTCAAGGCTTTTACGCGCTTTTTTGAAGCTCACTCAATCAGAAACGCTCCAAAGTAAGAGTGAGCAGTCGCCATGTAAAGTGAGACAGATGTCGCGGTTTGTAACGCTAGGGTGTCACCAGCCTCAAGATAAAACACTCCTCCTGCATATTGGGGTCCTTGTGGTACGTTGTCGGGATGTTGAAGCATGGTGATAACTTCGTGGTGACCCTTGCGAATCAGCACTCTCCCGCTGCTGCGAAAGAACAGTTGTTCGTAAACATAATACTCTCCATCTTGAGGCACAATCAGACGTCCATGACTGTATTGCATGCCGCCCTCGAGATGGCTGTGCACATTTCCCGCATCCCAGTTTGCAATCGCTGTAAGGAAATTTTCGAGTTGAATATTAGTAAAACTGAGAAAGCCGTTGAAGCAACAAGAAAAGATTGAAACAACCTTGCCCAACGCTATAGTGAGTTAATTTTTTCTCGGTGGCCTCGATGTGAGCCAGAGGCTGATCATGGAACTACAATAAGCTAAAAAAGGCGAGTATTAGTTTTGTACAGTAGAATATAAACTTTCTAACCCACATTTGCGGGTACTCGACTACATCTCAATCTTCTAAAGACTAGAGTTTTTGTCTATGAATATTTTTATAGGATGACTTACGACTCAAGTTTTCAAATCCTCCTTTGAAAAAGATTTAGACAAGTCAAGTATTTTTTAAACAAATGTAGAACTTGATTATGACAGATAGCAAAAACTGTCTGTGATAGAATGGTTGAAACAGATAGCAATGCCTAAAATCAATAGTTAATGTCCTCTTATTGAAGTGAATGAAGGACATAAGTTATTAAAGAAAGGTGATAAAATAAAAGCTGGATTGTCAATGAAAAATATACGAGTATTTACTTCTTAAGAGTGATGGACAGAGAAAAAAATATAACCTCCAACGAGGAATCGAATCCTGATCGTTCTGTTTCCGCAATCTGACGCTTTATCATTGAGTTTCACAAAATTCTGAACAGTTTTTGCACTTGTCTTACCTTTGGCGGTCGAGCCGCTTCCACGTTGGTGTATATCAGAAAAACACAGGACAAAAGAATCTTCACCTCAAGAAGAGTCATGATTTTGGGAATATCTGAGAGATACTGTGGAAGGAATCGTGATTGTTTAGAAGGATTTTTACACGAAATCAAAATGGCTTTCTAGACGAAACCTTACACCAGAAACTGAGCTTGCCACTAGTTTTCTCTTTTAAATGTTATACCCGAGCTGGGAAAGCAAGCAATGCGTCTGCTGTAATAAGATCTCTTCTCTTAGCGATCGTTTGAGAATTGCTACATTACGCTCCAGTTGCCATGTTAACATCCATTTTGTGAAATGCTGCAGATGATTGACTGTATGTACTGGAATAGTATTATGCATATGTATTGGGAAATATTCCTCGCACAGAGGACCTACGAAGGGCTAAGGGACACTCCCATCTTAAAACCATAAACAAATTGAAATTTTTAGACTGAACTTACCTTTGGAAAGGCTTTAGTAGACACAAACTGTATGAACTCGGCCAAGTAATGATTATATTTGCTCGATAAGCTCCCAGTTATACAAAACACCCTTTCCAAATTTGGAAGCATCTCTTTTCATGCACCAAGGCATCAGTTGACGCAAAAGCTTAGAAACTTAGCCTAGTGTGAAATATTATATCTGAATTAGCTGGCGAGTCGACCAAAGCGAAGGAGAACAATGTGTGTGTACTTTTTGACTAATAATTCTTAAATGATACCCCCTACTATGCAGCTACATTAGTTGTCAGAATCTCTTGATAGCCATTGTCATTTGTGTCTTAGTGCGTGCTAAGGACTCAAAACGTGATTAGAATAAAACCCCAGGCAAAAAAAAAACATTATTGTAACGCTAAATGTAGAAAGCCTTTCCTTTAAGTCAAAATATAATTAGCACGAAACCATCCACTCATCCACAAAACATATTTCACTCTCTCCTCCTGTAAAAAACAAAAACTCTGGAGGTTTTTATTCACCTCACCTTTTTCCCCTCTTAATGAAACGAGAAACTGGTGATTACGATCGCGAGTAACTCAATATGCCGCTGACTTAATGCATGCTAACGACTTAAAACAGCTTCGAATAGACTCGTTTTGCTTTTGATGAAGGTCTTGATACCGTTCGTTGACTCAAAATCGTGTCAGGAATTATATAGTGAATAATCGCCTTAAATTTCAAATGCAATCAGAAACATGTTTCGATCTGAGAACGATTAGTCGAATTTATTTTATAGCTTTAATTTCTATCCAATGTTTCGTTTTGATAGTTCGATGCAATAAAAAACCTTTAGATCAAAGCTTCTGCCGCCTTTTAGTTCATGCTGTTAAATCTTCAAGGTGATTGACGATCAGTGGCTTTATCTATCTGTTTTTAACAGATTATAGAATGATAAATCACCCAACCGTTTGCCGCCTTCTATTTCATGATGTTAAATCTTCTATGTCATTAACGTCGGTGGCTTTATCAATTTGTTTTTCAAAGATTATAGAATAATAAATCACCCAACCGTTTGCCGACTTTTATTGTTATGTCAAATCCTCAAAGTCATAGACGATCAGTGGCTTTATTCATTTGTTATTAACAGATTCCAGAATGACAACTCGGAAGACCATTTGTCTGCATATCTTTTATTTTGCGAACGTGATCATTTCCTCTTTTGTTAAGTTAACTCTTTAATTAGGATCATTTGCGGTTAGTGAAATTTCTAAATTTTCATAACCATTCGTTCATACTGCTTCCCTTTGCGTTCCGAACCTTACACTAATGCTGTTTGCTCTTTGCATTTGTCTCGACAGTGTCTCCTATTTTCAAGGAATAAGCCCCACCTTTAAGACCTATCTTTCGTTAGAGATAGTAATAATAATAGAGTAAAGTCGGGCTGACCAGTTACACTCACTTTTTTAGCCGATAATAAGACTCCAGGCCAAAAAACAAAAACATTATGATTTGAGCGATTAATTTAATTAAAGCTTTGCTTAATTTAAGAATGCTCCATGGGGTTTTTTGAACGTGCAAGATCTGGGTGCAAATATAGCACGAGCTTTAAAAGTATCAACATGCAAACAAACATGGTGGCTCGATATAATCGCACGATTGTCAACTGAAAAGGTGTGTTAAACACAGTTTTTATGTGATGTAATCTAGGGTTTCCAGAAACTACACCCGCAATATTCATAGGCCTTCTACGTCTAAAAAAGAGGTCAACCGAAGAGAAAACACCGTGGGAAAGATTGCCAAAAGGCGACTGATTCGAAAGTCTACTCATGCTCAGATAACGATCTTGGCGAAGTTCTATTCCATCACGAAATGTTTTACGAAAAATAAAATATGGATCTTTCGAGTAAAATTTATCGCGATTCCTTTCGGGTGGAATTCCTAAGCTTTGCAGGATCGTTAAACATACCTGTGCCCTGCTGGATTCGTAATCGACAAGTTTGGTATTTCTCATTCTTATAAAATTGTTGTTTATATTCTTGTTAAAGGCAGTTGATAACAATCACATAATCGTCTTAAATTGAAATGTAATCAGAAATATGTTTCAATCTGAGAACGACTATAAGGGGTTATCTTATCGCTTTAATTTCTATCCAATGTTTAGTTTTGATAGTACGATACAAATAAAAAACGTTAGACTAAAGCTTCTGTCGCTTGCGTTCCATTATTGTGATTCTGGTTGAGAGGAAACCTATAGCCAAAAGAAATTGACCAGTCTTTAAGAATCTAAAACTTTTTGACCTCCCATAGCTGTTTTTCATAAAAATCACTGAACCTATGAATGCTTTTAACTACTAGAAGATTCTAAATGCGGAAAAATCGATCGCCCGTTTGCCGCCTTTTATTTCATGATGTTAAATCTTTTCTGTCGTTAACGTCAGCGGCTATCTATCTGTTTTTAACAGATTATAGAATGATAAATCACCTAACCAATTTCCGAGTTTTATTGTTATGTTAAATCCTCAAAATCATAGACGATCAGTGGCTTTATTCATTTGTTATAAACAGATTCCAGAATGACAACTCGGTAGACCATTTGTTTGCATATCTTTTATTTTACGAAAGTGATCATTCCCTCTTTTGTTATGTTAGCTCCTTAAGATCATTTGCGGTCAATGAAGTTTCCAAAGTTCAGTAACCATGCGTTCAATCTTCTATGTCATTAACGTAGTGGCTTTATTAATCTGTTTTTAACAGATTATAGAATGACAAATCACCCAACCATTTGCCGACTTTTAATGCTATGTTATTTCCTCAAAGTCATAGACGATCAGTGGCTTGATTTATTTGTTATTAACAGATTCCAGAATGACAACTCGGTAGACCATTTGTCTGTATCTCTTTTATTTTACGAAAGTGATCATTTCCTCTTTTGTTATGTTAACTCTTTAAGATCATTTGCGGTCAATGAAGTTTCCAAAGTTTAGTAACCATGCGTTAATATTGCTTCCCTTTTCGTTCGGAACCTTACACTAATGCTGTTTGCTCGTTACATTTGTCTCGACAGTGTATCCTATTTTCAAGGAATAAGCCCCGCCTTTGAGAATTATCTTTCGTTGGAGATAATGTAGGTCGCTTTAAAGTTGGGCTAATTAGTTAGACTCACTTCTTTGGCCGATAATAAGACTCCAGGCCAAAAAACAAAAACATTATGATTTGAGCGATTAATTTAATTAGAGCTTTTGCTTAATTTAAGGAGGGTCCATAGGGTTTTTTGAACGTGCGAGATCTGGGTGCAAATACAGTACAAATTTTAAAAGTATCAACATGCAACACAAACATGGTGGCTCGATACGATCGCACGATTGTTAACTGAAAAGGTGTGTTAAAAAACAGTTTTTATGTGATGGAATCTAGGGTTTCCAGCAACTACACTCGTAATATTCATAGGCCTTCTACGCCTCAAAAAAAGGTCAACCGAAAAGAAAACACCGTGGGAAAGATTGTCAAAAGGCGATTGATTCGAAAGTCTACGCATGCTCAGATACCGATCTTGGTGAAGTTCTATTCCATTGCGAAAGGTTTTGCGAAAAATAGAATAGGGATCTTTCGAGTAAGATTTATCGAGTTTCCTTCCGAGTGGAATTTCCCTAAGATTTGCTGGATCGTTAAACATACCTGTGCCCTGCTGGATTCGTAATCGACAAGTTTGGTATTTCTCATTCTTATAAAATTGTTGTTTATATTCTTGTTAAAGGCAGTTGATAACAATCACATAATCGTCTTAAATTGAAATGTAATCAGAATTATGTTTCAATCTGAGAACGACTATAAGGGGTTATCTTATCGCTTTAATTTCTATCCAATGTTTAGTTTTGATAGTACGATACAAATAAAAAACGTTAGACTAAAGCTTCTGTCGCTTGCGTTCCATTATTGTGATTCTGGTTGAGAGGAAACCTATAGCCAAAAGAAATTGACCAGTCTTTAAGAATCTAAAACTTTTTGACCTCCCAGGGCTGTTTTTCATAAAAATCACTGAACCTATGAATGCTTTTAACTACTAGAAGATTCTAAATGCGGAAAAATCGATCGCCCGTTTGCCGCCTTTTATTTCATGATGTTAAATCTTTTCTGTCGTTAACGTCAGCGGCTATCTATCTGTTTTTAACAGATTATAGAATGATAAATCACCTAACCAATTTCCGAGTTTTATTGTTATGTTAAATCCTCAAAATCATAGACGATCAGTGGTTTTATTCATTTGTTAAAAACAGATTCCAAGAATCTTTTATTAACAAACAACTCGGTAGCCGACCATTTGTTTGTATATCTTTTATTTTACGTAAGTCATCGTTCCTGTTTTCTTAAAGTGAGTATCGCCTCATTGTTTCAATCGGGTCATCTTGGACTTTTGCTTTCAGTTGTTTTTCAGATCATCAGAAAGGTCTCTAATGATAACATCTATTGCTTTGCCCCTCTTAGAGCCCTTTTGCTGAAGTTTCATCGACCGAAATCACGACCGCCTCGATCTGGAGGTTGTAGCAACTGCATGAAGATTGCATTTGCTTTTGTCCATTTCTGGCACTATCCAGCGCTGATCATTAATCTATAAAAGTATGTGTGGTTGCATATTTTGTATTTAATGACTAGAGCTCAAAGTTAAGCATGTTGATAAATGAATTTAGAAATGCACTTCAAAACGTTTCGTTTATCAAGCTCGTTAACTTTTAATTCTGTCAAATTGGATGAAAGCAAAGTGAATCGTTTTTGTGTTTGGATAGAGCGTTCTATATCAAGGTATCAGCCAACCAATTAAGTTTATTATTAATTACAGCTAAAGAACTTTATTTCAGTTAAGCTATTTGGACAAGTGAGTATCAGCTCATTGTTTCAACTGGGTCATCTGGGACTTTTGCTTTCAGTCGCTTTTTCAGATCATGAGAAAGGTCTCCAATGATAACATCTATTGCTTTGCTCCTCAAGGAGCTCTTTCGCTGAAGTTTCATCGACCGAAATCACGACCGCCTCAATCTGGAGGTTGTAATGAGTAACTGCATGGAGATTGCATTTGCTTTTGTCCATTTCTGGCACTATCCAGCGCTGAACATCAAATATCTATAAAAGTATGAGTAGTTACATGTTCTCTATTTAACGACTGGAGCTCAATGTTAAACATGTTGATAAATGCCGGAATTTAGAAATGAACTTTAAAACATTTCGTTTATCAAACTCTTTAACTTTTAATTCTGTTATATTGGATGAAAGTAAAGTGACTCGTTTTTGTGTTTGGATAGATAGATATTCGCTTGGACTGGCATATTAGCTGTGAATGTGTTGTTTTGTTTCTTCTTCGACAATTCACGTTTGCGAAACAAAAAAAGAAAAATATATTCTGTACGATACCGCATATCAAGGTATCAGCTAACCAATTAAGTTTAATTGTAATTACAGCTAGAGAATTTTATTTCAGTTAGGATTTTGGATGGAAGGGGTAAAGACTTAGGGTTGGAATATCTTCAACAAGGGATTACATTTTAACTACAATTTTTGTCATCTGTAAAAATGAGCTAGCTTTATATTAAAGTTCACATGGCAAACAGGTGGACAATAAGACATGATTTGATGCTACTTTGGTTTATAGATTTAATGAATGTAACCGAAGAAGTTATAATTCATAGACCCAACATTTAGACACTCCTGTCTAGTGCCTTCTTCAGGGGTGGACCACCCCTATTTCCTCTTAATTTAATACCTCGAAACTTTCACTCGCTTCACGTCTTTTTCTTCTTAAATAAACGATAAACTGGAGGATTACGATTAGCCTTACATGCCACCAATGGGCTTATTTGATATTGCCCAACGACTATGAATGATTTAACGAGCAGGCCACTCTATTAAATAACCCGCAAAAATTTTAAGTTGTTTACGTTGTTAAAACATCTCGTAATCTATTGCCAGTTGTGTGAAAGTGCATAATAACAACTTAAAACGACTTTGAATCGGCTCGTTTTGCTTTTGACAAGTGTCAATCTCTTGAAGCTACTCTATAGTATTTACTTTTGATCGTACGATAAAAGTGGAAAGCGTTTGACCAAAGCCTCCGTCGCATTGTGCTCCATCACAAAAACAAAAAAAATTAGCCTGTTTTTGTCTAAAACTCTAAAATTTTCGAACCTCCCGGGCTGTTTTTCGTTGAAATTACTGAGCTAATAAAAGCCATTAACTTCTAACAGGTTGTAGAAGGCAGAAAATCGGCCGACTATTTGCCGCCTTTTATTTCCATTTCTAGGAACTCGAGTATGCTTTGTTATGTTAAATTCCAAGGTCATTGACGACCTGTGGCTTTATTACCTGTTATTAATAGACTGTAAAATGATAAATAGACCAACCATTTGTCTGTTATGTTTTATGTTACGTAAAGATCGTTGCCTTTTTTGTTATGTTAACTCCTCAAGGTGGTTTACGGTCAATTAAATTTCTAAAGTTCAGTAACCATACATTCGTGCAGCTTCCTTTTCCTAACCTTACACTAATGCTATCTGCTCGTTGCGTTTCTCTCGAAAGTGTCTCTCTCTTTCAAGGAGTAGCTCCCCGCTTTTGAGAATGAAATATTTCGTTGGGGATAATACAACTCGCTGCAAGGTCAGGCTCTTCAGCTCAGCGACAAATTTAGAGAACTTTCGCTTCGGGACCTAACATGATGACGTAAATTAGTTCGTCTCCGGATAATCGAGGTTTAACTGTAGCGTATAACCCACCCACACATTCACCCACAAAACATATTTCAGCCTTTCATTCGCCCCACGCTTTTATCTCCTCAATTAAACGAGAAACTGGCAGTTACGAGTAACTCAACATGCCACTAAGGGTCTTATTTGATATCATTCAAATACTATAAATGATCTTATCACGCTGCATCCTACAAAAATTTCAAGCTATTGTGAGAATCACTTATTAGCTTTTGCCAGTTATATAAGATAACCTCAATTATCCGTACATTTTGATCGGTTCTAACTTGTGATCTATTGTAGGACAGATGTACAGATGAAGTAGCCACCAACAACATTTTGCTTTTTTATCATATAAAACAACAAATACATGTTGCTGTGCGTCTGTTCAGAAATAAATCCCAAAAGACGTCAAAGTGTAGTACGAAAGTGATGGACACACTCGGCTGCTCCTCGTCTTTTTTTCTCTTATCACATTTTCCAGACTTTATTTACAAATCTGTGATCTATTTCTGAACAGACGCACGGCAGCACGGAATCTAAAAAAATTCCTAAAACTATATAGTTTCCAATTTATCTGAATGTGAATAAAGGATTTTTGGGAAAATCATCAGTTTGACACAATCAGATAAATTTCGACAGCTTGATGAGCCCAATAAGCGGATAATTCGTGAGTATACCTTAATGATTATTTTGCAGGTTTGAAGCACCTTGCACCAATGATTCATTGCGGTGAAGTCATCCCTCGCTAAATCAATTCATATTTGAACTCAGAAAAAATAACAAATCAAAAAGACCCGAAAAGGAGAATGTAGGATTTATTTTACTATTACACTTTCCTTCGCTTAATTTTACATACACAACTCTTTTTACATGCTTTGTCAAATTTGCCTCAGGCATATTATTTTCTTTTTAAAATGTTATAAATTAACATTCTTGATATGAAAGGCAAGTGGCACTTCGCCATTCGTGAAGCTTGTAAATACGGCAAGGTATTTACAACAAACAAAGATAAGCAGACTAAATCCTTAAAGAAAGAGCAGTCGCAGTATAAATGGGAACCTGTGAACTTCAGGGAAAAATTTTAATCTAATGAATGACATTTAAAGGCTTTTCCTTATTCCTGAAATAGAAACCGCGGCCAAATGAAGCCTTTATGATCAATGCATTAACACCATCCAGCGGCATTATCTGTTATTCATGTAAGAGGGCACGAGTTCCTTTCATAATATAACACAGCTTTTTGATCTTGGAACTTGCAATTGATCGGATTCTTCCTCCAGAATTGTTTCATTGTTTCGTGGTAAATTCCTAGTCATCGGTAAAGAGTTTCTCATTATAGAAAATCTTTTGTTTTCCTCGGTTCCAAAAAGCGACCCTCTTCTCATCTGTACTGGTTTGTACTTTCCTTGAATCATTTTGTCTCTTAATTTTGTTCGAAGGATTTCTCCTTCCTCAGACCTGGGAATCGAATTAATAAACACTACACCTCCTCGAAGTTTTTTGTGAGTTGCTGCATTCTCGTCCACGTATTGAATAACTTCCATTTCAGTCAAATCTTCTTCGTTCATACTCACAACGAAAGCTGTAGGCAATTCTCCAACTTCAGGGTCTGGGAACCCAATAACAGCTGCGTCAAATACGGCCGGGTGGGTCTTGAGGAGAACTTCGAGCTCTGAAGGAGACACCTGATTGAAAAGAAGAGCGCTTACAAATTCAGGTTCTCTATATTCATTTATTTATTGTAAGATACTGTGTTGGGCAATAAGTCGAGAGAGACAAATCAGTTTAAAAAATTTCAATAAACTACGGCAAATCAAAAACAAAGAGAAAACGTAGCGGAATCTCTACGAGGACACGAACAGCTCACGTACCACCACGCGTGACGCACATGAAGGCAAGGCAAGCTGAAGCACTATCCATTCGTGCCCGTTCTCCAATTACAAGATTCTTATCGGCTACGTTTCAAATACAATGCTTTCTACTGTACCAAGTATTTTTCAATGCATTGCGTGTACACTTAAGGAGGTCACGCCCACAATTTCCTACGTTACACATATTTGACGATATTCCCTGACTGACATGAATTAAGAAAACCGACCTGATCTCCTCTGAACTTGATCAAATCCTTGAGTTTGTCCACGATGAAGAAATGTTCATCTTGGTCATAGTAACCCAAATCTCCCGTGTGAAGCCAGCCTTCGCCGTCAATAGTTTGTTGTGAAGCGTCTCGGTCGTTCAGATAACCTGTCAATCAGCCAAGAAAGTCATTTATTATTGGCTTTCTAAAGAAATTCGAAATGGCCCTCGTCTCATTTCCTTTCCCTTTGTAATTGGTCCAATTATTTGATGGGGTAGTGCGAGTTTTAAAGACGTGGCGACTAGGTAACTCGCATTTCCCATTGGCTCCTCTTAAGATGTAATAACTTTTCCTTGGTTTCCAAAACATTAAATCAAAATACGTGGTAAAATTATCTTTTAAATGAGCAATTCCACTTCAACGCTGTAACAGCATGATGCGACTAACCTTTCATCATTGTCGGACCTTTGACACAAATCTCTCCTCGTTCACCAGCCCCAAGAACCTGGCCAGTCGATACATCGCACACCTTAACTCAAAAAAATTATTGTTACTTGATATAACAAACAATGATAAAATAAGATGAGCACACAGCTGTTAGCCTGCTTTCCGTACCACGTAAGGAACCAATCATAATTGAAGGCCATAATTGACTGCTAAGTTTAGGAGGGGGACTGCCAAGTTTAGGAGGGGGTGAAGAATCATAAGAATGTTGCAGAGCCTTATGGAGGGATCGGGTAAATTTTTATGTGACACAAACAAAGTCTTCCGAACCCCACAAGGTAATAAGTAATGATCGGTGAAAAATGATCGGTGCCTTAAGCAAGTCCTTTACCTTACATTCGAGATTGGGAAGTAATACTCCAACAGAACCATGCCTCTCCTCCAGCGAGGGAGTCATGTGACTCAGTGCTGTGTTTTCTGTCATGCCGTAACCTGAAACATTGTTTTATGTTTCATTTCAATACATTCATTTATCAATTATCCTTAAATTCACTTCTTGACTGATTGAAACGCAATCTGAGAATTTGTGGCCCTATGAAAAGGACAATCAATTTATTACTCATAGTACAGCACCATGCCACTGTTTCCCCCTCTCTGAAAATATCTAAGCAATAGAAAATTCTGCAGCTTTTCGGGCATCGGTTAGAGGCCTAGGAATGCTACTGCTTGTCTTTGCGACCACATCATAAAAATTGTATTCTCAGTCCTTACCCAAGATTTATCGTTAGTACGCCTTTTCCACAGATCAAACTTTTGTTTATTAACGAACGGTCTTACAACTCTGGATATGGACCAGTTTAATATTGTTTAAGGACAAGGAGCTGTTTCACTTACACTGATTGATTCTTTTGAGGTGAGGTAATCGTTTCCTGACACTTTTGGACGTTTCTTTGCTTAGTAATGACGAGGTGGATATCACCTCCGCTAGTGACGACAAATCGGTGTTATTTACTGCTGGATGGATGGAAAGGAGATGCACTACTGACGCCTCGGTTACGAGAAGTGTCACCTGTTAGAAAAAAAGAAAAGATGTGTGTGGGGATGCTTTTATTTGACGAACAATGGCCTCGGCAGGAATCGGGAGCGGAAGGCCTGGAACTGTCTAAACCTTCAAGGGTATCCGCTCAATTCGCCACCACAAAACTCGCCACCACTGAGAGTCAGATCGCCACCTGAGGTGATTTGTGTTGCCTGTCGTTTGTAACTTACATCAAAGGAAAGATAAGATGTAGTAGTATATTGCGAAAAGGGAAAAGGACTCAGAAGTTATGTGTAACCTCTCAATTATAGAACGTAAACCGTTAAATGCAATAAAACATGTTGATATCCCGAAGATTATGATCAGTTTGCGGAAAGCGAAACCAAGGTGATTTTCGCTAAATGATTTCCGCCGATGTGACCGCATGAATTTACAACAAATGAAAGCTAAGGTGCAGTAGTATATTGCGACAAACACAGCGAAGTTTACAGAAACGGACTTGACTTCCTTCCTTTGTGTTAATCACATAGAATGTGGACGCAACCTGTAACACGAGTTTCTTTCTTATGAACGCATTTCGTAATCAAATCTAATGAAACTTATGTAATATGAAAGGTTAGACCTTAAAGTTTAATTTGGTTTTAATGATGCGAAATTAAAAATGCGCACAAACACAGTGTATTAGAATAATAAATAGCATGTCGGTGGTTTTTCCCTGACGTGCGGCTTTAAGGTGCGTCTGCGGTATTACAATGTGATGGATATTTTATGTGGCATTTAAGGATTAACGTGCCATAATTGAGAGGCTACACATAATTTATGAGTCCCTTTCCCTTTTCGCAATATACTATTATATCTTAGCTTTCCTTTGATTCATACAACTGGCTACACATAACGTTGAAGTCAAATCGCCACCGGTGGCGATTTGACTCTCGGTGGTGGCGAGCTTGTTGGGGTGGTAAATTAAACTTAAACCCCTTCAGGCCTCGCTCAGTAAAAACCGAGCCGTGACGTTTGTCGTGAAATAATTAAGGGAACGTCTCTCGGCGACAACAACGTTTTTATCCGCTCAATCTTCCCAGACTTTGCACAAACAATGAGGAAGGAGAGACGCCTGGAAATAAGGCTGAGTCACTGATAAGATCCAATTGAAAGAGGAAAGTGGAAAAACTTTTTACCCACTCACAGCTACGATTGTATTAAAAAGTCTCAAAACCGAAAAAATGCTTTACCTTGTAATCCTGCAAAAGGTTAAATATTCTGTTTTGTTCGAATCTTGGCACTGAAACTAAGCAACTTCCTTGTTGCAAACTGAGAGACAGAACAGCTATTAGGCCGAAAGGGCGGTGAAATGGAACAAAAGCTAGAGTAGTAGAATTCTTTTGCTCTGTAGTAATTTGTTTAAAATCCATAAAGCCATGTGCAGTCGCAATGCAGCCCAGAGCAACCAAGTTATAATGTGTTACCATGGCGCCTTTCGGAAGACCGCTAGTCCCACTGGAAAACGGAAGAATTGCTAAATCCTCTTTTGGGTTAAACGTGACGTGTGGCAAACTCGACCCGTCATCATTGAAAAGGATTGAAACCAAGTCATACTCATCTTCAACGTCATCCCCAAGAACAAATATGTGGTCTATACCCAGTTTCTTCGCGGCTTCTTTTGCCCGATGTTCCAATTGGTGAACAGTGATGATACATACTGCGTCAGCTGCTTCGAGCTGATTGGTCAGTTCTTCGGTTGTGAAGAATGGATTGACACCGGTCACGACCGCGCCAATTTGAAGAGCTCCAAGGAATACAATGGGAAATTCAGGAACATTTGGAGCAAACAGGGCAACCACATTTCCCTTGTGAAGTCCTCTTTTGCTTAAAGCCGAGGCGACTCTTCTGCTCAAATCCCTTACTTGTGAAAACGTGTATTCGCGTTTGGTTGCGCCGCATATCTACGAGAAAAATATCAAGAATGATGGAAAAGAAAGAGCGAGTTTTCAGATCGGGAAAAGTACGAATGATTGGCGAGTTCTTAGCTGGAGTGGAATGGGGGAACAGTTTTGCTTCTCTCCTAATCGTGAAAAGTAGATCTCTCCTGGGATCAAGAATTGTTTTAACATTGCAATTATTAACATTGTTGAAATTATTAACATAACCACCCTCAACAACAAACGCTTTTGATACCTCGCCACTCAAAGAATGGTTGGCTGATTTATGGAGCAATCTTAAGGTACTGTATACACTAAACCCATTTTCGAAAGCACCCTCCATCAGTGCTTTCAATTTAAATAGTCCCTCCTTGATTTCGTGGTCAGGTTAGATATCCTGTGGAAATTCTACTTTGCTACTAGATTGTCAACTTAGGACACGTCAGCAATATAATACTCATTACAGTCGATCGATCGAGAGAAAAGTTTTACAGTTTCACGATGAGAGAACGTGTCTCCTGCTGGCCCTGTTATGCATGAAAAAGCCCTCAAACAAAAGCGGCATCTTCATAAAAAATACATCTTTTATCAGTTCGAGAACTTCTGTTAAGTAGTTATATGGATATTGGTGTCAAACTTGCGTGATTACATTCGATAACTGAAAACTGATGATGACGCTTTATTTACAAGCCTCGTTTATGCGTCAATATATCCTGTGCTTAGATCTTGAAGAATCCATACTAAATATTGTTAATAAACAAAGGGCACCTTTTACTCTGTTGTGAGTGTTAGTAGTTCAGCATTTGTACAGTGGCCTCTCTCTGCACACTTCGTGCCAAGAAAGGTAAATTTCCGAAACTCACCAAGTTATTGAAATCTGAACATTGATCGACAAAAATTTGATATACAAACCCTTAAGTTTCGATTGGAACGTGACGGAGTAAACACGTTTTGGCTTCTTCGTGACCTCATGGACTCGATGTGTTGATGAGTGATTTTCGCTGAAATTTCAATGTCGTTTTATTTTGTTTTATTTATTATGAAGTTAACTTCCGCGTTTCTGGGTAATTGATTAAAAAAGATGACCATAGTCGAAAATGGAACTCGAAACAGAATTTTCCCTAAGTAGAAACATGTTTGAAATACAAATAAACGAAACAGATAAATTTGTCGGTCCATTTAGTGAATGAATCATAAAGGACAGTTCTTTCTTTGACATAATTAAGTTCACACATTTATCTGTTTGTGTAATATGTTTAGTGGCTCTTCTGCCGCTCAGAATACCTGTGTGGAATAAAAGACGAAGTCACGAACACCGAGATTAAAGTTGAAAGATAAAAATAGCTCTATAGTTATTACCGAGGATAAATTTATTCCTCGCTGAACGACTTACGATAGCTGTTTGATTCCCATACTTCTCGAAGTCTCTAAATACAAAATCCGGCCAAGATAAGGTTTCGGGGATTGATACGTCCGCATATTTGCTTTTCAACGCCATCGTTCTTTCTCGTAGTTGTCAGAAGAATCGAGAATGAAAATGTGACATAACGAATGCGTCGAAACGCGTCTACAAGAATTTAACAATATCAAATCGACGGTTCGCGGATTTAATTACTGAATAAATAACCATATTGCTTCAGGGTAATTACAAGAAGGATTTGCATTTTCTCCATTGTGTTAACGCACGGCTTTCTTCGGCGGTAAGAATTTCAAAAGAATTGATTTTTGAAGGTAGTGGAATTGAGATATCATTTGGCATAATTTACAACTGAAAAAAAAATCAAGTGATATGGAAAACTATCCAAGAAGTCACATTAAGTCTAAAGCGCCTCTTAATTAACTGTAACCCTTTTGTCATTTGCAAGCTTTCATTCTTGATCAACTGTGCGATTGATTATTAGCGTCTCATACTGACATCATCGCAGGTCAGTCTCGTGTGGTGACATTCTCTCAGGAAAGTGTTAACTTGAGGTAAGAGAGTGTTGCTCGGAACAAAGTCAACTGCTCATTGATTGAGCGCAATTATCCAGTGCGAGAAATCGCAAGTTTGCCAATCGCGCCTTGGTTTGCTGTTTATTTCTGATTGTCTGAGAAAGTGGGCGCGAGTTTTAACCCGCTCACAAAGCTCTCGAGGACGTGAAATATTTCACTGAAAATGGATAAAGCAACAAAAACATACGCAAGTGCGTAACACTTTTTTAATGAATTTTTAACCATTCCAGCTACATTAGGAGCAGGCGTTATTCGTCCAATAATTTACTGAGAAACTTGAGAATGTTTTCAATTAATCATTTTGTATGTACAATTCTCTGTTATAAAATATAGACACTATATGGTAACCTTAATTATTACAAAGCAGTCTCCAGGTTTCTCTTAATACACGAAAGTTTAAAAAATAATCTTACACATATTATTCCAAAAAATTACCAAATAATGATTGCTAAGAAAATTACGAGAAAAACGGGATCAATGTCAGCATCTGCGCGACTACGCACGAACCCCTCCCCTATTACAACAACAGTCAACTGATTCAAATTTTGGGTAAGTGCTGGGTTAGGGGAGGGGTAGGTGAGCAGTTGCTAAGATACTGACGTTGTGCTGGCTTAATTGAAACTTGAGTGTTTTGCGGTGCAGGCAATCACACATTCAAATTCATTATTATACAATGACTAACCATATTGAAAGTACCCTTCGGCATAATTTGTACGAGGGAGAAACATGAAAAATTTGGAATTGCACTTGGGATTCTGTCTCTCAGAGAGGGTTCAGTTACAATGAAAAAAAGGGACACCTAGATGCGAATATAGTGCATGATCTCATGTACGCAAGTCTGTGAGTCGTTCTTGCCTTTTTCGTGGCCTAATGTAATTTCTTTTTATCTCCATATCTCAACAACATTTAACCAATTCCAGGGTCTCGGTCAGGAGAGACGAACGAAAAGCGAGCAAGCGAAAATCGTCAGTGGTCTGGGAAGAAGTTCCCATTCAATATTTCTTTCGTTCGCCCCAGATTCTCACTTGTCCCCACAAACAGGCTGCTTGGAACAGTTCAAAATTAATGTTCTTCGGTCTAGTTTCTAACACCCAATTTAACTGACGGCGGATGAATAGTGGCCATTTTTGAGTGAGTACCAACACAGAAACCTCATGAAACTTATCTTAAATTTCTTAATTAACTTTCCCAGAATTAAATCACAAAATTACAGTCCAATAAAATACGTTTTCTTTGACCAAGTTTACTCGCTATCAGCTGCGTTTCCAGTGGCACCTTGACTTGCCAGTTTATTTCTCCATCGCAGTGATAGTCTCTTTCTGTCTTGCCGAGGATTCGTTCCGTCAGTACCTGCCTGGCCACCTGTCACGTTATCAAGACCGTCTGGGAGAGACGAAGTTAACGATGCGAATTCCTCTTCCACGACTGCGGAAAAAAGCAAACAAAGAACTCTACTGTCAACACCAAAATTCCATCAAATATTCCTGGCCAAGTTACAACTGCCCTATAGACACTAAGATCAGTCTATTGATACACAATCGCCGTATTCAACCCACCTCCTACCCAACCCCCTCTCCTAACGCGATGTAAAGTTTTACCCATGTTCACCCCACGTCACCCTACCCATTCCCAACACAAAGACTTTCCCCACCACATTTTACTACACTACTTCAACACTGTCCTCAAGAGGATGACGAATTCTAAAACTGAACTATGACCTCCCTTTTCAAACAAATTAGAGACATATATACCTTTGGGTCATCGCATATCTCTTCCCCCCCCCCAAGCAAAGGGAGGATTTAATCAGGGATTTCTGGTAGTATCGGAGGGGAGAGAGGCACTTTAAGAGTGACGTATCTTCCCCAGGGACGTGAAACGATGGCTCGACCGGGCTTTGAACCCAGACTCCAGACACGCACCCTGGCTATATATTGGACCATTCAAAATTAAATACGCTCTGATAAATCTCTAAAATAAAAACGATTAAAACAAAAATATATGCATGACAAAATGAAAAAAAAATTGAATAAATGAAAGAAAAACTCACCTAATTTGTTGTTGAACAATCTTGGAGAGGTCACAACACTTTTGGATCGATTTCGCAAGGATGTCTTCTCGCTGTCGGATAAACTGCTCGTAGTAGGTGCCGTCTCCGTGCGCAAGATTAGATGTCGTTCACCCGCTGATAAAGTAGGAGTGGGGGGCTCACTTCCCGGGGGTTTCGGGACGGGACAGAACACCAGAGATGCAAAGTCCTCGTAAGTTGTGGGTTCTTTGTGATTTTTAACTATTCGCTCAATGCATGCTGCTCGCTCTTCAAAGCTGAGATCAACAATCAAGGAAAAAGAAAGACGTGGAAAAAGAAAGAACAATTTTAACTTCTTTAATTAGATCCAAAAGAGAAGCTTTATACTGAGAAACATGAATTTAGAAATCTTTTGACACTAGGACACTCCACCAAACACTGCATACCAAAACAAATAGTACTACACTCAAGCCCAGTCTTCCCCACAGTCGTTGTCTGGCCTCATCGCACAACTCGACGTGTGACAAGGTTGATCTTGCCTGACATACCCATCTGACGACTGCTACGCTGAAAAATTGGAACCTCTTTGGGTCGGTATTCTTTTAACAAAACAGACACAATTTCCTGATAAAAAAGGATACTATCTCTCATAAACAGGCAAAAGTTCTCTAGTCGCTCGGCTGGCGTTGATAGCGGTCGCTCTCACAAGGGTTGGTAAAACTTTCCTGTCCACCAAAGCACCGTCGAACAACGGTCCAAACATAGGTACCTTAAAAAATAGAGTGCCAAGAGAAACATTAACCCGAGTTTTACACAGAATACTTGATCCTATCAACTCATTCCCGATTTTAAAGAGCTATTTACGAGAAAATTTCCTTATCTACAAACATCTAAACCTAATCTATAATTAGTTTTAGATTCAACTTCTAAACATTTTAAGACGCTTAATAGTGGTCAAAACCGAGACCTTCAGTCTGTGGTCTAAACCTAGGTGTTAAATCGAGGCTCTAAAGACGACATAAAGCGGTAATTCTGTTAATGAAGGGAAACAGAAAGAAGCAAGAAACCACACCCTGTCTCACGGCTGCAATTCATATCACGATAACAGAAACCCCGACATCGTAAATATTTTCTCTCTAACCTTGGGTTTCTTGATGATTTGTATTCTGAACAAATGGTTCCTCAATGGATAGATGACAATCATGACATGCGCAAAGTCAGTATTGACGATGCCATGTCTGTAATCACGGTAATGTTCTGACCAAACGATATGAACCTCGTCATTTCCAATATGGCGAACCTAAAACAAACAAGAAAACGAAGGCAACGTGAACGAAATTCCAAACATTTTCCAAAACTTTGAAGCAATTAGTTAAACTCGCCACAAATAACCATCGATGATTGCTAAATTCTGAAAAGAATATGATCTGATACCCAAATCTCCTTTCTAGTTGCGGTACAATTCCCTCGAAATTGGTAAAGAGAAGGTGCTAATATAACACCTTCCAACTGATAAAATTATCTGATTTCAAACATGTTTCTCCAAAAGTTTACCCTGGGTAGAGACTTACAAAAGTGACCCAAATCATTGCCTCTCGCGAAAGAGTGAGTTCAACGCGATAAACATCGTGCACGGACGCCTAACTTACCATTACAGAAAAGTGCAATCAATCTTGTTAACTTCCACAAACTTGGTATCCGAGAAAAGCTATATTCATATACTCATGTAAACTGATAATAAAATTGTCGTCTGACCTTTCGGTTAAATCCAGTGTTATCAGTCGCCAGTGGCATTCTAGTAGACACATGGAACATGACTTCGGTAGTTGAGTTGCAGTAGTAGGGTGCTGTTGTGCCAGTCGAAAGATTCTTCTCCAATCCACCCAAAAATCCCGTGTGCTTAGACAAGTCAACCTAGACCATATAAAACAAAAGTCACTTGTGGGAAGTGTTTAATCATGCAAGCATTGTGGTAGGTCACACAAGCCTTAACTGTATGTGCTACACCAATGTGGTCAAATAAAATATACCGGGGCATAATGCTTTAGTCAGGGCACCGAAAATAATGTAGGCATAATAATGAAAACTTCTTCAAAATTCCCTTGATGTTACAGTTTAATATGAGGTTAATTCTGTAACCTGAATACTGTCAACAGTAAGCCTTCTCTTTTTTTGCCTGCACTTTAATAACATTTGCACTTATAAGATGTTGTGTGTTGAACTTCGGTAAGCCTTTTACTCTTCGCAACTTTTATCTGTCAGTGATAGGAATTGGGAGGGGGGAGAGATTGGTTGAGGGTTTCTTAAAAGCTAATATTTTGAATTGTTAAATTGAGCATGATGAAACCTTTATTTTTTGGGGTGAAGCTCAAAAGTTTGCTGCTTAATTTTCGAGGATAATTCATCTGACCCTAAATACCAATGGTTGAAGAATGACGCATACCTGGCTGACTCTCTTGAATTGGTTCCTTTTTTGGAGTGATGCAAATTTATGAGTAAAATTTGTGAAATATATCTCACCTCCCAGGCCAGACCGGCTACAAAGTGCTCAAACTCCACACTTCCCACACAGTTGGACATTATAGACGTCTTATCCTCTTGACCGTGCGCCACGTACACCAATGCTATTTTATGCGTCTCACGACTGTCGATAAAACAAATCAGCGACACTTATTATGAGGAAACCAGTTTGGAAAAAAAAAAATACTAGTTTCCTTTGTAGACAAACTAATTCCTTTAGCAGCAATCTGGAATTAATGCCTTCGCACCCTTCTACCATTCAACTTTTTCCCGCGCTTGTCCTTTTTCTACCTTTGTCACCTTCCGGCAATCTAACTTCCTGCGTTTTCATTTTTCTCCGACTTGAGCGATTGAAAAGCCTTGTTAATAGCCTTGCGATCTACAGCACTTGTTTTAGATCTACAACACTGAGCTTACCACCGTCTGTTATCCAAGTTCTTCAACTCACGCAAGAAACGGTCAGTCTTTTTCAGGAGATCAATCTTCGTTCTGCGAAACGAAATCAATCACGGGAGAGTTAGAGACTCCTCGTACTATAGAACTCAAGCAGCTTGAGGTCTCTCTCACCTTTTTTCGGAAGTCATCATACCGTTTTGACTGACCACAAACCGGCTCAACTGGAATGGAGACACGGGAATTCCATATGGAGGAGGACTGGATGCCAGAGACGAAAGACTTATAGAAAGATGAGAGACAAAAGATACGTGACGTAGGTTAACAAGGAAATATCAACACCTATTTCTTGCTTCTTACAATGAAATATTATCGTGCGCCAATCACTGTTTTGCGCTTAGTGCATCTGTGAAAATTCTCCCACTAAAATATTGGTCTTCAAGTCTTTAAGACGGACATAATTTCCCAACAAAACACTGGTTTCTCGCTCATTTCAAACAGCAACACTTTTCGCGCCTTTCTCTTGTTCCCCTCTATTTCCAATATTCCTGTGCCTCAACTGAATACGAACTTTCCCTGCTTTAGAGATTTCACTTTAGAATTTCATTGGTAAACCACAGTAACTAACGGCTTCACTTAAAGAATTTTGGAAAAAGAGAATCTACTCTAAAAAAGCAAAGAAATTAAACCTTGGATCATCCATGTCGTTCTCAACTCGTTTCTTCACACTGGCGTCCTGTTCAAGCACAGAGTCTATGACGTCATACTCCATATCACTTAATACGTTCTCCGGGCACGGACCGGGCTCATTTAGAGCGTGGTCTGGGTACAACAAACACTCACGGCTGGACACCCCGATACCACATAACAACTGAAAATTAGAAACAAATCGTTTTAACGAGTAAGTGTAAAAGCACAACGTAAGGCGGAAGTACAAATTTCTGTTGGGAAATGGCGAGTGAGAAGTGACACCAAAGCGTGGAAATCATTTACAGCAGTCGTAAAACGGCTGATCAGAAGAAAGGAAGATACCTTTAGAGCCAACGAGAACTCAAAGTAAAATCAACCAAATTGCCTTAAGCGCGGGAAAACGCGGGTGACCGAATCGTGATTGGTTTTAGTTTTGCATCTAATTGGTTGAAAGAGTGACGCGAGTTTTCTGGACCAATCACATCGCGAAGTAAACCAAAACCAAATATGAACATGAACACTTACATCATCAAGTCTATCTTCAGCAACAGGAGTCGAACACTTCTTGAATTTAGAAAGCGGATGATATGAAACGTCGGATCCTTCCCGGCTTCCATCTTCTTGCGTTGGAATATCATCACTTAGGTCGGGTGTTTTAGCTAAAAGGAAAAATATATACAAGAGCTGATTGGCAGGGATGGTAAGGGCATAAAACACTGTAAGGCAATTCCAATGGCTTACCGCTAGCCTGGTAATCTTCATTTTCCCCTTGTAAAGATCCGTGTAACAAAGTGTAGTCCCAAACGTTTTTCCCTGTCATGTCACGCGTGATCACACGAACTTGAGTGGCTGCGGTGCTCGCGGGAACTTCCTGAGCGACTGAATCCTTGTGAAATGAAATAAAAAGCCACGTCATAGGATTAGAAATGCGCCTGCGTGAAATTCTCATTTCTGGAGTTAAATCCTACCTCAAGAGGAAGCTCCACCAAAGATATCAAAACGCTGTCATTGAGCACCAAAAACTGAAACAAACGAAGAAAAATATATATTACATTTACAGGTAGAGGAAACGTTTCCTGTCCGAAAGCGCAAATGAACTAATCTTCAGCGTGCTATCAACTCGATCAAGCACCAAAATCTTGAGCGAGGTAATCTAACGCTGCTGCTCACAACCCTTATATGTATGGTATTAGTTGAAAATTAAAACAAAAACCTGTTGGAAAATGTTGAGGTGGGTAAAAATGTCCGTTTACGCTTTCAAACATGGAAAATAAAACAACCAGAGGGTGAAAAACACTGACGAACAAAAAAAGCATAACGATGAAAATTTTGATATAGATGCTGGTAAAAAGCTTACAAAAAGCTAACCTGTACATTAGGAGCGTTGAATATACTGGCTGACAGCTCATCGGTGTCTACATTAGGATTATCTTCGTGTTCGCTGATTAAACTGTCCACTCTAGATGGGCCGGCACCGAGTGGATAATGTCCTATATGGTTTACTATATGCATCAACACCTTGATAAACGCAAAAAGACTGACTAGCATCTAATTTCTCATAACAATATCACCCCTGAATCACAAAATAATGAAAATGATCACCAACTAAAGAAGCTCTTGATTGTTATACGAATTCTCCTTATCAGTGCCAAAGGAAATGTAAAGAGGCGAGTAACGAGAATGTGGATACTGATGTTAAAGGGTTGGGTGTCATGACATAAAAGCACCAAAAACTGAGCAAACGGCATGATTTAGGGAAGAGCATGTGCACTAACTCTTTTTTAAAGACTTAGAATTTAAAACGAAAATTTATCGTCAAAAACGAACGCTGTGTCAGTGGTAGCACCTATTTTCGTACTTAAACGACCGAGAGTAAACTTTCCATGTTGCTGATCCTATCTAAATCATATAAATCATGTAAATGACTTTCCTCCTGTCGACAATCAGTCGCTCTACACTTGCAGCCCACACTTTCTTGCGATAAAGAAGAGCAGAACACAGACCACTTTAAAATACCGCGCCACAGTTCACAAATACGAATGTTACTTACTGCTTTGGCTGTAAGCTCCACAGAATCCGACTTGGGAGGAAAGTCAAACATATCTTGACCGCCGGGATCTAAAAAAATAACAACAGCTGTGAAATAATTGGAAAAGGAAAAGTAGGAAAGAAGGGCTGGAAGAGGGGAGGGGAGGCATAGAGTCCTTTTTAATGAAATACCGCGAAAATAAAACCTTAGTGTTCAAAACGACCAACCAGCAGTAAAATCATAAAGAGCCAATGGGAGCTCAAAGTGCACACTCGTTACTGGCCTGACGAGCGAAATGGTCCAGTTGCAAGTCGCGACTGGTGTTCTGCACCCCATTAACTGAGAAGGTGGCAGGGGTTTTCTAGACAAACAATGGGTATAGAAAATCGAAACCGATGCAATCCCGCAAGACTTTCGACATTCGATTGAAAGCTGCTGGTCTTGATAATTTAACGTAGAGAATAAACCATTTTTAAGCGACCAACCATCTTCCTGTACGTCACCACCGATGTCTGTCAGACTATCCACCGGGCTGCTCGGCCCAGCGCTGGATGATCTGTTCTCCTCCTGTATACGGGCTAATCTGATCGGTCTGCCGTCGCCACTGATGATGGTAGATATGTTCAGTTGCTTGGTTCGTTTCTTTGGTCCCTTGTTCGCTGCGGCCATCTTTAACACCTACAAGTAAACCACATAAGAAAGCTTTTCAATTTAGTGGCAAAATGACCGCGTCAACTTCAAAACCAACGTTCAGGGAAAAATCAGCAAATTAAAGCAAACACTCGCAAAACGAAACGCGCAAATCAGTTACTTCTCTCCTTAAAGAAAGGAAAGATGTTGCTGTTTTGCGCTGCTAGCATAAAGGAGGACATAGTATTCTTTCTGATAAGGTGAACAATTGTGCATCTGGTAGGAAAAGATTACATGAGTAGAGATAAAACTTCATACCTGGAATACTCTTGCAAGTAAAGTGACATTTTCATCCTCATTTGTTTTAGACAACAGCTTTGAGACTGGTATCACCATGAGCCAATCCAACAGGCACATAAGAACTGACGCTAAAACCTACAAGATACAAAAACAAACCATAGATGTCAATGCCACCAATAGATAAGGTCAGTATACGAGTAAGAGGGCTCATATTTACCTCAAACTTGGTGTAGTAATGTTGCGGATATTTGTTCTTACCTTATGTTGTTCCTGAATTTGTGCCGACTCTCCCCCAGGGAGAAGATTTACAATGGCGTGACACAGAACCTGCAGGGTTAGCATACATTTAAGAGATACCAAGAAATAAACCACCGCAAATAAAATGAAAACATCAAAATAAAACCAGCAGGTCAGAATTTTAAACAGTGAACCATTTGTGAAAGCCTTGGAACAGAAGCGCTGTTAACCCGCTAATATCAGTATGCATATTCTCCATACTGTTCTTCATACATTTCCTGAGGTGCTGAGGAGAATTTGTTTAAAATCAAGAGCTTCTTTACTTGGTAATCATTTCCTTTATTCTTCTGACCTTCATGTTTGATTCAGCGGTGATAATGTAAGGAGAAATTAGATGCTAGTCACACTTGACGTCAATGAGTTATTGAGCGCAAATTCTCCAAAAAAGTTTCAATGACATGAAGCGTTGGTTACTTCAAGAGACAAACCTCGACAATCTTGAGCGGAAGATCTTTTTCAAACGCGACAAGCTCCTTGTAATACTCAGATAGCAGATGAATCCCACCGCAAGCCACGTGACAAACGGATCTGTTGTGAAACTACAAAAAGCAAGAAGAAGCCTCTGTGTCAGATAATAAGACTTTGAAAAAAAATCTACAGTTCTACATATCCACCAGCAGTAAATATGTAACCAAAGTAAGGTAGATCATCACGCGAGTGCTCAGCGGAGAGACAATCGAAGATATAAATGTTGCGTCTTTACTTTCGATTGAGGCAGACGGAAAACAGCAGCTAAAATGAGTAAAGGCAGGTGAAGCTATAGGAAGTCCACAAATTTACAACAGGCAAATTTTACAAGTTGCCTGGTAATATAGTTGAGGGGCTTCAAGAAAATTTAAGTAGACCGCGAAAACTTGCAGTTTAACAACGGCCCATAGGAACTGACCCATAGTCTTTTCTTTTTGCGGGATTTTCTTGTCGTACTCGTCTAAATAAACTCTGTAAGCCACAAATGGATGCTTTCTAACACGCTACACGTGAACACACGTACAAGTTGTACAAAAAAGACTAATCTATACTCACAGTTATAGATGCTAAAAGCACACAAAGGCATTCATGAACTTTAGGATGTCCTTGGCAATGAATAAGCTCCTCAGCTATGAAGACACCAAGGGCATTAAGCGCGATACATCTGAAAAAAATTAAAATATTAACATCAAAAGCTCGCAGCGTCAGTGGGATAGAGACAACAGTGATTTAACCAACTTTGTTACCGAGACAGACGTATAATTAATTGCTTACTTTACCTTGCAGAACAAGACGGATCTAACTTTGACGCTCGTAACAACGAGCTGATAAGTTTATCCTGAAACGAAAGGAAATAAAATTACAGTTTTACTTCTACTTCAACCTTAAACCCTTTCTACCTTAACATCGGCATGCATATTCTCCATACTGTTCTCTTAACATTTTCTAAGGTGCTGACAAGGAGAATTTGTCTGGTAATCGAGAGCTTCTATAGTTGGTGATCATTTCCTTTATTCTAGTGACCTGAATGTGTGATTCAGTGATGATATCGTAAGGAGAAATTAGATGCTGATCACTCTCAGGGGTCAAATGGTTCAGTTCTATTGCAGTTACGATAGAAGTAAACTTTTCAGGGTGTTCAGACCTTGACGTCTTTACAAGTACTTTTTGGCTGATACTCATTCGTTTGATGTCCTGGCTGATGTAGGGGCATATTAGCAACATTGTTTGGAAAACACAACAACGATCCAATTAGAGTAACCGCTTCTTCTCTTGGTAACTGTTGAGAAAAGCACAAATGGGATTACTATTGATGCACATGAACACTGCATTGCTAGTCTGCTCTTCAAGATCAAAGCACAGCACTAGTGGAAATCTTGACGATGATCATTTTCTGAGCCTGATTTAAGATGAATTGTTATATTTACCTCCATGTTCTGACTATTAACAACTCCATTAGTTGCCTGAATGAAGTCAAGAATCAAAAGACTGGAGCTTGGTAACATCACAGAGAAGAAATTTGCACAGCTGCTGATAATGGCGCTGGTGACATTCTGAAAATCACAAGGAAAAGCATAAGTTGTACAGGTACTTAGCATCTCTTCCTGTTCGACTGGACTGCGCTCAAAACTTTCCCTCTTTCTATTTTGTTTTTAATTACAAAAGGACGCTTTAGAAATTGCTCATTCTTGCAGGACGCCAGTCATTCGACCCTACTAGTGCGCTTTTCGATTGAATGTGGTAGAAACAAAACCAAAGAAATCACAAACGCCAATCAAAACAAAGGAAAATATCACAAGGAACCAATGAGAACTCAAGTAAAAGCGAGCAAACTGCCTAAGTAGCGGGAAAACGCGGGTGACTCAGTCGCTTCAGTTTTACATTTGATCGGTTGACACGGTAACGCGAAAATACTCGACCAATCACAAACTGTATTAAAGCAATCCCAACGCAATTCCCTGATGAAAATTGCTCTCTATGGCCAATTTTAGAGATGAGTCGGCATAGGCACAGTTGTTGGTGAATCTAACCATGAAACGGTGCCTAACTGGAGTTTAAATCCTCACAGAGCGCTAAGATTTTCCCTTATTTGACGTTCGCGAGAATTTTTAAATCCATCTTACTTCTTGTGAAACCTCACCTGATCAGTTCCCGTGAGTCCAATGTGCATTAGTCGGTAAAAGTGCGTTAAGTATTCTTGTGACAGCGGCATATCTTGACGGCTGACAGTCATGGCGCACATTAGTTTGTAGGCGAGAAGACGACCGCTTTTAAATTCATTGTTAATGGACAGTGAAGCAGCCTGAAAAACAGAAAAAAGCGAACAAGTTGATAACAAGACACATTTGCAAAGGGTTACATAGGAGAGTTCTGTTACAAAAATTGTATTTTTCCCTAGCAATCAAACAAACTAAAGTTGTTCGAGATACCATTCACCGAATTAACCGCATAGAACGTTGTCAGCTGACATTTCTAGAGATGGCCCTTAATCCTTAACACCCGAACATCAGTATACATATTCCTATAGCTGTTCTTCATACGTTTCCTAAAGTGCTGACAAGGAGAATTTGTGTAACAATCAAGAGCTTCTTTAGGTAGTAATAATTTCCTTTATTCTCGTGATTGAGGAGTGATACCGTGAGCAGAAATAAGATGCTTGTCACTCTTAGGGCCAAAGAATTAGTCTGTGTTAGTAATCAATCTTTTTACGACGGTTGCTAGTGATCGAAACGTCAGCTTTTGTAAGCCTCTGTCTCGGTTCATTCACCAAAATAAACGTGCGCACTTTTTATTCTGTGTTTTTACAGCCATATATACAGTAAAAAATGCCCATGATCTAAAAAGAAAAAATCAACCCAAATTAACCACTTACCACTTTCGTTACATGTTTATATTTCTGTTAATCTCCAAATCGTATGAGGGACTTGAAAAAACAAGGAACCACACAACGTAAAAAAAAAAAAAAACAACAACCTGAACAACCTGCCGCTCTGCTATTTAATAAATTAAAATACAAAATACATGTAATATACAGACCTCAAAAACCCACGTAGCCATGTGCTGTAAAGGTGGAAGCAACACAGGAATGGGTGGAGTTGACTTGTTATCCAGTGAAATGCCCTGATTCAATCGGACCTACAGCAAATACAAGCGAATTGACGCAACAATTTAATTTGTCTGATGCTAACGAAACAAGTTAAGTTTAGAAAGATATGGATTCGCTTAAAAAAAAAAGCCTTTTGACACTTTTTCTGTGCAGTTATGCGCCCAAATTACGATCAACAGGAAGGTTAAAAAAGATTCTAATGTCATTGTAAAACATTGATAAAGATCACAAGAAAAACGCGGGTCTATCCTAACTTCAATGTCGTATTAAAGGGAGGTGAAAGCTTGATTTACCTTTGCCAACATATTCCAGATAGCTGTAAGACATTCGAACACTTTAGCATGGATTGCAGGGTCTTTTATTTTGTTCACATTGCCCAGAATTCCCAGCATTCTGCGCCACAGGACAACTGCTGCCACAGGACCCCAACCTTCTCTGTACCCTCCCGCCACCACACTGGTGTCTTCCTCGTGAGAGTCGTCTCCAACGAAGTCGTCATCAAGAAGCCCTTCATGGGTCTCTTCCAGGTGGGGCTCAGGGGAGGGGCTACGAGAGCCTGGTGCGAGGATGTCAGGAGTTGCTAAAAACACCGATAGAGGCGAAAATTAGCTAAAATATTCATGTTTTCATGCAGTCTGAAAAGCTGCTTTCAGTGAAGCACGCGTTATGGTTTTCCGTGTGCTTTTAAAAGGGCAGCGTTCAAAATTCGAACTTTCCGCAGAGTTACTCTTTAGAATTTCAAGACGCGATCGGTGAAATGAATTGACATTGACTGCAATTATATCGTTTCAGGTGCATAAATCTCCTAGTAAAAAAAATGTAACCCCTCATATTCCAAGATCTGATTGTTAATTCTTCTCTCTATATGCTACACACTTCCTTGTATATTAGTTATGATGAATTTGTGTTAGATCAAGATAACAACTTCTACCTGATAAGTTTGAGTATTCTCATTACCTGTTTGCTGTGTAATGTATGGATATTACAGGGAGAAGTTACATGTTTATCACCTCTGGGAGTTTAAGGATTAAAAGAAGATTGATTTAAGATACAAACCTCTTCCAGATGATTCTGCAGAGGACCTGCCCCCGATATCATGGTTGAATTCCTCCTTCACTGTAGTCAGAGGCTGCAGGACACCTTCCTCACCTTCACCCAGTCTTGCATCGCGGGAAGGAGTAGATGTCCTGTACACTGGTCGATGCTGACTGAGTTGCAAGTCCTCTAATTTGGACTCCAGACTTGATTCATCGATCTTTCCCAGCATCTTTGGTGATTCACAGCCAGGTGCATACTTGGAACTTGGACTCACGTCGAAGTCGAGACTACTGCCGTACCAGGCCATGGATTTCATGTTGTCTTGGCTTGACAAGTAACTGTCACTGCTACTTAAACGATTCAAACGTTGTCTAAATCTTCCATCTGGCATATTTTCAGAATCTTCATTAGCCATAGCACCAGCGTCCTCATCAGCTCTAGACGGCATTTCAAGGCTTTCCACGCTATCTGTATCACTTGCAAGGGTGAAGCTCACTTTGGGTTCCTCAGTAGAACTTTCTTTGCTTTCTTTGTTGGCATCTTTTGAAGGCTGAAGCTGGCCCGCAGCTTCAGTGTCTTTTCTTGCTACTGTACCTACCAAAAACAGAAAAAAAGTTAGGAACATTTATTTTAAAGACTGTTTACGAATGAAACAGGCCTGCGCCAGCTCTGAGTAATAGCTAATATACCTTTTCCCAGGCTTTATTTTTACTACTGCTCAAGTAGTATTCATTATTGCGATGATCACTCTCGTCTTAATGTATCAAGTAGAGTAGTTTCCATGTATTTTGACACACAAATGGCCAGAAAAATGCCCAAAACATCTTAAAATTCAACTTTTGCGGGGAAAAACTCAAGATGGAGTCTTGAAATTGAAATTTCTGAATATATGGCTCCGTCTATCCTAAATCAATTTTCATTCTTTGCCATTTAAATGACTAATTTGCCAAATTATGCACCACGTTCACAGACAGCATTACTCACAAATAATTCTGGAAACTAACCTGCAGTAAAAACGGGAGAGGAAGCAACTTTTCTAAAGGGAGACACCTTATCCTCTGCTGTACTTGAGGGGAAAAAAGTACTGTTGGCTGTTGGAAACACCTTAACTTCTGGATGTTTAGGAGAGCTACTTGAAGAAACTTGGCCACCTTCTTGACTTGATACGAAAGGCCTTTGTGTCTTTGGTGACATGGATTGTTCATGCTTTTCACTATGTATAGTTTTATCAACTTGGGGCATAATTTGCTTAGGACCATTGGATTTTTCCAATCGACTCCATCTTGAGAAAGACGACTTGGTAAACTGAAGCCTTTCCTGTTGTAGGTTTGGTCGTCTTTTACGTTTCTGCTCAGTTAGTCTTTCCAGAGGAAGATCTGCCATGTCCAAACCATATACTGTCCTAGCCATCACTCTGGTTAAAGTTTCCATTGTCACCTAGATAAACACCACGAGAAGACGTTATTATGCTTTTCAGTAGCCTGTGAACTCTGAAGAAGTAAACCAATCCTTAAACAGTGCGTTATATATTTATTGTCCATTCTAAAGAAAAATGCATAGTGTTTTCAGAAGATTTAAAACGACATGCTCACTGTAATGTGATTAAACCTTGTTCAGGTGGCCCTTATGTTACTGATTACTTGCAACATAAATGAAATTACAAATTTGGCCTTTAATTCCAGAGTTGGAATGTTAAAAAAAGAGACAATAAGGTAGTAATCATAGGAATTATGGTCATTTCGCCCCCAGTCACTTCGCTCAAACCAATAGTCAGTTTGCTCCATGACTGAAATCACTTCACTCCACACAAAAGTTACTTCGCTCCATGTAAGAAATTGGTGAATTATTGTCGTGAATGAGCAGAAGAAACCGTCAGGGATGTGGCTTTCCTCTAACTCAAAGTCTAGATCTAATGGGTTTTTCGGTTGTAGCTGCTGGCGTTTTCTATTAATTATACAATTATAAACATGTCATCAAGGTCGTATAACATCAGTAAGGCAAATACAATCTTATAAGCATATATACACTTGACTTATAGCATGGAGCGAAGTAACTTTTGTATGGAGTGAACTGACTTTTGGTGGGAACAAAGTGACTGGGGGCAAAATGATCATGGGGCAAAGTGGTCGCATACCAATCATAGTATCAAAATGAAAACAAAAAGGTCCAGGATCAAAATCATTACTAAAACATTTTTGTGGTTTGAATACTTACGCTCCATTCAGAAATTATCTCCTCCCAGTGAGTTGCAGATGAAATAACTTCTAAACACTTATCCCATAAGTAAATAGGAACATTCACTTTAAGATTTGCTCGAATCCATGTCACAAATAGAGTCTGTTGAGTGTGAAAAATGAGGAAAATAATACTTTAGTGTTCAACCCTTAACACCCTAACATCAGTATCCATATTCCACTATATTTTGTGGACAACACTCAGAAGCCCAAAGCTGTGTTCTTAGTATAGTTATGCCAGGGAAAATGTAACAAAGCAGCCCCATGAAAGCCTAACAAAGACTAGCTGAGGTGATGGCTCAGTGCAGCTGGAATCCTAAAAAAAAGTGGGAAAGAGACACAAAGGACAGCGATAGCTAGAGAGCCATGTGCCATGTGCCAGAAGAGATGCCACAGAGAAGAAATGGAGGAGAAGAAGGGCATCATCTTCCTTGAGCCCCTCTACCCAAGGATTCCTATGCTTAAAGTGTGGTAAAGTGTGTAGATCAAGAATTGACTTGCACAGTCACCAGAGGGCATGTCAACAGGAATGCAGGAATGACCTTTCCCCTGATCCTCAAACCCAAGGAACCAGCCATCATCATCAGAATCATAAACATCAAAAAACTAAATTTAAAAAAAATCCTAAACATTTTTGTTAGCAAGTGTCTTCATACTCTTACAAGCAAACAAACCTGAAGTAAACTCCCAGCTGTTTGTCTAGCTATTTCCCTAGCTTTGTTCTGGGATTTATCAGGTACCAGTAGATGTCTTGAAGCTTCAAGTAGAGCTTCCAGCATCTGTTCCCTGTTGAAAACAAAAACATTTTGAAAAGAAAAAAGGTAAGAAGTGGAATGACTGTGATTTTGGCAGAACATTTTATTCTTAAACTGCTGATAAATCTTAATCAAGTACAAGAAATCATTTACTAAATTTATACCAAGTGGTTGATTCCATTGGAACTTCTAGAACAATGCTTCGATAGAGATGGACCACTCGTTTGCAAACATCAACCTAGAACCAAAATATACAAAAATCTAGTTAGATAATAAAGCCCCTAAAACAAACCCTCCTATAAAGATTTGTTTGCCTGACCATCAACCCTGAGCTCTTGAATCTTTGCTTGGTGAACAGTTTAAGTTAATTACCACAGATGTGTAAAAGAATCTGGCTGACCTGTTTATCCAAATATTCCTTTTCATCTTCTACAAGGAACACTGCAGCTGCATGTAGAATAAAAAGCCTTAGATTTGCCTGAAGACCAGCTCTTACATCTTCACAAGGAAGTCTGAATGCTCTCTCTCTTTCTTTATCTACAGCATAGGAATATGAAAATGTTCTGATGGGACTTTGTGGACTGTAATTGGACTCCTCAACAGAAAGAGAAGGAAACACACCCTGATCAGGTTCAAGCATGAAGATAGGTCTTTCAGGACTCTAAAACAGAAAAAAACCGATGTATTAGCTGAAAAATGAAATGCAAAAGGCATAATCACAGGGGTGTATGGACCAAAAAGTCTGAGCTTGCAAGAGCCTGGGTAAATTTGTTGTGTTCTTGGGTGAGGCATGACACTCTCTCACAGTGCTTCTCTTAGCTTAGTCCAAGCATTTTGTAAAATGGTGTATCAGCAAATGAATTATATCACTGTCAGGAAAACTTCATGTAGCTCTAAAGAATAACCTGTGATGGGTACCAGAAACCTAAATCTGGCAGAGTGGGTGTCATGAGTTACATGCCAGACATAATTGTTAAGCTTTAATCAAGGTGAAACAGTTCCTCAGCATTTAACATACAGTGTATGCCACTAAGGAAACATTTGTCTGGACATAGAGGAAAGAGGGAAAAGAAAGGATACCTAAATTCAAAGCAAACTACCAGTATTTAAAAAATAGTGGAATATTAACCCTTTACACCCTAACATCACCATATGTATTCTCCATACTGTTTTCTATATGTTTACTATGCTGCTGACAAGGAGAATTTTTTCAACAATCTAGAGCTTCTTTAGTTGGTGACATTCTCGTAACCTTAACATTTGATTCAGGGGTGATAATGTTAGAAGAAATTAGATGCTGGTCACCTTAAGGGGTCAAATGATTAATCAACTTACCTTAAGCCACTCATGATACACCAGCAGGACCTGCCTGATGGTGCTTAAATGTTTGGCTGGGAGACGAAATGCCTAAAGAAATAGCGAACAAAAATCAATTAGATTGTTTAACCCTCTACACTCAAACATCAGTGTGCATATTCTCCATAATGTTCTCTACACATCTCTTGAGCAGCTGATTAGGGGAAACTGTTCAACAATCAAGGTCCTCTTCAGTTTGTGATCATTTCCTCAATTCTCCTGACCTTGATATGTGATTCAGGGGAGATCTTGTAAGGAGAAATTAGATGCCTGTCACACTCAAAGGATTACAATGTATGTGTTACCCACCTACAGTTATAACTGGTTTTGTTAGTGATTGAGTTATTTAATGTACCTGACGCAAGACCTCATGAAGCAGCCTGATGTTTGCCTTGGTGGAGTACAACACCTTTCTTATCACTTCACTAGCATCCTGTAAGTATTCTCTGTTACGTGCTAGACTGAATTTGACTGAATCAGGGGAGCTTGGCTCAATACTCTCTGTTGATGTTGATGACACTTCTGATTGATTGACAGCTAACAATGATTCTGAGGTGCTGTTACTTCTCTTAAATCTGACTGTGAAGGCCACAAACCATCGTAAAACTGAGTCCCTTGCACTGGTCATCGACATTTTAGACTCACTCTTCTTAGGTCTACTGCAAGGAACTTGTGCAGCTAAACAGAAGACAAAAAAATAAAAGTTAGACATGAATGCCATGGAATGAGGATAGAGGTAGAGGGTAGCAAAGTTGGATCTCAGTTTTGACTTCTTCTGTAAAGCAGTTGAACAATCAGTCAGCTGACTGGTGAGCTGTCAATCTAGTAATAATCATCCAATTATTTATCCAATCAATCAATCAACTGATTGGCTGGTAATTGTAGAAAGCACTCTTTCATAACAAAATGAGAAGCACTAAGGTGAATGTACTATCTCCTAACCAGGGTTGGATTGGTAGAGCAATCTTGAAGGATTCCAGTCCTGAAAGATGTGTGGCAGATAGAATCTTTTGAAGTTTTCAAACAAGAAATAGAATGCATGCTCCCTGCTTCTCCTGTCGGTCCACTCAATCTGGACAAGCTAAATATAAAAAAATAATGAAGTTAATACAAACACACATGAACAATCTAGGATTAGTTGACAAACTTATGTCTGAGATCAACTGCAACAGTAATGCTCAATGCAGTACTAATAAAGTCCTCCAAATGTACCTGTGTACTCATACAGTCCAACACTCTGTCCAGGAAGAACTTTGTCAGTGTCTCTGGTGGAAGTATCCTTTCACTTGGATTTGCTGGAAGGACTGGTCCTACCTCATCTGAGAAGCACCAGTCTTAAAATGAAAGAGATGAAAGAGATGAAAGAGATGAAAGAGATGAAAGAGATGAAAGAGATGAAAGAGATGAAAGAGATGAAAGAGATGAAAGAGATGAAAGAGATGAAAGAGATGAAAGAGATGAAAGAGATGAAAGAGATGAAAGAGAGTTATGGGTTGGGTTTCTGTGAACTTACACTTTCATCCTATTATATATACATATAAATCAACGGTTGCTGATTTCTACAAATGTTGTACCTTCCATAAATAGGAATTCCACTATATGCTTACTGTAAAAATATTTATTTATGGTCTGTGCAGCAATGTGTAAAGTATACTGGAGAACGCTTGCTATTAATGAGGGAATCAGCAATAATTAAATCATTCATAACATCTGCAGGTCTAAGACATCAATTTTACCCAACTTAACCTTAGGCAAGGACTTCGAAATTGGTGGTTTTAAAGAACTCTACAGGAGTATGGCTTATAAAAAAGCATTAAATGACCATTATTAACAATGTCTTCCTTACAAAAGTGTATAAGTCTTTGAATATATTCTGTAAGTCAATAATACATTTCTTTAACTGACCTTCACTCTCTCCATCAGCAGATAACAAATGCATGTTGCTAGTTGAAGAAAGCAGATCCCTGGATGCCATGTCACCAATTGACAGATATATTTCCTCAGCACAAGCTTTGGATAGCTTGTTCTTGCTCCAGTCAAGACCATCGACAGGATTTGGAAAACCAGGAATCAAACATGCATAGATAAGCTGACACAATTCATCTGAGTTGTCCTGTAATGTTTGGAACCACAGCATGAACAGACGAACACCCTCCCGCCGTAGCTGTTGAGACAAACAGGAGAGAAGTGCTTTAAAAGGGTAAGTCTGTCCTTGAGTTAAGAAAGCCATCCAACCTGAACTTATATATATATATATATATATCTGTTTCCATAGCATTAAGCGACTTGGACCATTACTACTCCCCCATTGATGGGATAAAAGTACATTGCAAGGTTACCTCCCAGCATTTCATCAGGCTTCCCTGACAACTTGCCACCACCCATTTACACTCTTCAGTAGAAAGAGGTGCCATCAGAGTAAAGTGTCTTACTCAAGAATACAACATAATGACCTGGCTAGGTCTTGAACCCAGACCTCTTGACATGGGGTTCAGTAAACTAATGGTTAGGCCATCACAGCAACCACAAAACCCTCTAATATTTATTTCTGTTCTCATAATGCAATACAGCTTAGTGTGACAGACTGGTTCTGGTAAGGGTTATTCTGATGTGATTTTCACCTTAAGTACTCCAAAATACAGATGACAACAGCATAACATTCTTGCAGGAAGGGGGAGGAAGGGGGGAGGAAGGGGGGAGGAAGGAGAGAGGAAGGGGGAGGAAGGGGGAGGAAGGAGGAGAGAGGAAGGGGAGGAAGAAGGAGAGAGGAAGGGGAGGAAGAAGGAGAGAGGAAGGGGAGGAAGAAGAGACGAAGGGGGAGGAAGAAGAGATGAAAGGGGAGGAAGAAGGGGAGGAAGGGGGGAGGAAGAAGAGAGGAAGGGAGGGGGAGGAGGGGGGAGGAAGAAGGAGGAAGGGAGGAAGGGGAGGAAGGAGAGAGGAAGGGGAGGAAGAAGAGACGAAGGGGGAGGAAGAAGAGATGAAAGGGGGCAGAAGGAGAGAGGAAGGGAAGGAAGAAGAGAGGATGGGGAGGAAGGGGGAGGGGGGGGAGGAAGGGGGGAGGGGGGAAGAAGGGGAGGAGGGGGGAGGAAGGAGAGAGGAAGGGGGGGGGGGAGGAAGGGGAGAGGAAGGAAGGAAGGGAGGAAGGAGAGAGGAAGGGGGGAAGGAAGGGAGGAGGAAGGATCAAGGAGTAAAAGGCCAGGGTGAGGATGCCAATATGGAAATAAATTGCTCAAATATCATTTTGAGATAAAGAATGCCACAGACCCAGAAACCTTGTAACAGCCTACGTTTTATTGAAAGTTAAACTAATGACTTCCCCTTCCAATAAGAGCAATATATTTAAAAGATGTGAGTAACATCTCACCTTTAGGACATTTCCACGATGAAGAAGCTTTCGCATTACACGTGCTATGTGGAAATTAAAGGCCAGAAAATGAATTATCATAATTCATACAAGGCAAGAACATAGGTTCTTCCTGTCTTTCCAAAGCAGCTATGTAGGATTATCAACATTACCAAACATGTAAATGATATATGGAGTCTCGGTCCACTTTTAACATCACTGCTGCTAAAAATGTAGGCTTCTCCAAATCAATTTGAGGTGTTTATTAAACAGCTTGACAGGATTCTGAGTGAGTCAAGCTTTAATACAAGTAATAAACACCAGCAAAGTACATTTAGCTGATCAATAGAGATTTTCTACCATGAAAATTGTTGGCTTATCTAGTTTCCATGGCCTAAAATGGAAGAAGACAGTGAAATTCTCTTTGTTTAAGTCTTACCATGGTAAAGCTATAGATTTTTAGACAGGATATGAATTCAAATTTTTTTCCAAAAAAAAAAAAGAACCAAATTATCACCTCTCCTTGGGTAGAAGGAAAACTCTTAATAGTGAATTAGAGCTATACTAATTAGAGGAAATGTAAACAAAAGATATAATAGGATTACTTAAATCACTGCGGAATTTCGGACTAAATGGACATATGGCTGATTGAATTTTTTGTTTGGCGTTTAGAGACCTACTGAAAATATAATGTTATGGATTTCAAAGTTTAATTTTGTATCAACGTCAAACAAATCAGCATATTTACCAATACTGTTGAACTGCCATCGCCTTTGGATTAACTCGGGAAGATAGCGCAATATTCTCTGTTCAATAATAATAATAATAAGCCATTACTTCAAAGGCAACATGAAAACGAACTTGACTGTAAGCATTTTGATATCAGTTGCAGGCAAGCCATAAACAAGCTTATGTTTATCACAAACTTAATGAAACATTCTGAAAGCTCGGCATCGCTAGAATTACATTGCTGTGATTCATAAATACATAAACGTTATCATGAACAAATTTAAGCTAGTGACAAATATGTTTAGAATCCCTCCGTCGTACCTCTAAAATGAAGAGAACCGAATCGAGGTCTCCCGCTTGCGATTTGTGGCCTAAAAAAATAAACAGAAAAATGAGAAGCTTGCGCTCTACATTTACACGGTCACAAAACTGACAGTCTAATTAGTCGTTTGCAACTCGACTCTACCTACGAGCTCTAATAACCAAAACATTCATCTTGACCAATTGCAGGACTCTCAGGCACACCGCTGTAATATTGTGTCCAATATCTACACAAAAGGACAAGTCTGGTGAAATTTCTTTCAAAAATACTGACCTTTAGTCTTGAGGTTCGTCTCAACCATGGAAAATACATCGTGAAATACGTAGAATATTTCCGAGTAATGGCTTTTGAAAAATATCCTCGAGTCAGACGGATCAAAGTAATCTGAGGGAAAATTGCAAACGCAAATTAATTGAATGACGCTATGCATGCAGATCTAAAGCAGTATTAGAAATTTTCACCAGTTTGCAGGATGAAAGATCGCTCGCACCTAACAGAGTTCGTAAAGCCCGTAGCCGACTTTGGCTTTCCTTTTTGGGATCTATAAATCTTTGCGTAGTTTTCTTGATATCCGGATGGGCTCTCCCTTTATGGAACATATTTGTGTCCCACACATCGAGATGAAATTGGAGAAAGTATCACCAGTAACCTCTCGAAGTTCATTCATGACGCGGCAGCCATGTTCATTTCCACTTCCAGATGGTTACAGATCTGCGCATGTGTTACATTGTCAAAATATTTACTTACCGGGATGGGGCGGGTGTATCCTGTTGATTCGAAATCCGAACAAAAAATTGGACAAAAAAAATGTTTTGGGGGGATGAAAAAAGATAACTTGATAATTTAAAGTCAAATGCTGTATACACAGGATGAGAAAATAAAGACGAATATGCATATATTCCAACAGAGCAACGAGCAAGATTTTCATTGATAGATAACTCTGTAATGTATTTTTTTCGGACGACTTCTAGACGTAGTGTTAAAAAAATAAGAAATCATGTCAATAGCGTGAAAAAGTTTCAAGCTTTGAGATCACCAAACCTGCCGAAACTGACGACAAGGTCCCGAAACTATCCCGAAGGAGACCCGACATCGTCCCACGAGACTTTCAAATCTCCCGCCTTCTATGCGCGCGCATTAGCACGAGGTGAGCTCAACGTAGCCATTTGAATTGCTGAAAGTTCAGAGCCTTTTTGCTGTTTCTCTGTTACCTTGGCTCTGTTTGGGCGAACGAAAATAACAACCAAGAATGCCTGCAAGGAAACGCCAGATAAGCAAAAGAAAGGCAGAGGAGCCGACGAAAGAAGCAGTCAACAAGAAGAAAGAGAAGCGAGGTCAGCATTTCTTACTAAACGTGCACCTATTACTTGTGTTGCCAGGATCAACCTTTGTCTGTTCCTGGTTTCGTTAATTTGATGCTTCTTTGACCTGTAGAGCTAACTACATATCATCTGTTGGAATTTAAATAACTGAATTCAAATTGCTTCGCATTTTTAAAGCTTACACAGCATAAAGATTTCGGATCATGTTCACTGTAGGTACTCGTGACCGATATAGCGGTCGATATATCGGTCGAGAGTTGGTCGATACTCGACCGATATGTCGGTCGACAGTCGGTTGACAGTCGGTCGACAGTCGGTTGACAGTTGGTCGACAGTTGGCCGATAGTCGGTCGATAGTCGGTCGATAGTCGGTCGATAGTCGGTCGATAGTCGGTCGATAGTTAGTCAATATAGCGACCAACTATTGGCCGAGTGTCAGTCAATATACCAACTGTGGGTGGTATATCAGTCGGTTGTCGGTCGAATATCAGTGTTGAGTATCAATCAAGTGTATTAATTCATAATAGTAATTGTACTGAGTGGAGTGCAATTTGGGCTGAAATTATACATGTGATTTCAAATTCAAATTAGCACACAGCACAAGTTCAATTTGAAATCACAAGTATGATTTCAGACCAAAATTGCACGACACAAGGTTCAATTACCAGTTTATTACATCCATTTTGAAATTACCTAAGTACAGGACTTGGCCAGTTCAAATGTTTTATTGATGCAGTACTGAGCCAGTCTGAAATTAAATTCATGTCCATTTTTTTGGGGGAAAAGTAAGAGTTAAGAAACAAAAGTTGCAAAATTTGCCACATGATACTCTTTGTTTTTCATTTTCCTGCAATTTGATCAGTTACGTTAAACAAGCCTTAAAATCTGATTGGTTATTTTGTTTTTAGTGTAGCCTTGTCCTCATTGGCTGGGAAAAAGATGCGATCAAAAGCAAAAAATGCTGCATTTCTTTAACAAATCGCATCAGTTAGGGCCAATCAGATTACGGGGACCACCAGTGATTTCAAAATGGGTGTAATAAAGCAGTCCAATGGCTTCCTTTTTAAGCAATGATGTCATCAACTAATGCTATCATGTGATGGGGGAAAATGTTTTGGTGTGTGGCTAGACAAGCAGTCTCTCTTTTGCTCAAAAATCCATAGGGAAGAATGCAAAACAAGTTAGTGTGTGTGTGTTAGTCAAGTAGTGTTACTCAAGTAGTCTGTGGACTGTGTGTTGACCATCAACCGAGAGTCTATCAACTATCAACCAATACTCGGTGAATTGTCAGCAAGGTATTGGTGAAGTATCCGCAAAGTATCAGTGAACTAAAAGCTATATCGACCAACTGTTGACTGAGTATTGATCAACAGGCAACCAATGTATTGCTCGAGAGTACCAACAGTAAACAAGATCCAAAATGTCATGTGTGGCAAAAATGTATATTTTTTTTAAGTATGAGAAACAGCACTGTATACTGAATCCTACAATAGAGCCTTGGTTTTCTTTAAACCATCTTATATAGAGAGCATAAGATTTTTTTCTGTTTTTGATCACAGATATTAAAGTTATTATTATTTGAGCAATAACTCTGTTTTATTACAGAGGCTGCAAGAGTTGACCTTAGAGAAACTGGGCATGTTTTGACACTTGGGCAGGGTGATGTGGGGCAGTTGGGTTTAGGTGAAGAAATCTTGGAAAGAAAGAAACCAGCCATTGTGAAAGGACTTGATGGTCTGGAAATTGTGCAAGTGGAATGTGGAGGAATGCACACTGTAGCTCTCACAAGCAGTGGAAAGGTGATATCATGTTTCATGATTTATCAACAGTGCTATCCTGACCTTTTCAAGCCCCTCTCTAATGTCTAATTTCTCCTTGCATTATCACTGCTGAATTAAACATTAGGGTAATGAGAATTGAAGAAATGATTACTTGTCATTACTGAAGGAAATGTATAGGGAACAGTACAGAGAATATGCAAAGTGATGCAAGGGTGTTATGGGTTTAGATGGCATTTGGTGAATTGATTTCTGGGCATTTAGGAGTAACCACTTTGGGAGTTAAACAATTAATAATGGTAATAGCACTGAGTGGAGTCCAATTTGGTCTGTTATCATACCAGTGATTAACAAAATTGGATGGCCGCAAAGCAGGAGTCCAATTTGTCAATCATGAGTATGCTTGCAGACAGAATTGGATGACATGAAGTCCTGTTACCGTGTATAAGTCAACCCCCATTTTCAAGGTCAAAAATCAGATTTTTCATAATTTCTAGTCAAAAAGGTAAAATTCAGACATAGGAATTTCCCAAAAAGATAATCTCTTATTTCTGAGAATGTATTGAAAACACAGGGAATTCAAAAGCTTGCAGAACAAACTTTAACCGTGTGCTGTGAAGTTTTTTAGCACTTGTTTATATCACCACAATTTAAACATACATCAGCACTTTGATTTATTGGAGAAGTATCTTACCATATTTTGTAATTCACATTGAAAATGAAATCTTCTTGCATTTAACTAACCTCTATCTTAATGTTGAGTTTGAAAGGAGATTAAGTAGAATTACAGAACACTGAAGAGCTTTGAGGGATCACGTGTAACAAGCAGGACTGCTTGAGACAACAGCATTTGCCAGAAATCTTACAGATTTGTTACAGATTTGCCAGAAATTTATAGCTCGGCACCATAGACAGCAGCAAAGCTGCAAGAAAAAATGTATGCCCTACAGTCCAAGGACACAGTAGAAATCAGCTCCAGTAACTTTGTGTTCAGCCACTTAAAATTTATTATTTAAAACTTTTTTGTTGATGAAGAATGCACTGAAAAGGGACAAAACTCAAACACAGTTAGAACTGGTTTTATAAGCTTGGTTTTTCTAACCAACCTCAGGAAATTGTTATGCTAATTTCTTGGATTGCTTGGGTCAGGTCTTTGTGTATGACTCGTGTATAAGTTGAGGGTGATTTTTTGGGCTGACTTTGTGGTCATTAAAGATCAACTTATACACAAGTAAATATGGTAATCATAACCATTACAATTTCTGAAAAAAATATATATTTATGACAAACATCTCCAGTAGGAAAAATGTTTAAAGCAAAAAAATTGGGAAATCTCCCATTTTTTTTTTTTTTTTTTTTTTTTTAAGGGGAAGTGGTTGTTGCTATGGTTATTGTGATCAATTCTGTGATTGGTGGATTGAGCTGAGTGGACCTAGTATGATTGGCTGCTTCAACTGTGCAATTACAGGTGTCTGATTACAGGCAACTGTCCAATTACAACTGTACAAAGTGATTAGTGAAATATAAAGCAGCTGATGCACCAATCACATGTGAGGAAATTGTAATGGTATAGCTTCCTACTACACTTCTTAATAACAACTCTGTACTCATCAACAAAGAAATGGATTATGTTGGGAGAATAATTGTACAGATCTTGAGGGTGAAAGTTGAAAAGTTAAAATGATTTCTGTTTTCTTACACAGGTTTATACCTGGGGTTGTAATGATGAGGGCGCATTAGGCCATGTTACTTCAAGTGAGAATGGTGAAGAGTTTACTGCTGGTCTAGTGAAAGATATAGAAAGTGTAAATGTTGTCATGGTGTCAGCAGGTGACAGTCATACAATGGCATTGTCCGACGAAGGAATAGTATATGGTTGGGGGACATACAGGGTAATTATCAGAAATAAATTTATTTAAATATGAATGGACCTTGATGCCCCATGAAGAAGAGTGATTGAATTGAATCAAACAAAACTTGTAAGTTGTTATTTTTTACTAAATGTCACAGTGTTACATATTCTGTTGGAGGACTTTTATGAACCCAGTACTTGTAGGCAGCAAAGTTATTTGTTCATTGTTAAGCTGTTTTGTTTTTGTTGTGGGCAGTTTTAAACATGCAGGTGATCATCATCTTGAAGTTGATAAAATAGATAAACAACTGTTTCATATTTTTAAAGTTTGTTGCTTCAAGTACAAGTCTTTCATTAACTGAAGTTTCAGGTCTACATTTAACTGACATGGTCACCAATTTCCAAGCTGTTACAGGAGAAAGTCAGAGGCATTGGCTTTCCAACTTGTATGGTCTGTCTCTTTCCCTAGATGTTCCCATATTGTGTCTTGAAAAACTAATTCCTGTTTAAAAGGCTTTGTATGAGTCACTTTGAAAGTGGAATCAACAAATCCTACTTGATGGTACTTGGGGCATTTTTCTCTGTCCCTCAATTCTATCTTTGTTGTTTTAAGTTATAACATCATGGTAATTGCCATAATGATTTGAATTCATGTGTAGGATGCAAGTGGACAAGTTGGTCTGCAGGCAGATGGTATCAAACACAAGCCTACAGTTATCCTATCCCTCAAGAGCAACCCCATTATCAAAGTAGCATCTGGGAATGACCATACAGTTGCATTGACAAAGGAAGGAAATATTTTCACTTGGGGCTGTGCAGAACAAGGCCAATTGGGAAGAATAATGGGATGCTTTACTAGCCGTGGGGGGCGTAGGGGTTTGCAGTACATCTTAAACCCAAAACAAGTTCGTGACAAGAAAAAACTGAAATTTAAAGACATTTTCTGTGGTAGCTACTCCACATTTGCTGTTTCTCAAGATGGTGGGGTATATGCATGGGGACTAAACAACTATGGGCAGCTAGGAACTGGAGATCTTGAAACTCTTTATGCTCCAACAAAGGTGGAAGCACTTACATCCTTAAACTCAGACAATGACAAGTGTGTCAGTATAGCCAGCGGTCAGCACCACACAATTGTTCTGGACTCAAGCGGCAAAGTGTATGCAATGGGAAGAGCAGAATATGGAAGACTTGGTTTGGGTGAAGATGCTAAGGAAACCACCTCCCCAGTTTTAGTTGCTGCATTAGAATGGAACCCTATTTGCAAGATTGCTTGTGGTGAAGCTGTCAGCTTGGCTGTCTCAAGCAAGGGAGATTTATATTCATGGGGTTTTGGAAGTTGCCTTCAGCTGGGTAAAGGAGAGGACGAGGATGAATATTCGCCAGTGAAAGTGGAAGGGAAGAACTTGCAGTCTGAACATCATGAGGTGTTGGGGGTTTCTGCTGGAGGACAGCATACAGCTTTACTAGTTAAAGACAGGAAACAATGAAATGACGCTAATTCTCTGTAAAAAACATGAATCTGTGTGGCAGATTTGAGGAATGTGGCACTGAAGTGGCACAAAAATTTAATCACCATTATTTTCTTTGCAAAACATCTTTTTACTTTGCTTTTTCTTTTTTAGGACAAATGAAGTAACCCATTAGGCAGTGGTAACTGTCTTAGTTTTGGCTAAGAGTTAGTAATGTTCATTATTGAACAAGCTTAATTTGTCATTTCTCTAGTTCACCTGTATCAGCAGGGTAAACTTGATTTGGATGAGATAGTGCAATAGCTTTTAATAATACTTAATAAAATAAATTCAAACAATCTGTCATACCTTCTTTTCATCTCTAACAAATAAATGACATCAAAAGAAGGCTCCTGTATGAAACTCAATGATTTGTATTCTTAAATTAATTGTGCATCAAAAGGAGTTCAATATTGTTTTTTTACTTTTTTATTTTCTCTTTCTTTATTTCCATTTTATTTAGCTTATTTGTTATATTAAGACTGGTATTCAAATTTGTCTCTCTGAGATGCATTATTTATCCAGACATTGATGTAAGAATCAGTTCGAAAATACCTATTTTCTGTCTTTGACAACAAGTGGAAAAGTCATTCAAAATGGTCTGACAGCTGATGGGTTTCTGCCTTGTACCTGCTCCTAGTGACAACCCTGCTTGGAAGAGAGAGGGTTAACGAAAAAAACATTGCTTTTCAGGTCAGACTGACCATTTTTGTGCAATGTAAATCAGCTAAGAAGGGTTTTTTGCAAACTAATGTTGGTATTCATTTTAAGCACTTTGGCATGAGAGTTTCTTCACCTGCTGGAAAGTATGAAGCATTGATCAACATGAGTTAGTCAAGCAGTCATTATTAGTGCCAGGCCCCTAACAAACCTCTCCCCAACTTGTCTCAAATCTTTGCATCTTGCAGTGATTCTAATTAGGGCCTGTTTGGAGGCTAGCTTGTACAATGTAAATTTGACTGTACAGGATGCCCAAATTTTAGGTCCTTCCCTTAAAGCCAATGAAAACCTCATGAAATGGAACTTGCTCTAAGGACTCTGACTTGGCCCCTGAACTTTACTGTCTTTGAATTGATCTATTTTCTTTTTTTCATTACAAATCTGTTCTTTATATCCATGGACTCCCTCAGCATCTATGTAGTAGAAACAAGATGTGCTTGGAAGGTGAGGTGCAAAGACAATCTGCAGATATCTCTTGATCACAGGGTTCCTTTCCTGTGGGTTAAAATACATATGTAAGAAAAAAATTTGCCTTAAGCTGGTATTTTACCATTTCAAAGACTTTGTCTCCTTTGCAGTTGTTGTTTGGTCTTGTCACAACACATGCTCTTTCCCCCTTTACAAAACAACTGCTGCAAAGTAGACAGAGAGAAAATTTCTCATTTTGAGGTGGTAGAAATGATTTTGATAAAACCAAGGGCTTACACCATCATTGTGTTGTATCAGTTGCTCTGTGCGTGACAGCATCAGTCTTGTAGTTACCATACTTGACCAAGCTAGTCCAAGGGCTGGAATAACAGTTTTATTTCTAATTCTTGAGCTGATGAAAGGAAAATCAGATCATAATGAGGGAATTTTAAGATGGTAGAATTCTCCCCTTTGCAGCAATAATTTAGTATTATCTCCATCTGTCTAAAGAAATTACAGTGGCATAAAAACATCACTTTTAAGAACAAAGGTCTTTTGAAGTTATTTCTATTTTTGAAATTTGGTGAAGTTGTTTAGAACAAATTTATTCAATACAAATTTGTGAGCACTATTCTTACAAAAACCATTAGTTGGCTGAACTCGGGTCAATTGGTATATTTCCATTTAATCAATGGATACAGAAAAATGCAAAGACATGATGAAATAAAGATCATACCTGTTCCCCTCAGTTTGAATTACATCAGAGACCTAAATAGAAGGAATGAAAATGATTAATTACATGAAATATGAATCACTGAATAAATATTTCATTTCCATGTAATGTCATTTCCTCTAGGATGCAACACCAAATTCTCAAAACTAGACAGCAAGAAATATGTTGTCACTAGTTAGAAGAATTTTCCTTCAAATCTGAGGGTTTTTTAAAAATGTTGACTAACTTGTCAGTAAGAGGCAAAAAATGTAAGAAAAAGTATGGCTGAAATACAAACCTGATTTACACACACCACTGGAATAGAGTGAAGATGACTGAGTTTTTGAAGCTGTGCACCAAAAGATCTTAAAACCTTTGCCCTCTTGGAAGTTTCTCCAAGTGAATACTCCACACGAAAAAGTGCTGTAATGGAGTCAATAATCACAAGCTTGATAGCTCCTTTGTTCAGCAGCAATGGCAGGCGATGTGTAATGATGTTTTGCAAGTCATCCTGTCAAATTGTGGTTCAAAATATGTACGTCACAGCTTTAATTTTTTATCTAATGTGTCTAAGCTTTATGTTCCTCTATTCACCTATACTGTTCTCCCAAGAATTAATGCCATATGCCAAGAAGTCTCCTGTCAACGTCAGCTTTGGAGCAATTGCACATCTACCCCTCCCCTAGCCCTACAAAAGTCAACTGATAACAAGGTCAGGTTAATGTTGGGTTAGGGGAGGGGTAGGTGAGCAGCTGCTCAGACACTGACATTGATCTGAAGTCTTGCACATATCAAAAGGTGAAAAAGATCAAAGATCAAATTCTTATCACCGGAACTTACCACATCAGCTGCATGTTCAATGAAAATGTTATCGCTGAGATTCAGTTTACAACTTGATGGATGAAGTACTTGACTCTTGGTGAAGCATTGTGTAAGCTGATGCAGTCTCTTGCTGGGGAAAACATCCTCAGTTGAAATGTAAACTGCACCTATTGTGAACAGAGACACTGTAATGGGTAAACTTGAATTGTAACGATGAAAAATTATAATACCGAATTTCCTTGAATAAGCATGTAGGTGCTTGTTTAAAATTTCATTTTAAGGCACTCATTGGAAGGATGCTTCATTGAACGGGGTGCTTCTTACTTCTCCTGTGCTGATTCTGCTTAAGCTTAAGCTTAAAAAGTTACAAAGTGATAGTGGAAAGAGGTTTTCCTTGTATTTAGAAAGTGAGGGAGGAGGGAGGGGGCACTTATTCTAGCAGGGGGAGGTACTAGTTTGACATTATCTAGGGGCAAGGCACTTTTTTGGGGAAATATAGTAATAGCAAGGAACAATTCATCCTAAGCTTCTCTTAAAATTGACTGATAGAGAACTTAAGTGATGGAGTAGAAAGAATTATGAGAAAGAAGGTCATCAAGAATGAAGATGAAGGGTTGAAAAATCTTAGTCACAGTTGCTGATAAAACAAATGTGATCATTTTTGGAAGCTAAATAATAAAAAATATTTTAGACATATTACATTGATCAAACCAAGTACTATACAGCCAACAGAATTATTAAAGGATGGAGAAAAAAAAAACTAACCTCCTCCAAGACCACCTTCTTTGTGAGGTAACTGAACTGACATGCAAAGTTGAAGGCAAACTTGTGTTTTACCAGAGGAGCTAACTCCTGTAATCTCTGTGATGCCTTCACTCAGGATGCCCCCATGCAAGAAACCATCTAATATTTGGCACCCTAGAGACAATCTGTGTCCTTGTGAATTTTTATAAAGTGACAAAGCAGTTCTCATGGGTGGACAAGGAAGTGAAAGTGAAACAGCTTTAAGAAGAACAGAGACATCAAAGGAAGAAAGTTTTGTGACTCTTTCCAGATCTGCAGCTGACATACAGAGAATTGTGGTCTTGTTTGCTAACTTTGCTGAAATTAGAGTTGTAAACAGACTACTGTAAGTGAAAATGTCAAAATAAAAAAAAATTTAAAAAAAAAGCAATACTTGTCAGGCTGACTGATGAACTGATTGATTGTCTGATCAATGGGCTGACAAAGTGACTAACTGATCGAGTGACTAGCTGTCTGACAGGCTGATTAGCAGACTGACAGGCTGATTAGCTGACTGATTGTCTAATAGTCTGTCTGACTGACTGTCTGATTTACTAACTCACAAACTGTCTGACTAACTGACTGACCTATTAAAAAGAACCAACAAATGAGTGAATGAAAGAACAAAATCAGTATACAACTTCTGCGTAATCGCAACAAAGAATTATTTTTTTCATGGTCACTTCTAATTAAAGTAGAGACTTCTCGAGCTTTGCATCGTAAAAATAGCGCTACCTTCTCTTCATACAGCCCTGGTAAAATAGGATGGTTTTTCTTGATCTAGGAAAACTACTAAAATTCACTTTTAAAAAAAATCCTAATAAAGAGCTGTTCATACAATTCAGTTTTAAGGCCTCTTGATTTTAAGATAAGGTTACGTATTATACTAAGCAAGATAGAAAACAAAATTTCCAAATCGCTCTGGTTCTTACTCTTTTTTAGCGCTGATATTATCCGAGGATGAACATCCAGTCTTTCTATATTATTCATTATGGATTCCTTTTCCCTTAAATTGAAATGGACTTTAGTTTGTGGGCATGGATGAAAAGCTTACATGTTTAAAACGAGCGCCTTGCCGCCATAACCTCTCGCAGGGATTTGTGGGATTGGTGTAGTTACCAGGTCCCGGTTGTTCCAAGCTTGGGTGCTATCCACTGGATGAAACTCTAGACGGTGGATAACGTTATACGTGTTATTAGGGACCCTAAGCAGTCAGGACGGCAACGCCAAGGAAGAACATTTTCAAATTTTCCCGTCGCCGACTGAGGCAGCCGCAAAGGGTGTAACGTAAGCCGCCAAATAAAACTCAGTCGATACAAATATTTTTTAGAGCTTTTTTTTTATCAGACAATTATTTGATGAAGCTTAAATTATGAAGATCCTTAAATCAACGAAATAGCAAGTTCACCCTATCGACGCTAGATTGTTTTTTCTTCCCTCTTGGGGAAGATCAGGAGTCCACCTCCTGAAAAGATGCGAGGTTTCTGTTCATCCCACCCCACGCCCCCCATCGTCCTCCTGTTCAAATTAATTATAGGGGTGCTATATGTGTTACTGACGGCCTGTTCATACATCGAAGGTAAGGGGAGGGGAAAGAATGGAGTTTGAGTGTCTTTGAGTCATTTTATCTTAGCATGCAAGTAACTATTGGAGTTTACATCAGTTTTCTTCTCAAGGAAAAAGAATATTTCGCTACGTCACCCCCCTCCCTTCCTCTCCCATCAAGAGCGAAAGTACATGTAGAGCGGTTAGCCTTCTGGTATTTTCCTTGAGAAAGTTATTTAATTTCTCTTAAAGGAGCCGCAGGTAAGGTAGCGCTGCCTCTAAGCAAGTATCGTAATCATTTTGAGGTAGAGGCGATCGTGGGGGTACATAGAACTTTCAAGTTGGCCAGAAGTAATTCCCTTGTAGTTTACAGGGTCTGTTTCCCTTGTAGTTTACAGCATTATTAGGGAAATCAAGAAGGAGAAAAAAGGAGAAAAAAGTTTGCAAGAACGCCAAAAAATACAAACACAAACATATGATGGATCAAAACTGTCCTGATACTTGTTCTTGTGCTGTGTCAATATCAATAATGATTTTATCGTCGATATTACGCGACGCATAGCCTTGCTTTCTCACGCGATTTGTCCATTTTGTCCCTTATATTAGCTTGGGATCAAAATTATTTTACTTTTGAAATCAACTTTGAAATTAATTGATGGTCAGAGATTGGTTGTAATTGAGCAGCCATGCAAAACAACTCTTTAATATAGCAGATTTGTGGCTTGTCTCGTGTACGCAAAGTCCTTATCTTGAAGTCGGCACTTGTTACCAAAACAACCACCCACTGATGAAAGATTTTATGTTGTTTAAATTTAGAGTGTTTAGAAATAGTAAGAATAATCGACTTTCACTTACTCGAGCATATTACTCAGAAAGTGGAATGAGGTGATAAAGAGGCTTGATGGCAAATTTTCAAACAAATATTAGCAGCGTATTTGTGTCTCAAATTCATGTGTGTTATTGTTTGAACACATTCACGCCTTTGAGTTAAGACTACAAGCTCGCCCGCCCCTTTTCAGTTGGAGACCGACGAACTTTCCTTTGTCTCAGTCTATTTATGTAGCGGTAGTTATACCTCTTTGCATAAGTTAGATTCCAGCATTATCTTATTTCAATCATTTTCGAGATTAACTTTTCAAAGGGATCATCTGCTAACGAAATCGACCAATATGTGAGGCCTAATTTCATCAACGCTGTTTTCACTGCTCACAGCTCGCTTTCCGTCGTTTTCTTTCGAACAGGTCAGAAAGCTTTGTGGGGTCTTTTTTCCCCTGTTCATCCACCAGCTCGTCTTGAGTACGGTGAAACCGCCAACAAGCCACCTGCATTGTCAGGTGACCTCGGATCAGATATTGACTTGCTAAGCGGGTGGTAAATTGCTTATTGACCGAGTCCTACTAGTCAGGCGTGGCAAGGTGATGTAGTCTAGCGGCGTTTACTATTCAAGGAGAGCCGGTTTCTCCGACACTCGTGCATTATATACCGTATGATCGCGCAAATTCTCGCAAGAAGGGCAGATGGATTATCGTGTTAACCAATATCGCAATATATAAAGTTAAGTTTTGAGGGGAGCGTCCCTGGGAACTAGGTTGGAGGTCTGGCAAATAATAATAATTAAAACTCTTATTGCGTAATAAAAGAAGAAAAGCATGTGCTAATCTGTCTCATAATGACAGACAAGAGGGTGAGGTTCTGTATTCGACCAAAGAAAAATCATCCATCGTAATTAAAGGTTCCTCAAATTCTTAGCTTTGTCCTCTAATGTTCCTGATCGATGGGAAACCGAGAAACGGAATCCAAGGGAATCGAAATTGATCGCCTTTCTGTTAGAAGGGTTTGAAAGTCTTAAAAAGATACAATTGATCTCAAGGGAATTATAAAATATTTCGTGGTTCTTAAAATAAATTATCCATATGTTAAGCCGAAATTTTAATGGCCATATCGCTCTCAAACCAGAGGCAATATTTCCACATTCCTGTATCATTAATAGGTTTCCTCGACGCAATCAAGTGCTTTTCAAGAGTCGTCTCTTCTCGGCACGAAACTGTTGAATTTATTTTCTTAATTCAACAAAAGGTGACACAGCCGGAAGCGATTACAGGTACATAAAAGACTATGAAAACTAAATAGGATTAGTCTTTATTGTCGTTTGAACAATTCGCATAGATGTAATTTTTTGTAAATTATTTCCCATAGTAACAGAGCTTATGTCGCCCACATGATTGGATTAACCGCTTCATTGCCTTGAGCTATAGTCACATCTCGGCAGATGTGTCACGCTCTATTGTAAGGGTCACGCAAACCATCAAAGTATGATCAACGTTTGCCTACACTTGCCAATATAAATATGTTCCTTCGTCGGTCAAGCAGACAAAAGATACTGTCATAGTTTTTCCGTATAATCAGTCATAAAGACATGATAACTACCCTTTATACCACCTACACTGAGGAACCACGCGCAAGGGTGAGTCAACAGGCAAATTATTTGACATCATTACATAGTATAAAGCCACATTTGGTTGTTCAGCCGGCTGTGAAACTCCAACCAACATGTGTTGTCATCCATATTAATAATTGGACTTGTTTTTGAAGGACGCAAGCACAAAAACGGCGGTCGACGCGGAAAGTCGCAGGAAAATGGTGAGTTTGTCCGTTTTATTTCTATTTCTGGGTTGCCTAAACCGCATCTAGCTGTTTTCGGCCCACCACGACTAAGAGTAAATTGATCGAGAAAAAAAAAGTCCCTAATCTACCCCCTTCGGTTTTGTGCTTTCGCATGAATCCTCGCTGATAATTGCGCGGTAAAATGCTCACAAATTATATGACTGCAAAAATCCCCAAACTCATGATGTTTATGGAATTCTGAAATATTCGGTCTCCCAGAAAGAGAAAGTAATCAGAAAATTCTGTGGCGAAAAGTTTGACGCTTCCGATCCTGTCTTGGCGCGAGTATAGGATTATACTATGCTACACTACTATCGTAATGAGGGTAAATCAAGGACTACTTAACACATATTTATCAACTGTTTATATCCATACACACAAGCGAAGTTTATAATCACTGCTTCAAATTAAAGACTACTGCTGAAGTTTCAAGTTTTGTGAAAGCGAAACTGTGTCTAAAAAAAGCCAAAAATGTAAGATTCCCGGAACGGAAGCTATGCGTAATATTCCAAAATCCTCGGCCTAAGCAAGGTCGCATCACGTCATATCAGCTGATTCCTTTCATATAGCGAACTTTTGACCTCGTACTATTGATCGCAATACATGGCGAATGAAAATGTTTCAGCATCAAAGGACAGAGTATATTAAGAATAAAAAGACAGTTCTCCGTTTTTAGCATCGAGCTCCTCAGCAGCATTTACTGTTCGTCGTGAGAAAGCGCTGTCTTTCGGCTGACTTGACATATTAGAGCTGCCCTTCCCAGAAACTGAACATAATTGATTTTACACAGTTTCCAGTTGAGTGACCTTAAATCGTCCGCCGTAAAACAGAGAAGCCAAACTCATTGATCTTTCATAGTCTCAATTTGCATTGTCTAAACTTGATCGGGTCGATTCATTTCCTTTGAGGAAATGAAAAAAAATCGTTGTACTTGTCCAAGATGTGCTCGGGTTCGCCGTCTTGAAGAGTCTCGCATTTACCGGCTACCGCCCACAAATCAAGAATTGAGTCGAAGATATCACGTACATGACCCGGAATTCTAAGAAACGAGAAATTGATGAAACCGTTCGCAACGAAGTCTTTCGCAAAGAAGAAAGAAATCATCTTGTTAGAGATGTTATGAGCTGACTGAGTTGGAGAGTGACCCCATAAATCAGACTGCTAATATAAAAGCGGATTTATCAAAGGACATAGAGGAGACAGTACTGTTCTTATTACCCAACACTGTAATATACTCGAACAGGAAAATGACGAGATATACTGGTAAGGAAAGGCGCGGGTACCAATCAAAACATCAGCCAAAGGGCTTGGAAGTAAGGTAGGAGTAAAAGATGGGAAGGAAGAAAGAACAGAGGCAACAGCTATTCAGACCTGTATTTCCGGTTTCTCCCGCATTATTCACCCACGCCAAAAAAAAAAATTATCAACTCCAATATGGACCTCAGTGGGCCTTTAATTGTGTAAGGCGTTAGTTGTATTGGCTTTGTGAAGATTAATAAAAGCCTCCCTTTTCCGATTACAAGAGTGTAGTTTTATCGTTAAGGGGAGAATAAATACAAAAATGTGGACACAATGAACGAATAATAATCATAAATAGGCTGGTTTTAGCAATGATAGTTCGACGGGGTGGCTGTGCTCCAATGCTTTCCACTTCGATTTGGAATATTTGGTGCTGGTATTCGAATCAAGGAGTTCAGCAACCCCTTCAAAGCGAGTGTTCTCTTCTGATTAATTGTTTACGCTACATGAACAAAAATAAAGTATTCCGCGATGTTTAAGCTTATCAGCCAAATATATTTTCTTAGGGAACAATCACAAAGAAATACCTGAAGGAAATAAAAACAAATAGAAGGATGAAATCAAACGAGCTTCAACTAAGCTTCTCGTAATCTGGTTTCAGCGTTCGTCCAAAATGTTGATCCTAGCAACGGCGGCTCAAAATTTTCACTTACTTCTCTTTGTTCTTTTGAAAACGGTGGAATGTAAAACAGGAAAAGAAGGATCAATGCAAACTTTTCTGGTGTTTAAAAAAAATCACTTGTTAAAAAATAATTAGAACAAAAGCAAGAGATAATCTCTTTGTAATCAACATGGCCAATTAAAAACTTGTCAATCACGAGTATCTAAATTAACGGTCTAAGAGGGAAGTAAAGGGCGAATTATAAATAACCATGACAGAGCCACTTTAATCAGGTTTGCCGCTTCTTTTGTCAGCATAAATAATATTTTGATGAATTACATAAATAATTTATTACTGAGTGCGTCTGTTTTCCGGCAATGCTCTGTAAACTGAAGATGAAGTTCATACATTAAATCATTCTAGCGTTTATTTTAAGGAAAGATTTACAGCAAATATAATTTGGTTGAAAAATAGCACAGCTTTTGCTAAACACATACAAATTGAACTGTAAAGCATAAGAAACGAAAAACTGGTTGCAGCTGGTACGTACTACATGCAAATGAGGTGGTGTTAAGCGCGGGAAAATTGAGCGAGATCCCAACACGTGATCACATTTTGACCTTGCTTTGATTGGTTTGTAGCTATTGCGTGCCTTATTTCAGCCAATCAGAAAAAAAACTCAGGAGAGGAAAGTGTACGCAGACTGCTGTGTGGATTTTTAACCGTTATTCAGTTCCAGCAGGTGAAAGGAGTGGATGCTATCAAAGTTGCATGTGGTTAAGATGACTTTCTATTCTCAAGTCGCAAACTCCTCAAACCTGTGTGAGTTGATTCCCTGTTGTTGAGGTAACAGGTGTTGTAGCCATCAACCCTGTTTGCATGTTTACCATGTAAGCAAATTATTTTATGCCGTTCTTAACCACAGTACATATGTTTAGAACACCGCAGTGACCACATTTTACATTAGCAAATAGCCTCCTCAAGATTAATATAGACATTGAGTTTTTATTGTTGCAAGTTTTCTCAAGAAGTGAAGTTCTTTTTAGATCGATCATTGAAAATGATTTTGTTGGTCTTTGGTCGAACTTCGTGAAATGTAAACGAGATATTGTCTTTCTCCATTCGGTCTATGATATAAGATTATGTCTCCCTCGATTGAGTTTAGCTAAAATGATTTAGTAATTTACCTGCGTGGTGATATCTTTTCCTCTAGAAAAAAATTTGAGCTGGAGAAAGAAGACATTCCTTCAATCTACAATCCAGATACAAAAGTGTGATTAGTTCACTCTTGTATGAAAACTGTTATCTTGAATTTTGATTAAAATCTGACAACAACCACTTTCCCCGGCGTTCTTTATATAATTGTGGGTTTCAAATCAATAAACCATGTCATAATTTCATTTAAAATAGCAAATTTAAAGCTATTTGTGTATTCTGTCTCGAAAGGTTTCTCCTCCGGAAAGTGTCCTATAGGACTTGCAACTGTCAGGAGAGATAAAAAAAATTGGAAGTGCGGAACGGAATCATACAACGACAGGAAAACTTCCTTTTATGTCATACGATATGAGGAAATAGAAAGAACCTCTTTCAACAAGATTTTTTGATCAAAAAGAAAAAAAATCGAAAAGTCAGTTCGGAATGTTAAGAAAATTAATTTTTTTTGTCCTTGGTATCTAGCTTGGCATTGTATTGATTTCAGTGACAGCCACAGGGGTTGCTGGGCAACAAATTGCCCGCAAGAGAGACGTTAATAGCTTTCCCTTTTACACTGATTCATATCATTTGTTTGACAAATAAAAGAGCAATATTTGATACTTATCGAGTCATTCGTTTCAAGAATGAACTGAGAATATGAATTTCCATCTATCTTTTAGTAATATTTTGACTTCAATCTCAGTTTTTTTCTCAGTGGGAGTTTCAAATTTCCGCTGATAAATGGCGAAACAAAAAGGAATATGACGACAGTAATGAAACGCGTAATATCATCGATAAACAACTGCAAAGAGGTGTCACGAAAGCTTAAATTGAAGAGAAGAGTATCGAATATCGAATCATATTTGAGAGCTATATGCCATAGTACATGATCACGTAACAGTGTGGTAGTTTTTACTCAGCTTTAATTCAGAACCTTCGATTAAAATTCTCTGTTTTTAAATTTCAAAATTAAATCTTTGACATTCGATCGCATTTGTCGTTTTCTTCTATTTCAAATATATAATTATTAAAAAAAGGCAATTCATGGAGAAATTACAATTTTCTACCTCCGATTTTGTAGAGAGGCTTTTGGAAACAAGAACAGATTTGCGTATCCCAGAAATCTCTGCCGGTTCTCTCTTACCACTGAGTCTACATGACAACGTATGCGTTCTCCTATCAGCTATAATCTTCCTGCAATTGTGATCATTGTTTTTGGTCGTAGACATGTTATGGGTGATCGAAATATTTTCTACTGCTCCATGACAAATTCTGGATCTATCTGTAAATCTGGTGCTTTCAGCATAGAGCGATAATCCTCCAAATCATCTATAAGCTAGACAAAAAATCTTACCGGAAATTTTGTCTGATTGGGAGTTATGTGGACATTAAGCTAAAATAACCTCACTTTACAGTTAACAAAGCCTTTCTTATTTCTTCAGATCCGTCAATGGTCGCATTAAATTTTGCGATGTCGTTCAGTGCGTGGGTTTTATATTGTAAATGGTTACTTTCTACACTGATATTTGACCGTGTTACTGTCAAACACTTCCCGCAGATGATTTCATCCGAATCGGCTGCATTTATATGTCTCCAGACATCTGACGCCAGCGGCGTTTGAGTTCTATTTTATACTTAGGAAATGTTTACCATTACTTCGTCGCGAACCGGGGCAAAACAAACAATTTTTAATTACGTAGAATTGAGTTATCACCAAGTTCTTTCCTCTTCTTTCTTCCTCAAGAGTTGTTTGGCTCATCTACGATTTAATTTTGGAATTTGCAACTCTGTTTTGTTTTGTTTTCTTTCTTTTTGTTATATTTTCTCTTCTCAAAAAGCTTAGTAGATTATCGCATTCTGTATCTTGTTTTCTTTGCATGATAAAGTTCTTCAAACTTTAAAAACATTTGTGTTCTGTGATTGTCGCTTTGTGAGTCTGGTCAGTAATAATTCAGCAACATTCTACCACGCGGGAGAAGAAGAAAATTGCCTATTTTCTGTTTTGTTGGTTTCTGTATCAATTGATAAGCTTGAGCCTGCAATGTTATTGAAGAATGTTATTGAGAAACAAAACGGTATCATGATCTTTATGATCACAGAGTTGCAGAGGCCATTCGCATGATATACCGCTGGCTTTCCTCTCGTTTTCTCTTCTAGCAGACTTCTGAATTGCGCTTTAGAGAGCTTTCCTATCAGACCGTCCTTTCACACATTGAGTACTTTCTGAGTGTAAACCTTTTAAAGCTCATATTGGTAGATTTCCAGTCCGATTTTGTGGTAGAACATGGTCCAGAAGTGTCACAAATAACTCTGGTTTAAACGCGAATGAAATCAGAATTTACTGACTCAATGTTTGTGCGCGATATGTTAATAAAAAGAAAACATCAACGAGTACTTTAATGGTGTAAGAATAGCACTGACACTTCCCCTGCACGAAAAGAAGAATGAAAATACTGACCAGACTTAATACCTTTTGACACAAGGAAGTACTTCAAAATCCACCGGTGATTATTTTATCTGAGATATATTAACATCTGTACCACGTACCACAGGTAGATAACAGAGCCGATGGCATAGGTCTTGACCAATGACAAGAGCGTTAAAATCGATGTCCTTCATTTCTTTCGGCATTAAGAGGCAGGATATTTAATAAAAAATATTTCATCATTCAAATGTTCTTAGAGACTGAAGTGCTATGACACGGTTTGGAGAAATGAAATTATCAAGCACAGCCTGAAATTTATTCTCTAAAAATTCAAGCTTTGTCAGGAGCCCATCCAAGTGATGGGCTCCTGGCTTTGTGTGGGACTTTTCTATCTTTTTTCTGAATGACCCACTTAAAATAATGTTAAAACTATTATCATTATAAATAAGTTCAAGAAAAAAATCATGAGCAAAACGAGTTCAATTCAGTTAACTTATATCACCTTTGAAAAGTGTCGACATAGTCTGATATTGGAACCAGGACAAAAACTAAATTACTCAGATCAGCTCGAGTCTCTGCAAGTTAAGCACCGTAATTGATCTTTAGAATTCTTTGCAAAGTGGATTTTCAGCTTCTGAGAAACGGAATGTGTGACTAGAATATTAATTTATATTAGTCCCGGCCCACGCTTTCCATTGTCTAATAGATTAAGATCAGTATCTAAAGTACTTTGGTTTACAGAATGGTCAAGAAGTACTTCTTCTGTAATTATCAAAAACTTAGTTGACAAATAAGGCTGCTCTACTGAACGACATTAGCTTCAAATGCTTTTGCATTTACCTCAGCACCTAAGGAGAATTATTTTGGTGGTTCTCTTAGACTCATCCTTCTCGTTCTGCTTAAGAATTTCCGCCGAAAGACTTTTGTTGAAAATTCATGTTAATTGAGAATATTCAGTACTAACCGCAAGAAGTCAAACAGACCAATATATACCCCACCGGAAATAGCAGATCATTTTAATAACCGCAAGACTAGATTATAACCATGTGAAACGCAGAGTGATTAGTAACCTTTATTAGGAAACTCAAATATTTAAAGGGATTTTGCTTGGTGGTCACAGTTATTTACTTTGTAGTGGGGACATGTGCTTCGTTAAGTTTTTAAAGGTCAAATTATTAATCTGTAATTCAATTCCACAACTAACCGATCAAGATTAAACAACACTCAGTTCAAAAAACCTTCAAGGTTTACCAAATGCCAACAGCATCTTTTTCAGTTTCGAGATCTGAAAAAGTCAGAAAGGTCAAAAATTTTAAAAGTAGGTGTGTAGAACTTAACATCCGAAACCAATAAACAAAAGTTTACATCCGTTCGAAGACTGAAGGGAGATATCTCAGGTTTTGTCGCCCATAGCTGGCCACGCCTATATACCCTTAACTTGAGCGCCCCCGAAATTAACTCATTGAATGGAAATCAACATTTCCTTCAAGGAAAAGGAGTGAACTTTTAGGAATTTCGAACAAGGCAGCTTTCTAGATTATCCTTTGTATTTCCCGCCTGTATCCGTAAGCCATACTATTTCGTTTCCGATTGAGTTGCTCCTGCCAGTCCTAATAATAAACCAATGAGCTTCATATGCCCAGCAAACTTTGGCCGAGGGGCGTGTGACGAGAGCCTGGGCCGGCTTCGTGCAGTGCGCAGAGGCCGTGGCACTTCACAATTTCCCGGCCTCCATGTTTGAACCCGAGACACTAACATTTGATTTTTGTGGTGTTTTGAGGAAAAGATTGCTGGAAAGACGGAATTAAAATACGGCAAGGCGGCAGCACGGCTTCGGGCGGGCTGAGAGCACTCTTTGCCCATGGAACATAGTGGCCCAGAGCGAACAAGGGTCCGTACTACAAAGGTGAAGTTCGAAAATTCTGGCTTGGTTTCGTCAAGACGCCGTATTTAAACAAGATAGACAGTTTTCGAGCACGGGGCATCGAGTCTTACGTGGTTTGCGGCCTTTTTTTGGTTGAATTCAAGTTGAAGTCTTCCTGTAATTTAATACAAGAGGCTTTTCTGGAATCGTTCGTCATTTCAGTAGAATTCATTGAGGCGGTTCGAAGCGAATCGAATAGAAACTTTCTTAGAATGTCGTTTCGTCCTCAGCGACAGTGTCATGGGCCAACTCCCGACAAGGTCCTCGATTGAGTCGCAATTTTTCGTCCGATTGTCAATTCATCGATCGCTATAGTCCTTGTTCTTGATCCTTTGATAGCTGGCGAAGGTATAATCCTTTATTTGCTGTCATTTTGATCTCTCTTTAGGTGCCCGATGGCCACAGTTCGTCATCCTCTAGCTCTAGAGCTGCTAGGAATCGCTCATCCACCTCGAGCGCGGAGGAAGTCCATATAGGCAAATATCGTTTGATAAAAACCATCGGTAAAGGGAATTTCGCCAAAGTAAAACTCGCTAAGCATGTGCCAACAGGAAAAGAGGTAAATAAGTTATCCTTCTCTATTTACAGTTGCAAATTTGGTTGTGGATTCTTCCGTTCGATCGGCTCTCTTATTTGCTCGCTGTGAGGGATAGTGTAATAATTAAACACAGACCGGTTCCAACGCCTTTTACTGAGTTGTATTTTTCCCCTTCTATAGGTGGCAATCAAGATTATCGACAAGACACAACTGAATCCGAACAGTTTGCAGAAGGTATGTCACAACTTCTTTAACGGCCAAATGATTTGTGTTCAGAAACGTGTGTCAGTTCCATTGAGTTTACCCTCGATTGTAGTTTGTCGCTTATCATTAGGTATTCGAAAGCACTGTTGAACCTTCGGTTTGTTTTGAAGAGAGCTTCAAACCCAGTAAGTTACGTTTCCGTACGGAAAAGTTTTAAATTTGTGGACTTAACTTTAGAAATCCACTGATGTGATCCAGACCTTATAGTGAATCCTGGGAATATTGTTGAAGTCGAAATCTTCGATTATTCTTCTTCGAGCGTTAGGTTATGTCAAGGGGGGAAAATATTCTGTATTCTAAACCGAAGTCTTCGTTTACATATTATTGTTAGTTGATGGAAATCTCTGCTTACCTTCGCATTAGAGTACTGTCGGGTATTATTTTCATATTTTCGTTTTTTTGCATTTTGATCGATGATTTTCAAAGTGAGGAACCAATGGCTGGTGAAAAACTGTTTCTAAAAGTGGACGTTTAGCCTTGGTTGTTTCTGCAAGATTACTTTATTTACACAATTTTCGCATGGAGTTACATTAGGACAAGATCGCTTAGTATCCAGGTGAAAATATCGCACCAAGAAAATCGAATATTGTGAGTGCAAAATTCTCAAATGATGGCGGATCCATACTTTCCTATGTCTGGACAAAGATTTGTTGTGATGCGAACTGAAAAATTCAGTCCGTAATCCATGTTGTGTTTTATTAATAAAGTGTTAGTCCATTTTGCATTGCACGTGATGGTAAGATTTTTTAGGCTGACTAATACGACTTAAACGCCAGCGAATAAAAAACGCGTTCTAAATCGCCACAGATTTAATTGTACTTTTTTCTGGATCGCTTGAAATCGCGTGCGCATTTTTCGAATTAATGGACGTAATTTCTTCTATAATGTGTATGGGATTGTATTGATAAAAATCCAATCGTTGTGTAGTGTTGTGTACAAACTCTGCGGTCAAGTAGCGATTTTGACGAAGGTTTTCGAGCGACATGTCGATGATATAATATTTTTTGTTGGTGCTCTATTGGAAATCCAGCTCTCTGCATGCGTCTTAGTAGGGCTATTTACGTCACAGTTGAAATGTTATAAAAGGTGTTGGAATTTTTTCCCCCCACGGCAGTTGAACCCCAGCTTGGCAGAGAGTAACGAGTTAGATTTGCATTTTTTGACTCACCGGCAATCCTCAGGGTTTAGTAGCAAATTTAGATGATTCTGAATATTTCTACTTCCTTTACTACTAAGTGTAGTAAAATGGAAACAATGTACTGCCATTTTATTCGACTCAAATGTCTTTGTACTTTCCAGGAGCTTAGGATATTCTTTATAGACAAAACAGGAATAATAGTATAATTGAACTTTAGTTCACAGGTGTACACTGTCTTGCCTTTTTCACAAGTGAATTCAGGAAACCAAAATTGTTGAAATATTTTCTCTCTGCTCTAAGTGATCTTGCGCTAGAATTTCTGGACAAATGTAGCATTGTTATGGTTACATAACCTTGCTCTCAAGTTATCATACCATCTGATACAGTCTCCTCATCAGTGCACAAGTTTGTGGACATCTGCCCCCTCTGTTTATCAAAACATATAACTACAATTGGGTTAAAAATCACACAGAGAGTCATGTGGATAATTTTGGTTGCTAGTCAAATTCATCCTCTTGGCTGCCATGTCTGTGAGGGAGGTTTTTTTTTTCCAACTATGACTCTGAGAATATTGATTAAAGAGGCTATTTCTTCTTCAAGCAATGATAATATTTTATAAATATTTGTTTTTTTTTTGCACATGTGTGGTAGTTATTTTCCTATGATGGACTCATTTGAAGAAATTTTGATTCAGTTATTTGGAATCTGTGAAGCATTTTTTTTTTAGCTGAAAATTCTTCTGCTCTTAATAACAATATTATTGTTAGTTGCACATTTTGTGGGTGTAATAATTGTTTTTCTCAACTACAGCATCAGGTATTGCTTTCTATATCAGATATAAGACAAGCACATTCAGGGAAAAGGGCCTAATCTGCAGCAAGATGTTGCTGAAAAGTTTTTTTTTTCCCTCCTGAAGCAATAACTTCATGTGCTGATGATTTACAGTATTGCCTTAATGACAGTGAAGAGATAACTACTAGTTAATGCAATGTGCCACTTGCATTATTTTGAATTGGAAATATTTCATTGGTATGGTAGTAAATTTAACAAGTGTCCTACATGTACACTGTATGCAGTAATTCACACAGAGAATAATTATTTTGTTGATGGGTAAGCCGTGTTTGAAGGATTTTCATTGCTGTGAACAATTACAATATTAAAAAAGAAAACAAGGAGACTGTTCCAATTTGAAGTGCTTGTATATTGATGTGTTTTTTGTATGAAACAGTATAAATATCATGCTATCCCTCCATTGTCGTATCCAGCTTAAAGCCATTTTTGTGTGTATATTTCCTTTTGAATATACATGCACATCTAGTTGAAGAAGTGTATATGTTTATTACAACTTTGGCTCTTATATGACCACCCACTTCACTGTTCAACTAAGCGATTGATTTATTAGTCATTTTGTGAACAGAGTAGCTGGTAGTCATGCAAAAAAAGCAAAATAGGATCAATCCATTTTGTCAACTAAGTCACTTGTTGCAATTTGATTGTGTACTTATTAATAACTAAATTGTTGTTAGACCAGAGGACAAACATATCCTAAAATTTTAGCTCTCCCCACATATAACTCTGTTAATATTTTAAAATCATATCAGTACTTATTTGATGATCTTTTTACAGTTGTTTCGAGAAGTCAGGATTATGAAGTTTCTTGATCATCCCAACATTGGTAAAGATGTTTGATTTCATTTATTCTGGGTGTGTTATTTCTTGATCTCTCTTCGTGTCCTGTTTTTGCCTGTTAATAATAAATTTCTTCTTTTATCATTACCACACAGTGAAGTTGTATGAGGTTATAGAAACAGACAAAACCCTGTACCTTGTAATGGAGTATGCAAGTGGAGGTATGGATGATGTTGTTTAAATAACAGTGTAAACAGAAAGATTATGATTGTAGCATGTTGCTGTAGAAACTGTCTTTGCCAACATCTCTGCATGTATTCATGATTCTCTTCACAAGGAATGCAAACTTGTTTCAGACCCAAAAAACTGCTCCCATCATGAATTTGTATTGGTTGCTTTCAATGAAGGGACACCTTTCCAGGGATTTTCCCCTCATTACTGTAATCAAACTATAACTAACTGTCTGTTTGTAATTTATATCAGAAAGAAGGATGAAACTTAAAATATTATTTTGTTTCTAATTGTGAAGGTGAAGTGTTTGACTACCTTGTTGCACATGGCAGAATGAAAGAGAAGGAGGCCAGAGCCAAATTTAGACAGGTGATTGTATAATATTTGTGAAGAAATGAAAGTGATAGTCTCTTGATACCATGCATTTCGTTTCTACTTGTAAGCAGAAGTAATGAGTGGGGTTTGTAATTTGTGTGAACAGGTGTAGGGTGCATTTTGTTGTTTCAAAAAATCCAGATCTGGAAAACAAAATTGTTTGGCAAATTTGTTTGCTGCCATGTGAAAGAAGTATTGATTTTTTTTCCATCATATTTTTAGATTGTATCTGCTGTCCAGTACTGCCATCAAAAACATGTGATTCATAGAGATCTCAAGGTAATGTTTTATCTTCAGCTGTTTGTACTTGTAAATGCAAAAGCCATTGTGTTTTTTTCGTATAAGAAGAACACCTTTAAAGAGGTTTTTTTGTATATAATTAATGTCTTGTTGTGATCAAATTCTAACATCTCCCTGATTGTTAATACCTGTGAATGAGGGGAGAGCAAGTCATTGAACATATCATTTAAAGAGATCAGTGAGAGAAACCTTTCTTTTTGTGGGATGAATTTAATTTGTTTATTGATTCTTTATTTTTTAGGCCGAGAACTTACTGTTAGACGCAGATATGAACATAAAGATAGCAGATTTTGGTTTTAGTAATGAATTCACTCCTGGAAATAAACTGGATACTTTTTGTGGGAGTCCCCCTTATGCGGCACCAGAACTGTTCCAAGGCAAGAAGTATGATGGACCAGAAGTAGATGTTTGGAGTTTAGGTGTAATTTTATACACTCTTGTCAGTGGATCTCTTCCATTTGATGGCCAAAATTTAAAAGTAAGAATACATTTGTCATAAGTTTCTGCATGGTTTTATGCATTTTAACCATTTTAATTTGAGGAAAAACTTTTACTGGATTTTTGTCAGTAACTGTGGAAGAAGTAGGTTCTGTTGTTGGTATGGATAGTGTTGCATGGAAGCAACATACATATGGTCTAGACCAGCTCTAACCGTCAACACCAATTTCACTAAACATAATGGAATATTGTGTCCTTAATCAATTCTTCATTTTTCTTTGCAGGAATTAAGAGAAAGAGTCCTTCGAGGAAAATATAGAATACCTTTTTATATGTCTACAGGTAAGTCAGCAGATGCAAAGTATTCATTTTAAGAATTTTTTACATTAAATAATTTTAATTTAAAGTGGACTCAAACTTTCTTTTTTAATCAGCTCTCTGTTTTTTTTTTGTTTTTACAAATATAGATTGCGAGAATCTATTAAAGAGATTTTTAGTGCTAAATCCAATGAAACGATCCCGACTAGAGGTGAGTATTTGTTTATTTTATAAGTTTAAAAAAAGTAATATCTTTGTAATGATGAAAGGGTCACAGAATTAGGAAACTTAGGAGCTTTTCACGGATTTATAACATCAAGAGTGGAGGGTCTACAGTCTTGACTTACATGAAGTTATTTTTTTTTAGCTCAGCTCAGTGTACTACAATTTGAGGTTGATAGTTTAGGCACACAATTATTTAGTGGCTTGTTGTATGGTAAGTTGTGCCAAGTTTTAATGGACATACATGTAAATTTTTTTATAGCAAATTATGTCAGACAAGTGGATGAATTTAGGATATGACAATCAGGAACTCAAACCTTATAGTGAACCCACGCCTGATTTTAAAGATGAGAGAAGAATAGGTAAGGATTCTCTGAAAGTACATGGTGCATCTGTGTGTTTTTTTATCTACATTTAAAGTGCTTTAAAGATTTTTGTCCAAACTCTCTGTTAACTTTGACTTTTAGGAAAAGAAGCATTGAAACATAGTTAGCATGTAATTTATTTCTAACCCTTTTGTAGAAATTATGCTGCAAATGGGATTTTCAAGGGATGAGATTGGAGAGGCTTTGACAAATAACAGATATGATGAAGTCATGGCTACCTACCTTCTCTTGGATGAGAAGAGACAAAAGTTAACTGTAAGTAACTGAACTTCGCCTTTCAATATGTTAAAAAAAATTGCTCAAACATTTAAGCCTGATTTTTTCTGGCATTTTTTTCTACAATTGCTAAAATTGGAGCTCACCTGCAAGGCGACTTGGTGAATCTGCTTAACCTTTTACACTGTAACATCAGTTTGCATATTCTCCATGTTGTTCTCTATACATTTCTTTAAGTGCTGGCAAGGAGAATTTGTTGAACAATCAAGAGGTTTTTCAGTTGATTATCATTTCCTTTACTGTCAGGACTTAAATGTTTGATTCATGGGTGATATTGAACGGAAAATGAAATGCCAGTCACTCTCAGGGATTAAAGGGTTAATAAGGCAGTGAAATTTCTCAGAAAATATCAAGTTAAGCCAGCATTGAAGGTCAGTAGAATGCAGCACATGCCCTTTGCTTTGTGTAGCTTTGTTGGCAAAAATTTTGGAGGCCTCTTGGGTACTCTCTCTTGTTTCCTGCTTGTTTTCAAACACATGTATGTACCCTCATATACTTGGTTGGGCCTCTTTTTAAACAATAAACATCATGTAAAGGCACAAGTGTACGTAGACTTTGTCCAAAATCATCATTAAAACTCTTTAAAATCCCTCATTGTCTCTGATGTAACTAAGAAAAAGAAAAAATTTTTTCTCTGCAGTTGAATGGGTCCAGTGACCCACTTATGGAAAACACCAGTGCCCCAAGACCAAGTACATCAACGCCATCTGGTGTTCCTGCACCCATTCGGCCAAGTCGTGCAAGTGCACGACGTGAGAGAGGAGATAGGGAGTTACCTAGAAGGTATACTGAGGGTCGTGTTCCTCATAGCACAGGCCACACTGTTAGCAGGCAAGCATGACTCGGTTGCACTCTGTTTATTTTTTTACTAACCTATCATTGTTATTTTTATTTGTTTCTTGTTAAGTTTTGTTTTGTGTTCCTTTTATTTTTAGCTTTGGTTTTGAAGCCTTCTCCATCTTTTTGCTTTACAATTTTGTGTTGATGCTAACATTCAATAACTTGCACTTTTTCACTCTAAGCAATTTTTTTTATCACTTGGGAAAGGGCTTCCTTTTGGAAACAAAGATTTTCCAAAGATTCTTTCATGAAGTTTTGTAGGAGTTCTAAAATTGTTTATTTAATGAAGGCTTTTGTTCACCAAAGCAGCCATGCACAGTATGTGAATAGTTTGTTTTTTGATTGGGGCATTCTTGAGTGGTGTGATATCTCCTCTTTCTGACTGAGTGAAATTGGATCCCATTGTTTGCTGTGGGGAGGATGATAATGGGCCTATTATTTAACTACAGTAATGGTGTAGACAAAATATGGGTGTCTATTGCAGTTGCCTTATGCATTATGGAATCTGTATGATTGGTTGACAGTTTGATAAAGGTTAATTAGAGTTATATTTGGGGCTTAACAACCTCTATTGATCCATTAGTAACAAGCAGAACATTCCCAACAGAGCGGCAACTGAAACAGGCGGAACAGTGTCCAGCCAAGGAAAACCAATGGGAAGAGGGGAAAGAGAGAGAAGTGGTGTAATAAAGAATGCTGTCCCTAATGATGAACGTGTACCCAATTCTATTGGAAGAGCATCAAACCCAAACAAGGCTGAAATACCTGAGAGAGCTGCAGATCGAAACAGAAGAGGAAAAGCCCAAAGGGTAAGCATCTTTGGGCAAAGTAGCATTTAGCTCAGTTTACATACACATTGCAACCAGGGCCCAGTTGTTCGAAGGCCGATTAGCGCTAACCCAGGGTTAAATTTTAATCTGCGTTTCTTTATTCCTTTACTCAAAAGCCTTTTTGGGAAAATTTTCAGTGTCCTTTTTAAAGCATCAAGTAGTCATACTCTAAACAAAAAGAATTCGACTGAATTTTCTTGTAAAGCTTTTAGATCTGAAATCGGATTTCACACTAACCCTGGGTTATCTTAACCCAGCTTTGAACAACCCGGCCCAGGTCTCTAATCATATCCAAGAGTTAAGGGAATTATTAAACAAAAGTTATTATTAAAAATCTACTTACTGGTTTAATTACTTTCTTTCACAAATAAAAATGTCTTGTATTTCCTTCAAATACACTTTGGAAGTTTTATGTAGTGGAAATATGATGTTGATTTAGTTGCTTAATTAGCATCTTTGACTGCATAGATTACATACTTGCATACTCAATTTGAGAAAGACAACTAAAGTAATTTTTCTTTGCATTCCACTAAGTCAGACATGGTTTATATTTACTTATGTACTGAAAAAAACTTGTTAATTATTCTCTCAGCAACAAAGTATGCCAGGAAGCATCATCAGACGCAACACTTATGTTTATGGAGAGAAAAGGGCAGAAGACAGGAACAGCACCTCGCAAACACCATCAAGTCAAACCAATGGAAAGGGAGAAAGGTGTGTAACACGCTCATGCAAAAACATTGTACAGTGACAATATATCCCAAATCCAATCAAATTGAAAACTGTATTTAAACCTTAAACTCCAAAGATCTGATTGTTAATTCTCCCCTCCAGCTGGTACACATTTCATTGAAAATTAGTTACAAGAATTTGGTGTTAGAAGAAGAAAACGAATTTAACCTGATAAGTTTAGGTATGCTCATTTCCTGTTTGCCAGATGATATATGGATTTTGTAGGGAGAAGTTACAGGTTAATCACTTCTGAAAGTTAAAGGGTGTTAAAGCAATGTGAAGAAAAAGAGATTTGATGTTTTCAAAGTAGGAAAGTCCAAACAATAAAGAAAACACACTCCAAGCATACATATATAACTGCTAGTTTGAGAATCTAGTCACTGCAGTCAACTTAGAAGTACATCACAACATATGTTTGAACTATTGCAACCACCACTCTCTGGAACTTTTACATTAGCATCTTTCTTCTCCCAACTTCCGATCTGCAGCTCTAGTAGCCAGCTCTCTCTTGCTTGCTTAGGTTACTACAATTTTCAGTTGAGTGAGGTATGACCAAAGTTTGGTGATCACTGTTTGACATAAAAAGCATCTTATTGCCACAGGCAACTTGCTTTGTTTGTAGTAGCAATGTGTCATTTGACCTCTTTTGGCAGGCTTTTATGTTTGACAATTGGCCACACTCTGCTCTGGGAAATAAGGAGGGTTGGCCATGATAACACTGTTATTTTATGGTCAAAACCTCATCACCAAACTTTTCTGCACTTCACTCTACTGACAATCATAGTAATTTACATGTAACTGCTTGTAAGCTCTTCAAAAGAACAGTGTATCTCACCTGTTCATCTCTCTTCCTTTTCTTAGCATGACAGAGCCAGGCCCTAGTGGCAGCAGTGTGGCTTCTGGCAGGCCTATGTCTAAGCAGCCCCCACCCGATCTGGGTAACAGGCTTTCACCCACACGTAGATCTCTTCCACCAGTTGCTATACATCAGGAAAATAGACATAGAGCTGGGTGAGTCAGCAGATATCAGTTTACAATAACCAGACAAGCCTGCATATTTGTCAAGTCTGTGTTGTATTTAGCTGGGCAAAAACAAATGTGGACATCCTATTACAACAGTAAACTAGCTCTTTGAAACACAACATTTAATCAATGCAACCAAATGCTCACACAGGCTCTGTGCTCTTTCAACACATTTCATATTTGCTGCTGGGAGACCCCTCCCCCCCACAAGAAAATTAGAGTAAAATCAATATCTGCCTGTACATTTTCAACTGTTGTTCTTTGTATTCCTTGTACTTTGGTCCTCTCACATTGTGGTGCATCTTAAATCCTCACCCATTTCTTCATCAACTTTAGTACCTTGCATGAAATACTGCATCTGTGCGCAAAAAAATTGCTTAATCTTTGGAGTCGAATCTTGAATATTCAATGTTTCAGTGGGTGGTACAATGTGGCATTGACCACTTTTTCTTTCTCCTGCAGGAGAACAAATCCCAACACTAACTCAGACATACAACCCCCACCATCACGGTTAGGACCTAGAAATGTGACAGCACGTAGCACGTTCCATGGTGGTCAGACACGACCTCGCACTCAGAATGGACCTGACAGATCCATTGACCCTAACAGCCCTGGGGCAAGGCAAGGCTTTCTTACCAAGCTTACATCAAGATTTAGTAAGAGGTTAGTGAATAAAGATGGTCCAGGTGAAAGTACAACTTGGAGTAGGTTAGAGATACCTTGCAAAAAATTGCAAATGAAAGAAGCCTATTAGGAATGCGTATACCTCTATTTCCATACAAAGAAAAACACAATTTTGATTTTTTTTTTAAAGCAAGGTCTTTAATTTGTAATTGCAAACTGTATTACAAATTCTCACTGTTACAGCAATGTGAAACGGAGAGGTCAGGGTAATGAAGAGATCTAGCTAGTTTTTGTCAGGTCCCTCTTGATGCACTAAGCATCATGTGAATGTTTTCTAAATGGAACTGTTGTTGAAGTTTTATGCATTTTTTTGCACATCAAGTGTTTTAACCATCTTTGAGCTTGTAGGAAACATTAATTCACTAAACAACCATAATATACCTCTATGAAACCACAAAATGTACTGCACTTACTTTATGCACATGATAAATCTTGGAGGCAGTGTTGTCTTGAAACCTTCATGATGTCTGACTTTGAAGCAGGTAACTGTCTAACTAGCGTGCTGATTTCAAACCAGATTTAATTGATATTCTGGAATAAATGTGCAGTTTTAACCATAAAGTAAAAATTTGTACTTTGGCCCCTGATGATGCTCATTGGTAGAGTATTCAATTTAACCCTGTTTGGCTTCTTACAATACTCAGTCGACAGTTGGACCCCACAATGACCTCAAGGCCTGGTCCCCAAGGACAACGGTCAGTTTATAACTTGTCAAACTTGTGTAAAATTGGTTAATTCTTTGAATCTGTTAATCTATACTTTGTGAGAATTTTCCATCTGCTGCTGAACCTTCTTTATATACAGTATTTTAAACTTAAACTCTTCATTAGTATACTGTTAAAGTAAAAGGAACAATTTAAGATAAAAACTTTAAATGCAGTAAAAGTTTAAATGCTGTAGGCTTCTTGCTTCTTTGTGTTGTCAATAATCTACAATTTTGTATAAATAAAACGTTTGGTGTTCTTTCTCTTTTAAAAACCAACAGTTGTAATGCTACAAACCCTTTTACTGCCTTTTATTATTCTTAGATACAAAATAAATGTTGTGTGAAATAGTGTAAGAACAACAATGCATTGTTGAATGAGTGACAAATGTTTAATAAAGATGTGTCGGTTCAACTTGGGTTTGGAAAGAAATGACTGTTAGATAGTTTTTCTGGTATAGAGTTACTGTCAATCGCCTGAGGAAGACTAGATGTTGATCAGCAAATATATCTTTTTTTAAGTTTTAGTGACAATTAAGCATAGAGCTGAAATAAATGGTTCTTATGCAAGTGGTTGAGTGTTCCACAGACTAGCATGTTTAAACAATTTATCATGAAAGTTGATAATTTTTTTGGAAGAAGTGTTTGTTGTATTTTTGCTCGAGTGGAATTCATTCTTATTGACAAGGTTTCGCTTTGCAATGATAACTGCGCCACTTTTTTCTTTCAGGGATGAATATGTTTTACAATTGCAACAACACGCTTTTGACATGATTAATTTTTCTCATAGACCAATGGATCAAGCCCTGTCTCCAAGGGAACCAAGAGAAATGTCACGTGGGAGCATGGAAGGCAGTGGTCAGGGGTTAGTGGAACTTCTCAGTGCTTATAATACTCAGTAACCTTAGCAGTAGAAAGGTGGTGTTCCAGTAACAAAATAATAATGGGTCGGGATGTGCAGAGAGCTTGATTGTCTTAAATTGAACAATTCTTGCTCAGCTTAAGGTTATAAGCAGAGTGGTGAAAGTATTAAACACAAAATAAACACTGGAAATGAATTTAAAAATACATGTACAGCTGAAGGGAACCTGTAGAACGCTTATCATCGTGTTTACAATTTTGCTACTTGAAAGTTCTTGGCCTTCGTTTACAAGTTCTTCCTTTTTTATCCACTGTTTGCCAAGAAGAACTTAAGTATCCTGTTTAATTCGGAAAAAAGGGTTGTGAAAACTAAGCGTTGGCTCAAGCGATGGAGAATGTTTGTTCTCGTGGATTTAAAATTTGGCGTATTCTGGCTGTGGATCTGATGTTCCTGCAAGTGGGAGTCCATTTTGGCGGAAGCATCTAAGATAATGTTTAAATTTGGGGAAGGGGAAAGATAGAGAGAGAAGGAGGGGGAGGGGGTATGGGGGAATTTTTTTCGTTATTTGCGGGGTTACGTTATAAGCGCTATTTCCACATCGTTCGTACATGCAAACGTAAACCGTAAACGTTCCTTCAAGAACATTTTAATTACGCGTTAATTAGTTTTGCAAGTCATACGCAAGTGTTTTCTGTCGATATGAACATGAATATGTAACAGACCACAAGGAAAGTTTTTCTGAAGCATTCAAAGCTTACTGTAGTTTTTTTTTTTTTTTTTTTTTCAAGCAGAAGCTGTATTTGAATTTTCTTTTTCTTTGGCTGGGAGTCTTGTTTCATTATCAACTCAATTAAGTTGGTCGAGAAGAACACGTCAATAGCCATTTTAACTGCGGTCTCTTCGTTTGCTCGCTTGGCTTTTCGGCTGCATTTAAATTGAGAAGGTTGTACTGTTCCGTACCTGGATGAGAAAATAAAGTTTGACTCTGCGTAATACCAAAACTAAAGCCATTAAACTCAAAGATAACTTGAATGAAGTATCCGTGTTAAAACGACGCTTGTTGTGATAAGAATTTGAAACTTGACGAGTCAAACCTACGTTATACCCTTTTGGGGGTAATCTTTTTCTTTAATTTTATCATATTTTGCTGTGCTTGTAATACAGGCTCAGTTAAAAAAATTAAGCTATAATTTAACGTCTGATGTAATTGGTGAGATTTTCGGGGGTAAGTAAACGAGAATATTCAGTTTTATGATTGCTTCTTTAAATGTGTAAAAACTGAGATTTTAAAACTCGTTTTTTCGAATCCTTTTGACTGAGTCTATCTGCAGTTCAATCAAGGGTCTTGGTTTGTAGCCGTTGTCATGTGTTATAATAGCGTGATAGTTAATCTGTCTTGGGGTTTTTTGTGACAGCTGAAGCTGGTCACTGTAATCTTGACGTTTGTTTGTTTTAAAAATGCGTAACGTTAACGAGGATTTGTTTTTAAAGAAACAGGTATAAATCAATGCATTGAGATAAAAATTGTTTTACAATAATATCCTAGTCATGACTTTATCGAAGATTAAGTGGTAAATAACATATTTGGCAACTTCCTACTGCCATAGTTAAATGCTTTAAACGTAAACAGTGGTAAAGCTTGGAGCTCGGAGAAGGCCATTGCTGCATGACGTTGCAAAAAAAAAAAAAACTTGTTTGAAAATCTGCCTCATAAAGCTGATTCCATCTCGAGGTAAATCCTCATACGAAGGGAACGGTAAGTCGTTTTTGCCGCTATGCTGCGTTCGGTTCGCCGGAAGTGACGTCATGTGGTACCTTCTCTGGGTTGGATTCTGGATGGAACAGTGCAGCTTGGAAAGCTCAGCTTCAGACCCCTCGCGGACAAAATCTTTCACGCGAGCTGGCAATGCTAGAAATTTTTAAGGAATGTTTCATAGCCGTGACTTCTGTGCATTGTGTTTTTTTTTTTCCGAAGTGGTGTGGTCTTTTTACTGTGATAACACTTAATTAATCATTTGCTGCCCAGTCTAATTTTGGCGCGGTGTCTAATCTACTAACGGTTGGCTTTGGTGATGTGCAGACGGAGTAATATAACAGTAGATTAATTAATAGCTGACTTAATCAAAACTGATGTGGACTAATTATTTTAATAATTGTCATGGTATAACCACTTGGAGAGGGATTGGTAACTAATGTGTGATTAAGCTCATGATCATGTAACACGCACTGTTGGGGTCTCAAAACCTTCCGAGTACACGTTGTTTTGTGTTTCTTCACCGCTAGTTATTTTTCACTTTTATTTTAGTCAGATCGTATTATTATTTCAACCATCACATGCGTTTTCCAGTGCACTCCTCACCCATATCATCACTCACTGCATCGTCCTCGGTTTTACTCGTTTATTTTGATGTGTGTTATGATTAGTCCACATACGATTTCATCAGCTATTAATGAAAAATTTTCAGTTTTTTCCCCAACATCTGTTACGTTTTTACTTTGAAAGTGCAAACACCATCCGTGTTATTTTCGAGCATTCGGCAGCAATCTGAGGCTGCCTCGTGAACGACCGAAAGCTTCCCGATCACTTCTAACTTTTCCCCACTTTGGCTCTAACCGTGACCTGCGCAACTGTTTTACCAGCAGTTTTCGGGCTAGGAGACCATAAGAGGAGTTTCCCTTCAGTTGAACCGAATGTTAGACAATTTAGTCATGGAGAAATTATTTAAGCGTTATGCACAAGCGTTATCGTCATTGTTTGCGCGAGATGGTCGTCATTCCTTGCCGCACGGGTGTTGTACGCACTTTTAACCCCACAGTAGTAGAATAGTTGATTGTTACTGTTTGCACCCGGAAGCCACTAGCACTTGAATTCTGTTCTAACAATGAAAGCACGGTGTATCGAAGTCACGGCTGTTTGCCGGTCAAATTAAGTCATTGGGGTTCCATTTATTGTGGCTTACATGGCGAGGGGTCTGACGAGCTGTGTTGTTGCGTTCAAGGGCCCGAGGTGGTAGTGCATCTGGGGTAAAGTCCGCCTATCCGGACCCAAAGTCCCGTATGAGCCCCAGGCGTAAATCTCTTCGAGGAACGTTTGCTAGGCTGTCGCTCAGAAAGCACAGAAAAAGGCAGGTGTTGGCAAATCTGCGCATGTGCAGTTGGACCAATCTCTCGCTAGTGCTAGTCTATGCTTGTCGCGCGAACGCCCTACACTGTCAGTGAACTGAACCTAGCAATTGATTGGTTCAGCGGCGTGTGTGCCATGCTATTTGAGACCAGTACTCGTTCCACCAATCAGCTGCTTGTGCTGCTAAATTTAACTTTTGGTTGGACCAATCAGCGGCTTATTCTAGTGCTGTGCAAATTTCATTTGCCAAGCCTCGCTTTGATTGTTTTAGTGGCGAATGGTTCAGGTTACTGGATTTACTATATAGTGCTATCGCGGGTGTTGGGGGAAAGAACATAGTTTCCTTCGTGGCCCTTGTGTCTGATTGGTGCAATGAGTTAATTGTGAGCAGTCAGGCAAGAAGCTGCTTTCCTGTCGTAGTTGTCAAGCATCGAAGTTGGCGCGTTCAGTTTGTTCTTACACTAATTAAAAACGTGACCATCATGGTGTGCCTGTACTTTCTTTTTTCATAACATAGCGCACGTGGGTTGACTTAGAGTTTAAATCTTATAATTTTTGTAGATGGTTTGTTCCTTGACTCGTAAATTACAGTTCTACAATCTTTGTGTCTTTTCGTTATATTTTGCTGTTGACTCTTTGTTTCTTTGTCTCCTTCTTTTCTGGTAGCAGTGAAGGAATTTGCAAAGCTGATACATAATTTATTGTTGTTTACGGTACAGATCAATGAATGATACATCACTGGGCGAGAAGCCTCGCTCTCTTCGTTTCACGTGGAGCATGAAGACTACAAGTTCTATGGAACCACAAGAAATGATGGATGAAATTAGAAAAGTATTGGAATCTAACAGCTGTGACTATGAACAGCGGGAAAATTTCCTTTTATTTTGTTGCCATGGCAATCCCGCTGACGCCAATCATGTTCAGTGGGAAATGGAGGTTTGTAAACTGCCTCGTCTGTCTTTGAATGGCGTACGTTTTAAACGAATCGCAGGCACTTCGATTAATTTCAAGAACATCGCTTCGAGAGTAGCGAACCAGTTAAAGCTGTGATGGAGAATTTCTCATCGTAGGATCACTCGACTTATTGAACTCGATCGACGACTCACCCAACTCTGAAGACAGTTTAGAGTATTTGAAATACCTCCCTTGAAAATGACTGCGCAACAGGCCACTAACTTAAAGATAATTTGGGTTTTTTAGAACTTCGCAAAGTCGCTCAAGAATGGAGCTTCAATTTTGTTAAGGCGGGCGGAAGATTTTGTTTGTTTTGCACTTTATTGTCTGCGTCAGTTCGACAGTGTTGCGAGATGGTTTTTACTCGCTACAGAATCACGGTACATACTAATGACATGTTTCTACGAGTTTGGAAAATTACCAGAGGACCGAGAACTTGTAAGTTCGTGTAAATAACCATAGGAATTATTTAATTTTAATGGAGGGTAGTAGAAAAAGCTGCCCGCACGACCCCTGACTGTAGTGGGGTAACATGTTTTCTTTGCTACTTGTGTTTCACTTAGCAGGTCTTCGTTGTTCACGTGTGAAGTGCATTGAAGCCTTTACACCAACCAGAAACTAGTCTCTGGTTCCCTCCTTTCTTTCGGCCGGGTAAGCTGAAGAGCTTGGAGCAGAAGACCGCTCCACGAGCAGATTGAGTGAAACTACAATAAATTTTTCAGTTGTGGAATGTTGCCGCATATTTCGCCCGAGTTACGCAAATAATGATGAAAACGTTTCATCTGCACGCAACAGTCCTTTTTTCCACAGATATTAGGATTGCCATCGGAATTTTTCTTCTCTACATTCGTGAAGCGTTTTGTCCTAGGTGAAAATTCCTTAATACTAGTTTATTAATTGGCAAGCATTTCACAACTGAATTATCGAAATCTAATTTCGCTCTGAATGTGTTTTAGTGCTCTACGTGAACAGAAATTGCCTCGTTAATTTAATGACCGTTAATTATTTTTAATTATAAAGAGATACTTCATTGCCCAGCACAAGTAGAAATTTAGTGACAGATCCTAAGTGTTTACCTAATCCGAATACGGCGCGAGTAAGCTGTGGAGTCTTCGTGAGTGTTCGGTTGGCAACGAAATTCTGTTTTTTTTTCTAAGGTCAAAATTCTCACAACAACCCCTTGAATTCAAACGTTTTCTTTTGTATAGGTTAAGATGGTACCACTTAATATTCGATCTTGTACGTGCACAAAGCAAAAGCTATGGTGACCTTGAATTTGTTGTAAATTACACAACACCCCCTCCCCCCCCACCACCACCGTTGCAAAGTTTATAGTCACGCAAGTCCGTCTGTGGCTAAATTTTATTGTGAAGGGTCAACGCACTTTTACAGATTGGAAACAAAATAACGTAGATGCAATTAATTAAACCATAACTCAATTTGGATTGATGTTGTACATTTTCATTGCTGGTAGGATCGTAATTCATTTCTGTATGATCTTGGTAGAATAAATCGTAACTTGATGTAACAAAACATCACTTTTTCCACGAAATCAATTTTTTTCCTCAGTGCTGCGCGTGAACATTTTGGAAAAACATTTGAAAAGGACTGGATACCCGAATTCATTTATTGTTTGTGTCTAATGAAGGCGTCAAAAAAAATGTCGCGTTACTCTAGTGTGACTCGCAACGGCAAGAGATGTGTGGCGTGACTTGTGTCACATGTTTAGCTTGGGTTAATTGATTGGACTGCCTGAATCACGTGGAATTCTTTCTTTCATTCCTCGCCACTGACTCTGTCTTTGTAAATATTATTTCTAAGGATTCCAACCTATTATAAAGTGCGAGGCAATTTCTTGGTATGTAAACGGTCCTTTGTCGCTTTTTAGTCAATTTAGGGTTATCTATAACAAATATATTCTTAAACATGGAAAACGGGTTGTTTTGTTTGGTCTTACGGCTACTAGGCAGCGCGAAGCAATGGCTCTCTTGATTCATATCTTCATTTGAAACCTGTGCCCCCAGAGTGTTCCCCTCCTGGTTTCTACGTACTATGGGAAATAAATTCGTTCGTTTGCACGAACCAAACCTATCACTCGACTGATGAGTAACTCCTTAATCAGTTGTGGTAAGGCCTACCTATGCAGGGCAGCTCATAATGAACCCAAAAGGGAGGGGAGGGGAGGGGGGGGGGCAAGAGGGTCTTAAACCTAACCCTTGACCCTTTAACTCCCAGAAGTGATTAACATGTAACTTCTCCCTATAACATCCATACATTATTGAGCAAATAGGTAGTGAGAAAACTCAAACTTAGACTAGTAGAAGTTGTTATCTTGATCTATCACCAAATTCTTGTAAACAATTTACCAGGGAATGAGTAGAAGTAAGAGGGGAGATTAACAATCAGATCTTGGGAGTTAAAGGGTTAATGGGAGCCTTCGTTGATAGAGCTATAAGACACGCCTTTCTCACATGGAGAGCTTTTACAACTTGGCTCGCGTGGCTCAAGGTCTGAAACATACTCTCTTTGCCCACGAGAAAGAATTACTTTCTGGTAGCGAAGAAACGCTTGTGCCCAAGCGCTTAAAATGAGCGCCTTCTCGCAGGCTAGCGTGAACCGAGAGTTTGATTACACTCGTGTTTGTAGAGGCAAGACTATTATAATTCAATTGCAAATCAAATCATAACCTGGACTTTTAATAGGTGTTCGTCATCTTATCCACAAAAGTCACGACGCTCGTCTAATCATAACGAAGAAATTCTTCTACTGTCTGATGAGAAGAGGGCCTCTCGGCAACGTAAATACATTCTTTGTTCTGTAAGGTGGCTACAGGCTTGTTGTAGAAGCGAGTAAAGCCATTTTCTGTCAGCCAATTGCGGACTTCCTCGTCATACTGGCTTTTGAATGTGTCTACGTCTCTTGCCAGCACAAACAGGGTAATCTGTAAGTTATCTGTGACCACGGAGTACTGGTAAAGACCTTCACCAAAAGTAGGAGGTCCTAGTTTTACCACCCAATCTGTTAAGAAAACATTCATTATATTTATTGCCAAGAGATGGGGGAATGACGAAAAATTTTTTGGGGAAGGACATGGCTTTCGGGGGGGTGACATGGTTCTCAGCAGGAAGTGAGGGGGAGTGGCCGTCATCAACAAAGTACAGTAAAGAAAAAACTAAAGAAAAGCAGGGACAAGGAAATTTTGTGCGATCGCACAGCATGATTGTTAGGATCGTTCTCTCCCACGTCAAACCTGTGGTGTAAAAGTGACAGGTTACTTGCTTTGCCTGACAGCTTCGAATTGACAAACACTTACACGGAGCGTCAACAGGTACTCCTCCAAGATGAACTTTGAGCTTCCCTGGTTGGTTAGGGTCGGGTATGTAGGCGTAACCCGTGATGTTCTTTCCCTCTCCGGTCGGTGTACGAAGTCTTTCACTGTTAAGAACGCCCACTTTTCCATCTTTCTCAAGTGTATCTAAAGTATTAGCAGTAAGAGCAATAAAAAATTAGACTTCTGTTTCCAGTGGTATGCTTTTATATGCAGTCTGTAAGCATAAATGTACACTTACAATCCGCTGTCACGCATACTGCGTCACGCTCAAAAGTTGCAATGACTGAGGGGTCGGCATACATCTATTTACACGCAGAAAATGAGACAGGAAAAACAAAAAAACAAGATGTCAATATAACAGCATTTATGAAATATTTACACAAACCAACATGAAAAATTCATTACAAGAATCGCGTGATGTAATAGAGCACGGTATATCATGTGCTTTCATGTACTTGGGTCTACCTTTAAAAAGAACATCTTCACATCCCGGCAGCCTTCAACTACCATAACATCACATAACTCTGCTCGAAGGCAAAAAACTAGCTGCGCTTGCAAATGAGCTCTGAGGTTTTTAATGAGTCTAGAATCTATAAATGCAGTACAATTATTGTAAACAACTCCTTCCTGTTTTGTATAAAGGCCTTGTTACTACTCGCTACACATAAAGTACTGTGCCTCGGGTTACCGTTAAACAATGCGTTCTGTCTGAAGTATGGAACATGAAAGGATTTTATTAAAAGTAATTGGTTGCGCTGTAGCGTATAAGGTCATGTTCAACAAGTTGTCTTCTATGGCCCTCATTCAGGCTCGTCTCGTGCTGCGCGATTTAACATGTTTGAAGGAAATGTTAAACGGCCTGATAAATTCTACTCAAAAGTTGCAAAATATACATGATTACAGAGAAAAAAATCGGTAAGAAGTTGCATAATAGAGCCTTCTACCTCAAGATATCGATCCTACAAGCTTTACCTATTACGTAATCATTAACACCAAAACGGTACATACACACATTCTTTACCTGATACCAGCGACCGAGGTATTTTGTTACATTCAAAGAGGGAACGGTGTCTATCCCAAAAGCACTGCTGAAAAATACAGCAACTAGAAACACAGTGTACTTCATGTCGACTTCTGAACGGCAATGCTACAAGCCAAGCACTTCTAAATGGTGACAGCGCGTGTTTGAAAAGGCCGCAAGATTGGTCACTCTGAGATTTATACGAAACACCATGTCTAAATAAGGTAACATGTAGCAGTGACTGTGCGGCCCGCCTCCGGTTGTATTTTTTTAAAGGTGGGGCATTTTCCCTGATCATTGAGCCGATAGCGTGGTTGTAGTTATTTCAAAATCCAGTAAATACTCTTCTGTTGTATGTACAAGTACGTATGTCTGTCAGCGGCTTTTCGGAAGATTTCGGAGCAATCTGACGAGGTGAGACTGTCGAAAACACCTCGGGGGTAATTCAAACTCCTTTTTTACAATTCATACTTGACATCGTTTCATTAAACATCACCTTGGAGCTAACCCTAAAGCCTACTGGCTGAATTATTTATCGTATATTTTTAATGTAAACACTGGTGAAAAATTGAAATTTTTATTACATCGACGGCAGTAGTGTCTGTAGTTGCAAGAGATTATCGTAAATCAAGAGCGAATCAAATAATGATTTAATTGCTGTCTCTTTCAACTAACTGTCTAACCGGGATTTTTATAGCACCTTAGTCCTATGATTGTAAATGGGTGGGGGTATTTATGTGACCATTCTTGCCTATGCCTCTTTTCATTTTCAACGGTTACTTAAAAGCGGAATTTTCATGATAGCTGTGATAGAGTGTATCAAATCTTTTCAAATGATAACTTTGACGTTTCGTGGCTACGAGTCTTATCAACATTTTAAACCGAGATCAAGTTTTACAACGTTGACCTCTCCTCTGAATTGTGGTTTAGACTGAGGTGTATCAAATCACATCACATCACATCTTTGATTTTTTATTTGCTATATTTCTTTTCATCTTCAAAACTACAACTGTGGCCGAAATGTCTATTCATATCGAAGAAATTCTTTCACTGTCTGATACGGAGAAGGCTTTTCAGCTCCGTACAAACATTTCTTGTCCTGTAATGTGGCTACAGGCTTGTTGTAGAAGTGAGTAAAGCCGTTTTCCTTTAAAAAACTTCTCACTTCCTCATCATATTGGCTTTTGAATATTTCTACGTCTCTCGTCAGCACAAACAACATAATCTGCTTGCTATCTGTGACCACAGAGTACTGGTAAAGACCTTTTTCACCAAACGTAGGTGGTCCTAATTTTACAACCCAATCTGTTAGGAAGAAAATGTATCCGTTAGCTTTTGCTTCTCAGTAAATACATTATTGATCTCATTTTTTTTTACCTTCTCGCATCGGTATGCTAGCGACTGGAGCGCAGGCTACAGTACCCAAGCATAAAAGACATTGCGATATCGATGTTTTGCAACCGGCTTTTAGTGCAGTTGTGTGTAATCATTGCTTGCTATCTTACGGTATTCAGAGATCCCCAGACCCTCTCGTTCGTTCGTTCGTTCACGTTCATGATAGTTCGGATCGTTCCCTCCCACCTCAGACTAACCATGTATGTTACGTTCAAGGGAAACGCTGCATCCCTTTCTTTTCGTAATAGCTTAGCGTCGTCGACACTTACATGAACCGAGGAAAGGTACGCCGTCCAGATGCAGTGTTAGCTTTCCTGGTTCGTTAGGGTCGGTCATGTAGGCATACCCAGTGATGCTGCTTTCCTTTCCTGTCGGTGTGTAGAGTCTCCCTCTATTCAGAACTCCTATTTTTTCATCTTTTCGGAGTGAGTCTGAAAATAATTTTGGTAAAAACAATTTTAAATTGGGCTTTGGTAACCAGTGGTATGCTAGACAATCTCTTCAAGTACGAATGTTCACTTACAATCCGCTGTCACGCAAACTGCGTTACGCTCAGAAGTTTCCATGACTGCGGGGTCGGCGTACATCTGTTCACACACAGGGAAAACAAAAATAAAGAAAGTGAAATTGAAAGGACATCAAAGGGAAGGTGTTGATGAGAAAATTTCACTCTATTACACCCTAGGGAGAATAATCGCGTGATGTGCTTGCGCACGCAAGAAACGTGAATCAGAGATTTACGATCCACTTTAACGTGACTACCAGCCTATTACATAACACTGCTCAAAGAAGAAAAACGAGGAGCATTTGCTGATGAACACAGATACTCTAATCTTTCGCCAGACTTTGACTACAGTACCTGGATTCTGTGGTAGCCCAGTCATAAAATGCCTTTGTTTTTTTGTCGTTTTTTTTTTTTTTTTTTTTTTTTTCCTCCGCCACTTATCACTGCCGAATAAATACACAGACAGGGCCGGGTCACATGACGGACACGAGATTTTGCTTATAAAACTCTTTGTAAAGAATTAGCGCAAACCTTTCTGTAAATAGGCCTTGTTAACTTCCTGTTGGCCGATCAGAAAGGTGAATCTTATGTTTGTTTTCACATCAGAATGTTGTTATGTTAAATAACGCAATTGTCTTGTCACAAGCGGCCCGAGCTCACGTCTCGAGAAAAAGCCAACGATTATTCATGAACGCGTCACGCGTTGTGTGACTCGGTGTTAAGTTACGAGAGGAACTGCACGTTATAAGGAATAGTCCATGGAACGAAGTATGGTCGATTTACAACGATACATATTTCGAAATAGGAACATTTTTCTCGTAAAATCAATAAACCTTACTCATACCTGTGTATCCGTAGTATTTTCTGGCGATTTCTGCCGTTTTAAGCTTGCTTTACCATCACTCGTTGATAAAATCTGTACAGACATCACACCAATCAACTCGCGCGCAAAGTAAGAAGACTATATTGAAGGCTTGAAATAATATTGCGATCGATTTTCATCAAGAAATGGGCCAGGAATATTCCACAATAGTGCAAATAATCGTGAAGGCGGATTGCAGAAAAGCGATTGCGTGACGCTCGGTAAGCTGTAAGATGACATGTTATTATATACCAGACGTAAAAACTCTTCAGATTCTTAGTCTGCATTTTGTACCCACTCTGCAGTCTGCAGTCTATATTTTGTATCCGGTCTGCAGTCTGCTGTCTGCATTTTGTACTAACAGGTATCCGTGGCACCAATACAGTTTATTTTTGGTTACATTTATTCGCAAAACACACATACACCACAAAATCAAACGACGGTAAGAATGTAGACATCACTCAAAATGTTTCAAGTAATTTTTGCAAACTAGTGCTCAATGTCTATTGTATGGAACATGCAGTATTTTTGGGTTGACATTTTGTTTCCCTGCAGAGCATAGGGTCATACGCATGTATTCGACAAGTTTGTAACCTTCATTCAGGCTTGTATCGGCCATGTCATGCTGTGCGAATAAATGGGTTTTAAACGGCATCGTTTATGCATAATACAATCCTAAAATGTTTTTGACATACGTTATTGCACAGTTAAAACATTGAAAAGCGTTGCGTTGAAAAAGACTTCGTCCCTCAAAGTAGTCCACAAGCTGTACATGCAGTTACATAATCATGAACATCACAGTACACAGCTTTACCTGATACCAGCGACCAAGATATTTTGTCACATTCAAAGAGGGAACGGTGTCTATGCCAAAAGCGCAGCTGAAAAATACAGCAACTAGAAACACAGTGTACTTCATGTCGACTTCAGATGGGTAACGCTACAGGCTGAGTGTTAAGAGTTCCACCGCCCGTGTGAATAGGACTGAATATTTGATACCCAGGGGATTATATGAAAACACCATTCTAAATATAGTAACATGATGGTGCATAAGGATGGTGAGACCCGCCTCCCGTTCCATTGTTTTCAATCCAGTGGGGCATTCTCACCGTCGATTGAGCTGTTGGCGTCGAAGATAGCCTACGTGTAGCCGATTCCTTCCCCCTCCCCCACCCTCTGACCCTTGGGAGGGGAAGGTACGGCTACACGCAGGCTACGTCGAAGATCGTTTTTGTGGTTAACAAAAAAATGGAAAGGCCATTAACTACTCTGCTATCCGGTTTGTAAGAAAGTAAGCCTGTGACTTTTCGGAAACTTTCGGAGTAACCTGACGACACCTCGGGATTTACTTGGGACTTACTCGACCTCTTTCGTTCGATTTCATCTTTAATACACGAATTTTGATCCACAAAAACTACTTGCTTACAGTTCATACTTAGCGTGGTTGCATCGAACACCACCTTTCGAGTTTGAAAGACCGAATTGGACTCCACTCGGTCCTATTAATGCTTTTCGCACTTCTCGAGTGTTCTTAAAAATTCCCAAGTGCCTATATAACTCAACAATGCTCGCGGAACAAGTTTTTTATTTCTTTTATAAAATGTATCGTGAATTGCGCGCGCATGTACCGATGACGTAGGCTGCGTGCAGTGTATCTCAACAGTGCACTCGTGTGACGTAAGACGCGTGCTTTATGGATTTATAGTGAAATCGTTCTGACCAATCGCTGTGCGCGCAATTCTCTGAACATTTTATAAACAGGCGTAACGCGTGCACTGATTACACTGTCCAATTACAAGCATGACGTTTACACTGTCCTGTTAGTGCTCAAATTGGAATGGTGATAACCAATCATTTTCGAGAATTCAGTTATAATTTTGCTTATGGTCTTACTCTCGCTCTGATGTGCTCAGTCCTCTATGAAGCAGTTAGTGAGACAAGTTTTATTTATAAAAATACTATAAAATAAATAAATAATATTATTGCCGTTTGCGAATAGCAGATCTTCAAAACGGAGCCTTTGATAAAAATGGAATTAGTTTGCAGCCCATTTGATTAGTCGTGGTCTTCGAAAATGTTTTGCATCGCAGGAACTTTCATGTCTGTTGGTAATTCATTCCACAATTTTGCTACACTCGTTACAATTTTCCTAAATAACTGCGTAAATTTGTTAGTCTCTTGCAACGATGGTCTGGAATGAGCCGTCCACAGATTAATTTAGTAGACTGGGAACTGAGCATGCCCTTGAAGAATGCAAACAGCTTTTTGATACTGAACTAGCTAAGGGCACTACTTGCTCCTGGCACTAGTAAAACAGTGGACTGATTAAAGAACAAAAGGAAAGAAGTGAACAATCCCATTTACGCCTACCTTTCGTGACCAACTTCAACAAAATGAAAAAAATGTGACAGTAAGATAAGTGATACGAAGTGTGATATGGTGCATCGAAACATAGCAAAGAGGAAAGCTAGCTTTAAAGAGCTTTATATTTGTGCTCCGTTTTCTACCATCGACGGGATGTCCCGAACAACTTGACGGTAAACTGATGAAGAAATCTAACAACAATGCATACAAGAAGTGCAACTGGCCTCCAGTATGTCGCAAACCCTCGTGAACAGAACTAAATAAAAAATGAATTGTTTAAAAAGATTCCAATTCACGCGCGAATAAACATGGAATGAATGTAACATGAGTGCCCTTCAATTTATCATTGAATTTCTCTTCGTCCCCTCCTCGAAACGGAAGATACGCTTTGGACTTCCTGTTTTCCCAGAAAGGATGAATGATTGACAACTTGTGGAAATTTAGCGTAATGCGGTTGCGAAATTCATTGTTGACCATGCATATTAAGAAAAACAGTGTAACACCAGCGGGAATTCGTTGTAACTGAAATTAAACAATTACGAAAATAATTTGTATTCGTGTCCTTTGTCCAGATGAGGAAATGACTACCTCTTTTTCAAAAGGAATGGGAATGAAACATTGGCTTCTTTTTACTTGATTAGTACATACATTGGCGTAACGGTAGAGTTTAAAAAGGCTTGTCTAGGAGAGGTTGCGACTTTGAATAATAAAAAGCTCTGTTTGTTTTTTCTCATCACTAATGTATTTTCTTTCATGGAAACCTTGGAGGGAACGGAAAGTCTCGTTTAAGTGTAGCGAAAAATGGGTAATAAGCAATCCACGATACAAAAAGTGTATGAAGCTGCTCGTGATGGTTCTTCTGATCTGACTAATCATTTAAAGCGGCTTAACAGTGAAGAAAGGAAAACTGCTCTCGATTCCAAGACCAAAGATGGCGACGAGAATACAACTCCTCTCATAATTGCTTCTCGAAATGGAAACCTAGACTCTTTAAAGATTCTTTTGAGTTTCAAAGCAGATGTTGAAGAACGAGGAACTGTGAAAGTTAACACTGACGAAGCCGTTGAAGGTTGCTCTCCTTTGTGGGCCGCTGCTGCTACTGGTCATCTAGATATTGTGAAATTGTTAATCGATCACAAGGCGGACGTAGACGGCAGAAATGCAACAAATTCGACTCCTTTGCAGGCTGCTGCTTGCAATGGAAATCTTGATATTGTTAGTTGTTTGGCTAAGAACGGAGCTAATGTAAATGCAAGAGATGAATTTGAGAGTACTCCTCTGATGATAACATGTTACAATGGTCACATGGATGTTGCTTCCTATCTAATCGAACATGGCGCAAATCACTATTTGCAAGACAAGACTGGAGACACATGTCTTCACTATGCTGCAGAAAAAGGTCACACCGAAGTTGTCGGTAGGCTTCTTTCTCTTGGAGTAAAAGAGAGGCAAAATAAGAAACGTTTGACCCCACTACTAGCAGCCAGTAATGAAAGCAAATATGAAATGGTCGAGTATTACATCAATCGACCCGAATGTACCAAGGAACAAAAAATTAACGCTCTCGAACTTCTTGGTTCCTCTATTGCAAATGATCCTGATTCTTATGACATCGAAGAAGCATTCAGTTGTATGAGGCGTGCAATGGAAGAGAGATATCAGGACCCGTCATGTCCATTGCTTAAAAAGAACATAAAACCTGTGGAAGATTATGAAAATAGAACAGAGAGTCAAACTCTTGAGGAACTTTCTCTGTTAAAAGATGATAACCATGCTATCCACATGGAGGGTCTCATGATCAAGGAGAGACTCCTTGGAATTGACTCTGCAGCACTTCTGAAGGATATCAGATCCTATGGGACTGTTCTAGCTGACTCTGAGCATTACGAACCTTGTATTGGTCTGTATAAGCGATCGATGGAAATAGCCATGAACTGTGATGAACCTATTACGTACGAGCTTCAAATGTTACCATGGCTATTTATATTGACGGCCCTGGAACAACGGTGCTCAAATGGAAAACACATTAAGGCAGTATTCAAAAAACTGACAGAAAAACTAGAGACTGGGAAATTACAAGAGGGGCAAGAAAATGAGGAAGACGAAAAAATGCTTTACTGTTTTCTAAATCTTCTACTGATATACACCAAATTTGAAGTTTTAGAGGATAACGAGGATGAAATGGAAGAAATAATCAACTATGTTCAAAGAATTCTGCGTTTAGACATTCGTAACCGCGATGGAAATACATTACTGCATCTAGCGGCATTTGATGCAAAAACTACGGGAATTGTGTGCAAGCCTCCTTGCGTTAAAACCACAAAGCTAATTTTACATGCAGGGTGTGATGTGAATACCGTAAACTTTGAAGGAGAAACTCCTCTTCATTTGGCTGTGACTTTTACGCCGGGGGATAAACAGGTGGAGACTTTGAAACAAATACTGGAAATATTGCTCGATATCGGTGCAGATACAAAGCTTGTAAATAACAAAGGTCAAACACCACTGGAATGCTGTGAGAGCGACGTGGCTCGAAGGATCCTGTCAGAGACAAGAGCAGTGGGTGCCATGGACGTCGTTACCAGAGATGTAAGAAAGTTTTAAGTTCTGAGAGTTCTTTCGTCCGCAAAATAATGATAACATTTAATTAAATTCTACTTTTTTTAAACTGTTATCCTTCTCCTTATAACAGAGAGCACTTTTGTCGATGGGGAGATCTATCAACTTTAGAAACTCAATCCAAAAAATTCATTTTGTACAATAAATATAACAAAATTTGAATTTGCATTTATATCTTTTCTAATCAAAGAAGCTCAGTATATTAAGTTAAATTTACTGCAAATTGGAATAATAGTAATAATAATGATAATTACGATAATAATAATAATAATATCCGTGCTGTTGACTGTTTTTTCAGTCTTTATCCTTCGATTTTATTCCTGTACTTTGAAGAGTTATCATGAGATAACTACCGGTGCATCATACGTTTATGGCTCCAGGCATCTTGTTTGGTGTAATTTAGCAATACAGATGATCGAATTTCAAATGTTATTTAAATTATTGACTTTTAAACTTGGATGTATGTGCATTATTAACATCTGATATGTATTTTCAGCACGATGTATAAAGAAACTGTTACTGTTAGTATTGTTACTATTAATATCATTACAAATACTCATAATGATTCTTATCATCAAATCATTTTTTGTTTTCACCAAGGACGGAAAAACTGGTAGTGAAACTGACTCTGAGAAGTCTCAGAAAGAGAAATCAGGTGAGTTGATTTTCATTAGAGGTGAATTTGTCATGATGAAATTTTGTAATTCATCTGCTATGGCGCCGGTAAGTGATAGTTTCTTCACCGCAATTGCTTATAAATAGACATGTTGAACCTTATTATGAGCTGATAGTCGACCGAAAGTAAGGCCATTAACCCGTCGGCTCCGTAGATGACCTAATAAAAAAGCAACCAGCAAAGAGGGAAGGCTTTCGATTGTTCCAGCTCTCAATTGGTTCAGGTGTTTTTACACGTTCACATGCTTATTTTCATTACTAAAATCCAAAATGATTGAAAGGCCAAAAATTTTTACAAGATATTACAGATAAGTTATTTCGACCTTCAGTTGTCACTACGAATTATAAATTATTATAGAATCAAAGGCCTCTTAGAGCCAGCTCATTCATGCTATGGCTTAATGTTAAGTTTGTATTGAGTTCTTGGACTTGTTGAATTTAGGTACAGTTGAATTCGGTTCATGTTAACTTTCAAGACTTTAGGAGTAAATTTTCTTTTATTTCTGGGCAGTTATGTGATAAGAAAACTTGTGCATTCGTCGTGATGGGAATTGGAAAAAAGGTTGTGTGGGCTGAAGGTGGGATGGGCAGAGGTCGTAAGGCGAAAGAGTCATTTTTGTTGGTGTGTGTGTGTGTTTGTGGGGCGGAGGGTGGGCTGAGTGGGCATAATCAGGCATCCAATGTTGCTCTAGCAGCAAAATATTAGTAACCCTCATCTTTCACGGTCATTTGTACTATTGTGAAATATTCCTTACCCGTTTCTTAATATCTTTTGTTTTTACCGAAGCGGCCATTGCATTTGGTTTTAAAGAAAGCGGCCACAATCGTTCTTAACAGAATTTCAAGCCTTCATCTAGTCTAATTTTCACATGATAATATTTGCATAGTCACCAAACAGATGAGAGATAAAACCACCAGAAAAGCAAACAAATGGCCAGTCACGAAAGGAACGCTTCGCTTTTCCGTATAAAAATTGGCCGGTTCCCAATGTAAGCCAATAAGGCAAATAAAGCACATATGTGAAAATCAGTGTGGGTACACCTTTAAACGTTCAAAACATATCAAGTTGAAGGAACAGTCTTGGTCTCAGTACGCATTTTTGTCAACAAAATGAACTCATATCGGTTAAAAAAGATGAAACGTAAATCACGTCGCTTGAATGTAGGTAAATCGTAAATGGTGTTACTGGAATAATGCGTCATATTGCAATAGCCGACAATTTCCGATAATCACCCGACTCGGAAACTTGTTACTGGTGCTCCTCGGGCGTACCTCTAGCCGGTAGGATTTAGGCACAACCGTCTTCAGTTGGTATAAAGTGATCAGTGCTCTATCATTGTGCTTTTCCTCGGGAGCTCTTCAACATATGGTCCACACATCAATCACAGCGGCCAAGATAATCTTACTAATATTATTTTTCGAGCTCCAATATTTCGGTCCGGACTTGAGGCACGCTTGAACAAAAACAGCAATACCAATCCGGTCAGTACAAAATGCACATTGCAGACTACAAACCGGGTAAAAAATGCAGACTGTAGACTGGGTACAAAATGCAGACTAAGAATTTATGTTTTTTTCGTGTGATTCGTGATAACATGTCATCTTACAACTTACCGAGCGTCACGCAATCGCTTTTCCGTGATCATCTTTCACGATTATTTACACTACTGTGGAATATTCCTTGCCCGTTTCTTGAACACAATCGTTCTTAATGAGTGGAAATGAACCCGCTACGGGTCCTCTAGGTATAAGGACTTAACTTAATTAAAGCTTTAGATTAATTAATTAAAGCGGGAATCCCGCGCGGGAAAGTTGGGCGTTTTCGCAAACACTTGTTGGTTGGCTTTTCTGCGATAGTAAGGGCAGTGTGTCTTTTTATTCTTTTGTAGTGGAGTCGTTAGATGGATGCATCAGTAGCAACACTAAAATAGTACCTCCTTGCTCACATTTACGTTTTTTTATTAGGTGAACGAAAACTCTCTCATGACCAGAAAAATGGCCCCGCTGACTCGGAAGAGCTAGAAATAGATGAACTGTACTTTGATACGGACAGACAATCGCAAGCGAGAGGGAAAGAAACCGTAAATTCGCAGAAACCGTTAACAAGGGAGAAGGATAAAATGCAAGAAAGACATAAACAAATGACGGAAATGAACCAGTGCGGGATCCATTTCCAAGCACAGCTGCAAAAGAAAGAATTGGAAGATGTTAACCTGCCGAGGGAAAAAGAAAAACGAGAGGAAAGTTCACAGAGAAAATTGTGCGAGATAGGAGAGCACGCACAATTACAAGAGAGCGAAGAACAAGAAGTTAAGTCCAAAAGACAACTGCACGAGATAGAGAGGTATATAAAAGACGCACAAGTTGAAGTAACTGGAAGTGGATTTGATGAAGGAAGAGGGGGAAGATTTGTTCCTGAAACCGAAAAAGACCCAAATGAGAATTTTGAAAGGGAAACGACAGAGATACCAGGTAAGAGGATATTGTTGAGGAACAAATTAGTAAATTAAAAAAGTTGTAGGGAAGACTGGCGAATTCCGTAATGAGCTTTTAGGTAACAATATTAGGTGAGAGAGAAGAACTGAATATATTACATATATATTTCACACGGGTAGCAGGCTAGGTGCCAAGTAATCGAAAATAGAGTCTAAAATGATTCAGTTCCTAAGTTTAAACGTTTTTTGATATAAAACTGATTCAGAGAGAGAGAGAGAGAGAGAGAGAGAGAGAGAGAGGAACATGTTTTGGGTTTTAGGTTCACGCTCTGTGAGACAAGCTGAAAAATTCCTTGTTCTATTTTCATTATCTAAGGAATATTCAGGGAGTTGACACAGCAGCTGGAAAACGTTCAATCAAGAAACAGAGATGGAGAATTGAGGGAGATGACACAACAGTTGACTGATGTCCGGAGGCAACTACAAGAGAGAGATGGACAACTAACAGAAAAAGATCGCCAGCTAAGAGAGAGAGATGGAGAACTACATGACAGAGATGAACAGCTAAGAGGGAGAGATGGACTACTGAGAGAGATGAGAGATCAGTTGACGGATGTCCAGAGGCAATTAGAAGAAAGAGATGGACAATTGAGAAACAGAGATGGACAAATAAGAGACAGAGATGGAGAACTACAAGACAGAGATGAACAGCTAAGAGAAAGAGATGGACAACTGAGGGAAATGAGAAATCAGTTGACGGATGTCCAGAGGCAACTACAAGAAAGAGATGGACAACTAAGAAACAGAGATGGACAAGTTAGCGAGATAACAAAGCAGTTGACAAGTGTCCGAGGGCAACTACAGGAAAACACCAAAGAATTTACTTCTTTGGAAAGACTGCTGAGGGCCAAACAGCACGAAATAAAGGAACTGGATACGTCTCTTTCAGCAGCTCAAAGGGTGTTATAGGAACGTTCACGCCATCAGACCCCTGATTGGGTCATTCCACGTGATCAGATTCAACTGACGGACAAATGCCTTGGAAAGGGAGGCTGGGGAAGGGTCATCGAAGGTAAATACTGTGGCTGTGCTGTCGCCGTCAAACAGATACACGAGTTGATTCTTTCTGATCACAACCGTAGATTGTTTGAGCGAGAGATGAGCATCGCCGCCAGATGCCGCCATCCTTGTTTGCTGCAGTTTATTGGGGCAACAAACGATGAAGGAAGTCCTTTGTTTGTAACAGAGCTCATGGAATCTAGTTTACGAGCACTGTTGGAACAGCGGCCTCTCACTTCACTTGAAGTGTCTGTCATTTCTTTAGATGTTGCTCAAGCATTAAATTACCTTCACTTAAAGAAACCATCCCCCATCATTCACCGCGACATCAGCAGTGCCAATGTGTTACTGTGGCGACAAGCCGACCAATGGCGAGGCAAAGTGTCAGATTATGGCACGGCTAATGTTTTGCAGCAGACCATGACAGTTGGTCCTGGTGCTATGATATACAGTGCACCTGAAGCGCATACTAAATACCAAACAGTCAAGGTATGTCTGAAATTTGAAAATTGGAGTTATATTTCTCAAATGTTTGATTGTGATTGCTATGAAGTTTATTCATGATAGGATCGAAAATTAATCTGTGAAGCGCTGAGGACAAAAAACTCTCGTCTGATATCTTACTATAGATGAACCCTCATCCTTGGTAAACTGGTCGGATGCTTTATGTAATATCAGTCTGTAGGGAACATGCTGCAGGACAGATCATGAGAAACTCAACTTTAACCAGCTGACAGAAGTCGAACCTATTTCTCTCTATTTCTCCCTTCGCTGAGCTAAAATGAGTGCGATGCTTGCATAGCGACGAGGCAACGTTCCTCTGACGTAAGCAGACTGCTAACACAAAAAAAAACAAAAAAAAAAAGAAAAGAGAGAGGAAGGAAAAGATAAATGAAAATATAGGAATTTAAACTAGCTGGCATGTTTATGCATTTTCAACTTTTCATTGTTATTTTCTTTTCGAGCTTAGGTTGATGTGTACAGTTTTGGAGTTCTCTTTTGTGAGATTTGCATCCGGGAACTACCGGATCCTGACAGGCGCGACGAGCAAGTTGCCATGGTGACAAACCGTATGCTTCGAGCTCTTATTCGGGGATGCCTGCAACAAGATGCTGATGAAAGACCAAGTATGGAAGACATCATTGGTGAACTCGAACAACCAATATAAGATTGGTTTGGGAAAGATCTGCTTTCTATCTACACTTACAATCGAAAAGAAGAGAAACATAAAAACCTTCGATCTAAAATGGTCTGTGTAAACTGGCTTTTTCTTGGCTCAGTGCGAATATGCTTTATTGTAGGACTTGCTTTTTGAGACGCCGAACGTTTCATCAGCCGAACTTGGAAAGTTGAACCAGCTTTGATTTGCGTGTTGTTGCCTTTTCATGACCATTCCAATTATCGAGTCACTCAAAGAATTTAAGGACTTTTCGGCTGAAGAAGACAAGTAACGATTAGTTATGCAATTGTTAGTTACACAAAGAGTTCGGCACATGATAAGTTCGGCATCAGAATTAAAGTTAGCTGTTAAAAGTCTAAATCCTTTGCAAGCTAGGCGAGAAGAATAGCGTAAGTGTTCAAGACACGAGACTGTCAGTTTATAACTCATTATTGCTTCATTAAACACCACCTTGGAGCTAAAAAAGAAACCGGGAGGGGGAACAGTTAAAGCTCACTGGCTGAATTATTTATTGAATATTTTTATTGTAAACACTAGTGAAAAATTGAAATTTTTATTACATCGACGGCAGTAGTGTCTGTAGTTGCAAGAGATTATCGTAAATCAAGAACGAATCAAATAATGATTTAATTGCTGTCTCTTTCAACTAACTGTCTAACCGGGATTTTTATAGCACCTTAGTCCTATGATTGTAAATGGGTGGGGGTATTCATGTGACCATTCTTGCCTATGCCTCTTTTCATTCTCAACGGTTACTTAAAAGCGGAATTTTCATGATAGCTGTGATAGAGTGTATCAAATCTTTTCAAATGATAACTCTGACGTTTCATGGCTACGAGTCTTAACATTTTAAATCGAGATCAAGTTTTACAACGTTGACCTCTCCTCTGAATTGTGGTTTAGACTGAGGTGTATCAAATCACATCACATCACATCTTTGATTTTTTATTTGCTATATTTCTTTTGATCTTCAAAACTACAACTGTGGCCGAAATGTCTATTCATTTCGAAGAAATTCTTTCACTGTCTGATACGGAGAAGGCTTTTCAGCTCCGTACAAACATTTCTTGTCCTGTAATGTGGCTACAGGCTTGTTGTAGAAGTGAGTAAAGCCGTTTTCCTTTAAAAAACTTCGCACTTCCTCATCATATTGGCTTTTGAATATTTCTACGTCTCTCGTCAGCACAAACAACATAATCTGCTTGCTGTCTGTGACCACAGAGTACTGATAAAGACCTTTTTCACCAAACGTAGGTGGTCCTAGTTTTAACACCCAATCTGTTAAGAAGAAAACGCATCCGTTAGCTTTTGCTTGTCAGTAAATACATTAAATTATTATAATTTTTTTTGTTACCTTCTCGCATCGGTATGCTAGCGACTGGAGCGCAGGCTACAGTACCCAAGCATAAAAGACATTGCGACATCGGTGTTTTGCAACCGGCATTTTGCGCAGTTGTGTGTCCCAGTCCCTCTCGTTCGTTCGTTCTCGTTCATGATAGTTCGGATCGTTCCCTCCCACCTCAGACTAACCATGTATGTTAAGTTCAAGGGAAACGCTGCATCCTTTTCTTTACGTAATAGCTTAGCGTCGTTTAAACTTACATGAAGCGAGGAAAGGTACGCCGTCCAGATGCAGTGTTAGCTTTCCTGGTTCGTCGGGGTTGGTCATGTAGGCATACCCAGTGATGCTGCTTTCCTTTCCTGTCGGTGTGTAGAGTCTCCCTCTATTCAGAACTCCTATTTTTTCATCTTTCCGGAGTGAATCTGAAAAATAATTTTGGTAAAAACAATTTTAAATTAGGCTTTGGTAACCAGTGGTATGTCAGACAAACTTTTTAAGTACGAATGTTCACTTACAATCCGCTGTCACGCAAACTTGGTTACGCTCAGAAGTAGCCATAACTGTGGGGTCGGCATATACCTATTCGCACAGAAAAATAAAGAAAATGAAATTGAAATGACATCAAAGGAAATGACATCAAAGGGGAGGTGCTGATGAAAAATTTTACACTATTTCACGCTAGGGGAATAATCGCGTGATATGCATGCGCAGGAAAGAAAACGTGAATGAAAGATTTACGATCCACTTTAACGTGACCACCAGCGTATTACATAACACTGCTCAAAGATGAAAAACGAGGAGCATTTGCTGATGAACACAGATACTTTAATTTTTCGCCAACTTTGATCACAGTATATGGAATTTTACTAATCGTTGCCGAGTAAATACTGTAATCAATTACCTTTTGTAAAAAGGCCTTGTTAACTTCCTATCGGCCATTACGCATCAGAGCCCAGCTGTTCGAAGGCTGATTAGCGCTAACCCAGGGTTAAAATTTTATCTAGGTTTCTTTATCCCTTTGTTTGAAAGTCTTTCTGTAATAATTTTCTCTCTTCTTTGAAGGGCATCCAGTCATCAAGTTGTAGACAAAAATAATTGTATTGAATTTTCTTTTAAAGCTTTCAGATCTTAAACTAGGTTTCTCACTAACCCTGAGTTATCTTAACCAAGCTTTGAACAACCAGGCCCAGACGAAAGTACATATCAAACGACAGCTTTTTGCAAACTAGTGCGCAATGTCTATTGTATGGAACATGCAGTATTGTAAGGTTGATATTTTGCTTTCATGCAGAGCATAGGGTCATACACATGTATTCGACAAGTTTGTAACCTTCACTCAGTTTGTATCGGCCATGTCGTGCTGTGCGAATAAATGGGTTTAAACGGCATCGCTTATACCTAATAAATTCTCAAAAGGTTTTTGACATACATTATCGCACAGTTAAAATGTTGGAAAGCGTTGCGTTGAAAGAGACTTCGTCCCTCAAAGTAGTCCACAAGTAATACACGCGGTTACATAATCATGAACATCACAGTACACAGCTTTACCTGATACCAGCGACCAAGATATTTTGTCACATTCAAAGAAGGAACGGTGTCTATGCCGAAAGCACAGCTGAAAAATACAGCAACTAGAATCACAGCGTACTTCATGTCGACTTCTGAAGGGCAACGCCACAAGATGAGTGATGTCTGTTCCGCTACGTGTGTGAATAAGACTAAATATATGTTACCCAAGGGATTACATGAAACACCATTTCTAAATATAGTAACATGACAATGCGTGACGGTCGTGAGACCCGCCTCCCGTTCCATTGTCTTCAATCTGGTGGGGCATTCTCACCGTTGATTGAGCTGTTGGCGTCGGAGAAATAAAAGAAATAGAAAAGCCTGTGACTTTTCGGAAACTTTCAGAGTAACCTGGCGACACCTCGGGATTTACTCGGCACTTACTCGACCTCTTTCGTATCGATTTCATCTTTAATACACGAATTTTCATCCACAAAAACTACTTTCTCACAGTTCATACTTGGTGTCGTGCACCACCTTTCGAGTTAAAAAAAAAAACCGTGGGTCCAGTCCATGCTCACTGGCGTTGTTGCGTCGAACACCACCTTTCGAGTTTACAAGATATATTGGAGGAGTGATTGCACGTATAGATAAATCATTTCGTTGCGTGTAAGAAAAGGAAATGTTACGCCTAAACTGTGCTAAATCAATGACGATCACACAAAGTCAAAAAAGCTAAACATCAACGAGTATGAAGGGGTAGGGAGGAAGTGATGGGTAAAATTTCTCAATATGTAATAATTATAATCATCAAAAGGAAGTGACTTAGACTCAATCAGATCAAATGAACTTAACCGGTGATGAGAAACTGAGTACTAACGATATGTAATATTTGTGATGAATGTCCTGTAGACATTACGCATTATTTTGCAAAAAGACAAAACGTTATTTACTTTTATCTGATGAGTAATGGCCTATCCGAAGTTAATAAGGCCTATGTACCAAGAAGTAATTGTTTACAGTATTTGATATTTGCTCTGCAGTAATTAATATAATCAATATTTCAAAGAACGGAGAAAAATTTTAGTGTCTGGGTTCCTAAGAAAATGCGCGTCGTTTTCAATCTTTGAGCAGTGTTATGTAATGTGATGGCTGACTCACGTTTCCTTGCGAGCGCTCGCAAATCACGAGATTATTAGCCTAAGCGTGTTATAGTGTGAAATATTTCATCAACACCTTCACATCGACTTAATGTTCTTTTTCTTTCCTTTTTTGTCCTAATACCTATGTGTAAATAAATACCGACCCCGCAGTTATGGCAGCTTCTGAGCGTGATGTAGTGCGCGTGACACCGGCCCTAATCCCAACCCTAACCTCACCCCTGCATAGACTCTTACGTGACCAATATTATAGACCCCATCTCAGTTACCAATAGGCAAATGTTATTTTTTGCTATCCCAGCTTCGTCATTCTCTGTTTATGTTTCCAACTCATTCTTAAATACCTACTTAACAGAATCGTCTTACCCTGAAAATGTGTGACCCCACATTCTAGTAACTTTATTGAAAATGTAGCCCTAAGCAACTGGTTGGCACATGTTGGATCGACATCAACAGGCAGGCTGTTCAATCCTGCTGGGTGGAGGACCTTGACTGCCTCATGATTCTAACGTCACAGAAGGGTCCAAGAGCAGCGAAGCAAAGGAATCATTGAGTTCACAAGTTTTTACACTTTCCAGTGAACGTCATACCACAATAGAGGGATCAGGAACATTTTCTTGGAATGACAATGACAACTAGTTTTTTCACTCTCTTGGAACACGTTCACGACTTAACTCCTCAGGCGACGTCATGCTTTTAAAAAACTACTGTCGACGTCATCAGCTCCGGAGATCAGGAGATGCAACATGGGGCGGTCTCCACCCATGACTATTACGTTGCATGTCACCATATTTTGAAACAGTGTATAATTCATATCTCATTACCTGCTGTATTTCGTGCTATACACTAACGTAATGGAACTCCTATCCCTCAGCTTGCAGGATTACCCTTCAGAAGTTGACATGAAGTACCCTGTGTTTCTAGTTGCTGTATTTAATTTTTCAGCTGTGCTTTTGGATAGACATCATCCCCTCTTTGATTATATCAAAATATCTTAGATTTTTATTGGGTCACCAAAACAAAATAGCCCTGATCCCCCCCTACAAGAGGGTCTCAATGGGGTGATGGCTTTTGCGATTGAGATTAAAATTTTTGGCCATTTCACGGCTACGGTTAACCCAAAATGACACGAAAGGATACATTGTTATAAGGAAAAATGTTTACGGTTAACATTCTTTGCGACTAACAGTTAAAATTTGTCAATTTTTACACCCTAACGGCTAAATTTCACTATGCTTCTCACCAGGGGTTAAAGTTAGGCTTGGAGGGTTAAGGTCGGCGATAAAAACTGAACAAAGTATACGGGAGAGCGACGAAATCGGTGATTCTGTCAAATTTCAAATAGGAGGGAGGGATGGGGGGTAGGGGGAGGAAGCGGGCAAGAAGCCGTTCGTAAAAAGAATTCACAGAGAACTTGTGCAAAACCCCGACGAAAAGTGTAGTTTGTACCTAAAAGTAGAGGTCTTTCGTCCAGTTACACTAACATTATTGTGTTGTGACGATAATGTACCCGGCAGCGAACGCAATGCACCGGGCATTGCCCAAAATCCAGCGCGTGTTAGGCCATGATGCCCCGCGTACCAGGGTAAATGCATTACACGCTGATAAGCCTCGCTTTAAACTGAAGACACAAAACCCTGAGGGGAAAGCTATAGTTTAAGCGATCTTAGGGTAAGTGTATGTAACTCTTCGTTGTGCACAATGATAACTGGAATCTTAGATAATGCTTTGCATGTGTTGTCAGTAACTAACTCCCGATTACAGATCGTTCCTCGGCCCTAACACATCCCATTGTTTTTTCATTTCATTCCATAAGATTTTTTGATACAGTGTGCGGAGTTCCACCTCCACAGCTTTAAGGCAAAATTCAACAAATAGCAGATGACAGCATTGACGAATTGTTCTAGAATTCTACTAATATTCTGTGTACGTAACTGATAATCGTAAATATTTGTATTATTGGATTGCAATTTTGGGTTAGAGCTGGTCGATTATTTTGTAACATCTGACAATACGTTTTGATGAAATTCTGATAAAAAAAAAAAGCCTGCGTCTGAGGTTTTCGTGCGCGGTAAGTTTAGCTGTTAGTTTGACCAATCGTCATTAGCTCTTTTGAACGTTTTCCTTTACTAAGGTAAGTGACAGTTACTGTTCTTGCGATTATTGCATTCAAATCACGAATCAATGGGCTCACCGCATTGGAATTTTTTTTTCTGATAATTTTACGGATTTCATTGTGCGTGGCGCGCACACAGTCGACTTGCTCCAGAAACTTTCTTCCCGGTGGCTATTACTTTGCAACAAGTTCAAACATGGAAACAGATTACTCGCTTTCTGGCTTTGTGTTTGAGACTTCGACAGTATCATTGTTAGTGGAGTGTTTTAGGAAATGTAGGTTGAACTGTCGATGCATCTCGTTTAATTATCAGACAAGAGTGAGTCCGGACAACTGTGAGCTGAATGAAGCAAACAAGTATCTGAAGGCGAATGCTTTGCAACTCAAACAAGGAAGTCAATACTATGATCTGCGCATTGATTATAATGTTGTGGTGAGTCAAACAATTCAAGTGCACAATTTTTTACGGATAAAAATGACCATGTTACCAATAAGATGATTTTAACATGCATGCACAATCACAAACACTGCTTAGATATTTGTATATATTTGTAGAAATAGCTAGATTTCATTTATTATTTGGACTGAGATCTTTCATTGTACAAAAATAGCCAAAAATTAAAATACGAATGGCACAGCGCTCGTAAAATGAACTTTTCCCATTACCAAACAATACGTACGAGTCATCCTGCAAATGAATCTCGGTCACGATTGGTGTTTAGCTGCAGGAATACTGACTCGATCCCAGTCGTGTCTGAGCACATTGCGCCGGGGGTGATGGGAATTAAAAGAAGCTACCTTCCCACCGTCCACTTCGTTCCTTGTTATTAGCACTCGTTCCCATCTCTCGCGCTTCTGAGTACGAGACGAGACCCTTGTTGATGAGAAAATCGTTCGGGTGCAGGCTGTAAAGGAAGGTCGTTTCTGAGTTATGAATTATGTAATTGGATTATGTTGAAAGGAAGCTAAATGTATCATATCAAAGCAAACACGTCACATGGCCTAACATTCTCATTTATTGTTGTTTTTTTTTAAGTATTATCATCATAATTTTTTTTTTGCTTTAAAAGCAGAGTAGAAGTCATTCGTCAGCTTGTCACAACGGCTGTTGTCATTCACAGCCATGCCTCAATGGGAGAACATGTCAAGAGTTTTGTGACGATGGGGCTGCAAACCGGCGAATACTTTGAATATTCTTGCAGTCTTCATCAACATTGTTTTGCCAACAGATGGCTTTTCATTTGATTCCGAGCGTGGGAATAACTCCTTGTTTTGTGGCCCACCGGGAGTTTCCGTTGATGACATGGAGCTGCAATTAAAAAATTTGACTTCTCCCCTGGCCGTCAATGCAAACCAAGAATTGCATATGTGGTTCGGAGAAGATCTGTTTGACTGTTTTGAGACAGACAATGGCGGCAAAACATGCGCTGATAGGTATGGACTGTATATGTAAATAGAACTGTATCAGGTGCTGTATGTGGTGCACCAATAATCCTGTCTTTGCAGTTCATATACAACTACCTTGTAACGTCACTAATAATTCACAACTCATTATACTTTTCTCAACTTCTAGATTACGTAACGGGCTGTCTATTGGGTATAACTTGTCACAAAAGATCTAAATGCACTTATTTCGTGGCTCAATCCTCCGTGACTGTTGATGTATTATTTTTTATAAATTATATATAACTTCAGGAAATGAGAGATAAAGGAAATGGGGAAACGCAAAAGCAATCATTGGAAAAGATATTAAAAATGAAACGCAAACGAATTTGGTCGATCTGCTTATGCTGCTTATGTCCATATTCAAATAAAAGTTAATGTATCATTAAGGATATGGGAGCCCAGGGAAATGTCTGAGATATTAAACTTTTTCTCGTTATCCAGATATATGATTGAGAGATTAATTAAAACCTTCTTCTGTCTTTGTTTGAAATAAATTCTAGATTTTAACTTTTGTTCTTAATAAACATCGTCACTCCCAACAACCTATTTATTTGTAAAAAAAGAAAGACCCAATAAGGGAAGCGCAACTAAAACTATTGTTCCAGTTTGGCCCGAAATAATTAACAATTGAAAGGAAAAAAGCTGTTTTTACGGTTTAATTAAAATTATCTACGGTTAGTCTTCAAAACTTAGTGGTGACCATCTGCAGCAAGTCATTTTTTTTTAAAGACATGTCTCGATTGTTGTCGATTGTAATTTTCTTGGATTTGATCTTAGTTGTTGTCTTTTCGGTTCACAATAATGGTGAGTAAGTTTCGTTTGAATCGCATTTTCTTAAACTTTGAATAAGTTATTCGGGTTTAGAGTGGATATTTCCGTTTGACAATGTTTTATCAGGGATTGCCATAACAGCATACTTGAATTAATCATTGCAAAAAGTTTATTTTTAAGAGTTTTGCGGGATTCCACTCTCCACTCACAAGAACTGACCGGTGCACAAGTTTTTCCTCTTCTATCTCACTGGCAGTTATGAATATTTGATTTTGCATGTTCTCAGTTTAGACTCTAGAAATTATTTCTAGCATGGGCAGCTCTTGTAACAGATAACTGTCGCCAGTTAGACTTTAATCTTCCAATATTTGGAAAGGCTTTGGCCAATCACGTGATCCGAACTATCCAAGTCCCGGATGTCCTGCTCTGTCAGTTGTATTGTTTTCTGGAAGCGGATTGTGTGTCGGTGAATGTAAGAGCTGCAAACCATAGCCCAGAAAAGATCTGTGAACTCAATAACAAAGATGCAAACAGCCATCCTGAGGATTTGATGCTCATTCACCAATCTTCATTCCATGGGACAAAAGTAATGGGATTTTTCTTAATATTTGTCAGTTTTTTATCGAAAAATGAGATTACATGAAACAGTGATCAGTGAAACGCTTTGTAAAGAAACTAAACAATTTCGCTGAATAAAATCAATATTGCTAATCTTTCCATTCGCGGTTTTTAGAATGCCTGCTCCAGTAATCCTTGCTTGAGTGGCGCCACGTGTCAAACTGGATTCACCGAAATACCGCTGTCTTTGTCCAACAGGTTCCTTTTGCACAGAAGGTTTGGTCTTACTTATGTTCTTTTCAGCAGAGTTATCGAAATGTCCTCAATAGCCTGAATGAAGCAGCAGGTCACTAGATGGCACCACAACTCGGAAAAATACACGGACAGTAGTTTCACGTATCGAAACATTATCGAAAATCTTCCTCTCGTGTTCAATTGTCCATAAAAATGCCAACCTAAATTCTGTAGTCTTTCTACAATAGAACCACTTCTTCTGATAGGGCAAAGCATGATTTCCTTGGAATTAACTTTTCACAATTGACCCGAAAAAGACAACATTTCTTCTGAGCTCAAGAAGGATTTGTCAAAAATAAATTCCTCGGCACCACAAGACATCATAACGGTATCCTTTTCTTTGATTTGATCTTTCTTCAGTTCAGTGGATAAAAATAAACACTTCACCAGTCTGTTTTGGAGCTCGTAACAATTCATATGGTGTCTTCAAGATTCCATCAGCTGGTCGCGTGATCTCTTTTAAACTGGTACATCTATTTGGGTACGTGGTCTGTGGTAAACGGTCAGGCAAGTCAAAATGGGGATGCAAATTCAGATATCCTCCTAAGCTGGCAGTTTTTGTCACAGATCGTCTTCAGCGGCCGATTTTGCCGCCAGATAATACGGTGTTTCGTAGGTTCAATGGGGCGCATAATCAGTGTGCAAATGGAATTTATTATGGCCTCCCTGGATTCAACGAAGACTCTCGGGAGCTAAGGTTCAATAACTTTTCTTCCCCTATGACGGTCACAGAGGGTCAAGAATTTCAAATATGGTACGGGGAGGATCTGAAAGACTGCACTGAAGACGACAATGACGGACAAAGTTGTGTTGACATATACGGCTTGTACGTGTAAGAGACTTTTTGTAAGGGGGTGCTCTGACATTTAGATTATGGAACTCTCACTTTTCAGATTGCTGCGTGCTCTTAACGTCAATTCCTCTTACTCTCAAGACTATCTATAAAGGCACCCTCTTTGCATAAAAGTTTTCATTTAGTGAACCCAACTCAGCTCCGCGAAGATGAGCTAACTTTTCTCCAGCTTTTATCTCAGCTTTTTAAAACAGTTCTGTCGCAATTATATGAATCACACACAAAAAAATTGTTAAAACCTGTAAATATTATTACCTGAGACTCGTTTTTGACTGAGCATTTCTTTCGGTTGTGGTAGTTTTTCGATAATTGTCGTCTCAGAAATGTTTGTCCCAAGAATATATATATATATATTTAAAATTTGCATTAATGGTTTAGTAGTAAATAACAATGATCACATAAAAAGCTTTGCCAAAGGTGTGTTTACTAAAGGATTTCGACACTTCCTGTCACATGACTATCACGAAAGGTTTAATTTGTTTTATCTCAAAAGACACGAAGAGCAAACAAAATGAAACTGTACAGGAAGTATTTAGGCTGCTATTAAACCAGTTACGGCTGTGTATTCTACTGTTTCAGCAAAATTCAGAAAATTATACCGTTCTGTGTTCTGGCTCTTAGCACTGGCATGTTTTGTAATTCTGTGTTGGTGATAACAGTCGTACTTGTTCATGGTTAGTGCAATCATTTTAGTTAGTCTACGTAAATCGTTTTAGATATAATCAGTACTATCAGGTATGAAATGTCAAAATTGATACCTATTGCTTTTGGGTTGTTCTTCAGTTACTTCTGACGTGTCTGTTGTCAGAAATATTTAAATAAAAGATGTTCTATGCTCTGCCCTGTGAGCATTGATAGCATAGTACGTACTGTTTGTGATATCAGTAGTTTAAGTATAATATTTGTTAGGTCATGTCGCGTGTATCATTTCCGACGCCAGGAGAATTATATATCTTGCAGTATGTAAATAGTGTCAAATTAAAAATTGATTAGAATCCACGCTTCTTTTCTTACTGAAAGGCTCATCGACTGCTTGCAAAAGAAAAGCAAAGGCTTCGTTGACGTTCGGACGAAAGGAGTTAATAAGTCGATAGGAGTAGAGTCGTCCCAGTCTCTTCTCGACTAAATTACACCTACTGGAAGTTAAACCTTTTTAGGTTTCGTTGTGGTTATTTCAATGAAAATTCTTTCCTGCTTTTTATCTATTCATCCCTAGAGACTTTATTACCATTAAGAACATGGGTAGTGGTTTATCTTTTCTTCAACCTTCGTAACTCTATATAAACATAGTCGGCTTTTCGTATTTGTTCCAAAGTCATCACGGTATCACCTATTACTCTCACAGGCTTCAAAACCAAAGTCATTCTTGCTCAAAAAACAGAGCACTCATGGTGGGCCATTAAAAAACAAAGTCAGAATCAAAATCAAACAAACTTCACGAAATGAAAAGCCCAAATGTAAACATTCCAAACACCTGTTTTCAATTTTTTGGATTGAATCCTACCTCTTTCTTTACATCACACGCGGATTAAGACCACGCTAACAAACTTTGTAATTGGTGCAGTGATTGTCAAGATGGCAGGGTCGTTAACTCGTCTTTTTTTACAACTTTTTCTCTACTTTGCTTCATCATATTTTACTGAAGATAAGCCGGTTATATTGTCCCTTTTCGAGTTAATTCAAACTTGCCTCGTCAGTTACGACGTCCTTTCTTGATCTACATATTTTTTGCCAGTTTCCAGTTGTTGAATTCTATCCCGTTTCATCCCCTAGACATTCTTGCATGTTCTCTGATCTCTTTCCATAAACCCAGTTTCTATTTCCGATCAAATTCTTCTACATATATTACAATCAAGTTGTTTCCATAAATAATCGATACGAAGATTCAGCACTGAATTTTTTCGTTTTCGAATAAGTGTGAATCATGACTGATAAGATATTCAATAAGTTTTGATTTTTCAATTATAAAGCTCTCCAGCCAGTTACCTTGTGTACTCATTCAAATGATTGGGACAAATAGTACACAAAAGAATGTGATAATGATATTAGAGAATGTACTAGAATGATTGGTTTTTCTATTACACCGGGCCCGCCGTGAGCTTCAAAAGAAGTCTAACACTCATTTTATATGCATGACTAATAACAAACATCACTAAACAGTGAGTCGACAGATGAAAGAAATGTGGATTAGAATAGAATTCACGGCGAAACAGTTTTCTTAAACATTTCGAAATTAACCAGAATCTCATCTATGTGAAAATTTGTAATCTTCACATAAATATCATTCGTCTTGAATACACCGAGTGCCTTTGAGACTCCTAATCACCGATTCAACCAAAACTGTTTAAAATAAGATATTTTCTTTTTTTTTTATCATTAATCATTCTCCCACAGATTCGTGAGCTCGTCAAAGCTAACTGATTATAAATTCGCAATGATAATTAGGAAGTACTATGCCACCTTGAAAATTCTTGGGTCTATATGAATTTACTTTGAAACTTGAGAGATTTCAATGCAATATCAAGGCCAAGGAAAGGTCCAAAATTACAATTGTTTTTTCAATGTTGATTATGGCTCCAGTTTTTTTTACCCCTAACACTTATTTTACAAGACAGTTCTTGATATACACATCATTCAACTTATTTCGAAAGGTAATTTTTTTCTTTTAAAAGTGATCGTACACTAAATTTTTATGGAAGGGTTTCCTTAGAAGTGAAATCTTCTCAATCTGGGGCATGATGTCTCTCGCTCAAGGAAGATTTTTCAGTCCTGCTCTTAGCCGGGTAGGCCAAGAATTGCCGGCACGCTGTTGATTTTGTTTATGTTAGATATCAACAGGGATGTTAAAAAAAACTTATTCAACTCTCTTACTTTGTAACCTATTAGACAACTGTCGTCATCTGCAATTCTTGCCGCCAATGAAAGACAAAGCATTACAAGGTCACGTGATACATACCAGTGACGTATCAGATCTGGAATTGTGTCAGTTTAAATGTTACTTGACACCGAGCTGTATTTCGTTGAATCTGGGACCGATCACAGCAAACAAGAAGAGAAGCTGCGAGCTCTGTGATGCTCATGGCGATGGAAATAAACATTCTGACTCATTAACCTTCCGAAAAGGATATCTTCATCAAGGGACGAATGTAAATATGTATACTGATGTTGTTGTAATTTTATTGTTTTTATGCGAAGAAGGTCGTTCTTTCTTTCCTTGTAATTTTCCCTTTTGTATTTCAGAATGTATGTGCGCATGCGCGGTGCTACTTGAATTCCACATGCCAGACTGGATTTACTGACAAGGGATACCGCTGTCTTTGTCCTGCGGGCTTCACGGGAGAATGGTGTAACATTCGTATGTATCATCGTGATATTCTTTTCTATCCTCATAGCGGTCTTGTCGCGGGAATTCCTTGGTGCTAGTTCTTCCAGCGCCAATTTTGTCAGCTCGGATCGAATTATTTACCTATTCGATTAAACGTAGTTCTCCAGAATAATGCAGTCCAAGGGTAACACCATGCCACATATATATACATTTTTCAGTCTTTCCGGTGGTGGAGACAATACTTCTCCTAAGTGTCTCACTAGTCTGGTAACAGGACATGTCTGGCTGTTTTGCCACTAAACATTTTCGGAAGCGGAGGGATACTTGCAACTTGACTATTACTAGAATAAAATGTGAAAAAGTTGAGAACGCTCATCATTTGCTCAGTCTGACATAGTACTAGTTTAGTCCTGTATGGGTACTCATTAGATAAGGATTCCTAGTTACCCTGGATTGTGATGATTAACATGAAACCTTTTTCTTTTAGGGATAATAAACGAAAAAGAAGTTATTTCTATTGATGTTGACGTTGACGAAGAAGAAGATGATGATGATCACGGCGAGAATGTCAGTGCTAGCGGCAGCGGTGACGATTCTGTTTCTTGATATGGTATTTGATGTGGCGCCATAGGGTTCCGAGGATTTCAAAACCAATTTAACCTTACTTAATTTATTTTCAGTTCAATCATGAATATATAATAATATATAAAAATAAATAAATCAAGAGTTTTCATATTCTGATTTAAGTAACCATCGTTCTTCTTAGCAAAAACTGGGACAAAATGAAAAAAAAAAAAGTCGCATTGGCCAGCGGTATCAATCAGCTGGCACGCGGCTATTTTTGCGACGGCACCTCGTTGGTCATTTTAACCCTTCAACTCGCATGACTGATCAACACATAACTTCTCTTTACAAGATCAATACAAAATCAAGCAGAATAGAGATAAAAAAAAGAAAAGATAAATTAGGGGGTTACGAACGTCACAACAATTCTATAACAGACCGTGAGAAGGATTACTTCTAAAATCCTAGGATCGGAGTGGAAAGGTTAATGTTTAGGGGAAAAAATTTCATTTTGCACAATACATCAGGTGACTCGACTATTTGTAAGTAGCTCTAGTCTGGGCTATAGTTAGGCGCGACTTTTTTTAAAATTGGTTCACACATCTGTGAGCCGATAAATTCGTGAGTCTTATAGTAGCTTAACGGCGTATCAAACGTATGAATATCTTGAGAACTGAAGCAATCATCTTATGTTGCGTCCATGTTGAGTTCTAGCCTGTTTTAGGCGTTTATTTCGTAAAACTGAACGAAATAGTAATCGGCGCTATAGTTGCAATGGGGCAAAAACGAGGGAGGTCTGGGGCGGGTTCATTGGTACGTTACTCGACCTAATCCTCGCTCGTTTTTTCACTCCTCTTCTATTATCGCACCGTTTACTTCAGCAGTTCTCTTTATTAACTGAACGGTAGGAACAAGTTGGTTAAATATATGAAATACTCATTTTTTCCTTTTTATTTCTAGTTCATTACCAGTCATGATTTGATAAAATCACCCACATGTGTATGTAAGGTAAATACAGTGAGAGGCAAACAAAATATCTGTGACTCGTGCAGTCTTTAATAGTTTCTCCTTGTTTGTTTTGTTACATGCTCTAACAAATACCACAAAACGACTGAAGAATTTCAAAACTGTCCTCAAAAGATACGGTGGAATCAATTAGACGCCTCATCATCGTCATCAGCTGCAGGAGCATCGACGAATAAGTCTTCTCCCTCAGATTTATCTGACACGTTATTGCAATAGGACCGCCTGAAGGATCCCTTTGAAACATTTTCGCGGAAAAATTTTCCACCTGGAGTGTTCACATTTCCACCTCTTCGGTAACGAGCCACGATATATGTGCAGGTCCAGCCATTCCGCCTGCCTGTATATTTTCCTATTCCGAGCTCTGCTGAGTCTTTCCAAACCAACTGGGAAAAGTGACCAAGGCCAGATTGAGAACGATGAATGTTAAAATTATATCGACATACTTCATCGTACCTATGAAACAAATCAAACGAACAGACGCATATGAACTCACTCAGAGAAATAAAACTGAGAATATCTCCATACATCTGCCAAATTCACTGTTGGTGAACACAAAATATTGTGGATGAATTTTTAAAAGAAGTCACGAGCTCAAGCATTGATTCCCAAATACACCTTATGTGCAAAGTCTCTTTTCTCATTAAATGCGAGTGGCACCCTTGGACTTACCCCTCCCATTAGCTCTGCCTTTGGCCTTTAATCATTTTATAACGGTTGGAAACTGGTTTACTGCTGTTACACTTACCAAGCCTTAATTGCATCTTCGACAGTCCTTCCATCCACCCCTGTTTGAGTTGTACATCCTGATGCCAAATTTTCTCCCTGGCCCTGGCGGGAACTCTTGGGGGAGTGTTTCAATTCGGTGGTTCCACCGAACCTCTGGAACAGATTGCGGGCATATCGATCAGCAGCCGCATTCATCCCCTCGTCGAGGATCATGCGCTCGGCGTCATGAATCGCACGCAGGCGGTTGTGTTGTCTTAAGGCTGCCTCCCTGTAATCTAAAAACATAATTGACACCTGTCAATTTGACGTAAAACGCGAACCTATTGTTTATTCAACAGGATTTTACGGCTATACTTCCTTTGGAGATTGAATCGGTAGGACACCCTGGCTTTATCGCTTGAGATCAAAATGTCATCAATTTTAGAAAAATTAGGTCGAGATGCGTCTGATTTTTAATGGGGGTTATTTAGGACGTGAAAGCCTTTTCAGAAAAATGGGCGATTCTTCAGACAAGTTTTATAATCCTAAACAAGTCACAAAACCTAGTTACCTCTTACGAAACTCTTGCACCATTTTAATTTGCTATGAGAGGTTTGGTTTTTTTGACGAGATAATCCCCATACAAAATCTCGTGAAGACCATGAAGGATGTCATGGCCATGAAGGCTGTCTTCAGGTTATTTAAACAGCCGTTGCCTTCTTTCTTAAAGGTCTCAGTAAAGTAACTCTCAAAAGATGCTGGGAGAGACAAAAAATGCCGTAATTTTAATTCATTTTCATGATTTCTCTTTTGTCTCATTTATCCATCAAGTGTAAGTTGTACTAACCTGCTGTCGCCACAAAACCCAAAGCAAGAAATATCAAAGCACTGAAAGATTTCATCTCCGCTCTGTGAAAAAATCCTCTTACCAGCAAACAAAGAAACAAACAAGGAAATAAAAAAACAACAAAATATTTTAGAAGGGAAGACAAATCTTCGATAGCGTTGTGAGGTTATATCGTCCGGGATTATAACCATGGAATTATAACCAGGTCAAAAGATTACAAAGATCCACTTCCTTGCTTTCGTAAGTTGGATAAGTTATCGCAAGTTGTGGAAATGCCTGAGTTTTAAACTATCATTTCTGGCTATTCTAGAAGATCAAAGTTGGATCAGAAAAAGACCAGGTAATAAAAGTCACGATTGATTAAGCCTTACAGACCAAATGATTTGTTACATAATCGTGGTTTGTTTAAAATTTTGAAAAAATAATGCATTTTGCCCTTTCATTGAGCGGACATCAATCAAATCATTCAATCTTTTGGGGAAACGAAAGGGAAAAAGAATCCTCTCCACCAAGAGAGTAAGCAAATTTCGAAAACAAATTCACTTTTAATAATGTTGATTGGCTCTCCCAATTTTTTTTTTCAACTGTGTAAAAGCAGGTTAGATGGTTAAATTATGTTAGTCTTATTAAAATCTTACTCACCACGATACCAGTTGATCTCTCTCTTCCAGAGTCCGCTTATTTCTACAAAATTTTGTTCGCTGTCAAGGCATTTAATCCTTAAACTGGCATGGGTTCACGAACAGGCAAGATTTGTTTTTAAATGATAATGAGAACATTTAATTAATTTGTCAAGGTTGAGTAAAACAACAAAAAGTTTAATTAGTTTTTTTGTTTTTGTTTTGTTTACTTCATTGTACCAGTCTTAACTCTCATATAATTTTTCACAGTTGTCAAGTTTGTTTAAAAGGGCAATAAGATTAATTAGCTTTTGTGTTTTCGTTTGTTTTACTTTTTATTACAAATATTTCATTTATTATTTAATACAAAAGTTTCTCACAAAAAGAGCAAAACCAACAAGATAACAATCGTAAAATTGACAAATTACGCCAGTAACTCATACAACAAAATAGGGACAATGATACTTTATCAAACTTCAATGTGTTGACTTTCTTTGTCAGCTTTGCTTGTTACCCTCAGAATTCTCTGCGGAGAAGGGAAGGTTTGAAGAGCAGAAAGATTGAGTTTTCTCCTCACCTCCTCTGTTCTCTCAGTGTTTTGGTAGTTTGATACAAATATTTCGTACTTCTGTCTGTAACCTTCTTTTATGTCAATTTCATTTGCCCCAAACAAAGGAAGTTTAATTCTACGCCTGTGAATTCATTGAATGACTGATTATCTTATTTAACAGTTGTTTGTTTTTCTATTCGCAAATAGAAATTGTAATAAGTTAAATATGATTTTAATAACTTCGTCTAATGTCAGTTGTCATTTCAGTTGATGTAATTTCACGCTTATGAATCTACTAAATGATAATTCGTTTCATTTACTAAGCAATTCTCTGCTTTTTGTTTTAAGGGCCTTTTCTCCATAGGAATCGTATTATTATTTTTTTTACGTATTAGAGACGACATAATTCGAGCCATGATTCGAGCCATAATTCGCGGACTTTTCTAAGGCATTCGATACGGTCGACTACTCTGTTGTCATACGTAAACTACATGCAATTGGATTGTCCAAGACAGCTCTTCTGTGGTTTCTGAGCTACTTAACTAACATTCAACAGTTTGTACAAGTCGATGACAAACGATCTAGTCTTGCAAATGTCCCATTTGGAGTTCCACAGGGCTCGATTCTTAAGCCGTTCTCTTTAATCTTTATGCGAATGACATGCAAGATTGCCTGCAAGATAGCTCCTTGCGGATGACAAAACGGTGCTGCATCACGCCACTCCCAAAGACCTTGATGTCTGTGTAGACAAGGTGAAAAAGACTCTCAGCAGCATCAAGTCGTGGGCAGCTGATAGTAACTCGCTATTGAATGAGACCAAGACCAAGCACATGGTTATTTCCACTAAGCAGATGTCTAAAGTGCATAATCTTGACGGAAACACCCCACCTCTCACCTTGAAAGATAAGACAGTAGATAGAGTAAAGAAATTAAAGTTGTTAGGAACTTAGCTTAGTGAGAACCTTTAATGGACAGAACATGTTAACGAGGTCACATCATCATGTTATAAAGTGTTAGCCACTCTCAGGAAGATCGAGAGTATGACATCACAAGAGACTAAGAAGTCTCTTGTTCAAAGTCTCGTGCTATCCAAACTTAACTTTAATGACTCGTCACTTATCCTCTTCCCATATTTCAGCAGAAAAGAGTACAAAGCGTTCAGAATGCTGCCGCTGGCTTTGTCTTGAATCGTTTCTGTTCAGAAAGGGACGTTCTAGAGCTTGGCTGGCTACCTACACCAGAAAATGCGCAATTAAACATTCTTAAGCTTGAACGTCGAGCTCTTTCTAGTGCATCCTTGCCCGAATAACTTCAACTGCCTCGGCACAATCCCTAATGTACACTACGCTCTAGTAATGCGCCTTTGATAGAAATTTCTCTAGTTAAGGGTACTTTTCAGGACTCATTAGCGACTTAATTCAATACCCTACCCGCAAGTGTGAGGCGGTGTCCAGACTTCAATACTATCAAAAATCATTGTTGTACAATTTTTAAGAGCAGAGCAAACATACGTTTAACCTCATAAGTTGTCTCGATAAGGTTTCATAGTTATTGTCATTCACGGTATCTATAGTATTTTAGGTTATGTAGTTTTTGACATTTTTTAAGTGCTTTATGTAAATAGTGAATGTTTCTTGAATAACATTATGTGCATTATGTAAGTCGTTAGTTTTTAGTTAGTATGACAGATGTAGAGCTATCATGTAGAAATACTGTCAATAAATCGTTATTATTATTATATCAGCAGTGTTGCACATCTTAATGCTATGAATCCTAATGACATAGTTGGGCGCGAAGCATAGCCTAGAGGCCATGTCATAAATTATCCAAATTTCCTTGTCAATATCTATCCATATATATATTCATAAATATATATCATATCTCTTTAACAATGATTAAATAAAGCTACTAAAATGAATTAAAAACATTTTAAGAAAAACCCTTTAGCATCCTCTTATAAAATCTAAATACGAAAGAAAAAAAATTACAAATATACGATAATAATTCTCATGGAATTAAAAAATGATCAATACTCTATCAAATATATGTGGCGGGTAGCTTAGCCACTCCTGAAGATGTTCATAGAGGAAGAGATCCCAAATATTTAATCTATATAGTCAGTGTTCATATGTTCAATGTTCCTCTCTGATTGGTTGGCGCCATTTATAAGTCTTGAAAGTGCGCGCAATGTTCATGGTAGTTGAAACAGCTTTCTGCATCTTTTGGAGCACCATCTTATTATTATTATCATCATCATTGTTATTATTATTATTATTATTATTATTATTATTATTATTATTAAAACGAGGACGGAGTGAGACTTCAAAGAGAAGTACCTTGACACTATTAGTCAATCTAAGACTTTCGGTAACTAATTGGAAAATGGTGCAATTGTATGAGAAGTTCTAACCTGATGAGCAGATCGATGTCAGATCCAGGTAAAAAAAGTACCATCTTTCTTATCCTATGTGTGGTGTTGTTATCTTTCGGTAAACTATCGGACACGGACATCGATTAGGCTTGGCGAAAAAGAACTGTGATGCATCCCTGGGCTCCGCCCATCGTTTCCAGTTCCTCGCAAACCTTCAAAATTTCCCACTACAACGCATGCTCAGTGAACACGTGCAAAGTGGAAGGGAAAAAAATGGCTGATGCTGCCAAGGTATACCAATTTTAAAGTATTTGTATTGGTAAATTATGGGGAATTTTTTTGAACAAGTACTTAAAACGCAAATTTTAATTGTCTTGCAGGCAGCCGAGCTGAAAGACAAAGGCAATAAATTTCTCCAAGCTAACGATTTCGCCAAAGCGATCGAGTGCTACACTGAGGCGATTTCACTTGACCCGTCAAATCATGTGCTCTACAGCAATCGATCGGCTGGATATGCTAAGGATAAAAAGTATGAACAAGCCTTGAGCGACGCCAAAAAGTGTGTGGAATTGAAGCCAGATTGGGGAAAGGTCAGAAATAATATCGATTTGATGTATAAAATTACTTATTAAATTATGATCTTATCTTGAGCATGTACAAAGTAACTATTTGGCTCTAACTTTTAGATTACTTGTGCGGAGGCGATTCACTGTGCCGTCACTCTGACTTTTCTCTTCCCATCGATTTATTAATTCTGTATTGCTACAGTTACATTGAAATGTACGTGTCTGAGTGTCTGATGTGTTGTGGCTGATTCTAGAAAATACGTTACTTAGACTCGTGTGTCATTAGCATAGTGATTTTTATAATATTCTGTTTTTTCAGGGCTACTCTAGGCTTGGTGCAGCTTTGTCCTTCCTGAAACTCTATGACGAGGCAGAAAAAGCATACACCAAAGGACTTCAGCTAGACCCTGAGAATGCACAACTAAAAAGTGGTTTAGAGGAAGCCCGAGCTATGGCGCAGCGTAAGTACTATTTAAAGATTCTGATCATGAGTGTTTGTTTTGCTTTCAGTTTCTATCATTTTTCTGTTTGCACTGTTACCCTTTAACTCCCATGAGTTACAAAACTAATTTCTCCTGACAATATCAATACAATATGAACAGACAACTGATGAGAATGAAGGAAAATAATAATGATAGAGATTATAGGCTGATCTAACACCAAATTCTCCAAACTAATGTGCTAAGAATTTTATGGCAGACAGTAAGGAGAATTAATAATGAGATCTTGGGAGTGGAAAGGTCAATTTTAGATCTTGACTTGTGGTCTGGTGTTTGCTCATTTTGTAACTCTTCCTCACACTAAATATCATCACATTGTGTTGCCAATAGGTATTTGGGATATAGGTTTTTTTTAAAAATAAATGCGATAAGGGCTGTCAATAACTTTGAAAGCAGGGAAAAAAAAGTAAAAGTATGTGGCGACGTTATAGTGGATGCCATCATCTGATCTAGTGGATAGCGATTTATCCATTGGATAGCATTATCCACTCAATTAACCACTGGACCAGATGTTTTATTGTTGGTTTTCACTATCTGATTCATTCTTTTTTCATTTACACAATTTATAGGCAACAATCCTATGACAAATCCATTTGCAATACCAGACTTATACGTTCGTCTTGCAACTCATCCTAAAACCAAAGCTTTTCTGGATCAGCCTGACTACAGATCTATTGTTGAGGCTCTTAGGCAAAACCCTCAGATGCTTGGAACGTAAGTTGTTGTATTTTGATGCAAGTGGAAAAAAATCACATGATTTTAAATTGGTGCTGAAAGAAGTGGTGTGTGGTGTGTGTAAGCTGCATGATAATTACCTTCTACCTATCTTCTTGTTTCATTCAAAATGTACCATTTTTCTAGTGATGTAGCTTCTCCAAAAAATCCAACTCTGAAATGTAAAATTTTCAGTCTGTTTGATATCGATCATTTTGATTTTTTTGGAATATCAATGTTCAATAGATATCTCCAAGACCCCAGAATCATGCAAACAGTGGCTATACTGCTTGGGATTGAATCTGAAGTTGCAGACAATGAAGGTATTCAGTGTTTTGAATGAAATCTGTTCTGTAAGACAACTTTAAAATCAAGTGAAAGGGCATTTTGATTACCCATGAAATTTATTGAGATATTCTTGAGACTTAAAAAGAGACATTTCAAAATTAATTTTGTTATGTGACATTTAAAGAGCCTGCATCATCATCATCATCAGAAGAAAAACCAGCTAGTGAGCCAATGGAAACAGAAAAACCACAACCAGAACCTGAACCAGAAGTTGATACTTCAGTCCAAAAGGTTGATATGCATTTGATGAATGTTGTGGCTCAGAAATGTTTTCTTCCTTCTTCATCTTCTTCTTCTTCTTCTTCAAATGTTGTCTTCTTTAATAGCTACTAGTAATGGACTAGGGATCTTTTTGACTTCATCCAAATATTTTCTTTGTTTGCATTGTTTTTTCTGCAGTCTTTGGAGGAGAAGGAATTGGGAAATGCTGCATACAAACGGAAAGACTTTGAGACAGCTCTTGATCATTATGGAAAAGCTATTGAACTTGATCCCACAAATATGAGCTTTCTCACCAACAGGGCAGGTTTGTTTTTTGAGAGTTGTTAATCCAGAGCTTTTGATTAAATTATACTGATGGGGAAAATTTAAATTTCCTTCAGCTGTCTATTTTGAACAAGGAAGGTACGATGAGTGCATTGAACAATGTCACAAGGCAATCCAAGTGGGAAGAGAAGGAAAAGTGGACTATAAATTGATAGCTAAGTAAGTTGCAAAGTTAGTTTGTAGTGTTATTGTTTTGTTATAACTATAACTTATTCTGAATTACATTTTTTTCCTTTTTTCTTACCTACTGGTATTGGAAATCCTACATTTACAATGATGTAAATCATAATTTGTGTTTTTTTTTGTTACACCAGTAGTTCTTAACCTGGATTACGTTACAAAAGTACTTAATATAACAACTGTTTTCATATTGTTAGCTTGAATAACGTTACAGTAATGGTCATCCCTTTTTTGATGATGAATCCCTCCCAGTCACAATAGAATATATGTTTGTTGCACTTCTCAGAGCTTTCGGCAGGATAGGAAATGCCTATTCCAAGCAGGAAAAACTCAAAGAAGCTATTGAAGCATATAACAAGTCTTTGATTGAGCACAGGTCTGCTGATGTTTTAAAGAAGCTTCAGGAGGTAAGGAGATTCATTTCTGATGAATGAAGTGCCACACCCAGAGCACATAGTGACAGGGTTCGTCATGCAAAAGCTGGAAAGTGATGGTACTTAAATGTTCTTGTCAGGAAAGTTATAAAAAATGAGGGGAACCCCTTTTTTTCCCAATGAAAATAATCAGTACACACAGGATTTGATTGGGGTCTGGAAAATCTTGAAAGATGTGAGCTTCCACAATATCATATTTGAGGTCTGGGAAGTCATGGAATTAAATGTGTGGCATGGGAAGTGATGATAAAAATTGACAATAATAGCAGAGCTCGCATAGCATAGCCCCATAATTATACAAAATAGTAGTAACCCATTAAGCCGAAAAAAGTTGGATGTACAACTGTACAACCGTCCAACTGTAAGACTGACTGTACAAGGTGCTACTTTTAGCATGTGTGGCCAACTGTACCATGGGCACTATCTTATAATCAGTCCTCTACATGGACACACAGAGAAGTTGGGAATGAAACTCCATTATTATTACCATGCACTTTATTCATAGTAGGGGCTTTAGTTTTGTTGAAGAGACATGTGGGGGAAAAAAAATGCGAGCTCGGCTTTTACTTACTTACTTACTACCCATCATGTCTGTGTGGCACATGGGGCAGCAACGAAATCCTTCCAGCTTGGCTTTTAGGCTTGCCTAAATCTATATATTACTTAAGATGACAACAAAGAAAAAATACCTTCATTAAATGATCATTGTCACATAATTTTAGAACCAACTTTTAAAAGGTTAAGGAGAACACTGAAAAGGTGTGGAAACTAACATGGAAAGACATGGAGTTAAATGATGTGGTAAGAGTTTGTGCCATGTGCACAATATCAAATTGATTAAGTGAGATAAATGATTTGATTATATAGACAGAGAAAGCAGTGAAGGAGAAAGAGAGACTGGCTTACATTGATCCACAGAAAGCAGAGGAAGAGAAAGAGAAAGGAAATGTGTTATTTAAAAAAGGTAGGGTTATGGGACTTTTTTTGAAAATCAGTTGTATGTAAGAGAATATCTTTGTCCACAAATGATATCTATTATTTCAAACAAAAGGAACTATATTTTGATCCAATGTCAAGGTATTATGTAACAATAAAATGGTACAACTCTCTTGAGAGCTTGTTGTTTCTAGAGTTTAACTTGGTGATTTTAACATGATTGTGGGATATGCAATGTGCTAATACACTGTAGCTAACTCCTCTTCCAAAAACTAGTTTTGAGTCCATAGCTCCTTTTTGCCTCCATAGCAAGGCCAGAGTGAGTACAAATTGTACCTCACACAGTTCATCTCAGGCTTAAGTTCTGGTGCAGTCCTTGATGGATGCTCTAGGGTGAGATGTTTTCCTCACATAGTGCCTCCCTTTGCACAGGATGTATAATAAATTCTGACAGACTGTTAAGGAATATGGGTAACTGCCTGAGGGTTGTGTAAAAACAGAAAATGGGCTAAGGTCTCGTAATTTGCTAGTTACCTGGAAGGAAAAGGAAGAAGCTTTGGCTGATCAAGTCATCTAGATTGTTGACAAACTAAAGCATGAACATACTATTGCTGTTTGCTTTTTTCTTGAAGGGGATTTCCCAGAGGCACTGAAGAATTATAAAGAGGCCATCAAAAGAGACCCAAACAATCCAAAACTTTACAGTAACAGAGCAGCTTGTTATCAAAAATTGGCTGCATTTAACTTAGCTTTGGAGGTATATTATATGTAGATTCTGTTTAAGTTTGAATGCATGAATTGATATGCAATAGGCAAGATGGACAAGAGTAAAGATCATGAGAAAAAAAGAAATGATCACCAGCCTAAGAAACTTTGATTGTTAAAGAAATTCTCCTTGTCAGTACCAAAGGACCTGTTCAGAGAAGAATATGAAGAATAGGGATACTGATGTTAGGGTTAATAAATGTTTGCAAGGTGTTAACTCTAAGTAGCTCTCCCTGCTAAAATTTGCAAGCAAATCTAATTTTTTTTTATTTGTTTACCTCATTATTGTTATGTGCAATATCCTCATTTTTGTACTTTCTCTTTAGGATTGTGATATGTGTATCAAGTTGGATCCTTCATTTGGTAAGTGGTACAAACTCAAGGCTCCTTCACACCTGTTGTTTGGTTTTGTTCTATACAATGATATAATTTTTCCACACCTTATTTTCATGAGACTGAACAACAAAGGGGACTTAAATAAATTTCATAATGGTACTTTTTATGATGGTTACTTCTAGAATAAATCAAAAGTTATCTCATTCTCTCTGTTGTGTTCGTCTTTCCACAGTTAAAGGATACACAAGAAAAGGAGGTGTCTTGTTTGCACTGAAGAGATTCAGAGATGCTCAGAAAACCTATGAGAAAGCTTTGGAACTGGATCCTGAAAATAAGGTTGCATTCCAATAATTAGTAGATATCAAGATCTACTCCTACCAGTCAGTAGTGTAGGAAAATAAACCTTGGAACAAAAATAAGGGTGTCATACTTTCTAGCTTTTTTCTGTTGCAGCTGATAGTTTGATTGTTGTTTTCTTCCCCACAGTATGGTGTACTACAAATATTCTTCTTCTTGTAGGTTTTTTTAAGGTAGTAGGATTGTGTTTGCTTACATCCTTATGGTACAATACTTGTTGTTTGGGTTTCCAGGAAGCACATGAAGGCATAAGAGCATGTAATTCAGCAGTGATGCAACAGCCCACAGACCCAGAGGAAATAAGACAGCGAGCTAATAATGATCCTGAAATACAGGTACAGTGATGCTAGAACATGAATTATTCTGAATTGTCCTGGACAATTAGTTGTGCACTGTTCTTAACATTTCTTCCTTCACAGAATTTGCTAAATGAAAATAACTGCTGAGGAGTTGAATTTAATGAGAGGGATTTCAATACAAATGAAGGATGATCTTTTCCTTTAAAGGGGTTACTTTTCACAGTTGTCTTTTAGCAAGTAAGATCTATGAGGATGCTGATTGAATTTGGCATGTCAGTAGCTTGCAAGGAGACCCTTTACATTAGGGCTGTAGGAAACGCTATTTTTTGCCTGTAGGAAGATTTGAATAAGGGAGAGCTTTGCTAGCAGCCAGACCTCTTGCAGACCTCTCACTTGCCAGCATTGCTCAAAACTTTATGATTTCTCATGGGTGAAGAAACTCCTGTGCCAATGCTTATATTGACAGCCCGCTCACAGGTTACCAGACATGACCTGACCTTTTTTTGTGGAATAAGAGATTTAATATACTCTTGAAGTACTTCTGTGCCTGTTTTGACTTGGTATTCAGTGTGAGGAGTCGCTTTAATGAATGTTCCTCACAACAAAACTCAGGCCAAGGTAACAAGCTTTGTAGTTTATTTCTCATAGTTGTCATTTGATGTTCTTTGTGTAGGAAATTCTCACCGATCCGGCTATGAAAATTATACTTGATCAAATGCAGGAGGATCCTAAAGCTGCCCAAGAGTATGTATTTGATTTTTAATACTCCCTGCCATACTGTCACCTATAATCCTTTATCTCCCAAAAGTGATGAACATGTAACTTCTCCCTATAATATACATACATTATCCCGCAAACGGGTAATGAGAATATTCAAACTTATCGTGTAGAAGTTATCTTGATCCAATACCAAATTCTCTGTAGCAGCTAGAGGGGAGAATTAACAATCAATTTGTGGAGGTAAGAGGTTTGAAGTTACACATAAGGATTCATCCAACCATTGTAAGATACATTCCAAAATCACCAACTGTGCCACTCATTTTTGACCATGTCAAAGAAGAGTGCTAAACTAACTAGAAAAATTTCCTTAATTGATTTGGATCTGGCTTTTTTTTCCTTTTTACATTTAGCTCATTTATTTTCAACCTTATTTCAGTGAGGTGTAGTTTGATTTTCTTGACTTAAAATATACCTCAAGTGAGATTTTATTTCGCATGTCTTATAGCAGCAAAGCGAACTGAAGGGCTTGTATTTGTTTTCTTGTAAGGCATCTCAAGAATCCAGAGATCCGTAGCCGAATACAGAGGCTGTATGAAGCAGGAATCCTGAAGATTCGCTGATTAATGTTCCTTGTTGTTCAAGTGAAATTGTGAATAAAGCGGGAAGATATGGCAAGGATTGTTCCAGGACAAAGATAGCATCTCTAACCCATGTCTGCTACATTCTGAATCAAAAGATTGTCCCAAAAGGAGGCTGCTATAAAACTACAATAGCTCAACCTTGGCTAACAATGTTTGTCTGTTAGTGGTCTCTAATAATGTATATCTCTGACCTATTCTTTTCTTTTTTTCCTTGCTAGTTAATGTTTGAAGCTCTGTTTGAACAAGGCATGGAAATTTTTTTAGTTATTTTTTTGGGGAAATAGGGAAAGGAAAATGGAAAAGAGGAACCAACACTCCAAAAGTCATAACTGATATAAACCACATAGTGAGTAAGCTAAACCACAGCTGCACGTTTTGAAAAGAAAAACAAACAAACAAACAAAAGAAAACAAAAAAACTTACATTTTCTTTGTGATGTAGCCACAGTTCCAAAAGTTGTTCATTATTGATTACTTGTTGAGGAAAAAAAGCTTTGTTTGCAGGGTTTTCACATGTATTAGTGGTAGAGTGGTGCTCATTAAAGGTTTCCTACAGGGAACGTTATGATGCTTTGAAAAAATTACCTTGAAGTAGAGCCTGTGCGACAAGTTGCTTTTTCATTATCTACAACACCCTTTCCTCTCCAGACAGCATGCAACATTGTGCGCTAGAGAGTCTATTTCTTTTTACTTTGTTTTCTAATTCGGGAAAGGAGGTCGCCAGCCACATCTTCAATCCACTCTCGAGTCCAGACTTATCCAGGGGTAGCAAAGGGGGTACTTTCTCAAGAGGACTGGAGTAAGAGAAAAAACTGGGAACAATACCTTCTGTCACGCAACGCTAGCCCAAGTATTGCGTCTCCCACAAAGCACGATGGGAAAGTAAAAATATATCGCAAGTTCCTCGGTCTGCTTATATTTGCAAAGTCATCGGGCAGAGCTCCCTAACACAGTTAAGTTATTCTTTGAGTCAGAGTGTTCCGCAAAATTACTCTCCTCCTTCCATGAAACACAATGGAGTTGTTTGTGGATTATCGCTGTGAATATCGAGAAGAAACAGGCAAAATCAAACTTTCGCTCCCTCGCTTCGAGGGCATCAGCATTAGAGATGTAAAGTTTGCTATTCAAGATGCCATTCGTGCTCCGGTGTGTGATCAACGACTGTTTTACCAAGATCGATTATTGACAGACGATAGCATGCTTCTCAGCAGATTGTATTTCCGCGAGGGTGACTGTTTTAAGTTAAATTTTCTCTCCCCTGTGAATATCAGCGGCATGAAAAGCGAATTAAATGTCTTAAAAGGTGCTGCCAAAGAAATTGTGGATGTGCTAGAGAGACAGCTCCCCGATAACAGCCGCATAGAAAACGACTATATTGGCCTGTTGAGATTTTTCTATCGAGTGCAGGTTGCTTTGGAGAAACTTGCAGCTGAATTTTTCCATCCCTGGAAATGTATTAGGACTGATGCCCACAGGCACTTCTTTGTACAAGAAGGAGGGTTTGACGCATTTCTTGAAGTGTTTAAATTTTCGCGAGAACTGTTTATGAATGAGTAAGTTTTCAAAAACTTAGTTATTTTTCCGTTCCTATATGTTGGCTGCTACAATATCTGACCTCTACTCAAACTTTCAGCTTCCTGTTGGGGGTGGGGGTGGGGAGGATAGGAAGGGGCCATAGCGCTGTTACGACCCTCTAAATTTCTGAACTCAGGATACCAATAGTATGAGCTTGTGTCAAAAGGGATATTGTTGTGTACATTTATCATATTAAGATGACTTATGGGAATTATCTCGCTAAAAAAATTATATATCATTCTGTAACTTTGAGGCAAAGGAACTCTTAGCTGTCTCAAATGTTACTAATGCCATTCTTGATGAGGGGGGCATGGGCAAGAGGGGTAGGGGAGATTTGAGGAGAAGGGGAGGGAAGTAGGAACTTGATGAGGCTGAAAGAGAGAGAGAAAAAAACAATAAATCATTTATTAAGATGTTATCCTTTGCTATAAGAGGAGGAGAAGGGATTGTATGTTCAGAGGAGTTAGGGGAGCAAGGTCTTGGAATCTGTGTATTCCCACACTGTCCCTTTCATCCTCCTGTTTATCCCTGCTGGTAATGGTCAATAATGGATCCAGGCCATTTTGGAGTTGAAATTATGACATAAACACCCACCAAAATTTATTTTTTTTCCAAGTGACAGATTATTTATGTATTCATTGTTAAGGGACAATATTTCTTATGTAGAGTCTCACCAATCCACTGGATGGAAAGGATACCCTTTTAATGCAAATTTGTTCAATGGACATCCAGTGGATTTGATTATTACTTTTCATATTTTCTTACTAGATTCACTTGGCAGTCAAACATTCAATTTTCACCAGGCAGTGTGTAATATTGTGACATTACCCACTGTAATTGCTTTAATTTTGATTATCAAATATATCTGTTACTCTTCCCATGAAATTATGAATTGCTTTTCATATTGTGGTGGTAAATCTTTCTTTTATCTAAAACTGTGGACATATATAGTGCTTGGCCACCATTTGGCAAATATTACAGAATGATATAATCATCTGTGGCCTGATTTGGGTTGGAGTTTTCCTTTTGTTTTTAAATCTTAACCAGTTTTGCTTTTACCTCATGACTTTATACTAGGGACGAGATTGAAGAGGAAGATATTCTGGAGCAACGCAAATACAACTTAAATCGAGTTCAACTTGTTCTTCAACAATGCTGCCTAGATCTTTTGTGGGTTTTCTCAGAGAGAGCAGAAGACAGAGAGTTTGTTTTATCAAAAAGCATTCTTCCCATGCTATTCAATGCACTACTTCTTCCCCACCCTTATCCAGTGGAAAGTTTCCCAACGTTGCACGATGGACGCCTTGCCACCTTGGTACTTCAAGTGAATGAGGCGGCCATTGGATGTGTTGGAGGGTGAGTACAGGCTGGGTTCTCATTTCTGTTGTAAGTAACAAAGTGTTACTGAAAGAAACTTTGATTTCAGAAGAGTATGTGAATTTTATTAGACCCTAGTAGGTGTGCCTGACTTTATATCAAGCATTGTAACATGTTATGGTGATTCTGATAATTGAAGTACACATGGCATAAACTTGCCTTCAACTATTCAGTTCATCACTATGAAGCAAACTGATATTGCTGCAGATTTAATAAAAATCAACCATCCCTGTTACAATTTTGATGACCAATCTGTTTATTTTATTCAAAGCTAAAAAAATTAATTTCGTCTTCTGTTATTTCTTCAGATTAGTGGAACTAGATCCCAATGCTCAAGAGGTAGTTTCCAAAATGTCCCAACTGATTGACAAGCTTGTATTTATGATAGACAGGTGCCAATCAATGCGAGCAGGATACTCACTTTTTTCCAGCCAAGTTGCAGCAAACACTTTGTTTTATTGCACTTTTAATGTTAAATCTGCTACAACATTAGTGGATTGTGGAGCACTGGATAAAATTATTGACATCACAACAAACCTACTAGATGAAATGCATGGAGATACACCTCTCAGGTGAGAATTATTCAATTAAATCATTACCCCTGATGTTGCCCAAGTAACTAGGAGAAATTTTTTGTTTGGCCTTTAAAACAAGAGGCCTATAATTTTGACTCTTAATTAAGTTAACCAGGGAGAATGTTGTCAAATTACAGTCTTCAGTGAATCAGGACAAAGGCATCATTATAATTGCCAATCCCCTCACTGTAAGGAGACATTTTGTAAAATACTAAAATCAAGAGCACATTCAGAGTCAGTGAAATTGCAGGACCTTAAAGTGTGTAAATTATTATCCATGGTTTACAGACTTTTTGTAATGGTGCTCTTGAATCTCTCTTTTTTTTTATTTGCTCTATAGGTACTACTGTTGTTTATTCCTTGCAAGAATACTCTCAGCTCCATTGGTTAGGGTGGAGAAAGACACTAAAAGTACTGTTGATGTACTTATCAACAAGTTTCTGGAAAGGCATATTCCCAGTGAAATATCAGAATGGGAGGAATCATTGAGTTTTGAGTGGGTCACAATTGTGCCTTTAGTTCATCTTGCTTTTGCAGCAGGAAAGGAATGGAAAAAAACAACCAATCCAACAATTCAAGAAAAGAATAATGTTGAAAGTCATTTTGCTTCCCACAGTACAAACATGGCTACTTTAGACTCAAGCAAAATGGTCAGTGATTCTGATACCAATCTGGATATGAATACTTCACCTCTGTCTGGAATTAGAGGTTGTGAAATGGTTTGTTTAAGTAACCAGTTCACTTGGCCAGGCTCTTCTGCAATTCAGAGGCTTGGAATCTTTTCTCTAGTCCACATGCTCTCCATTAAAGACAACCAAAAGCTAGCACTGTCTCAAAACCTTGTCCCATACCTGGTTTGTCTGTCATGGCAGCTGGATCCTGAAAATAGAGGCAAGCTCATTGCAAGCCTGGCTAATTTCCAAAACATTTCACCCCCTTCTTTAAAAATTACTGTTAAATCTGTGCTCTCTTTTGTTAATGGGTTTGATATGGTTTTTAACTTGTAAGCTATCCAAAATTCACCTGACAAGACTTAATTAAATTGAGGGGTAAATTTTGGGTATTAAGTTAAACAAATAATACAGAAATCTCAATTAAATCCCAAATTCATGTTTCTTTCAACTAGAGAAATGATTAACTTAACTTATGTGTAAGCATTAGCCAGGTTAAATTCACAAATTGCAAACTAGTACACAGAATCAAGCTAAAATTATTTAGCTGTAAAAAATACTTATTACACTCATGACAGATATGTTTTAAATGATGGAATGGGATAAAAATAAGAAAATATTTTTAGAAATTATTTGTATTGTATTTTATTTCAGTTTTGCAATTGGTATGTCATGATTTGCTTTTTGCCATGCACTTCAAGGAAATAAAACGTGCATTCTTTTGGAAATGGTCCTAACTACTTTAAAATAGGTTGTCTTTATGTTCTTATTCAGTTGTGTACTAAATTCTTAAGTCAATCAAAGAATATTTCGTAACCCTCACCACTTAACTGAAGAAATGGAACTTATACAGTCAGAGATTATCATATTTTTTACCTTGATATTAAAATTTGCATTCATAACTCAGTTGTGCTAATGATTTAATAGTTTCCAGTGATAACAGAGACATTTCTTTCTTGAAATTTCTTTCTTGAAAAGTTATATTTGATTATGATCAACTGGGCTCAAAATTAAGCAAAAAATAAAAATTGAAGGAACGGCAATGCCCATCAATTTGTTATAAATTAAAAAAAACAAAATTAACAATCCTTATCGGCATTTTACCACATCAATGACCCTTTTCTCCTTTTATTTGACACAAGGGATCTCTTAAAAAGAAACTAGTAGAGCCTTCCCCCTCTTTTTGAAAGCAAAAGCTGAATCATTTTGTAAAATCATCACAAAGTTTCTAAAAATTGCTATGATGAGAAGTTTTTAGAACGTTGCTGAAACGTTTCTTCCCATATGTTCCCAGGAACCTTAGAGAGCGTGATTGGCGCGAAACATCAAACGCGCCCACACAAAATCACCAAATATGGAGCAAATTCAGCAAGATAATTGTGATGTCATAGCAGTTGTCATGGGAACTGATGGATAATTAAACGATCGTCGTCTTTACGTTTCTCAAACGCAACTCGAGGTCTTAGAGGAATTGGGACGCACGGTTACAGCAGAGAAAATTATTAACTACGAAAGACGGATTAGAAACAGTTTAGTTTCTCTTGACTCTGTGTTTCGAAAGAATTCTAACGGTGTTTTAAGCTTTTATCCAGACTTTATTTCTATGTGTTTGAAACCGACCATCGAAACCTTCACTTGTGAGATGTCTGTCGGAGAAGCAAATATGGATCCTGAAAACGTCGTTTTAAAGCCGCAGAAACGAAAGAAATTACGAAGACTTAAGAAAAGGAAGTATTTTACTCCTCTGGGTTTCGACTTAAAGCAGGAGAACGGGAGACCGATGAAGCAAAGGAGAACAAAAACCGCCGCGCCTCAGAATACCACGCAATTCATCATGGAGGATAAGGAGGTGACCGAACCGTTTTATGTAATTTCTTCTCCTTCCACTTCACCAGTTAGTCACTGTACAAGTTCTCCAGGGTCAGTACGAGGTTCACCTTTATCGGACAGAGACTTAGCTTTCGATTCTACTGAAGAAGATCTCGTTCGCGATTTCGAGGACCTTGATTTCGATTTGGATTTTTTCCAAAAAGATTTCGAAGCCACATACAATCGTATTCAAGAGGAAAGCTTATTGGAGCTCTCTAAAATCGAACTTGTTAATAAGTTTAAAGAGCTTGAAGGAAAAGGAGAGATTCTTCAAAAACGTTGTGAGGAAATTGGAAGAGTCGGCACTCGTGGACAGCAAAAGTCATCTACGGCAAAAAATTCGTATGTTGTATCACCAAACGCTTTTCCCGCTCCTGCCGAAAAATCACAGGACGAAAGTACTTTGCTTTGTTGTCTGGAAGAGTTACGGCGTGAAAATAAATCATTGGTGGAAGAAAATTTGAGGTTAAAGTCTGCAAAATGTTCATTAGGACTTTCTCGGCTTTCATAGATACTATGATTTTAAATTACTAGTGGAGGCAAATAATGATGAAATTGATGTGGAATGTGATAGTTCTGATGTTGGCGGTGCTTTTTTCGTTGTATGACGCTTTAACATTTTACCCAAAGACGACTGACTTCAAGTGTTTCAATTTATTGTGTAGAATACTAAAGCATGGTCTGGAATTTTGCGAGGATTTTGAAACGTTTGGTAATTTTTCCTTATTCGAATTGTTGAGTTGGCAGGTTAATCTATTATTCATGTTGACTCAGTTTAATTGTTTTAGTTTGGTTAGCGCGGGTTCGGGTTATATTGTATAATAAGAAAATGTGGTTTTGGTTTTGGTTTTCTTTGGAACTTATTTTATTATATGCATCAGAGTACCTAAATAGGTCTGTGGAAACAAGGAGCTTTTTTTCTGTGGTTTTTTTTTTTAATCAGGAAATGATGATGAAACTTGTGTACTTCCTTAGGTTCTTAATTTGTTCAGCCTTTTTGTGTCAAGAAATCTCATAGTTTTCTTTTGGGTAGACTTAGGAGTAATTGCAAATATAAGAGAAAAAAAGCGAATTGTTTTTACAGCAATTATTTACTTTACATGTATTTGCTTTTACTTGAATGACTTGGGTGGACTAAAACTACAAGTTTTCCACCTTGTGATTTAGGTGATGTGTGGTGCACTTGGGTCATGAATGATACCAGTGGCATTGCCTGTGGATTACACCACACACTCCAGAATTAAAGGACAACTGATACTTCCTTCCTATCAGGTAAAGGGTTGTTTCATGCTTTTACCAGGAACTTGTTTTCAAGACATTAATATTGATGAGCAAATATTACTTTGCTTGCTTCTATGTTGATTAAAACAGCCATTGAATTATAATTATAAAATAAAAGAAGGTGATCACAACTTTGAAGGACTCAAGTTTCTGTGACAGAAGGATCAATGTAGTGTTTGATCTTTTTTCAAAGTAGTCCCTCTTAATGGGTGTTAAGCAAAAAATGAAGAATGTGCTGGGGTATTCAAAAGATCAGGGGTTCCATGTCATTGTAAGATGTACAGACTGCCACAAAGCACCACCATCTGTTGGTATTGCCTATGCTAATTGTGTTGCTTTTTGTTTCAAGCTGAGTGTTGGTGGATGGAACCTGGAGTGTCCATTACCCAAACAACACCTGCTGCTCAGAAACAGCTAAGTATGATCTTGCTGTTGTTCTCTTGGAAGTGGCTCTTCCGTAATGGGTAGTGGGTTTATCTGAAAAAGGGACCTCGGTTCATTTGAAATTGTTTGTATGTGAAATCCCGTTCAAAACTACCCAGTCATGAAGCTTCTGTTGTTTCTCAATTCCAAGGTCATGTTAGACAGGACAAATCTGTGAATGTGTTATTAGAATGATAACATTTTCCACTTTCACCTCGTAGCAAGATAAGTAAATATTTGGTCCTTTGTGCAACTTGCCTAGAAGACCCCATGGATCTGCTATCAGCAACTCTATTATGTGACTTGTTTATTTCACAAGGGAAGAACTGAGGGAAATTTGGCGTGCAGGGAGGGGGTGTTATTGTGTGATTGTGCTGTATTTGCTTTGTTACAGAATTGGAGAGGGAAGATTTGGATATGCAGCCCTTTGGCAAGATTGTGTTGAAATTTTGGTGAAATATGACATTGATTTACCTCTAAATGGCCTGTGTTATCTCTGAAAGATAAGAAAAATAAATGAAACAGTGTTCTTAACTGACTCATGACTTGTTCATTTAATTTACTCAAGCTATCATTTAGCTGGTCCAAGGCATTCAGTTCATAATATGAAGCCTGATGGTAAACAGGCAGGCCATCCTATGAGGGTAGCAAAGGGTAGCACCTGATCTGTTTCTCTCACACTTCCACAAAACTTTGCAGATCATGTATAGCAAAGGAAAATTTCAAATCTGTCCTTGTGTATCAGGTCTAAGAGAAATCTTGAGGTTTGTTAATTCCTGAATCCTGCCCACTTTGGTGAATTTCAAGTATTTAGGTTTGGTCTTTAGTGTATGATGCTTAGAAATCCTTTTAAGAAAGAGTACAATGATTTTATAAAACTTGTTCTAAAATTAATGAAGGCTGTTCATCACATGACGCTGTATTAGAACGAGTAAATCTCGTTTACTATTGTATCGCACTACTGTTTTAGACAAGGTATTTATACCACTTAAACTTAAGAAAGAATGAGTAGAACATAAACCACATTTTCTGTAAAGTTCACGAGCCATCCTAACCTAATTTGCCAACTGCTTTCCAGGAATCATCTGTAAAAAACCGCTTCAATTTTTCAAATTTGAAAACTTTTAGCTAAGACCGTGGCCCCAAAAATATTTCTCACCTTACCTGAAAAATTTTTAAAAGAAATTTTCAAAATTTTCAAAATTTTCACAACTTTACCTATTCCTGCTCGTAGGTCCAGCCAAGCCCATATGGTCATTGGCCCCCGGAATAGCCGCTCACTATAGCTTATAAATGTAGGCGTTTAATCATAACTTGTAAAACCCCCTGAAGAAGTTTACGACAGTTAAACGAAACGCGTCAGAGAATAAAGAAGTTTTACAATTGCTGTTCGCACAGCGCTGCACACTAGTCTAGTTTTAAATTTTTTAAAAAAATCGTTTGAAAAGCTATTCCTGTCAGCGGTGAAATACAGGAATGGCTCTGGTCTCTGGTCGTCCGCCTGAACTGGCTAAATGAGTTTAGTCAGCAGAGCTAGTCAGCAGATGACTTTTTCATCGCCGGAATATCGCTGAACGACTTCGATGAACAGGAAAGGCTGCCTTCCCTTCGCTAGGTAAGTAACCATTTCTTGTTTGACACATCGGTATTTTCACTCGCTTTGATACAGGCGGTTAACAATACTCACGAGTAAGGAGTTAAAATATAACTTATTAACTTTTACTATTTTTATCATCCAATCACAGGTCGGAGCCATTCCTGTATTTATTCGCTTGTGATAAATGTGTATCGAGTCCTCGCAGAAAAAAAAAAGCTCTGGTCTCTAGACGAGGAAAACTGACACCATAATAAGGTGTTGTGCTTAGGGTTGTGTAACTAGAATAATAATTGAAGTTATCATCAACAGGTACACCCTTGAAACCTGGCAGCATGATATCTAATAGATTCACAGCGCCCTTCCTCCATAAAGTGTTAGTGTCATTAATATATATTTTACCGAGTGGCAGGAATAAATTGAGTTAAAGCGAGTAAAAGTAGACGAGCCTCGAATTCGCATTAATCAATTTATCAGTTGTGGCAAGTTTGCAGAATATTATACCCACCACCTCCCGCTGAGTCACATTTTGGTTGCACCATCGGGGAGGCCCAGTCCGGTGTCAATTTCTTGTTTATCGTTCTCAGGTGGTTTTATCGTTTTGTTTTACATTTGGTCTTCTTTCATGCGACCGAATATGTGGCTATGGGCTTTCATGGAAAGTTGAAGTTTTGTTTTAGTTTAGTCGCCGTCGCCTCGACTGCTGCTGGATTTTTTTTCATTTATGTGTGCTCGCGAATCAGTTGTCAAAATGCGAGCAAAGGAAGCAGCATGGCGGAATATAAAGCTGGAAGGGTTAATTATTTTGAAGGAAACATCGGAAAAGAGTTTCAATTCGATCTCGAAGGAAATGATATAATTGTATTCTTGCACATGCAAAAAACCGGCGGAACGAAATTTGGTAAACATCTGGTGAAAAACTTAGACATAAAACATCCATGTGACTGCGTACGGAGGAGGAAGAGGTGTGATTGTAGGCGACCCAACTCAAATGAGATATGGTTGTTTTCACGTTACTCTATAGGATGGCCTTGTGGACTGCACGCCGATTGGACTGAGTTGAAAGTTTGTGTTCCAGGGCTTATAAACAAATTGGAAGGTGGCAAAAGATCTAGGAAATTCCTTTATATAACGATCTTACGCGAACCTGTATCAAGGGTGTTGAGCGAGTTAAAATGTTACCAGAAAGGTACAACATGGAAAATGTCTTTGCACAAGTGTAACGGCAGAGTCCCAACTAAAGAAGAACTTCCACCATGTTATACTGGAGAAAACTGGGAAGATGTCACGCTGCAAGAATTTTTGAACTGTTCATCGAATCTGGCCTTCAATCGGCAAACGCGGATGTTGGCTGATTTGGAACTTGTTGGTTGTTACAACAGAAGCGCGATGTCACGCGTTCCGAGAGAAGAGATTTTGTTAGAAAGTGCTAAGAGAAATCTTGCGAGTATGGCGTATTTTGCCCTGGTGGAGTACCAGCTTGAAAGTCAATATCTATTCGAGAGAACCTTTGGAATGAAATTTCGACAACAATTTGTGCAAATGAGTAAGGAAGAGACTCGAGCGGCTGAGGTAGTTCCTAGTTCTAAGGATCTTGCGCGTATTCAAGAACTTAACGAACTAGACAGCAAGTTGTATTCCTTCGCCAAAGAACTGTTCTTTGAAAGACTGAAATACTTTAAAGAACGGGACAAGGAAGGCATATCTCAGGTGTGATCTTCTTTGTGAAGCCTCCATACGCCATCATTTTCTTTCCGCACATTTATTCATTGTTATAATTTTTTACGCAATCCGACATCTGAACGAAATTAGGTTCCATATGAAACCCGTGAATTTTTTATCATTTATTCAGACAAGATTATATTACGATTTCAACTTTGTTCCCTCTAAATTATGTAAAAGCTTAAAAGTGCCACTATTTTGCTTTTGGAACAGAAATTTTTTTATTGTAAATGTTGGTAAAGGGAGGTTAATCAGGTGATTTTGCACATCACGTATTTGCGTCGACCTTATTCGAAATGGCCCTATTCCTAGTGGAGTGTTCTTAAATTTAAAATCCTTGGCTCGAACTGGCCAGGGGGAAAATAGAAGGTTACCAAAAAAAATGTAATAAATGAATCTTTGGTGGTCTCTCAGATATCCAATACAGTCAGGCGTTCCTTTCGCTTGGATTCTTTAGCCTGGTGCAGACCAATGGAACCAGCTATTTTAACTTGCCTGATAAACAAATTAAGAAATATAAACAAAACATGAAAGTGATCTAAGGTGCTGTTCCTTGAAAGTTGAACTGGAATTTAAACCGAAATTGGATGAAATCCAATACGGTCTCAACAAGTTTTTGCTTCTACACGAAGGCTTACTTTATTTTCATTTTTAAAAGTCTCCTCTTGTAGTGTTATTTTGTTTTTCAACATAATAATGGCATTCCTCCTCTGGGAAGGGAGTGTGTTGCATAAAGAGCTGAGCCTTGAGTAAACTGAAACATGGGAGGAAGTGTATTGCATAAAGAGCTGAGCCTCAAGTAAACTGAAACATGGGAAGGAAGTGTTTTGTGTGAAGAGCTGAGCCTCAAGTAACCTGAAACATGGGAAGGAAGTGTTTTGTGTGAAGAGCTGAGCCCTAAGTAAAATGAAACATGGGAAGGAAGTGTTTTGTGTGAAGAGCTGAGCCTCAAGTAAAATGAAACATTTGACAACACCATAAATTGCAGGAAAAATTAATAAAATTTAAAGAAAATATTTTTGGGTTAACCCTTCACCCTCTAACATCAACATTTACATTCTTTAGAGTCTTCTCTGTACATTTCCTTTGTTACTGATAGGGAAAATTGTTTTAACAATCAGCGCTTCTGAGATTGGTGATCATTTCCCTTATTACTGTGATAAGAAATTGGATGCTAGTCGCTCTTAAGTTTAAAGGATTACAAGTATTTTTTAAATAATTTTGAGAAATTTTTCATGTCAAGGACAATGGCTAGTAAATTTATTTTTCCCTTAAGCCATCTTTAAAATTAATGATATATTTTCATCATAAAGTGATTTTATTTAACATTTATCAATATATTATATATATTTATGCCAAAGAAACTCAAACTCAGAATTATTAAATAGCCCAGCACAACTAGTGTTTTGGTAATTTGTCATTTTGACCTGGACAGTGCCTGGGCATTTGACATATTACACTCAACATGTCTTTAACAAATGTATTTTTCAAAGGGTCATAACATTGTAATCAGAACCTTATTAATTGCAATGTAATCCTAAAATAAATAAGGCCTTTGCCTTTATCCTCGTGTACAGAGTCTGACTATCATGCACAAACAGTAAGGTTCTTTAAGTCATAGTTCCCAAAAAAAATTAACAGGACAGTCAGTAACAATTCCTAGAAAGAAAGCTTACAGTTGTTACTGTAATGTTAGACATAATCATGCTCTAATGATTTTGTTGTAAGTTTTTATTACATTCTACTCAGTTTGTGCAATATATTTTTTTATAAACATCACTGAATAGCATTGTATTTATATTAACTTGTCAGTGTCTGAGTGTTTCTATAAGGCAGCAGTGGTAGAATGGCAAAGTATCAGCTGTTATAAACCCTTCTCTGATTGTCATCACCTCCAAAAGAATTTCCTCTGTTACCACCTTTCCCTCCCCTGCCTCCTGTCCAGCGACCCCCCAGACCTCCTTGTGCACCTGTACATGACCAGCCTGAAAAATGTGAAAATAATTATACAGTTATGTGTTATGGGAGATACCAGTGTGTGGTTAATAATAAAGATATGTAGAGCAATCACCAAATTATCGATAGATAATAGGGCAAATGCAGATGTAGAACTAAGAAAAAAAAATAATAATAGATGTCAATTAAAATAGCTTGTTTGAAAGTATCTCTGAACCGATTTGTTTTAAAGGAAACTAAATGAAGTGTATCTACATCCATGGATTCTAACCACTGAATTTTGAGCAATCACCACCAAGGCTTAATCATAACTGGAACAAAAGTAAAACAGAAAGCAGCATTTGTTTCATATTGACCACATGTCCATTTTTCAAGTTATTTGGATCTGCAAGTAAGCTGCTTTGGCTAATTCTTTCCACTGATGACCATGTTCTTCTTTTAATTAATTTCATGTCAGTACCAAGATAATTACTTGACTTCTTGACTTTGAATTAAAATTGTAAAAAAAAAAATTGTCTAATGAACACTTTTGAGATGCTAAGATTGACAGCTTGATTAAGTAAAATCAGTTGAGGTTCAGTAACTCACCCCCTTGAACTTTGCCTCCTCTTCCTCCTCGTCCACCTCCATGGCCATCTACAGTCAACAAAACAGCAATTACTTCACACTTAGTGTTATTAAAGTGATAAAATTTCCTTGGGCAACAAGCTTCCATACATAAATAGTAACATAATTATGTTCTAAGGCTAAAAGGCTTATTGTATTTCATGGTTCCACTAATTAAACTGCACTCAAGAAACTCTTCAAAGGTAAGGAAGGGGGGAGATATCTCTTAAACTAGCCAGGTTTAATCAAAGAGAATAATAATTTAAGGATAGAAATATTTTACTTGAATGTCTTTGGTCCTTTGGAGCTGGCTCTGTTCTCTTCTTGAAAGATGGCATCTCCACTGGTGACCCAGCATGTGATGGCCTCCCACCACGATCAGGGACCTGAGAGGGTGGAAAGTTTGAAATATTGACAGAGATACCCTCACTTCTCTGAGCTATATTTGATTTTGATTTTCATATTAGTTAGTAACATACTTTGCCTATCATGATCTTGTTTATTTTACATTGTGTTTTGTCTCTTATGTCACCACTGCTTGTTTTTGTCAACCTAAGCAAATCTGCAATAAAAAAAATAAAGCATAGAATAAAAAGGTTTGTATGGTCATGTGAAATCTGGCAATTAATCCTTCAGGTACAGAGACTGAAAATAAAAGGAATTCCAGCATTTCAAACTAACACATACCAGATCACTGATACTATGAAATTTGTTTTATTGCCATTTCACTGAACATTTCTAATAATAAGAGAATGAGTATCTTAATATTATGATAATTATACAATTGATGTTAAGTAATATCTTATAAAATCAGAGAAGAGTAACTTTGCTTGCCTGATCTTGCAGCAATTATATCTGGAATGGTTACTGGGGCTGTAGCTGATAGAGATTTTCTTAATGGATGAAAAACTGCAGACATTTCATGTTTTTTAGCCTGGAAATGTACAAGTTAGAGTAACTTTTACTCTCACACTAACAATGTGATGTGCATACTTTTATTCATTCAACATAACTGAAGATGACTGACAGATTCATACAAATTTGACCAAGTTCATTGTAACGAGAAAATTCATATAAAGGGAAGTGCAAACCTTTGCCCTGTCAGACCAACCAAAGGATTGGACTGTGACATCTAATCTCTTCAACAACATTGAACGGCGCAGCATGTACTCCTGATTTAGCTGTGAGTTGATTTCTTCTACTTTGCTCTGAAGGAAGAAGTAAGTCACAAGTTTAACATTAGACTGTGAGATATCCTGACAAGAAATCATATGAGTATGTTGTAGAAAGAAATGAATGGAAACATTTATTACATACCCACTGCTTGACTCCCAGAGTCTCATTTAATAAAGGCTGCCCAAGATGATCTTTAGGAGCTTTACTTAATAGTTCACGCACCTGCATGCACAGAGAAATAATTTGTTAAAAGTAAACAAATAAAATAATTATATAAATTATACTAAACCTTGTTGTTAACTCAATACAACTGTATGTGGTGTATATAAAGCAAAAAAAAGGACATAAAATTTGCCAAATGAATATAAAATAATAAAAGTTTTGGCATGGTAATGATATCACATGATTATAATAATAAAAATAATAACTGTTACAGTAATAATAAAAAATATGAGGGTCATTGATACTGATGAGTTTATTGTGAATAGTTGGCAGTTTTGTATCACTAACCTTGGTCTCGATCTGAGTAAACAAATCAAACACAGTTGATTCTTTAGATGGCTGTGGCAAATCTAGAGTGTGTAAGATGGCCTTTAGCTGATCCAAGGCTGGACTTGCTGCCTGTCAATAGAAATGATTAAAATCAAGCTGTTTTATTACAGCAGTAAACATTTTGTTTTGGCCTAAAGAATGAAAAAACACAGATGTCAATTATACACATTTTTTAAAATACTATAATCATTATAAATGAGAGTTACTTGATTATCAATCTCCATTTTTTCTTCTTCTTCACCTCCAATCATTTTCAGTGCTTGAAGTTCTGAGGTCAGATAGTCTGAAAGAGAGTCAGAGTTTAAAGTCATTATAGGAATATTCCACTCTCACTCAATAACTTTTTTTAGCTGAAGTTACCCAAAAGAAGCAGCCTGTTTGCTTGAGAGGCAAGCCCATTGACTCCTAAGAGCTGGGAATGGGGACAACCTGTAATAAATAAGAGGACATAATGAAAGTTAGGGAAGTGTGCAAGATGTGGATAACATACTCTATAATCAATCACAATACCTAGCTCATTTAACAGTCCACTCATTTCCATGCGAAATGTTTCTTCATCCTCTTTCTCTGTTTCAAACCAAAGAAAAGTAACTGGTTCAATACTGAATGTCAATTGCCAAAAGGTCTGGATAGATATGTAATGAATTTAAGAAAATGAATGACACTTTTTAAATTTGAAAACCTGTTTCGACAGTTCTTCTGTCATCTTCATCAAAGAAGCTACCCACATTCAATAGGAGAAACCTGCACTTAATCACCATCTATCATGTTAATTAAACACCTTCCTTGTAAATGCATACATTGTTCTGTTATTATTGTTTGTTTAGTCCAATCAGCATTTTGTTACACACTATAAATTCAACTTTGCACTATGTATTATTCAGAACTGAAGATGACAGAAGAGCTGTTGAAACATGTTTTCAAATTTAAAAAGTGTCGTTCATTTTCTGAACGTCAATTATATTGAAATATAAACTGGAAATTAGATGGCATCAGCTCTGCTTTGTTGTTATTAATAGTACCTGAAACATGTTCCTGTATTGTACACAGACAGTTCAGTTGTTCAGTTAGCCGGACACATAAGGCCATGAAGTCAGCTGTGAGACACTCCCCTTGGGTGGCAATAGTTAGAGCACCTTCTTCCAAAAGTTCACCAGTAAATCTTCACAACACAAATTTTAAAAAATTCAGTTTGTTACTCTTCGCTTATTTATAAATACAATTATGAAAATTGAAAGATAAATTATTGTAGGTATCGTTTGAAACTCACCCGAGGTCTTCTAGTGCATCCTGGATATCACCTTCCATTCTAGAGTATGGATAAATTAATTTCAAACTGATAGAAAGTTCTTCGACCCTCGTGGTAGAGAAATCCTGTACTGCTTAACGAAAATTAGCAGGCGTTGCCTTGAAACTAGAATCTAGTCCTCTTCGGATTATAATCCTTGGCGCACAAATTACAACAGTAACCGCTGACCTTAATAACTGCTTTCCATGTGACTCGGCAAAAAGGAAAAATCCAAGATGGCTTCCCAGACTGGTTTGAAAGAAGTTGTGTCTCTTTATCAAACTCTCATAAAGGAGTGGAACAGAAAACCCGTTGATCTTGAGAAAGTTGGAAAGCTTCTGTCTGGAATGAAGGTGAGTTACATCTTGTGGGTTTCACCGTACTTTCCAGCGGAAGAACATGATACATGGTTGGAAATTCACGTTATCTCGAAACCATGCTCCATATTTCCCGATGAGATGTCCTTTTAATATTCTTAATTAACCCTTAGCATGCTGACTTTGAGTTCAGGTTACAATCCCTTAAACTGACTTTATTTTTAGAAACGCACTCATACACGACAGTTGATCCTTTCAACAGCATTGAAAGCTTTACTTTTCATCAAATCCCAACAACCTATATATCAAATTAAAACTTATGAAATTTCCTTTCTGATTATTCTATTATAATAAACTTTGAACCTGAGTTGCTTTTAAAATTTAGCTATGAAATCATGTTTTTGACAAAAGTTATACATTAACAAATAACACATCATATTAATTTCTTCCAAAAATCATCTGTACAAGCCTACAATGGCAACCAGAGTTAATCCCTAGTCCACCAACTTGATAAAACAATTCCTGTGACTGTGACAGCATTTTTTAAAATTTATTTATTTATTTATTTATTTAATGGATTCGTACAGGTACAAGTACAGGTGCATAACAATAGGACATAAGTCCCCTACTTGGTTAATACACCCACACCCAGCCCCATAAAAAATATCCTGAAAAGAAATATCCCGAAAAAAGATCCCTTCCCTGATCCAACTAAACTACAATTCAAATAATCTAAATCACACAGAACATTCTAAAGTATACAAATTAACAACTTAACTTAACTTAACTTAACAAGCACAGACAGAAGAAGTATTTACATGGTGACACTAAGGACAAATTAATTTAAAAGAACAAAAATTGTCACCACCAAAAGCCTTCAAAAGTCTAGTAAAATAAAATGACTTGAAAGAGCTTATAGTGTCTGATTCCTTGATATTTTTAGGTAAACTGTTCCACATCAAAGTTATTCTGTTGATTAAGTAAAAGTCTTGAAAGGAAGACGTACAACAGGCATTTTTCTCAAAACAGTAGCAAGATTGCATATTTGTCAAGTGGACACTTAATCAAATTAGGAATTTATATACATTGTTTGGTTTTGAATTAGTTCAAAACAGTCAGCTCAGTTGTATGGGTCTATGGTCTAAATTCATCTATTTCTGTGTTTGAATTGACTTCAAAACCTAACAAAACCAAGAAAAAAAAGAATGAATAAGGGTTATGATCAATTAATCAATTGGTTTCAGCATCCACATTGTCATTATTGGCATCATGTCTTTGAATGTAGGCAGCAACATAGTCCTCAACAGTGTGGTACAACTGGAATCAGTCTTGCATACAGAGTGCTACTTTACAGACACTGCACTGAAAGCTAGACCCTTTCCTGGCCTCTTCCTTTTATCTCCTGTCCTTTTTAAAATCTTCTTTTGGGCAGGAAAGCAAGCCACACATGCCTGGGTGATGTTGGACTTCTTCCCAGTCCCCAGTATTTCCTCTGGGAAGTGACCTCCAACTTGAAGGTGGGTTAAGCCTTTGGCTGACCTCCTTGGGTGGCCTCTTGGAGTGAGAGAATGGGAGATGCCAGAATTCCTAACAAGCTCCTTAACAAGCTCCCTTTGAAAGGTCCTTTGCAGCACAGGTGACCGGGTTCTTTGCTTGTACAGGATGTAAGCATTCAGGATGCTGGAGGAAAACAGATGGAAAAACACTTTCTTCCACCACATCATGGTGCGTCACCTGAAGCAAGAATAGGCCACCATCTGATCACACTTGTCAACTGCCCCCATGAACTTGTTGTAGTCATGTACAATCTGGGGTTTAGTGATTGGGCGCCCAGTTCCAGGGTGATTTTGGCCAACTTCTACATCTGCAATGGAATGAACTGATAACAGCATCTGGAATACTTTGTGGTCCTTAAATTTAACTGCTAGCAAAGTTCCATTGTTCTTGACAAACTTGTCACCTTTTTTTTTCACTTGTGCCCTTTTAAATTCCTGGAGAATACCTTTCCTGTAGCAGGCTATTCCCAGGCCCCAGTGTTCTGCCTATAGAGCTCAGCAAATAAAGTAGGTGATGTGTAGTAGTTGTCAATATACAAACACCTACCCACATTCAAATAAGGTTGCATGAGCCTCATGACTAAGTTATATGTTTTGCCTTTAGCACTGGGTGGTTCTTGGTTTACACCAGTGTAAATTTCAAACCTACAACAATACCCATTACTTGAGTCACACAACTGGTATGACTTAACACCATACTTATCTGGCTTGTCTGGATTGTACACTTTAAAGAGCACTTTTCCTCTGAATGGAATCACTCCCTCATCTATGCAAACATTTTTGCCTGGCTTCCAGACATCTGAAAAATTCCCAGTGACAACACTGTATATAGTGCCAAGCTTGTGTACTGGGTTATACCCTTCCTGTCCTCGAGGAACATAATTATCATTATCGCACAAGTGAAAAAATGTTAAAATGTTCATAAATTTGTCTCTTGACATAATTTGAGGGAAAAAGGGAGTAGATAAAACCCCATCGGTGGACCAGTAATCCTGGATATTGTCTTGATTCACCAGGCCCATTGCAATTATCATGGCAAGGAAAGCTTTCAGATGTCACACCATCCTCAGGCCAATTTCTAAACCTTGAGTAGTGAAGTAAATGATCTCTTCACTGTAAAGATGTGATTGTTTCTGTTGTATAGTTATTTGTTTGGGATGCAATCTCATTGAATGGGTTTTCAGGGAATTGGAGATGAAAGTAGTCAGAGAATGATGGATTGTCAGGAAGCTCCACATTCAACCCTCGATCAGCTGTGAAGTCAAGCCTTTGCGGGATACGATCACCAAGGACCCAGTTGTCTTCTTCGGTTTCTTCTTTGCTCTCCTCCTTGCCATCACTGTCTTCTTCTCCTCTGTCATCTTCTTCTTTGCTGCTTTCAGAATTATTGGTGTTTTCATCAAAATCGCTATCCTCTCCACCAACAACTTCATTGATAGTTCTTTCATCAACAAATACAATATTGGCCGCCATCTTTGTTTATCAGTGTTACTGCTCATTAAAACATATTTCATGTGAATTAATCCTTTTATTCTACTTGGATCTTCGGAACTCTGTCAGATGTTTAATTTATGTCCCTTGGGTAGGCCCATGACCGTAAAACTACATAAGCCTGACATATTCCGAACTTCTCTGCCAATAAAACAATGATGTTCGGAAACTCAGAATATTCTGGAACCCATCCACATGGACGAACACATGCGCCCAGAATATTCTGGGAGCCACACGATAAGGGTTAAGTTTAATTTTTTTCCAAAACCTGCCTTAACATTCTTAGCTGAGGGTAATGCGAAGGAATATCGATTCATTTGACAAATATTGTTTGCACCACAGTTACCATAACTTGATAAAATCAATGACGAAAATTAATTTTTTGACTTCTAGATGGCTTTGATCCAGTTTTCATTCTTACCAACTTCTTCAGGCAAGCCAACTTACCAGGAACTTCTTTTAGCAAGTAAGTTTCAAGACTGATTCCTTCAACAGTTCTGATTGTATGACTCTACCTTTTTCAGCAAGGTTTTGTGTAATTAACACCCACATAGGAATGTTCATGTTTTTCTGTACAAAAATTTTGTCCATAGGAGATGCATTAGAAATTGGTGTTCAGTGGAGCATTTTAAAAAAGGACATACCATCATTTGAAAGATACATGGCACAGTTGAAACCATATTACCTTGATTACAAGTAAGGGTATTGAATAAACAATGTAGTTTCTGTGTTAGGTTATGGACAAGTAAGTATCCAAGTTTAATGCTTCATACGTTTAGAAAAGAGACATGGTGGCCTTTAAGTGGGTTCACTGAACTCTGTATTTAAAAGGCCTGGCTCTACCCCCTCTTGCAATGATGTTGGGTTTTGTTCTTGAACAAGATGCTTAAATCTCACAGTGTATGCCTCAACCCATTCAGGAGCATTAATGTTGATGGGTATGGAAAAATTGCCGGGAAAACTTGTTGATTTGTAGTAGGGTCACCAAAAATGGAATAGCTCTCTTTATTCAAAAGAAGAGAAACTTCACTCCCTATCATTTGCCTCGTGAGAATAAGCTGCAGGGGCCAGTTATACATGTATCTATGGTGAATAATGCTATCCAATGGATAAATGGCTATCCAGCTGATAAGTGATTACAAAATATGCTGTGCTATCCACTGGATAGATATTTATCCAGAGAATAGTACTAGTATTATCCAACCTTTTAAAAATTAGGGCCAGCACAGTAGGTTACATGTCGGAACAGAAAGTAGTAATGTTTAAATATCTTTAAAATTTTTGGGAATAATCTACTTGATAATAGTTTAATCTTTGTTGTGTGAATTCCATAGTTGCCATTAGGTGTAGTAACTTAAGCATTGGACTTGTTTAATTTTCACAGGGGCACTTTGGAGGAATCAGTTTATATGTATCAGCTTCTTGGGCTCAATCTGTTGTCTCTTCTTGCACAGAATCGTCTTGCAGAGTTTCATACAGTGAGTAGTAATAACAAAAGATGAAATTACATTATCTGCTATGTCTTTTCCACTTCAGAAGTTAAATACTTTCAAGAGGTTATTGATGCTAGAACCAAGTCTGAATATGCCAATTGGTCTGACAAAAGTTGCCGTTGTTCTAATAAAAACATTATCTATGATGAGATCAATGGCCAACTGGGTGAACCCTTTTAATTCCCAAGATCTGATTGTTATTTCTCCTTTCTGGCTGCTAAACATCTCCTTGTAAATTAGTCATGATAATTTTTTGTTAGATTAAGATAACAAATTTTACATGATAATTTTGAGTATTCTCATTATATGTTTGCTGGATAATGTATGAATATTATGGGGAAAAGTAATTTGCTTATCATGTAAGGGAGTTAGGGGTTAAGATGCTTATATTTTGATATTTTTGTCCAACAGGAACTGGAACTTTTACCTGCTAAAGAACTTCAGAGCAATGTGTACATTAGACATTCTGTCTCCCTAGAACAGGTAACGGTCATGTGATTATATGTGCTAAAACATATCCCTCAGTTGTACTTAACAACTACCTAAACTGCCACTGAAAATTCAAATATAAATTTTGTTGATAAATATTCTATCATTTGAAAAATTGATTTTTATTGAACTTAAATATGACTCTTCTGTTGTGTGAAATGGGTTTCGACCTTTTGATGCACAGTGTAGTAGTTAAATGTTATTGAAATGTTTTTTGCATTTTGTTTCAATAGTATCTTATGGAAGGAAACTATAACAAGGTATTTCTGTCACCACTAACTTATGTTATGGTATAGTGTTACTTATTTTTAGCTATTGTTACTTGTGTAGGTTATGATTTGTATTTATCTTTGTAGGTCTTCCTGGCAAGGGGAAATGTACCAGCAGACAACTATCATTTCTTCATGAATATTCTCCTGGATACTCTAAGGTAAGTGAGCTTTAATGACACAGTAAATGGGTGGCTATCAAAGCTTGGACAGATAGGGTCTTTTACCCACTGTTTATCATTTGTACTATCTGTTAGTGTCTGTCTGTCTATCTCACTGCTTGTCTCTCAGACTATCTGTCATTGATTATCTGTCCAACTATCTGGCTATAATTTTCTGTTTATACTTTCCATTTCTGTCTATTTGGTTTGTCTGTTGGTCATTCAGTCAATCAGTCTGTGGAAAGCATATGTTTGTTTCTCTGTCCAATGTCCCTGTACATCTCATATGGGGAGAAGACATTCATGCAACTGATGTATCTACAGTTGTCTTTAAACTTATGGTATTTGAATTTACTTGTTTAAGAGATGAAATAGCAGCATGTGCAGAGAAAGCATATGAGCATATATCCTTCCCAGAGGCTACCAGGATACTTTACTTTGAGAGTGAAAAAGATATGGCAGCATTTGCTCAGAAGGTAACTATTATACTTAGCAATATATGTAGGGTTGTTACCTCTACATTAATTTTGTTTAAAAAGATACTAATTAGGTACTGCATTTATTAAGAAGCACACACCAAAACAATATATTTTAAATTTGACCAGCACTCATATATTGTTTAAACTCATGTAGTATATTCAGAATGTTAAATGCTTGTGTACTCTTTCCTTTAGCGAGAGTGGACTCTAAAGGAAGATAAATACTACTATTTTGAACCAGACCCAGACAAAGAGATGAAACAAGAAATTCCTGCTTACAAAATGATTAAAAACATGCTGGAGTATGCCAAAGAACTTGAGAGAATAGTTTAAAAGAAGATGTATGAGGAAACAACTCAGAGATTGCTGAGCAATGTACACTTTTTATTTCATTTGTAGTGTTTGTTATGTAAGTGAACAAATCAAATACAATTATTCAATACTAAAAGGCATAACTTAATTTAACTTTTAATTTTCTAACTTTGGAACTGGTTGTGTACTCAAGGTTGCAAATGTCTTAAGTACTAAGTTGACCAAATCAGCAATTCCCAACCCTTTTAATATGCTTGCGGTAGGTGTTACAAAAAACACAACAATTGTCCATCAATAATTATACTTAAGGCAATCACATTGTAGAGTAATTTTGTGTCATTATTCTCCACTCTGAACAAAACTCTTATCATTTCCTACAACAGTTATTATGTTATTGAAATGAATTCCAGCTTTATAGAAGATCAAACACAATATACCCCCTCTGCCAACTTGTTAAGAAATTTAAAATCCATAGTCTGTGGACCCTTTTTTTGCTAAATGAAAAAGCAAAAATGCCAAATCTAAAAATTTGTTGATGGCATTGCAATGCACACATTAACAACACGACCAATGCAGTATCCACCTGGAGGAGAGAAAAAATTGCAATGTGAAAAAAGAGTGATTTAAAGACTGAAAGTATGTCTTAGATAAAACATTTTTCAGAGTACCCTCTTAAACTCTGGCAAACACCTTTACTAGAAAAATCAAATTATTGGTTTCAAACACAAAATGTTGCTCAGCATGTACAGCTTGCATTTTTCATGATGTAGCCCCTACTAAACTTGGAATGAGAGGGTGTAGACATTTTAGCTTACACAAGGTCTCCCACATTCAGTAAATATTGATTGATTCTGTCAACCCAGTATTTCAATATTAATGTACTAAATTATTCTGAAAGACAAAAATCAATGTAATTGAGTATTTCTTTTACCTTGTTCATAAGCCTTTATGTGGAAGGAATTTGTTGCTCCTTGTATGTCACCATATATCTCATACACATTCTCAAAAAGGATCACAAGCCTTACTGCATCATCAATCACAAAGTTAATGCAGTCACCTAAACACAAAAGACATCATTATTTTTAAGTTTAGGACTGCAACATCTTAACACTGATTTTATGTTCCACAGTGCTGTCAAGTCTTGTGCATTGAGCTTGAGACTCAAGCAACTGAATTCAATCTTATTCATGCTTTCACACTAGAACTATTATATTTTTCTTGCATTTAAGGTTTTTGATATAAACTGTTGATTTTTTTGATAGAAAACTGCTGTTTTGGTTAAGTAACTATGAAATTAATTCTCCTTTTAAATATAATTTATTTCTTGTTCCCTTTGGTATCATAAATATTATAAAACATTTTTCACCAATGGAAATTCTCACTCAGAATTAAAGAATTCACCTATTAGCTACTTGATTTGTTCAAAATTTTCTGGGGGGGAGGCATACCCCAATAACCCCCTTCCCCCAAAGCTGATGCCTGGAATGTCACAATTAAAGGCTAAGGTCCCATTTTTACTTCAAGTGGGTTAACTTACTTCTTCATATGAGTTGATTATTGAATGCTAACTAGTGGAGACACTGGTCACTGTTAATAGATATATTGAAAGTATATCACTTTCAGAGAAAAAATCTTCCATTTGATAATCATTATTTGTCACATTTACCTATATTGGTAAATCTGCAATCTGTACAAGTTTATACACTTCCTATTTAATTCCTAAGCTATGGTTACCTTTTACACATTTTATGAAATCTATGGCCAGTTTCTCAATTGCTTTGGCAATATCAGTCTCACTGCAATCTTTAAATGCCTTCACCACGTCCATAAGAGCTGTGCCAAACAACTGCAGTCCTTTGAAAATGTTTTTGTTTTGTAAGGCATCAAATGATTCCTTGAATGCTGCTACAGTTTGGTTTCCATCTTCAACACATTTTTCAAAATTAAAGCCTTCTTTGCCTAATCCTGCAGCAATCCCTCTGTAAACTTGAACCCACTCTTTGTCTTCTGTGCCATTGAATACAGTCAGGCTGGAGCTCACTGCATCAAAGAATTTCTTATTTACCCTGGGAGAAAATGATCAAAGTCAGTCAATACACCCTGTAGAATGTTCGATCTTGTTTATTTATTCCCATGAGATAAACATACTTAGCAATGGCTGTATAAGGGGTGCTTCAATTGTGATATCATATCCACAAATGGGGCTTTTTCATTATTGTTATTAGCTAGAGTTGCAATTTGGAGTGCTGATTTTTTAGAAAGTTTGTGCTGATACTTGAGAAATAGGCAGTAACACCCACTTACTCAGCAGTACCCATACAGTGTTAGATGATTAATTTTAATAAAGAACACATACAGGTAGCGGTAGTCATATTTGCCATTGGGAAGATAAGATTTGAAAGTCAGAGATCCTTTAGGTAGTGGGTCTGCATTTGGATTCTGTCCTCCTCCAACATATAAGAAGTCCACATACATTTCATTGTCAGCACCAGATGGGTATACACCTGAAGAAATCAGTGCAAAGGCAATTGTCAGGGTAGATTTTAGAAAAAAGACTTTTTTATTACAGCTGAGTACCCAGATATATTTTAGGAGATAAAATAGCCTAACTGACCTATCCAATCCTTGTGTGTGGCCTCATCAACTGGTACAGACCATGAGACTTTAACTGGACTTCCAAATGCTGCTTGTGTTGTTGACAGGACTAGGGACCGATTCTGCTCAATTATCTCAACATCATCATTAGCACTTAACTGGAAAAGTGAAAATTAAGTATCATCAACAGAGTTGATAACATAAATTGGCCATTGTTAAGAGTTTAAAAGCTGACATTTCAAGTGTCAGCCCTTCCCAATCACTCTGACAAAGGGCTAACACTTGAAAAGTCAGCTTTAAACTCTTTACAGTGGCCAATTTCTGTTATCAACTCGGTTCATAATACTAAATTACCCTGTTATACTCTCCCATTGATGCAACACCACAGTTTCTTTAGAAATTTAACCTCTCTGTTATTTTGAACACTTAATAGCAAATCCTCAGTGATGACCAGCTCATTTAATCTCACTAAGTAAAAATTTTATGAAAATCATATTACCCTTAAGGTCTGAGAGAACGATATAACTGAACTTACTGCATATGCTGCCCACCATCCTTTGTCATCATTAATGATGGTGGAATGACTGGTCAAGGCTGATACAGGACGACCAATATATTGCCACGGGTTCCACTCCTTACCACGTTCAAGCTCCCACATGTGCCACAGGCCACCTTTGTTTCCCACTGTGAATATCTTCAAAATAAGACAGTCTTTATAGTTTTACAAACTTGATCAGAAGTAAAATGTCATTTAGCAATTTCTCTAAATAACATGGTGTTTCAAAATGTGTTTATGTTTCAATATTGTTTTAAAATAAAGTTATAATAGTATACTTTATTCTATTTCTTTGACATAGTAATTGCCATTCCATCACTCCCTTAAGGAAACTATGAAAACTGCACACTCTTAAGTCATCTCAAGATATTTAACCCTTTGACTCCAGAGTGACCAGCTTCTAATTTCTCCTTACAATATCACCCCAAAATGACACACTGAGGTCATGAAAATAAAGGAAGTGATCAACAACTGAAGAAACTCTTGATTGTTAAACAAATTCTCCTTGTTTAGCACCTTTGGAAATGTTGAGAGAGCTGTATAGAGAAATAATAATAATAATAAACTTTATTTACGTGTCAAATAAGATAGAAGTTTCCCACTAAGTAAGGACACCTAGACTAAACTAATCTAATCTATATAAAACTAAGCATTAAAAATTTATTGGAATATGATAAAAGAGCTCTTCCCATATAAAACTACCCTACCCCGAAATAGTAGACCCCATGTTTATAATACCCTACCCTGTATAATAAGATAATAACCTTAATATAATGAGATAATAAGATAATAATAATTACAATAATATGATCTTGGTAATATTTAAAATATTTAAGATTTACATAAAATACAGTTCTTGCAATTATTCGAAGAGATTAAACTTTGTATATCTACTTTATATAAAGCGTTTTTAAATTCTTGCAGCATTCTTAGTGCTCTTATTTTTCCATCTAACTTAGACCAGATTACTGGACCTAAGTACCTAAGAGAGTGCTTACCATAGCGCGTAGTACTAACTCTAGGGATAATGAAATCATTGTTTCTTAAATTATATTTGTTGTTATTAATAACAAACAGGTTCTTGATATTATTAGGGCACAGATCATTTTTAACTTTAAACATTAACACAGCTATGTCATGTAATCGCCTATTACGTAAGGTTTTTAAATTAGCCCTCTTAAGGAGGTCGCTATATGATGATATGCTATCACAATAAACAGCTCTAAGGGCCCGTTCTTGTACCCTCTCTAATTTTCTTGAATCACTAGCTTTGCAACAATTCCATACAATACTACAGTAAGTTAAATAAGGCAGAATAGCAGCCTTAAAAAGTTGTAATTTAGCCTTGGCTGGGATTAACTTCCTTAATCTATTAATTACACCCACCCTTTGACTGCTTTTTTTACAGATGTTACTTATGTGATCAGAAAAATTTAAATTATCATCAATATTTACACCCAATAACTTAAGAGAATATGGTAGTAGGTAGAGAATATGGAATCACACATACTGATTTTAGGGTATAAAGGGTTACAGTGTTTTGGGGTTACAGTATTTTTCCAAACCACAGGGCAGTAAAAACTCCATGCTTACCTCAATTCCAAGATGTATATTAGCCCCAATACTCAAAGGATTATAAGAGGGGTCAGTCATTGGAATCTTGTTACCAATCTTATACCACAAACTCCATGTGCACCACCCCCAAGGGTTTGGAACCTTATCACAGGTTGTTTGCCATATATGGTGAATGTAGCCATCATCACCATATATGAACACATTGAGGACACCATTGAATGTACTGTGGCTCATTTGGTGCACTACTGGGGCATGCTGGGTCTCTGGGGCACCATATCCTGTTTCATCCCAGGAAACCCATTTTGTTGGACCTAAAGGTTTCAAAATGTTTTGAATTTTAAGGTATGATTCTGTGCTTGTTTGAGTATTGTATCCTACTATATTATCACAGAAATTGACTTTTTGTACCTGTTTGCCAAGTTCTATACATTTTGTTGTTTTCCATGATGGCAAATGCTTCCAGATACTGAAGAAATAAAGATGTATCATAATTTTCTACCAACAGTAAATGGTTCCTACCAAAACTAATAAATAAGACTTATCCAAGCATTATTGCTTACAACTTGCATTACTATGCACTCTGTTGAATAAACCCAGACTGACTTTCCGTACCTTTGAGAAACCATTGTAGGCTATTGCCACATCAGAATTTAATGAAACAGATGATCCACCAATAAGAGCCCAGTCTGACCAATTACCATTGACTTGCTTTGACCAGTACAGATGGGAGGATTTTGTCACTGATCTTGAGAAGACAGTCAGCTTATTCTGATAGTTCACTACAGACAAAGTGTCTTTTCCTTTCAGAGTCACTCCTTGAAAGCAATATTTTTTTTATATTTTAAAATCTGCAATTCTTAAAATTAGAGTTAAAACTACAAGATTTTTCACCAGACTTGAAGAGATAGGAATCTTTGGTACATGTTGGGTTTCTACATGTCAATGGGGCAGTTGGGGTTGTGGGGTTTATACAACCCACCTCCATGTCAAGTTAGGTAAGTAATTAGAAAAAACAGTTCATATGCCAGTAAGCCTAAAGTAAGACCCCCCTTTCTTAACTGAAAAAAATCTTGTTTACACCCCTGAGATTCTTCAAACTTTGTGCCTCAATCTTCCCTTTCATGAGAATTGCCTAAAGATTTGAGAGGTGCCACCTTTACAACCATTTTGGGTTTTGGCATGAAATGCTTAACCATGAAGTTATATCAATGTTATAATGTTATATACCTGCTTCAAATGGAATTTTAGCACTGATTGAAAGCCACTTTCCAAACTCAAGAGCTGTGCCATCAGCCTCTTGTTTGAGGAAGTAAACTTGTCCATCATCACAAAGACAAAATACAAATGTCTGATTGTTGGAATCATGGATGGCAACTGGGTTTGAAATTATTGATTTCCCTTCAGGAGAGCCCATATTGTGCCTGAATTGGACAATGGATTAAATGAAAGACTGGACAAAATTTAAAAAAATTATGCACATGTGTATTGTAAAGAACCTTGATACAGTTCAGTTTTCCAGGTCCTTTTAACTTAATTTGTAAATGGCAAGCATCAGCAACAAGGCTTTTCCTCTTTATAGATATTTACAGTTTATAGATATTTAAGTTAAAGGCAAGACATCTTCTTAAACCCTGAGATAATTAGCATAAAATGGCAGATCTGACAATCACCAGCTACACTCCCCCTTCCTCTCCTCTTCCCCTTCTTCCCCCCCCCCGAAACTTTAGCTTTTGTTTAGAGCTTGAACGCGAATAAAGAGATCTAATAAGGCTCATTTCGTTTTAATCTTGAAACCCATTTCAATCTCACGCGGTCACTTGGAAGCGTGTGGTGTTAATTGAAAAAAGGTCATGCTCCAGTCATTGAAATATTTACATAGTCGCTATGCCCATGATTGATTTCGCACGCTTTGGCAGGATATCGTTTGGAGTTTAGGGTACATATACACTGGGAATGTATCTTTGCTTAATTAACGAACTCACCAATTTGACCACTGCTCCTTGGCATACTGCTGGTATCTCAATTTCCCTTGGTTTGTGTGGAAAGCGAAAACAACCTCCATTGGAGGTTGCTTGCTTTTTAGGACGGCTAGACGGTCTTCGATGCTCGCTGTTGGCGTCTTACGTTGATATGATGCACTTATGGAAACATTTATAACCATTAAAAGAAGAAGTAGCCGGCAAGAGGACATTGCAACTCTTCTATTTCTCCGTGACAAGGACCGCCAGAAAATGTGACTTGTGTCAATGAACGGAGACGATAAACCGGAAATAAATTGTTATCACGAGACTCGCTAGCCTACTTGTAGCCGTACCCTCCCCCGCAAGGTAAAGTGGAAGCAAGAGAACCTCTACTCCGTTTCACCTTGGCGGGGGGAGGGTACGGCTACACGTTCGCTGGAGACTTGGACGCGGCTAGTCATAGGTAACCCACTCAACCCTGATCCCTGAGGTGTACGTTCACTTGCAGCATACAAAATGCACCCAAATTTCGGTGATAACACTTTCATCAAATCATTTTACAATTCAAACGCCTTGCATCCAACAACTTTACTTTGGTAAGCTTTCAAATCATGTCTATTTCCATTGGATAATTTGTTACAAAATGTTCTGTAAGATCCTTGTGGACTAATCTCCCCGTAACACACCATGACAAACTACCAAATTATGTTGAATTTCCTCTTGGACTGGGAATCAAAATACAAGCATGTTAGCGAGTGTACATGACTTCATTTCTTTAATGATGATAAAATTGATAAAAATTGTAACGATAATATTAGTGATAATAATAATGATGATGACGAGAAAGATATTATTGATAACAATTATCGTAGTATGTCTTCCAGTTCTTTTCCACAGGTTCCTCTAGGTAAATGTTTTGCCTGGAAATTTACCAAAATTTCGTTAATTTATTTCATCCAAGAAAGCTTATTATACATCTTCAACTTCCCTACTTTCCTCGACTATTTAAAAAAGACGGCTAACGCTCAACAACGTTTTACGTCTTCAACAATCTTCCTCACATCTTTCCAGCTTAGATTCAGCAAGTCACTTGCGCTAATCAAACTTCTGCTAAAGTCCTCAATCTCTGTCCTGCACACCACACAGCGGTGCGATGACTTCTGAAGAAACGCAAGCTTCAACGACTGCCAAGCGCACCAACTGCACACAACCACGTGTTCGCAAGGCAAAGTTTGGATGCACGCTTCAGCTTCTAAACACACTGCACAGCGCTTCTCCACCCAACAACTCGCACTGTCCTTTGTGTAGATTTCCTCCTCACCACGAGGACTTCCTCCGTATAGCTCTAAAAAGCGATCAATGATCATTGGAATCTTTTCAACCTCTATGGAGTAAAGCTCTTTGAGAAGATGTCGTTGTTGCCTTGTCCCACGATCTCTTTGTGCACGTTTAAATCCGCACCAAAATAAAACCAACGAGGAAAAACAAAGAATGTATACCGCAATCATAGAAATTATCGAAAGTCCACAGAATTTGAAAATTAAGATGCTGGAAATGTGGTTGAAACCTAAAAGACCTGAAAATGCGGAGAAAACTTTAACAAAACTCCAAAATCGAAAGAAGGACCCGGAAGGTGAATCCATATATTTTTTTCCCTTGGCTCTTGTCAGGAAACCAAAAGATACGTGAATCGATTTCAAAACTTAAACTCCAATTTTCTTTTTATGGCAAGATCCTTTGACTATCCAGCTGTTAATATTAATAGGGAGATTTAGCTTTGCACGAGACCCGAGCCTGTTTTTCCACCAGTCAGCCATGAAAAGAAAATCTATACCACCTGTAGTCTGTGTCTTACCTTTGGTAGAATGAGAAGTACAGGTCGAACTAACTTCAAACGGAGGCTTCGCAATACAATTTTATTTCACTCCTTTTTTTTTTATTTGAGATGAGTAACGAGAATTACGTAGCAAATCACAAGGTCTTCATTTTATTAGCGCCGCATGATAGATTTGAGACGAGTCGGGGAGAGGTTTGCCGGGAGTCTGGCACCAATAGTACCCATTAGTCAGTGCTAAACGTAGATCCTTTGCAGTCCTCTCGCTCGCCTGCGTTGTTAGCACGCTTGAAAGATTAACAATGAGGATCTGCACGCAGACTAAGATTTACGTCAATTTTTCACAATCCCTGCAAATCGATTCGTGCGCAGTCGTGCGCGACTCTGTTTGTCCTTATTTTGGTCGAGAAGCATGAATGTTAATAAGAGTGATACAACGTGATAAATTGTACCGAGTTGTGTGTAATTGTAAACAAGTACGGCTTAGAGGTAAAAACGTGACTGGTGAGGAAGAGCCACTTCATGATGATGTCATCCATGACTTCTAATGAGGTTATGCTGAGAAGCATTCATCAGATAAGGGACCATTCATTAATTATCGTCTGGGAAGGGGGGGTAGGGGAAAGAATTGTGAGGGAGATCATATGGTTTTAAGGGGGAAAGGTAATTGAGGGAGGGAGGGTAAGTCGACGCCAAGAGAGCATAAAGAGCGAATTGATTGTCAATTAACTCTCAGTGAAGGGAGATCATAATAATAGTATTTTATCATGACACAACAAAAATCCTCCACACCCCTCCCCCTTCCCAGATGATAAAACAATGACCGGACCTTTATCTGAGGAAACTAATGCTTCTCAGCATAATCTTCGTCCCTAAGAAGTTCTATTTTTGTTTACACTCACGTTTTGTGCCCTTAAATATAAAAGGTACCAAGTTATATTGTGCAACCTAGATTTAGATTTCAAGGCAGACATTTTTCTGTTTACGGGTTTGTGAAATATGTTTGAAATGCGTTTCCAAACTCTGTCAACTGATTTCCTATCCTAAATGAAGCGTCTGTATTCGAAGTGTTTTATATTTCTGTGATACACAATACGCATTTATGCACCAGCCTGCATGGAAGACAGCTTAAAACAACTGGTTGACTTTGACCTTCGTAATTGAAGTTGCTCTTGCGTGGGCGAGTGACGTCACATGATCATGAATTTTTTTTTTTCTATAAATGCGGCAGCAGGAAGCCCGGCTTTTAGTACTATCTCAGGTCCGTTATCATGGCTGCCTCGTCTTATCAGCAAAGCTCAGTTACAGTGCAACTGGAAGGTGGTAAAACGTTCATCTGTAAGGACGTACTTCCACAACCCGGAGGTGTCATCTTGGATCTGGGCTGTGGTACTGGTGAGCTGTCTGCGTTCCTTGCTGAGCTTGTGGGGCCACATGGACATGTTATTGCTGTTGATCCTGACACCAATCGACTGAATTTGGCCAAGGAAACTCATCGTCATGTAAAGAACCTCTTCTTTGTGGAAGGGAACTCTAATGAGTTTCAAGGCATGGGATCTAAAAAGTATGACCTGATTTTCTCCAACTTTGTGTTTCATTGGATACCGGACAAGGACAAGGCGTTCAGGAATATGTTTGACAGTTTGAAAGCCGGCGGGAAAATTGCCATACATTACATAGACGCCTTACTCCCCTTTATAACTACCTCATTTGAAGTGCTGAACCCGGAGACAGCGGAAAAATTCAACAAAATGTTTTGCTTCGATACCAGAGATAATATAGATTGCATGTGCCGCGCAGCAGGATTTGATGTCGTGAGCAGCTATTACGCCTATGATGAAACGGTCGTTTATCCCAGTGTGGAAAACCTTCTACAGTGGCTAGTAGGTACTTCACATGGAGTTTTCGATCTACAGCTTGTCACCCAAGAAAGAATTCAACAACTGTTCGAAAAGTTCGGAAACCCACCGTTCGACTTTACTGCCGATAGCAGGGTGAGTAGACTTCTAGCTGTGAAGCCGAAATCCCAAGCACAATGAACACAAGCAGCCCAAGCCCACGCAGTCAATCGTTTGCTAGAAAATGCTGTTCAAGCTGGCCTCCTAAGAACTCGATTTGGTTCTTTGTACAGTGGTCCGACTTGAGATGGAAGTTATAATTTTCTAATAATCATATTACTTTAATTTTAATTGTACACCCCTGGAATGAAAATATGTCAGTTGATCTCCCTAATCGAGTCCTATTCTATAGTTGACCAAAATACACCACGCAAATTATATTTGGGCGGCTCAATTTAACAAGAAGGTACATTCTAGAATAATTTTAAAAGTTACTACCATCTTAACTAACCAGCAATACAGGATTATATTCTAGTCGGAATACAATGAAGTTTTAATTCTGCGTTGTGCTAACCCAGCCAGTTTTGTACGCAGCACATCAATTAGCTGAAAGAGCATGAAAATTTGTGCTGTGTTTACCAAATTAGAGAAGGGGGGGAGGGGGGAGGTTGCCCATCGTTCTCTCTAATTTGTACATGAGCTTGAACACCCGCTTCTTCTTCTTCTCATATAGTGTGGACACGAGCTCATGTTGCAATTCGTGATTCTCGATCGTTTATTTTCATTAAAGCATAATATGTACCGCTGTTATGGAAATTTAATGTAACTGAGTTATAAGTCTTTGTTTTTTTCATTTTGGTGACTGTCACATAACATTTCAATAAAAACAACATATCCTATATGTCTGCTCTATACGCGAAACACGAAAAGTCATCTTTTTTTGTTGATATTTAGTAAATAAACCCGTCCCGGAAGCAGGCATGTCGGCTGATGATGTCTGCGACAGAGACTGCCCAAAAAATAGATATTTGTCCGAGGAGCAAAGCTTCGAGGGTAAATGTGACACTCTTATGCTTCCCTTTTTTCCATCGGTTTTGTTTCCTTTCGGCGGAAATAATTGGAGGACAAATGTCAACATAAACAGTGCCTAGTACTTGATAACTGTCCTTTGAGTGTGTACCACGTGATGTTGACGAGCCAATAAAATCATGCATAATTTTTTTGGCGGGTTATAAGTGGATGCCGTATTTCCTCGAATAAGTGCCTTAGGATTTAGGGTTTAGGGTTTAACGAACGGGCGCTTATTAAAAATTTCGAGTAAAAGGAGGGGTGCTTATCGGTCCTTGAAGACTTGAGAATGGTCTAGTTGCTCCTGAGAAGTTAACCGTGTTCACCAAAACACGGCAAAAGGACAATATTTAAAAGAACAGTAAGCACATGAAGATAGGAAAACTGGGACTGACTTATAATTAATGAAAAATAAGCTTTTCTGGTAACAACAGTACTTAAATGGGACAAAAAAGGAAAAACTGGTAGTACAATGTTCGTACAAGTTTTACTCGGTCGGATTTGGCTATTTTTTAATTTAAATCTGAAACTATGGAGAGTTGAAGATTCTTTGGCTCTCCTGCAATCCTACAAAACAATATGTTTTACCGATAATAATCAAATAGTTAGGAAGAGGCGAGTGTAGAAGAGTAGGATATTACGCCGATGATTACATCTTGTATGTTGACTCATTTACTGCTTTGTGATGGTTGAGTAGTACTGCGCATGCTCAAACTCTGCCAGAATGGCAGTGAAAGAGGACTGTGGAATAATTTACTATGAAGGGTTTCCGGTTGTACTCATTAAAAATTGCACGTACAGTCCTAAGAGATTTGACCGTCGCAGATTTCAATATAAAAATAAAAAATATTTTAACAGCAACCCATCGAGTTTCTCAGATTCAAAGAGAATAAATAAAATTTCTATGAATGAGTCTTCAGCCTATTCCATGTGTTGAGACATTGAAATAAAATTCCATAAAAATTCACACAACCAAAGGAATGATCAAGTAAGCAGTCTCCAAAGAAGCCTAAAAGTACTCTTTTTGTGCCGGTTTCGCTGCAACCAACACACGATAACGATTCCCTTCACCAGGAAACAATCACAATGAAGATACAGGGAGAATCGATACAAATATGTCTGGTGAGTAAAAATACCAACCCGATTTAGCTCTTCCCAGACTGTTTGAGTATTTCCATTGTGAAGATGACCAATACTGGAATAAATAGCTTCGAAAGCTTCAGAATGTTTTGATCAGTTGGAGATGGTGAATCACATATGCTTAGAAGCATCAGTGTTCACAAGTAGGAAGTTTCCTTCCCATTCCTGGAGAGTTTTAGGTTGTGGCGATGAAGTAAGTGGAAAACACTTCGATGTCTATTGTACGTTACATGATTTCATGCCAACATTACAACGTTCCATAGTTGTGGTGGCGTAAGTCAGTGAAAATACCAAACCACGTTGGTTTTTCAACTGTTCGAGTCGTGCTCCAAATGCCAACACACGCTGAGCCACAGCGCTTACTGCAATTAATATTATGGCTCATTAATCTAGTAGCATCCAATGTTAACAATCGCTTCAGGAAATACCACAAATTATATTTGATCTGTATATTTATATATTATCTCGTTCGGATGTAAGTTCGGATATAACGCGCGCTGTCATTGGTTGAAAGAGCGTGCTCTACGAGAGTATAGAGCATAGAGCTATAGAGCTGAGCTAAAGCTGTCACGCCATCTGCCAAATTGGACTATATCCGACCTTTTCCGGGACTTTTCTCTAGCTTTTTTTCGTTAATTGAAAGTGAAATTTCGGAACAAGCGAGCCGGCAAGTAACAACAGAACAACCAAACAAAGGTTTATAAACATGCCAGGCGCTGTAATTGACGTTATTATAACGTGAGTAGAGACGAAAATCCTCAAAGAGAAAACGAAATGGACAGTCCCGAGTTTTGAAGGTTTTCACTCTCAGTTAGATTGCAAGCTTACGAATGGTAATAAAAATCAAACAGAGCTAACACTCGTATAGTATGTAAGGTTCGAGTTCAAAAACAAAATAGAAAAAAAACAGGAATGATAAAAAATATAGCCAAAGTGGCATAACTGTTATAATTTATACTAATCATGACGTTGTCGGAGCGACTGCGATCATGCTGAGGTCCAACGTCGCTAGCTCGGAGATCACCAGTGAAGCAAGCCTCAGAAATTACATCGACCACCCTTCGAGTGAACAACTAAGAGCTTGCTCTGATGTCCTTTCCGATGCGTTGAGGGGTGAAGACCACATCAGTCACTGCAACCGAGTTTTACTTAAACGAGATTTGACTTTCATAGAGTACAATTAACAGATAAACAATCCACCAGTTGGGTTGCAATAAGTGAGCTAGACTAAGAGAAAAAGAAACCTAAAAAACTAAATGATGACAATTCTTCATTGAATTAACCTAGTCAATTCTATATGCAGCACATAAACCAGCTTTCATGAAGATAAACATCTTGTGTTGTGTACTGAATCGGGAGGGAGGGGGGGGGGGAAGGTGGTTAACTACACGCCTACATATGGGCGGCCGTCACCACCAAAAATACAAGGATGTCAAATAGATCAGCAAATACAAAGATGTATTAAGTGCTATTGTATCGCCAATGTTCCCGCTGTTTTCTGTTTTCTGTTTCCTAATCCTCCAGGACAATCAGGGGAATACCTCAACGTGAAGGCACATAGATCAGCTCCCGGGGGGAGTGGTGCGGGTGGAAGTGTCGTCATCATTACAAAATCATTACATGGCAATCCGAACAGCAAAATTCAAGTTGACGGTGGTATCCCTGTGAATTGTGCTTTTGGAACTGGAGGAGGTAAGCTAAATCCTCATCCGTCCCCATCCATTACAAATGCATTCTCAAATACATTTTCATGTGTATTCATGAGGAGTAAAACGTCCGTTGAAAGTTCTTAGGTATCATCAATAGAACTGAGTCACACTACCTTTTTACCCGACAAACTGACTGACTGTCTTATTGATTAACTAGCTAACCGTACTCAACGACTCACTAACTGACTCACTAACTGACTCACTAACTGACTCGCTAACTGACTCGCTGACTGACTGCCTCACAAACTGACTGACTCACTAACTGACTGACCGACCAACTACAATTCTGCTATTCTTAAGTTGGTTGGCCGGAGTTATTAAATCATTTTTCTTTCTCGTCATTTAGGTGGCGGGGGAGGTGTAGGCCGCTGGCTGATAAAAACACAAGACTCACTTTTAAATTCTGGACAGTGAACCGTGAAATAAACACAGCTCTTGAACATACATTCGTGACCACACGAGATGAGTCATTCTTAAGGAAAAGACAGCCTGTCACATCCTTCTATGTTTTCTTTTTTTTTGTCTTTTTCATGCAATCTCATGTAAAACAAAGGGAAACATTCAAAGAGGAGGATACATCATGTGACATGTTTGGCATTACAGCTGGTGCGTTTGATCCCCAGGTGGTCACGCACAAAAGACAGGTTAACAAGTTCAAGTTGTGCTCGGTTCACAAACGAGAAAATTCACCACCATTAAAGTCGTTCCTAGTAAAAAATATCTTACCTTCATCACAGCTCTTCCGGCAGAAAATTACGATTTTTAGGCTTCTTTGTAGACTTCTTACCATTTCTTTGATTTTATGTTAAGGACTTAAATTTAACGTACGTATGAAAAGGCTGGAACTCTTGAACACTGCTCTAATCAATTCTCCTTGAAACAGAAACTCGACTAGTTGCTTTTAGAATAACTGTAGAGAAAAAGACTGTGAATATATGAAAATCATGTATGTGAACTGCGGTTGAAGAAACGAATATGAAAGCGATCCTCGCAGTTATAAACACTAATTAAGCGGTGGTGAAAATAAGGTCCGAAAAAATCTAAGCCTGTACGGGATTTGAACCCATGACCTCTGCGATACTGGTGCAGCTCCTAGTTGGCTTGTTAGCTCAGTTGGTAGAGCGCTGGATGAGATGTAATGGCCGTACCTACTCAAATCGGGTGACTAAAAGACTTCCTTCTCGCCTTTCAGAGTTCAGAAAGATGATTGACCTGAGGAGTTAGACCAAAAGCAATCAATAAATAGTTAGCCTTTCAACATGTGACCCTAGGAAATCAGTTGACGGAGTTTGGAAACGTCATCTTCAAACATATTTCACAAACCCGTGAACAAAAAAATGTCTGCCTTGAATACAAATCTAGGTTGCACAATATAACTTGGTACCTTTTACATTTGCGGGCACAAAAAACGTGAGTGCAAACAAAAATAGAACTTCTTTGGGACGAAGATTATGCTGAGAAGCATCAGTTTCCTCAGATAAAGGTCCGGTCATTATTTTATCTCTTGGGGAGAGGGGGTGTGGAGGATTTTTGTTTTGTCATGATAAACTGCTATTATTATATTATGATCTCGCCTCATTGAGAGTTAATTAACACTTCATGCTTTGTTGACCTCAACTGATCACCCTTCCGTTACCTTCTCCCCCCCTTAAAAACCATATGATCTTTGCCCCGCGTATTCTCCGCCTCCCTCCCTTCTTCCCAGGCGATGAATAATGAATGGTCCTTCATCTGATGAAACTAATGCTTTCAAGCGGTGTAGCATTGCGTCAAATGGCTCAGCCTAATTTAGAATGGTACAGCGTACACACATGTGGTGTAGCGCTGCGGGAAATAGCTCAGCGTAATGTCGAATGGTACAGCGTACATAAAAACAGTGTAGCGTTGTGTGAAATGGCTCAGCGTAATGTCGAATGGTACAGCGTACCTACAAACAGTGTAGCGTTGCGTGAAATGGCTTAGCGTAATGTCGAATGGTACAGCGTTCATACAAACAGCGTAGCGTTGCGTGAAGTGGCTTAGCATAATGTCGAATGGTACAGCGTACACACAAATAGTGTAGCGTTGCGTGAAATGGCTCAGCGTAATGTAGAGTGGTACAGCGTAGACACAAATAGTGTCGAATAGCTTTGCAAAACATCAGACGCTCTATCTGAACATTAGCAATTTGACGCAACGCTACACCGTTTGTGCGTACGCTGTGCTACTCGACGTTACCCTGAGCCGTTTTACGCAACGCTACACCGTTTGAGTACTGTATTGCAAATGAGTGCTAAGCTATTCGTAATTGAGCTAGTCCATTTCACAATCTCATGTTCCAACTCAACATGGGCTACTAGACCGTTTCTCATTTGGCTAAACTATTCATGTTTAGGGTGTTCTGTTTCACGAAGGAAAACTAGACTGTCTATAATTTGGCCATGCCATTCTTTTATTAGCTATGCTATCCTGCAGCTGATCCTTACATCATCTTTGTATTTGCTGATCTATTTGACATCCTTGTATTTTTGGTGGTGACGGCCGCCCATACTTACACATTGTTCACCGTTCTCTCTGATTAGTAATTGAATCTGCGAACACTGCACTCCTTTCTTGTTTAGTGCGATCAAGCGTGGCACGAACTCATTTTGTCTTAATGTTCACTTCATGCAATTGCGTGATAATTACTCGATATCATTGTTATGGAAATTTAATATGACTGAATTATTATCATTTACTGCAGACATTCTGGAACAGTGACTCTTTACAACATTCCAATAAGATGAACACTTATCCTTTATATCTGCCCAATCCGTGAAACACGAAAATGAGTTTCGTTGATTTTTTGCTATGATCTTCGAGAATAACCAGCTACATGCTCTATAAAAAGAACTCTGACGAATTCCTAATTTGAAGAGAACAAAAATATGCTGAAAATACGTTCACATAAAATTCCGTGACATGTACACTGGAAAAATTGGCTAATTTGACAGTCTACAAAGGAGGAAGCAGAGATATTTTATATCGGTTTCGCTGCAACCAACACACAATAGTGATCACCTTCACCAGGAAACAACTTAAATGGTGAAGAATTTTCTCCACTTGTGTACCGAGCGCAGAAACTTGCCAGCCTGTCTTTTCTTATCAGCTTGGGATCAAACAAGCCATGTGAACTTGCCCAGAAAAACGAAATCATTCCTTCTTCGTTATCAAATATATAGGCATCACTTTTCACGTCGTAACTCTTCACAATATCAAAGCCGACAGCTGCACACATCTCTTCTATCTTTGCTTTCTCTATGAAGTGCCACTTGCTTAATAAAGTGTCACAGTTTTCTGGGATAAGTTCTTTGAAAAAGCGCTCAAACATGATAGCCAATGAATCTCCGTACGACAACAGAATTTTCCCGCCTGGTTTAAGGCTCTGAAACGAGTTCTTTAAGGCCTCATGTTTGTCCTGAATCCAGTGAAACACAAAGTTGGAAAAGACAACGTCGTAACACTGTGATCCTATTCCTGGGAAGTTTGAGGCGCTTCCTTCTTGAATGGCAAGATTACTGATTCCTCCGTGTGTTTTCTGGGCCAATTTCACTCGAGCAATGTCAGGGTCCACGGCTACAACTTTTCCATCTCTCCCTACGAGCTCCGCCATATAGGCAGACAGTTCTCCGGTGCCACATCCTAAATCCAAGCTGACATTTCCATGGCATGGTTGAACATTTTCAATTAATTTTCTGCCCAAAGATCTTTGTATCGTAGCAGAAATTTGCCGGTAACCCTCAGCTGCTTGTGCACTGTTTATCATGATTGATGACAGACGGAGTCGGTACGGAGAATGATTTCACGATCAGGTTGAACTGTACTCTGATGCTAACCACAAGGGGGTATCAAGAGGCCTTTTATAATCACAATGCTGGGTCATAAGGTTACGCTTGAAAGCATTAGTTTCATCAGATGAAGGACCATTCATTATTCATCGCCTGGGAAGAAGGGAGGGAGGCGGAGAATACGCGGGGCAAAGATCATATGGTTTTTAAGGGGGGGGAGAAGGTAACGGAAGGGTGATCAGTTGAGGTCAACAAAGCATGAAGTGTCAATTAACTCTCAATGAGGCGAGATCATAATATAATAATAGTAGTTTATCATGACAAAACAAAAATCCTCCACACCCCCTCTCCCCAAGAGATAAAATAATGACCGGACCTTTATCTGAGGAAACTGATGCTTCTCAGCATAATCTTCGTCCCAAAGAAGTTCTATTTTTATTTGCACTCACGTTTTTTGTGCCCGCAAATGTAAAAGGTACCAAGTTATATTGTGCAACCTAGATTTGTATTCAAGGCAGACATTTTTTTGTTCACGGGTTTGTGAAATATGTTTGAAGATGACGTTTCCAAACTCCGTCAACTGATTTTAGGGTCAGGGTTGAAAGGCTAACATATGTTGAAAGGCTAACTATTTATTGATTGCTTTTGGTCTAACTCCTCAGGTCAATCATCTTTCTGAACTCTGAAAGGCGAGAAGGAAGTCTTTTAGTCACCCGATTTGAGTAGGTACGGCCATTACATCTCATCCAGCGCTCTACCAACTGAGCTAACAAGCCAACTAGGAGCTGCACCAGTATCGCAGAGGTCATGGGTTCAAATCCCGTACAGGCTTAGATTTTTTCGGACCTTATTTTCACCACCGCTTAATTAGTGTTTATAACTGCGAGGATCGCTTTCATATTCGTTTCTTCAACCGCAGTTCACATACATGATTTTCATATATTCACAGTCTTTTTCTCTACAGTTATTCTAAAAGCAACTAGTCGAGTTTCTGTTTCAAGGAGAATTGATTAGAGCAGTGTTCAAGAGTTCCAGCCTTTTCATGCGTACGTTAAATATAAGTCCTTAACATAAAATCAAAGAAATGGTAAGAAGTCTACAAAGAAGCCTAAAAATCGTAATTTTCTGCCGGAAGAGCTGTGATGAAGGTAAGATATTTTTTACTAGGAACGACTTTAATGGTAGTGAATTTTCTCGTTTGTGAACCGAGCACAACTTGAACTTGTTAACCTGTCTTTTGTGCGTGACCACCTGGGGATCAAACGCACCAGCTGTAATGCCAAACATGTCACATGATGTATCCTCCTCTTTGAATGTTTCCCTTTGTTTTACATGAGATTGCATGAAAAAGACAAAAAAAAAGAAAACATAGAAGGATGTGACAGGCTGTCTTTTCCTTAAGAATGACTCATCTCGTGTGGTCACGAATGTATGTTCAAGAGCTGTGTTTATTTCACGGTTCACTGTCCAGAATTTAAAAGTGAGTCTTGTGTTTTTATCAGCCAGCGGCCTACACCTCCCCCGCCACCTAAATGACGAGAAAGAAAAATGATTTAATAACTCCGGCCAACCAACTTAAGAATAGCAGAATTGTAGTTGGTCGGTCAGTCAGTTAGTGAGTCAGTCAGTTTGTGAGGCAGTCAGTTTGTGAGGCAGTCAGTCAGCGAGTCAGTTAGCGAGTCAGTTAGTGAGTCAGTTAGTGAGTCGTTGAGTACGGTTAGCTAGTTAATCAATAAGACAGTCAGTCAGTTTGTCGGGTAAAAAGGTAGTGTGACTCAGTTCTATTGATGATACCTAAGAACTTTCAACGGACGTTTTACTCCTCATGAATACACATGAAAATGTATTTAAGAATGCATTTGTAATGGATGGGGACGGATGAGGATTTAGCTTACCTCCTCCAGTTCCAAAAGCACAATTCACAGGGATACCACCGTCAACTTGAATTTTGCTGTCCGGATTGCCATGTAATGATTTTGTAATGATGACGACACTTCCACCCGCACCACTCCCCCCGGGAGCTGATCTATGTGCCTTCATGTTGAGGCATTCCCCTGATTGTCCTGGAGGATTAGAAAACAGAAAACAGCGGGAACATTGGCGATACAATAGCACTTAGTTGGAGAATGATTAGGTTATAATAGAGAGTAATCAAAACAATGCATGTTCTGAGTTGGATTTCCTGTGATCAACAGTTATCTGGTTACTTATTACCTTTCGATTCAATTTTCCCCTCCAACGTAATCTCCTCAAGAAGAAGATACACCAAGCCACCTCCATTTCCTCCCCTCCCCCCCAAGTTGGTATCATCTGTAAATGCTGAGCCACCTCCACCACCCCCTCCTCCACCGTAGCTTAGTCGTTTGGTGAAATCTGTGTTGCCAAACTGCATTCCACCTAAATGAGATATGCAACAGTTTGTGAAGAGAAAAGACAGTTTTTCAAAACCAAATTTATCTAAATGAAAAGCTATGAATGATATTGACATTTCATGACGTAATAACGACTGTAACTGTTTTGTGATTGTTCATTTTTTCTAATCGCTCACTACGCCAACTCGACTTGGCAATTAACTTCCATCGTAGACACGAATGCTGGGTAGTGTTTTCGGTATCTCAGCTGCGTTTGTTAGTCCGATCAGTACTTTGATGAGCTTCCTCATTCAAAATGGGAAACGTTGTTTCAACATCATTTGATCTCAGTTTACTCACCTCCTCCTCCTCCCCCACCATAAGCAGGATGACACGACGAGTCACCTCAAATATAAAGACACAATAAATGCTAACTGACTCTTCATCCTCTTGCGAGTAGCAGGAGTGAAATGTTTCTTCATTTTTTTAACTATATTCTTATATAGTTGATTATTTCCTTATGATACCGTGGTTGGAAAAGAATCACCCTTGAAACAAATACGTTCGAGCAACACAGATAGCCAAAATCACTGGATTAATTTCTCCCAATTTGAAAAGAATCCTGCTCGATTTTTTCTGGCCTGGGAGTCATTAGCTTTCCCATCCATTGTTTACTTCATCGATGACTGACGTTGGTGTTCTTAAACATCAAGAGACAAGGCTGAATTGGTTCATATTTAATCTCTGATGAGCATAAAAAGGTCAATAACTTTTGTTATTCATCACCTCCTTCGCCCCCTCTATTTCCAGTCCCTGCTGTTCCGCTGCGAGCTGTAGCACAGTCCCCTTGAACAGGCTGACCCTGCTGACCTCCACTTCCACCATTCCCGGCTGTACAGGCTGCCACCCCTCCACCACCAGCGAACGCATTTATCTGCGAGGGAAAGGCGGAAGCTACATCTAGATTTATATCCCATATGACAAACATACAAAAAACAGCAAAACAGAGTATTGACTTACAACAGTTGAAGCTGTTCCTCCTGTACCTCCCTTACCGCCACAACCAGTTCCGGCACCACCACCCCCACCACCAGAAAAATGTCCACCGCCTCCTCCTCCACCTGCGCCATCATCACTATTAACTGTTGAGTCACCTCCTCCCCCTCCAGAGTTGTATCCTCCAGGTCCACCCTGTGAGGCTAAATATGAGCAAATATCACAGTTATCATAATTATCATAAACGTTTTTCCAACCATTGATATTAAAAAATTTGTCATCCATAGTAAATGATGTGTATGGTAAGGAAAGTATAACACAACTAACCATCACCATCCCCTCCACCTCCCCCTCCAAGTCCATTTGTGTTTATGCCCCACGAAGTTCCACTAATATCTCCTCCTTTCCCATTGGTTCCTGTCTGAAGGTACAAGAAAGACTCGCCACCATACCCGCCCCCACCCCGTGAGTCACCGCCTTGCCCACCACGAAATCCTACGAAGGAAATTAAAATCAAGTCATTAATCTCAGAAATAACGTTTAATGATAACCTTTGCCTTTTCAGGAACTCTCAACTCTTGAAAATAAGCTCTAACTTAGTTAGCATTGCAACCCAAAATTAATTGCTAGTTATTCTTGTTGGCCTGAACGAGAACAACCCTCATTCGCTGCCGGTGCCTCCAGGCTGCATTAAGGCTTGTTATGTTGAAATTGTGTTAAAACAATGTACGATAAATTTGAAAAGTTTTATCGTTTCAAATTTTTTGTCGTGCAAGGAGTCTTGGAGTGTAACATTAAAGTACAGTTCAACATTATGTGCAGTCTACCTAGACCAGTGGTTGATATCACTGAAGTTCCATCGATGCTCAACGTTTTTGCTCTCAGAGCCAGTATTCCTCCTTGACCACTGTCTTGCATTCGACATGTCAGAACACACTTGTTCCAGAGGGTGACATTTTTGAACGTTGGAAATAATTGGGCGATGGTATAACTGTCACTGGACTTAACAGGCTGAGTAAAGGCTTTGGTCAATGTGAGATCACAGCTTAAACAAATAACCATAATTGTAAAAATAATGTTAATTTATATTACTTGAAAGTGCCCTATCAGGGGGATGAGGAAAATACTTGGAAAAAGGAAAGAAGAAAAGAAAGAGAAGAAAAGGAAGAAAGAGGAGGAGGTGGAGGATGAAGAGTTGAAGGGGACTGAACGAAGGAGTGGATGGTGAGGGAGGAAAGGAGGAAGAAAATGAATAATAATGCGAAGAAAGGATAATGGAGAAGGGGAGAGGAAGGAGGAGGAGGAGGAGGAGGAGGAGGAGGAGGAGGAGGAGGAGGAGGAGGAAGGAGGAGGAGGAAGGAGGAGGAGGAAGGAGGAGGAGGAGGAGGAGGAGGAGGAGGAGGGAGGAGGAGGAGGAGGAGGAGGAGGAGGAGGAGGAGGAGGAAGGAGGAGGAGGAAGGAGGGAGAACAAAGAATAGGAGGAGGAGTTGGAGGAAGAGGCGAAAAAAGAAGCACGAGAAAGGAGAATTAACCGAGGAAACAGGTAGAAGTGGTAGGAAGAAGAAGAAGATTGGAGGGAAAAGAGGAGGAAAAGAAAGAGAAGAGGGAGAATTAGAAGAAGAAGGGAGAGGTGTAGAGGGAGAGAGAAAGGGAGGAATGAGGAAGACGATGATGACGACAGAGCCCCTGTTATAGCAGGAATACTCTACAAGCTCTCTTCATAATACTCGTATCAGGTGACTAAGACGACGTACGGGAATAAAAGTAGTTAGCGGGGAAGGAAGAGGAAGACGTCGAACGCATAGTAGCAGGAACTTTATTAGTACTCACCCAGTAATGTTGTTCACCTTCATGATCTCGTATTTGCCATGATTGCTTAGATTCCCTCTGGTTGCGATAAAAATAATTTCATCTCCGCGTTGAATTTTGTCAGCATCCTTACAGTTGTTTAAAACGACTTTGTTTGATTCAGCAGACTTCACCTCCCATGATTTCATCACTTGTGTGCAGATGTCTAGGGTTTCATCGTTGCATAACACTAAAATCGACAACGGAAGACTAAAATGTTGCACTGGGTAACCACTTATACTGCTCACAAACGGCTGACTTTACAGATACGAATATTCAACATGGATTCACGCAACGACACAAACATGCTCGTCGACCAAAATCTAGGCCAGACCAGACCAATAAAAAGAGTGAGGGCAGGAGGAAGAAGAAGAAGGAAGGTTAATGACAATCTACTGATACTTACAATCTTCACAGTTTTTTCCACTCAGGTTCTTAAATGGACATTTGCATTGGTAATCGTCTTTGTCATAAATCGGCTGACAAGTGCCACCATTTCTGCATGGATTTGACATGCACGGCGTCTTGAAAAGAACAGCGAGGAAATAGATGACAATTAGGTATCAACGAAACTGAATTTGATCAGACACCAACTTTTCTTCAGTATCGAAAAACATTATCTCCTTGACAGAGTGATTGAATTTTAAAACTAACACTTTTGTGTTACTTTGCGGTTTACTTTACGGAGATTTGTGTCTTGTGCTGATCTTTTATGCGCATGTTGAAAGGAAGATCTATTCGTTAGTAGGTAATCGATGAACATCAGAATCGCAGGGTCACTAAGTGAAAGAGCTTCCAAATCTGCAAGAGCTTTAAGTGCGTCAAACTGGTTGCGTAATAACAAACCAAACAATCTTCTCTCTAACAATGTTTTGCATCAGTTACTCCAATTAGTTCATACACGTTTTAAAATTAATCCTCCCTTCAATTGTCAATAGAGAAGAACAGACCCTGTTTAGATATCTTTGTTTCACTTCGCTTTCACTTTTTATTCTAAATATTTTTCGTCGAATAATATGTTCGCCAGAGACGACAACATGCATCAGCATAACAGTGTTAAATCAACGCAAAAATGAACATGAATATTGTCATTTGGACGAGTGTTTAAAAGCTGAAGTTTCGAGCGTTAGCCCTTCGTCTATCGCTATGAAAAAAAACTCTTCACAGTGGCCAATTTACGTTATCAACTCAGTAGAAAATAGTAAATTACCCTACAATAATTGCCGATTGCAACAATTTTTCGAGGCGAAAACATGCAGCTGCAAATTCAGAGTAGGGTTAACGTTTTAAGGTTAAGGTTAAAGATTAAGTTAACTGTTGATGCGCTACTACTGCACTTAACAAAATGACAAATATTGCGATCATTATACCTGATCTGAAACTTTTAAAAAACTCAATGAAAATGTTTTGGTTTTTTTATTTGTGGTTTCAATTCGACATTGTTTTCCTTTTAATAATAAATGATTTTTTACCTACTACCGAGAACTTTATATTACTTCAGAAAGGAATAATTGAATAAAGATTGAACCAAGAAAATACGATGAAAGAGAGAAATATACCGAAAGAAGGAGCAAAGATGATCATGGGACGAGATGATTCAGACAGATAACAAACCAAAACTGAATTCGAAAAATAGGCTGAATTTGTTTTCATGCTGATTAGAAACCATGACTAGCACATGTAACTGACTATGTTTTACAAAACAAATATACTGAACGTTTTGAAAATGTATCGTTTAACCTAGTTTGCTAACTAAAGCGATTAGATAATGGTGCTTATACGCTTCCCTGCTAAACGTGGCGTAAATTCATCAATTACGCCACTCCCTTAATCGCGATTTAGCTACAGTTGTGGTTGTTGCCGACTCCATATGACAAAATTGACTAATTTCGACTTTGTGAATCGACTTGTTCTCGAAAGAAAAGGAGAACGATGCTCGGGAAAACTATTTTTGTCCCGGGGAAATTGTTTTTTCTGTTTTTGTGAACTCCGGACCCTATGACCAGTAAAAATTATCAACCTTCGTAATTTCCAAGTCTTAGGCAAACAAAAAAGGATATAAATTTAATATATTTTGACAGATTTGACATAAGATATACACCTGCCTAGCTAGATGCTTTTAATTTAAATTGTTTCTTTTATGGGTCCGAAATATATTTCACTCATCTCTTCAGTAAATGAAATACTGTATACTAAAAACAGATGAATGATTACCATTAAGATTCCTTTTCAAAAGTTCCCTAATATATTTTGAAAGGAAATAATTGCCTAATTCTCCTTATGGAACTAATTAGTGCCAAGATCAATACGAGCAATGATGAAAGTGGCAGTTCTTGTTGGGGCCTGTATTCAAGATGGATTTGTCACCGTTATAATTTCATCAAAATTGGCGAAACTCGTGCAGATTGGAAAACATGATGTTATTTTTTCTCGCTATCTTTGTTCCCAAAATTTCCCTTTTGCACTTCTACAGACGTCAACTGTCATATGTTAATTAATTTAAAGTGAGTCCGCGTACTAACAATTTCAACGGTAGTGATTTGTTTCGATGCGCTACTGTGGAGTAGAATCAGTAACAAATTCACAGCCTTTGCAAACACCAACTGAAAATAATCGACGTATCGATAGCTTATTTCTCGTAGGAAAATGAAAGTAGCTATAATAATAACACGACCGCCCCTACCTTTAGATTGTAATGGTGAAAATCATGGCTGGGGGCAAACTTGTCCGATCGATTGAATTTGTCTTCGTTTAGCAGTTCGCAAATGTGTTTTCCTTGGGTTTGATCACCGAAGTTTACAGAAAAACATTCACGATTTTTGATGCATTCAAAGGTGCATTCACCAAGACTTGCAACGTGCAATGTAGCGATCGATGAAGTTATCAGCTTTGAAAATGCATTGCCAACAAACTGACCATAATGTACGGCAGAATCCGAAGTCCTTTTGAAGCTCACAGACAGGCTGGCTACATTTTTTAAGTCAGCAGTGGCCACCAAACTGACTAGTAATAAAAACTTTCTGATCCCAGTTGGAAGTTCCATGTTCAAAGCATCTCTTTTAACTGTTACTTGTGTTTCCAAGCGTTTCCAAGCCTTGCATATTGAAATTTGCTCACGGACACCTAAAATGTTTAACCAAAAGAGACCTTTGATAAGGCATTAATTATTAATACGGACAATTTTCTTTATTCGGCCAAAGGAAATTCAATGCCGGGCTAAAATAACAGAGGCGAGAATTGAAAAGAAATTTGTTTGTATAATTTTTGTTGAATGACATCCAACTGGGGAAAACGTTGAACTTTTCAATTTTGGAAATGTCGAATATCAAAAATTTAAACAATTTACCGTGAAGCTTGTCATTTTTCAATGCTTAAGTTTGACAGGAATACTCCTGTCAAACTAAAGCATTGTTATTCATTGCTGGGCTGAAGACAATGGCTCGCTTGCTCGCTTGCTTTAAACGCGCCATTTTTGAGCGGAATTTCGACTAAAAAATTTTCAAACTGAAATGGTGCTTATTACACTGATAGGGTTATCCTGTATAAATATTATCATTATTATTACAGTTCACCAGTAATCATTTATACTCCTGATTTGAGAGAGGCACAGTAAGACTAAAGTACCCTGTTGGCCAGGTCTTGAACCAGGACCTCTTGGCCCGGAGTCCAGCCAGCTCCCTTCCCTTAAAAGAGGTCCGATTGACACTAAGTCAATTTAAAAATCAACAAACGAGAATCTTGGTAAAGTTAACTACTCCCTTTTATTTTGCATTTTGTTTTCACAATACTATAGGGAATTGACGGGGGGGGAGGATCAAACAAATTTTATTGTGACACAAGCAAAATCCTCCTCCCCCCCTCACCTCCTTCGGCGATGAATATAGAATGGTCCCTAAATAAAGGGAATTTTAAAGTTTACAGTTTTTAGGGCAGCACGCATCGCCTATTCCTTCAAATTTACCCACCTCCTCCAGCACCAAGAGCGTATACGACAGGCTCTCCGCTAGAGACCAGGATTTTATCCTTAGGATTTCCTACGAGTTCTTTAGCGTAGATAACCACACTACCGCCGGCACCACTTCCCCTATGTGCTGATCTAAAATTAAATTGCTTAAGCACTGGCCTTGCTCACTTGTGAGATTATTTTTACAAGAAAAATCAAATCTTTACAAGTGCCAACTTACAACAAGCAGAATCTATTTTTATGCTTATCCCGCACCATCTATGCTGATGATCTGGTTGTATCTCGAGCTTCCCCGGACATAAACCTCTCAGATAGAGCAGTTTTCAATTGAGTACTCACATTTATTCAATATCACCCTCGGTTTGCTTTACTTTGTTCCGCTCTTGATTAACAAAACTCGCGCCATCCTCTAAACAAATCAGATGTTATCTGTATCATCGTCTTAAACCCCCCCCCCACCCATTGTCAGTTTAACAAGCTTTAAGAACACTAGGCCTCCACCATTTCCTCCTCTACTCCCAGGGTTGGGAACGATCGAAAAGGCTGAGCCGCCTCCACCACCCATATCCCCATTAAGGCTTAGTCCCTTGTTGAAGTAGATACTGCCAAACTGAAATTCACCTGAAAGACCAAGACACACAACCAGTAGAAAGTTTTCTATCAATTTGTTTAACTTATTATGGGATATATCATATGATGCCACACGACATGCACAATTGGCATAATTAATGAAAATTTCAGTAGATTTTAGTCAGGTGTTAGGCAACGTATAATCAATAACAAGGTAGAATTTCATTTCAGGCCTATTTATCAATTTTTTGGTGTATAACTTTCGCATTTTAGTACGTACTATGTATTTGAATCTTCAAATTGTCTTGAAACTGAAAAGGAAATTGTTCTTTAAAAATTCACTGAAAATCGATAGCTAAAATTGTTTGTTTAGGTGTTATTTGATTTTCGTGTTAACTTATAATTTCGTCAGTCGCCGGCATCTGTTGTTGTTTCACACAGGAAAAACACACGATATGAAACGTAATGATCGATTTTGTCCTCAATCTCACGCCATAACAGAAAAAGCTTTTGAACATCTGTAAACTCCGAGCCCTTCGCAGTAAGTGACATTTTCAATGAATCTTCGGATTTTTTTCATGTTCAAGGATTGTAAATTACAATTTTATGAAAAAAAAAGGATGTTCTGTTATTTCAGTGTGAATCCTTGCATGCCTGCCAGTCGCTGGCGCCGCTTGTTGAAACTAAAACGAAAAAAAACTCTTTTCAGATCATCATTGGCTTCTTTTCCACCCCACCATTACTCTTAGCAACAAAGGTCGCCATTTCGTTTGTTTATTGCTCGCCAAAAATTATCAAATGCACTCAAAAGCCTAAAATCGAAAAAAAGTTTGCAGGAATCGACCAATCGAACGAGCGAGCGAGTGCCATTCCCGATTCCCCACTTCGTATCTACAACTCGCTCTTGCGCATGCGCGCAATTCACGAGTTGAAAAGGGACCTTAAAGATGCCATATCAAATTGAATAATCATGAATCAATTTTTTTGTCCCTATTGCTTTTGCAATGGTAACTGCGTAGTATTCGACCATTTTTTTTATCTGCTATATTATTTTGCATTTTGTTTCGTGGCACTTCCTTTGCTCCTAAAGGACTTGTAGAACCTGAATTGAACTGAGCGCAGTTCTAAGGGTATGAATATGCTTCTACATGCTTTCAAGAGAAGAGTCATGAAATATGAAGAAAACGTGACTTGGTTCAGCTGAGTCACGTTTTCCGTCGTGATTTATTACTCAACAGTCATATCCAAATCACCGCCTGTTGCCTGTTTGATTGACATATCCTTTGTCCACGTCCTTGCAAGACAATAGTATCAATTTTCACATAAAAAGCGAATTCATTCCGAAGTAACGTTCTTTACGCTTTGATGCGCCCAACACGGCAACTCGCTTGACCTGAGGTGAAGAAAATTGATCAAGAACAAATTTAATTTGAAGTCGACAAAATGCGCTGCGCAAAATCAGAGCTGATAGTTCTTCTCGGTGTCGGAATGTTTCTCGCTGGTTCTATTTCCCTAATTACGATTACCATGCAAAAAATTTTTCCTGCTCGTGAAGAGCAAACCTTTAAAGAAATAAATTGTACGATTGTATCAGGAGACATGAACGCTACAACAAAATGCTCCAATAAAAATCAAGAGGGAAGCTATCCGTGCCTCCGGATATATGTTCTGTGTGGCAAAGATAAGATCAAAGAGAATCCTTCGTTGGAGAGCACACAGCCCCGTTTATTAAGAAAGGATTTCTACAGCTTGCAAAAACAGGTACGTACGTCTACAGATCTCAGTGTGTTTATTCTCATTGTTTTTAATTATTAGAATGATTTTCTTTTCGTTGCCAAAAAGATATCAATTAAGTTAAAACGAGCTTTTCGTGTGTTTTGTGTGTAAAATAAGTAGTGGTAATTTCGTATTTTCGTGAATAACGAATAGTTATTGCGCTGACGAAGTGCAAAAGCATGTCCATATTCTATTTCGCAATAAAAGCGCAATTGGCTTTTGATCCCCATTGTTTATCTAGGTGGTTAATTAGTTATTTTTGCTTGTTATGTATTTATTTTTTGTCCTGGGAAAACCAATCACAATCATCTGAACCGAACCCAGGTCAAGATCTGTCCACGCTACCATCCATGGCACTTGTCCCACAATTTCGAGTGCAAGAATCTGTCAGGGTGATTAGAAAGCGTGACATTGAAGAAGACACACCCTTCTATCTCCCTCTGTTTCCAATGCGAAAATTTTGAGGTGATCACATTGGACCATAACTATTGCCAGAGCCAAAGAAAGTTCCGTTAGGAAAATTTGCTTGCGTCAAAGCTTGCACAAGGTGTACATCCTAATTACCTGAAAATATACATAGAAAGATTTCACAAGAACTTTTTAAGTTGTTGATAATGATTTGTGACAGCTTACTACATAATGTTGTGGCGATATACCCGTATTAATTACATAATGTTGAGCACCAGGTAGATAAAATTACCGAAATGGCGCTGATAAAAAATCTTCTTACAACCTGCATGCTCACATTTTGCAATGTACATAGCAAGATCGGGAAGCGATATGAAACAGGTTCTTATCACTTGAGGTAATTTTTAGATGAGATTATCCCAAAATTCGTGTCCTGTTTCGTCTGAGCGCATAACAATCTCGGCACGTACGTTACGCAATGTAGAATCAATGGTTTTTTCTTGTCAATCATTGGAAATGCGTAATGAGTGAGGGGTTCAAGGCGAGGAATCATTCAATAAAACGTGCATTACCTAAGGGCCTCTCCGCACTGGCGGACAAAAGTGGAATTGTCCTGACAAAATCAAAGGAAAAATTTTGTCTAAACAACAAATTTTTGTTTCGTCTGTGGCATCTGCATAAAAAATTTCAAAGCCGTCAACTTCCGTCAGCGCCTGATCTGCTCATAAGACCGGCCAGTATAGTCTGCCAAAGAATTCCACCTCCATTTTCCACGATTTATCCTCAGTCTTTTAAAATTTTAAATATCCGAGTTTCGCAACAAAAGACAATTTTTGCCTTTCTAGCAAACTGATTTCAGTTCAATTACACGCTTGTCGTAGCTTGCACGATAAATGGTCGACATGTGTATCACGGTTTTGTTTATTTGGTCGCTTTTGTCCAGTTTTTACCCAGGACAAATTTTGTCGGCGGTACGTCTGAAGATTTGTCCGCTTTGGCCAAAATTTGCCAAATTGTTTAATAAACAACTTTTCGTCAGTGCAGAAAGGCCTAACTTTCTTTATTTTCCGCTTTCTTTTCTTTAGTGCACTTTACCGCCAGAACAGTGTGGTGACAAGAAGACTGACAAGCATCCCTTGAAGAAGTTATTTCACAGTGGTAATCCTGTAGGATCAAACCTCCACTGCTTTTACAACCCAAGTGATCCGGAACAAATCGTCAGCCAGAAAGCTTCCAAGGAAAGCTACAACAAAATGGTGCTGAGTAATGTGGTTTGGCCGCTGGCCGTTATACTGTTAGCGGTGATTATTACTGCGGGAGCTGCTTGTTTCCTCGCCACACGGCCTCAAGCCGGTTATGAAAAGTTAGAGGGAGTGACCAGTGCTTCGCTTTATCAAACACTTTGAAAGAACAAGTGCAAGTCATATCACTATCCTGGACCATGATAACTTTCTTCCCCCCAATGTGTGCTCGTTTGGGGTCGAAGTGAGAACGGTGCTGGATCTTAGAATTATGACAGATGGAAAGGACATGGGTTCCGACAAGTCATGATCTGTATCTCTGAGCAACGAGTTGATACATTGAATTTTGGCTGACAGAAAAAGAGAAGGCGACTGATAGAGACTGCGTAAGCTGAAGTCGTTTACTTCACAGATCGAGCGGACTTTTGGCTGTACCGTTTACGTTCAAGACTGTTGAATTTGGACAGACCGTAATAACTACGATCAATAGAGCAACAAAAGAGCCAAAGTTGTGAAAATTAAGGCCGGAATGTTGAAATTGTGACAAATCATCATAAATTATTATGTAAATATATTGCATCATTCAATATGGTTGCATAGAATTTCATCATAGCTTTATCGAGAAGAAGATATTGCGAAATAAAGTACGGAATTGACCTCAGTAACTCTTCAATCACCATTTTTGGCTCGGCGAACAAAATTATGCACTGTCACTCTTAGGATGAATCCATGTCGAGAGAAACCCTTCATTACGAACACCTTCACGTCCTAGATTGTCCGACACCCTATCGACAAGAAATGAAACTGTTCACCCAAACAAAGGTTAAGAACACTTAACACTAAGCCTTCTTTATTGAATGAAATATGTATCCGCAGGAAACAGAATATTTAATGCATTCAACCTCCGACGTTCTTAAGAATTCACGTGTCTCAAATCGTTGGCAATGTCGTCATCCATATATTTGGCACTTGATATTTCCTTTCATGATTATTTCCGTTTCAAGTGACATTCCCGTACAAGCTTTCTAGACCATCGAAAGAGAAAAAAAATCAACAGTATAAATTGTTTCGAGAGAATTGAAAACAATCGTTTTAGTTACGTCTCTTGCATTTAAGTTTCAACTAATTTAAGATTCAAATTGGATCGCGATAATCATTTGCTTGTCTAGACGCGGCATAGAACTCCACAAGTCAGCAATTAGTCTTCCGCAAAGGATGAATCATATCAGATTGTCGTTTTAACTTTGCTTCCATGTCTTAAGGATACCCTTCTCACTGTACCAAAATAGTGTTGCTCATTGTTTAAGAAATTGCAATCCGGAACACTTTTAACTGGCTGAATTAAATGAAAGAAGTAGAGGGCTGATTACAGTGTTGATTGACTCTTGTTTCACTTTTCTGGCCATGATCGAAAGTTAATTGTGTGCGAACGTGATTGGGTGTAGCGGAAATGCGTTCAAAGACTCGCCAAGATATAATTGTTTGTCGCACGAAAGATAGCTTTTTTTCTCCTCGAAGCTGACCGAAGAGGAGGTGTTTGATAAAACAGAACTACCTAAATTTCACCAAGTTTATATCGGATCTCTTCGGAGCGTGCATTTGTAGCTTCAATGTACACCAACAACTTTAAATTCATACTAATTTTGGCGAGTTTGTTGTTTGTTACGGGATTTATTTCCCTGGTGATTTTGTCTACAACGCAAGTGATGCCCGCTCGGAGAGGGCTGAGCTACGAAAAAGTAACTTGCCGAGTTACACGTAGGGAAATATTTTGTGAAAGAGGAAACTGTAGTGAATGTATCTCTGGTGGAACCAGTACTTCCTTGTGTCTCAAAGTGTACGTGCTATGTGGTAATCACGACGAAATTATAAACAAAAACCTTTCAAGCTACAAGGAAAGCGGATATCTGCTTCGTAAAGATGTGTACCACTTGAACGACCAGGTAACATAAATTCTTAATACTTTTTTTATACAATTTCTCTCAAAGATGGTTAGGACTTAGTTCCAAATTTTGAGATAACTTAGTATGCAAATTCTTTTTATTTTTACATTTACATCTCAGCGCATCCCGAAAGTGAACACCTGGAAACATCGTATAAAATTCCACCTAAAAATGAGTTAGTAGTTTTGCACTTTCGTATTTGATTTGAAAAATTTAACCATGATACTGCTATATAGGTAACATCGACAAAATAAGTTTCAAAACTTCATGGATATTTCAAATAGTCGACGCCTCCTCGCTCAGTCAAGAAAATAGGGAATTAAAGGCCAGAAAAAGCGTCTCTCAATATTTTATATTTCCAATACATTATTTCCGCGAACAACAATTAGCTGTAAGGGTCACTAATTCAAGTGAACTTTTCCTGTAGCTGACGTTTTGTTTACTCCTTTTAATCAAGCTCAGAGAATAATAAAAAACATCCACGTAAAAAGACAGAAACAGGCCATGAATGACTCGGCAGCTGTTTCGTTAATTAATTTCTACGTGCGAACAACAAAAGTCAAGGAACTCGCGCTACGCGCTCGTATCAGGGATCACTCGCATGTGAAACTCGCGTGTAAATTTTCAACTTCGAAAACGCCAGCCACCCAATTCGCGCTTTTACTAAATTGAGAAAAAAAAGGAAAGTGAGGAACATTATTTATCGAAATGACAATCCTTATCATTCAGCAAAAGTTTATCTAACATTTCTGTGTTTCCAACGATTCATTCTTTTCAGTGCACTCGTAAGCTAAATTCAATCTGCAGCTCGGACTCAGCTCCCACCCCAAATGGACTGCACCACTTTCAAGTTGGAAAGGAGAAGACTGGGCCTAAGTACCAGTATTATCGCAACCCGAATGTTCCGGATGAGGTTGTGTATGAAAATCACAGCAAAGATTACAGAAAGGTCGTGCTACACAGCGTGTTGTGGCCGACCGCTTTGATAGGACTTTCCATTTTAATTGTCACTGCAGCCATGTGCCTTAGCCCAACGTCGAAAGATTACAGAAGAATACCATAAACTGTTAAACGAGTGGAAACTAATAATTGAGAGTTAAGTTGGGTCCTGCTATGGTTTAAATTCCTTGCGGAGTAAATGGACACCATGGGAAAAAATCGCTGGCTCAAGTCACAAGATACCAACCAAGTTCAGTGAGAACTTAAACAACTTCATAATTGCTAGCAAGAGGGCTTGAGGTTTATCAGCGAGAGGGCAGCAAGCACCGCTCGAAATAAAGTCGTACACGATTAAGTACAATAGTTTAGCTAATGTACAAATAGTAAAATTGTTAACCATTTACAAAACATGGCTAGAGAGTACGGACGCAGTCTTTGTATCTTTATACAGTAGAACAAATAACCCTTTCAGTTCGTTAAGTTAATGATAACAGCTTGAGGTGTTTTTTTTGTCGGGGTTTGAAACTGGAAAATCAAACCGAGCGTACTTGTAATAAATAAATATTCTGTCAAATAACATGAATTTCATTGATTTATGATTGTTAACCAAGATTTTATTATACACATCAACATTTTCACCTTCAAATGATAAGTGAAAAACCGTAATTTTTTTAAAAGAAAGTTGACCGATGAATCCTCGCCTTTAAGACCATGTAGCTCATTCTCGTTTCCTCCGTAGCGGTGTCATAGTGTCCATTAGTCCGAGAAGGTAGCATTTGTGCAGTCACGTGGTGTTTTATGTTATTATTCGCGTCATTCTTGGAGCAATAAGCCTGAGTAATGCCACTGTCTAAGTTACATAATGTCCTTCTTTTGTCACACTCCGGAAAGCCTCTGTCTCCACGATTTCTTTCCTTTGCGGAAATTTTGTTCCCGTTGTCTTCTCCTAGACGGTCGCTAGGATCACAGCACGTATTCCACAGGAATTTTTCATTCTCAGTGAGCCTTGGACCCATAACATATTTAATTCCCTCACGCCATCCTTTTCTCTCAGGTTTTCTGTCATTCCCACTGGTCAGGCAAATAAAACTCGGTACCACCTCTATTGGTGGCAAAAGTCCTTTGTTATTTTCACCAAAAGGTTTTCCCCTCAAGTTCTCTTGCATTGACCTTGGATTGCCTCGTGAAGTGTTCGGAGAGTCGAGCCAGGGCAGGACGAGATTTTCCTCTTCAAAAATCCTCCTCGACACACAAGTGTTTCTTCGGTTCAAGTTCTCTAGTTCATTATAATCATCCGAACAGGGCGTCCTTTCTGAGTTTCCCTCTCTTCTAGTTTTTCTTTCTCTTCTTTTTGCTACATTCTGCTGGTCAATTACCGACTGACTGTTCATCTTGACTGATGACGTTAAGTCATTGTGTCTTGATGAACTCAAAGGGAGCCTGTCGTTGTGGTCTTTTTCAAGTTCTTTGTTCAGATTGTCATTTCTTCTTTTGAACGCTGCATTTTTCTGCCTATGATAGATTTTCGGATGCAAATTTTTAAAGGGATTTTCCATTCTCTCCATTTCGGTCTCCTCAGTGTCACAAGACTAAGCGATGCTGTTGGCAACTGAAAACACGTTGAAGGACCTCCACAAAGTCACTTCATTTGTTGCTATGAAAAACAGAGAAGTCTTATAGATAATTGATCAATGATTATTGTAAACATCTTAAACAGAAAAACACTCGCTCTATATCAAGGCATCATTAACCGTCTTGTTTCTATTTCCGATCAACCCTTGAGCTAAGCTGAAAAAGCCTGACATTAAGTCAAAAATCAACTAAAACAACTAGAAGAGAGATATACTGATGCAAATCAAGGTAGAAAGACTTATCTTGTATAAACAGCATCAGGAATCAGCCTCTCAAAAATTAACATCAGTCCTGAATTAATCAAGTTTACCTTATAATCATTCTGATGCAACTTAATGAAGAAGAATTAATCACTTCTTTTTCACATCTCAACATCACGAATGTCTCACTGACTGTGGTGTTCGTAAACAAACTGCTTATGGATTCAAATGTGTCTTGAGCGGATGAACGAATATCATGGGAAAAATGGCGCACATCTCATGGAAACATCACCAACTCAAGGCGTTTAGTTCTTAACTTCAATTTTTTGTCACGGAAGAAAAGGAAATTCATTTTATTTACTTCGAAAAATTCAAATCTTCCACATACATGTCATGTCGATTTTAATTCAAAATCTATCATCAGCTAGTTTGGGAATATTTTCAGCGACGGATTTAAGTGGCGTCGGAAATCTTCTGTTAACCTCCGAATTTACGAGGTTTCCACCTCAGATTCTTCTCTCTGTAACTGCCTACATTTCACCATAATAAATAAGGCTTAAGATTCTCTCCAACCTAAGATTGCCACACTTACCTTTTCTCATTTTCTTTACTTTCGTGTCTGATGCCGCGACGCCAGTTTCGCCGAATATCAAACATATAGCAACTGCGCAAAGTAAAATGCTTGGCTTATCAAACATTGTTACTAAGTTACGCCTCTTCTTCGCCAAGGTGAACAAATATACGTTGACAACATCAAATTTCCTATCCATTAGAATCAATCTGCCTCAGCTAAGAGATGTTAAGATGATAAGTAGGTTTAATCATTTGAAAGACTCCTTTTCACAGAGTGAGTTTATCAAAATCAAGATCACATTGTGATCAGAAAAGCAAAAAATGACGAAGCCAGTGTAAAGATTAATTATATTTTCTTAGATAAAACTGGCACGCAATCCTAATAGCATGCTTCGCTTATTTGTGCTGCGCCATGAGCACGTAATATCTCATTAAAATTTCAAATAGCTGATCTAAAGTCAGGCCGAAAATAATCATATTGATTTTGTTTTGATTGCCTCACTATGGTTAACTAAGGCTAATCTTTCAGATCAAGTCAACTGGTCATGCTTTTGTTACGACGCTCGACAGCTTTAGCTGATAATTATAATAATAAAAAATGGTTGTTTCCTGTCTTTAAGGGTTCTTTTACTCCACCACTTTAAGTCTTTCAGAGACGTTATACACACTCAGCAAAAAACAGTATTTAAATTCACAAAAAATTATTCGATTCATAAATTAAATGAATATTTCTTTGATGTTTTGGTTTCCTGGCTCCGACAAGAACAATGATATTAATAATAATAAGAGTTCTCAATAACGCATTCTTTATATAAATATATCGATGCTTTTTACAACCAAAAGGAAGAGCTCTCACAAAACAGGTACGTTTTCAACGCCCTTTTAAAACTATCAACAGAGTTACTTTGTCTAATGACAAGAGGTAGCTGATTCCATAACTTCGGAGCAATAGCCGCTAAATATCTATCTCCGTAAGTAACTGTAGTAGTCTTAGGGATAACTAGAAGGTTGGAATCCCCTGAACGAAGAGAGCGACATGGAGTGTAATGATGTAACAGTTCATTGATATACACTGGGGCAAGGCTGTTAAGAGATTTGTACGTAATCAAAAGTAACTTAAAAACTGTTCTGTTATTAACAGGAAGCCAGTGTAACGTCTTTTAAAACAAGAGTTATGTGATCAGTCTTCTTCATGCACACACTTAATCTTGCTGCGGTATTCTGTAATCTCTAAAATTTCTCAGTTGCACGGGAGGGAATTCCACAGAGCAAACCATTACAATAATCCAATTTCGATAAAACGAAGGCATGGACAATGCGCTCAGTATCCGCTTGCGAAAGATATTTTTTGATTCTGCAATAGAATGAAACAGACGGGAAAGAGCGCGACAGGTGTTGTTGACATAGGGTGAGGTGTGAATCAAGCGTGACTCGTGTGTGACAAGTGTGGCTGCGGGAAAAATTTATGCTTTAATTAATTTTACCTGGGTCAAACAAGCAAGAAATTAAAAATACAAACAGCGACAAATACTTTGAACTTTGGATGCATTTTATTGACTGAAGTATTCAGAAAATTTCTTTTTTGTGGGTGGGGCCGATCAATTTCCCTAAACCAGACTAGACCAAAACTAAAGATCATAGTTTGGTAATGTTGGGGAATAGAACTTGCTCTCAATACTGAGTCCTATAACTTTGAAAATAAAGCCAGCAGACATTTCAAATTCCTTAATTATCGCTGTCGTAATCGTGATTGTCATCGTCAAAATCGTCTTCATATAGTTCATCGTTATTATGATTATTATTGTTATTATTATGAGTGAGATATTCTGGATAGTTCATTGTGTTCTTTTCTCCGGTCCGTTTGAGCTCCATAATAAGTGTTACAATGACAGATTAATGTTGAACTCCTTATTTGCATGTACAACACATACATATTAAATTTTCCAAAAATAAATCATCTGATGAATAGTCGAACGTGAACTTTATTCGTTGACTCACGATTGTTACTTTTGATGTTGATCGCGACGTTTCGACTGCAATACTGCCAGTCTAAATCAGGCGATGGGGTCGTTAAGATAAGTTAATTACCCATTTTTTTTGTTTTTTTTGTTTTCCCTTTTTTTTTTGTCGACTTGAGGTGTTTGTTCAACATAAGAAACAGCGGAAGCCAAGATATGCTAATTGTCATTAGATATATGTTTGATTTTGAGGTTGGCGACAGGTAAAAAGCTATTTTTTTTATTAAACCAGCCAAATCAATTGCGAATCAGTTAATCAGCTACTGTAAATAAGCAAAAAATGATAGTGATGCACAACAGCGGCAAGAAAAGAAATCAGCCAGTGAAAAGGAACAGTACTAAAACTGTACGAAGGATTCTTAGAAAACCAGAAAAGGAGAAACAAATTATTTAACTGTGTACTTTTATCTCAAAAATTAATACTAGTTATGCTTCTTAACAACGGGTTTGAACTTTGAGTTTGAATCCTAACTGCTTTTGTTGCAGCTAAGCAACCACATAAACAGGAACAAACACCCTTGACTTATTTTTAGGACGATTTGATTCCAAATAAGTAAACAATATCTGTATGGACTTGGTGCTGCATCGTTGTGTAAAACTGAATTCACTGCACCCCAATCCCCCCTTTTCTCAGATCGGTAACCGAATCCTGTAATTGTACATAGTTTGAACGGTTATCCGGAGCTTAGGCAGTCGAGAATATTGGTCATAAATATTACAAGATAACAAGCTAAATTCATTTATTCTATTGACTGTGACTGAGTTCAATCACGCGATAAATCTCTAACGATACTTGATAGCTATTGGTCTCTGGTCTCAAGAGAGTGCTAATCTAATAATGATTCAACAGCCACTGCTGATATTTGTATAAAAGCAACACTTTCCTCCAACATAATCCTCCGCATGTATTTTCTCTCTTCATACGTAAACTCAATTACAAAATTCAATTTGAATAACCATTTACATCGATTTCACAAACATGATAAGCATTTTGTATGCTAACAAAAGTTATATCAGACAGTTGGCCACATCAAATTAACAATTAAACCTTGTTCAAATATTTTTTTTACATTCAATATTTATTATTTGTTTACGTTTTATAATTTTCAGCATTGACTGGACTAGGCGATCATAAAACTATTATTCTAATTATTTAATAAACAGATGAATAGAAAGATTACTAAGCCCGTTGAGGTAGCAATTTAGGTGAAAGGTTTGTCGTACTTGGTAAGTAACTGTGTTATCCAGCTGATAATTCTTACTACGCAAAATCCTATGGTTGGATTTCCCACGAAAATCTGTAAATCTCTAAATCTCTGGGAGTGTTCTAGGCAAATTAAACGTGTGAATAAGTTATGACCCAAACTTTACTGATTGTTCACGTCATAAGTATTTTTATGATTTTGTTGTTTTCTATGAATTTAACAAGCAATTATTGGATGAGGGTAAGCAAAAATAAAAAATTGTATGTTTTAGAAACTTAGGAAGTAGAGTTACTCACACTGTAAAGCTAACGCATGAAGAAATCTTCTTGTGACAGAGACAATATAGAGGACGGTGGATCGTTAGTGTAAGGTAAAACTATGGCTGTCGCAGTCGCCCTGCTTTCAGACATTTTTTACCTTATTATTGTAAATTAAACTAGTCATGAAATCTGATTTGTCGAGAGCATTCAAACCACAATTGTGTTATTATACATTTCTTAAATGCGTTCAGCCATTGCGAGTTTCTCTCTGAGCCTGAAAAAGTTTGAGAGCACTAGACGGACGAGGAGGCTTGAAAACTATACAGACCCTGAACGCAATATCCGCTGCATATATTGGAATTATCATGTCAAATTCATACGCTATTGTATATTGATTGAATACTCTCGACCAATCAAATTTTTCATAGTAAGTTTAATGCCTAATGATATGCAATTGCGTGTGAAGTTGACAGGATAGATGCAATATCTGCGGTGGATATTGCATTTATCAGAGAGACTCAAAATGGCTGAACGCTTCGCCTCTGTTTCTGAGGAGAAATTAAAATTTTTGATTGAAAATAAAGATTCAAAAAACACCAGGAGAACAACAAAAACAAGTGTTAAGATTCTTAATGATTATTTGAGGGAGAAGAACCTTGAGGAACCACAAGATAAAAAAACCCCTTTGGCCTGTGTTCTGAAGAAGTTGTACGCCGAAGCTAGGAAAATTGATGGCAGCTCGTACTCAAAAAGGTCCATGACTTCTTTACGATTTAGAATTAACAGGCATTTCAAGACAAAAGGAACTGACATTATCAAAGACCCAGAATTCGTCGAGGCGAGGTGCGTTGATTTAAAACGACAGGGTTTGGCCAAGGTTGAACACAAACCCGCTATTTTAGAAAACGACCTTCAAAAGCCTGAAAGCTGTACGAATGCGATGTTTTCAAATTAGATGATCCCAGAACACTTCAAAATAAAGTTTTTTTCGAGATTATGTTTTATTTTTGCCACCGTGGCCGAAAAAACCTTAGGGAGCTGAAAATAAAAGACTTTTCATTCACATGAGATGAAAAAGGCGCTCGATATGTGTGTAAAACCAGTTATAAGTTGACAGAAAACAGGAGAGAAGACGATGAAGTCTTCAAAGGTGAAATCTTAGTGATGTTTGAAAAAGGTGGACCTTATTGTCCCTGTTGTCCCTACACAAAACATCTCAGTCCCAAGAATGAGTTTTTGTTCCAAAGGCCAAAGAAAGGAAGTAAAGTCGGAGTGGATGATGTTTGTTTTGATAATATGGCGGTTGGTGAGCACACGCTCGCCGAGAAAATGAAACATATCTCCAAGGAAGCAGAATTGTCAAGGGTTTATACAAATCACTCAATAAGGGCCACTCCAATTACAGCTTTGGAAACGTGTGGGTGTGAAGCCCGTCACATTATTGCTGATCATGATAGTGGCCACAAAAGTGAGTCAAGCATTCAGAGTTACTACAAAACAGACACTGACACCAAAATCATTGATATCGTATATGAATGAAGATCAAGATTTTAAAAAATAAACTTAGATGACGCAAAGACTCTGAAATAGCAAGCGGATTTAAAACCTGCGACTAAAGATCACACTTATACAACATGTGCTATTATTATACATTAGAATTACTATGAAAAATGTGATTGTTCCAGAGCATTCAATCAATGTACAATAGGGTGTAAAGCTGACGTCGGCACAATATCTGCGGCGAATATTGCTCTAATGATTTCGAGTTCAAATTCTACCTAGTTTCCAGGTCCCTCGTCCACGTTGTGTGATTTGTACGGTTATTTGGACAGTTGGTTATTTTGTACTGTAAAAAAAAATCTGTTTCACCAACTGGTTGCGCGCCTTAGCTTCGCTATCCGCTTTGCTTTTCCCGCCTTAAGAGAAATAAGCAGAAAGACTTAGAAGAAAAAAAAGACTGTTGGAAAATAAATAACTTATTGGACGTTTTGGTGTGTAGTATCACTAAGTATTTTTACTCGTTGTTTGTATTTTGACTCTACTTACAAGCTCGTAAAAATACTCAGCGATACTACACACCAAAACGTGTAATAAGATACGTCACTATGCTCAATTGGGTTCAAACTGCCCCATAGAGACACATACGATAGTGGATGGACAATTAATAATACTTTGTCATCATAGAAACCACTATCATCTGATACTGAGATTACGTTAAACGACGCTTTTATCCACGTCAGCGTCTTTTTTGTTCCTCGATGTTATTTTCCTTCATTTTTTCCCGTTACATATTTAGTCTGATAAAAGCTAAAATAAATTGTGAAACCAAATGTGCAAGAATTATCATGATTTTGGGTGATTCAAAATCCCTTGATCGAGATATCTCTTAACGCGAGAAAAGAATGGGCACTTTTAAGACGAGACTACAAACAAACATTGATTAAAAAATTTAAGTGAAATGGTGGTCAAACGTTATGACTTTCGAACTTATTTGACGCCAGACTGTGCAACAAATTTGGCGAAAATCAAGCGGAGGTCTACGGTATACACCCTAACTGTTAGTACTGCGTCCTCCTGTTTAATGGACCCGAGCTAAGGAAATGTAAGGTAAAAAATTGTTACAATTGAACAAACGGATGCCATTTGAGCCAGCATTGATCGCTATGGTAAATATCGTGTATAATGTAAACAACGATAAGTGATGACGTAAATGTCAGGTCAGAGCGCTCGAGAAGCACTTAAGGAAAAAGATACATCTGAAGTCATTTGTTTTTACAAGTATATAAAGCACGGCCGTCAAGAAAAGATTTCAATGACAAATGGGGGTTTAATTTTTTTTAAAGATTTATTTTGTTATCTGTGATGTTTCCAAAATTTTAATCAGTATACATGTTTTCGTATTGATGTCTGGCTCTTCAAGCATTCAACTAAAATTGAAACTTTTCAAACTTTCGTCCAAGCCTTTATCGGTATCTAGGCAGCTGGAACAATGAACCTTGCAACTGCGTCAAGAAAGATCGTTATCTAATCTAAATTGCGACAAAACAAAGGAACATTTTGTTCCCCAATAATAATAATATTAATAGCCTACCCCGCCATACTTGATTAATCTTCTTTGTTTTAAACGATCAATGAATCTAAACAACCAACAAAGATGTGGATTCAAGATCCCTTCTAGTTTGTTCGAAATATTTCAAATATTGGTGTTGTGTTTTAAATTAAAGTATTTTGTTTTCATGAAAGTTTTGCTAACTTTTTTCAGCTTTGCGGAAGTTGGAAAAATAATCAGCAGTTCCTTTGTACATATTTTTACACGATCGCATTGTTAACTCACAGAGTCTAATACAGTCTTAAGTAGTTATCTACCCCCGCGGAGGTGATTATAACCACTGTTAGCATCATTTTGTTTACGGCAAATAACGAACTGTTTGCCATTTAGTTGTGTAAAGTAAATTCTTCTCGCAAACTTTTGTGCCGTCGGGTTTTCAGTTGTTTGAAAATGTCGTTCAATGAGAATTTAAAATAATGTACAACTACAGTCCTGCTCGAGAATAGTAACAGTACGTATTTGACACCTTTAAACAAAGTACAAAGAGTCTTGGCTTGTATTATACACGTGGCATTTCATACAGCTTTGACTTCCCTGTCGTTGATGTCAACAAAGTCTCCTTATCAACAGAAATACCTCGCAAACTGAGTTCATATAGTGAGCTTGAGACACCTCGCTTAACGGTGGTGTTATTCACGATTTTGTGTCAAATTGTTTCGGTGAAATCCGCAATTCAGTATCATCTACGGTTTTCGTCATGATGATAAACACCATTCACTGTGAACAGATCTTCGTCCTCATAGTTTGAGTTGACGTTTATAGCTCCCTTTGGCAGTATGAGTACATCATTACGGTGTAGCGATGGAACGCAGCCGGGTCGTTCCAATTGATTATGCCTCAGCTCAGCTTCCAAAGGTGGAAGATTGGTTGAAAGAAGCGAAACTCGTCGCTCTTTCCTACAAGTATCACTTCTAGCAGGTGAAGCTGCCAAGCGATCACCGGGTGAACGACCCTCGCGTTCAAGCAGAGGTGCATCGCTTAACGATCTCCATCGATATTTCGGAATGAAGTCGGCCTCTTCGTTGTTCAAGTCTGCGGGACAACTTCGCCTCTTCGCAGTGCCTGGATCGACTCGAATCGATGGCAAGGGTTCGTTCGGTCGGGTTACCGAAGCTCTTCTCAGCAAGCCTTCATCAAAGAGAACGTTTGAGTCAACATCTTCTTCCGCTCGCTTTCGAATAATTTCGAGGACTTCCTTTGTGTGTTCTTTAGTTGGTCTGTTGCGTAAAGCTCTATTTCTGATCTCTTCCGTGTTTCTCATACCGCTATAGTTGGCAAACGTTAATCGAAGATGACTGTTTCCTAGACTAAACCACGTCAACGGTTTAAGAGCGAATGACTAATTTTATCTTCAAAGTCCTTGTTATAACAGTTTGTATCCAAAACAATAAAAACTTGCGTCAAATGAGCTATTAATGTTCTATTCCGCCTGGGATAATAGCGGTTAAATGCAACGTAACCAACCCATCTTAAACGAACCGTTTCTGAGTCAAATAATGACGCTGCCACAGCCACGACAAACCAGTAGTGAGACTAATATCACTAAACGCTGAGTAAAGGGCAGAGCTAATTAAGACGGTCCAATAGCTAATGTCAAAGTGTGACCTCTTAAAAACCCATTGTTTCATAGCCTAAGGGACTTTAGGCTAATTAATCGTCATTTATGTATAGAATAAAAATTTGTTAACGAACACAGAACAATAGATTTACTGGGGTTTATTAAGCTCCGCTCTCTCCAATTGTGCCCTTAAACGACGCCTTAATCTTTTGCACAAATTGATCAAAGAAAGAAACATTGCTATTAGCTTTGTCTTTGAAAAGTCTGAAAAGCTTAGGAAATATCTTGTCGAGAATCGATTGAAAGCATTTTTACGACCGAAAAAATATGTCGGCCAAAATGTTAGGACGTGAATTAATGTCTCTTCATAATGGAAGTAAGATTCCGGAACTACCGTATTTTCTCTAATCACTGCGAAATACTCTAAGGGAGGTTTGAGGGAAGACTCTTGTTGTGACAGACGCAGTTTTATGACCGCAATTAGTGGGTTAAACACTGCATGTGTGTATCAACATAGCGTTTTAAAATCTTTAGAACCCATTACCAAACATGAATGTTAAAATTATATATGTCAACATTAGCACTCTTATTGAGGGACAATTTATTTTCTTGAATTTTAAATTTCCATGCATCTGAGTTGCCTTGTTTCGGGTAAATAGTAAAATAAGCCCAATGGAACTGTTTGGATGACTTGAGACAAAAGCAAGTGTTATTTTGAGATAAACAGCAAATGTTTCAACCTGATTTTAAAACAAAATAGCCCTGTTTACACCACTTTCATCTTATAACTTAAGATTATTCTGACACGGATAGATATTCGAGAACACTTAGACATACTGCACTAAGGTTATTGAAGAATACTTACTGGTATATTCTTACAAATATGAACCAGATTTATTTCTTTTGTGTACTGTACTCGTGTTCTATTACGGTTCATGTGAAAATGTACTTCTTTAAGATGTGGATGAATGTCCCTTCGCTATCCAGCTCTTTTTGATTACTCCTTCTGTTCTTCCTTTGACACAATTGATACAAGAGTAAATTATTTCCTAAAGTCCAGATGATGAAATAATTAATGACAAGCCTATGTTCAAACAGAAGAAGGCTAATGGCCAATAATGGTTTCAAATGAAAGGGATTACGGTCTTTGTTTTGTTGAACCTTACAATTCTTGAGGAGAGTACAACATGAGAACTAAACTATGACTTTGTGTTAAGAAAACCGGAAGTCACAGACCGAGTTTAGTCTTGTCGTAAGTATTTAATTGGCCATGATACTTCTTGGTTGCTCAATAAAAAGCTAACGGTTTCCGTTTGGCTACGTGAAATTTCAATAGTTGTTTTCATCTTTCTCTCAAAACAATGCAATCATTAATAAACGAGGTGAGGGTGGGGAACAATTAAAATTTTTTTAATACAATACCATTGGGAAATTCTAGAAACTTCATTCGATTTTTTTAATTACGAAAAATAATTTACATATACACATCATTCCTTTTCAGAGGAAAGCAGGAGATGTAAGGTAAACTGAATTTAAGCTTAGAAGTACAATCAAGTAAAAGTTCCCCAAGTGCTTACATCTAGAACTAAGTTTTGTTTCCATCATATAAGCCTGGCATTAGCCCGATCCCAACAGTGTATTGGAACATTCCTCCAACTGAAAACGGTCTCATGCGTTGGACTTTGGCTTCATTTTGAAATCTCAAGTCAGGGTGGTTTGAACGACTGCGATGCACTAACCTAGTTCATTGTATCTGTTGCCTTTTACGATACTTATGTAAAGGGTTTTGCATAAGGAAGAGTAACAAGGCTAAAAGTTGATATCACACAAAATTGTGATTTTGTGCATTAAAGCATAACCATTAAACAACTTCAGAATTTAATTAAAATATATATATGCTTTTACGATCGTGACAACAACCCCCTGTCGCTAGGCACTGTTTGACCTCTTTTGATCTGTATCCTGGTTACATGTTCAAGACGCGAAACTGAATAAAATCAAATACTTTATCTTGTTTCTAGAAGAAATTGTCTTCAAGAGCGCGCCAGTTTAGATTATGGACGCTTTAAATGGGAGGACGTTACCTGCAACGATACCTGTTGGCAATGACAAGAATACAGATAACGTTAACTATGAAAGGTATGTGGCCATTGTAGTTAGTTTCATCGTTGCAGGTTGCTACAATTGCAAAACACTCGAACTCAACCCAACGAGAAAAAGCGGCAGAATGTTAAGCTGTGAATGTTACAATATACGCCCTAACTCAGTTGAAATGGTTCAAGTTTGAAAAAGAGCCTTGACGAACTTGGAAATGGCGCCATAAAAAATCGTGGCCGGTTTTATAAATTTAATCGCACAACATTAAAGATCGAGATATATGCTCAGATGACCATCCAAAACAGCCATGTTGCCGCTAGCAGCCTCTGTGACTTCCTTTGTCTCGTAGCCGTGGTTACTGACCACAGGCGGAGCTTTGCCTTAGTATTGTTGTTAGAAAATATATATTTATATTTAATTGTGGGAAATTGTACCAAATGCTGTAGGAAAGTGCTCAATACACGTGAGTGTAGAGCGAAATACAGTTCAAAATAACTAAAATGAAACGCGCATGATTCTCTGTTACTCTGAGTTTCGTGCTTACGCACTCGTCAGACAGATTTAATCTGTCTGACGAGTGCGTAAGTACGAAACTCAGAGTAACAGAGGATCATGCGTGTTTCATTTTAGTTATTTTGAACTATATTTGTATTTATGTATCTCTAGCAACAAGGCAGATCATTCAAAAACTAAGGAGATTTTGATCACTCCTCAGTAATGGGATTTTCAACTCGTCTTCTGACAACGCATCAAACTTCAGTTTGTTTTCTTTAGATGGCAGTAAATAACCGATATGGGCATCTTAAGATGGAAAGAAAAAGAAAAGAGCAGGATAAATCCACCCTCAGAGGTATGTTGCTGTACTTTCAGCCAATTAATTTAAAGTTGATCACCTGCCATAAAATTTGAAAGTTTCATTTAATTACCGTTTAGGGTAAGTTTAGGGGTAAACATGCAGGCAGTTGTAATAAAGCTCTACAATGACAAGAAAACAGAAAATGCGTGTACAGTCGAGAATACTTTTAAAAACTACTCCTTCTGCCTTATCAAGGGAGTAGTTTAGACATCACTCGTTTTTTTTTTGTGCCGTAAGTGTTGGTTGATTACTCACGAGACATGGTAAGCGCAAAAGCCATGTAGAGAGAGCCCTTAGTTATAAAATATAAAAACAATCAAAAGCAAAGTTCCTTACTCTTCCACATAGAAGTAAGTAATTATGTGAAATATTGATCATGTCTGATAAGCCACAAAATCAGTCCAAATTTTGGTGAGTGAAAGGAATTTGAGCGGGAGAAACCATTGCCCAGGGACATAGCAACTGAAAAAACATTGCATGTTAGTCTATTACTGATCATAAATGTCACTAAGGAAATCTAAAAACTTTCTAAATAGCGATTACGATAACGAAATATTTAAACCCAAGTAGGTCGGAAAAGAGCACGCTTTTTAAAATAAATATTGAAAATTTATATATTTCCTTCTCTTTGTCTTGCAATTGAGTTCAAAAGACATTTCGTAATCAGGTACCACAGTTTTGAAACTCTTAAACAATATCTGTAACGTTGTGGGTGCCTTGTTCTTTATTGGACAATCCTCTTAGATTATTTTAGTGATGCACTGATATGATGTGGTGCAGGCAACTCTGGTTTGCAGTAATTTAATTTCATGAAAACTTTTCTTTGCCAAGTTGTAAACAGGAAAGAGTATTTTTACAGCAAAAGCAGTGAAAGAAGACTGACTACCTTTGGCATCGTCAAACTAAAAAGACTCTCTGACGCAAAGGAAGCTTAACACTATAACAGTTTTATTCCCTTTTCTACCACTGCTTAAAAGCATCACACAGACTAAAATCTTTCCATCACGGAAGCAGGATGTAGGTTAGAAGAAGCTGGTGAAATGAATTTAGAAACTTTCCAACTGCTTGACAGTAGGGCATCTGAAATAACAAATACCATTTTATTCCAATAATGCTTGTGGCACCATCAGGAAACTTAATTTTAGATGTACGGAGGAGAGGGTAGTTTACATTACGGGTTCCATATAACCTTAGCTTACTAAACAATCACTGAAAACGAACCAAACATACTTTCGGTCTGAAGCTAGGCAATTTTATGTCTTTCCCACGCCTTAAGCATTTTGAGAGATTCCTCGAAGGATTTCAGTGGTGTTTACCGTAGGTACTTTATGGATTTTGTCACCTATAGTGGGTCAATTTTGCTGTTACTAGTTAAGAGTAATATTGTTTGTCATTACATTCAGTGAAGAAAAAACGCAAAAACTTTTTGCGCACTAAGAGGGTCAGTGTTTCCTTCAGGCTGGCGGTGATGTTTAAAAGGGCTATGACGTTGCTGATAGAGTTGTAATTTGATTTTTCCCTGAATATTTTCTCAAGATTTTGCAAACGGAAGATAGATTGCGGCATGGAAGCTAAACACACATTATTCATTAACCTTTTAAAAACTTCTTTGTTTAAAATGACCGAAAAAGGAAAAAACAAAAACTCACAGGATTCGAGCAGCCCTTAAAACACGCCGAGTTCGTGTGGGAAAGTCGCACTGTCAAGAGACTGACTCTACAAAAGACTGACTGATAAAGAGGCCGCGGTGGCTCAATATTAGGGAACATCTTTAAATACACGTCATCAGAGTGTGGCCAACCTATTAAAATATTAGATTTACTTTGCTATTGGTTCGGAAATCAAAGATATTCATTTTTATCTGAAACGTGATAACAAACTGTCATGCTAAGATTGTTTTTTTTTTGTATACCCGTCATATATTAAATTCATTCTTCTTAATGACATTTTTATCATAAAAATTAGTAATGAAAAGTCTTCGCTACAATTTCTCTTGCCTCTCTTCCTATAATTAGTTGACGTCATTCATTCGTGGAATTTAGTTCAAATTTAATTTAGTTATGTTGGTCTTTTTATCGATGTATGAATCGTTCTGATGTCTCTAACCTCGTTCAAGTCCTAATTATGCGCAAAAAATATCGCATATTAAAGCTTCGGAAATTGAAAACGTGGCCTTAGTTTATAACAATAATGAAAACTGTGACAAGAGAGAGTCGTTATACAAATTGAACGAGTACAAAGTTAATATTACAGTCAATTGAATATCAATATGATCCATTCTGCTATTGGCTGTTTACTGGTGATATTTGTCTTACTTACTCGCGTAGAGCGAATATAATTAGCGCCAAGAACACATAAAAAGAGTCTCTAGGCATGTGTGTGACTTCGGTCTTCTATTCAAATAGTTCATTGCCTGGGCGTTGCGTTTCTATAGTGGAAAAGCAAATACAGCAGATTTCTTCGCCGCGTGTTAGTAAATAATTCCTTACTGTTCCGGCAAAATAGAACAGCGTCGAAGAGGTAAGCGCATTACTTCTGGTACATTATCCTTGATTTCATCAGTTGACATTATTTTTCATTCTTCTTTATGTCTGTCGGTAAAAATGTGTTCTGACAAACGCAGCTGCCGGGTAATTTAGAAAAATCTTTTGGTCCTCTGAGATTATCAATACTAGTTGATGAAAGTACAACTGAGATTCGATAAATCAACGGAACTTTGCCGCGTACATCTTAAAGATTTGTCAAAATGCGTGGTTAACATTTGATCAGTGAAATGCCTCTGATTAAAGAAAAGCGGATTAACAAAGAACAACAATGGGTAGCAGCGTTCACCTCTACACTCCAAACTACACATTGACTTCAGATTATTATAGTTTTTTTCTTTATGGACAGCCAACCAATTATCCTAGAAAAGCTGCCGAGCTTCCAGAGTATGTAAATTAGTAGGAAAATATCTCTACCAATCTTACTTTTAGGGCTCTCATAATTATGTAACGTAAAACTGATATAACTGGAAACTGTTAGCAGTCTCATGAAGAAATCCGTAAATGCGAAGTAGCTATTGACACATAGCTCTTGGAATCAAGGCTGAACAATCTGAAATCATTTGGCATGACAAAAGTTTAACATGGCGATATTTATTTTCATTAATGCCAATATTTTAGTTCAACACCAATGTTGACATTGCTTGAACAGCCATTAATGAAGTGTTATCTTCATCACAAAACGTTCTCCAAGGAATATTTGCTGTTACTATTATTTGAATACCATCCTGCTTTTAGAGTCATTTTCGGACAGAATAATAGCAAATGTGGAGATACAAGGGGGGGGATTTGAATTGCATAAAAACAAAATACACATGAAAATTTTACATATTGATTTTCGCACGCCTTAAGGTCTATGAATATGCTTAGTTTCTTACAAACTTTTTGTGAGCTTTTTAAACAAATTACTGGTGAAAGATCTTGAACTACAGTTCATTCCGGTTGACATCACGCGATTATTTTACGATTAGAAAAGCAATGTGCATTTTCATCAGCTATTCGTTTTTTAAACCGTTGGTTCACCCTTAATGTGATAACTGAAAATTTAGTTTAAGCCATGACGAGGAAAATTGAGCGTTTAAAGTGATGTGCAGAGAAAATTTTCCTTCACGTGAAATACTTTTCGGTTTCGACAATCGCTCTGACGAAGGGCTAACGCTCGAAACGTCAGCTTTTTTACCCTTTACGGTGGCTAATTTACGTTTTCAACTCAGTTGTTAACACTAAATTACCTGCTATACTCTCCCACCGACGCAGCACCACAGTTTCTTTAGAAACTTACCCCTTTATTCTTTTTTCGGAAATTGATCTTAAAACTTCCAACATGGTGGAGTTTATTTTTAAAAAACATTTGAAAATGCGGAGGGTTTTTCTGGTTCTGTCTCTCTTTTTGTTATTGATCACACTAATTCAACCTTGAAACTGATATGACGAATTTGATTACGGAACTTTTAACGACGATCAAGCATTACTTCCTTTGGAGAAAATCTTTTTTCGAACCTTCTTTCCATTTAATGAGACTGGACCAACTCTTTTTTAACAAGATGTTTGCAGTTTGACGAAAACGCATCACGGTTCTTTCAAATTAGCGTTCTGTAGGTGACATCTGTGGTACATTTTCAAAGAATTATCTTCGCGTGAGTGTATGTGTCAAGCCCTCTCTTAAAAAATTAAGCATGGCCATACAAAGGACAATCAAGTTAGGGGTTCGAGTGATCTTCGTTAGGAAAAGATACACATGCTATGACACGCAATAAGATCTTAAGGTTTCACGAAAATGTTACCCCACGCAAATTGAGAATTAATGATGCGTGCATATTTCATAATTCATATTTCACATTTCGCGATAACAGTGCTTAGTCACATTCATTTGTTTTCAAAATTGATAACTTTGATGAAAAATGATTCTTGGAATAATGATTTGTCACGCGAAAGATTATTGTCATTATTTTTTTTCCTTATACTACGACAAACTGAGCGACTGTGCATAGTTTGAAAATCCTCGCTGTCTGAAAACAGGGAGAAGATTTTCTTTACTTCTAGAAACGAAATATTGATATTTGACTTATTTTTGTTGTTATCATTATAATGCCAAGATTACACCTCCAAGAAGAGTTTAGCTCATCAATATACACCTGTAAACCATTAAAAGCCAAAAATTACAGTGCAAATATGCTTAGCTCTACGTGAATATGGCGTCTTTTGGCGATAAAAATCCTCCAATGGCTTCCAATTTTGTATTTCGGCTCAGCTCAATTTATTTTTAGTCTTTTATATACAATTGCCCCCGAGCCAAAAAACCATGTTACTCCTAACAAAGCCGGCGAATTTTAAATTTTAAACATCAAGTTACAAAAATGTTCACTTGTACAAGATATTTAATTCGATATCCGGTAAAATATCGTTGGAACTATGCATGAACCGGATATTCTACATGTGTTAGAGAGTGCTAGCTTCGGCGTTTTTTATCAGGAAGGAGTCGTCAACATTGCAACAGAAATTGAAGAAAGAAAATAGAAAATATATATGCTTTGGTACGTGATCTCAATTAACTTAGTTACACGATCCAAATTTCCAACGAACTTGTACAAATGGAACAGAAAAGAAAAAAAAATTGGAAAAAGGCGTAAACGAATTTTGGTACAGCTGAAAATTATGCTTACTGTCCCAGAAAATATATCCTTCATGTCTTGATTAGTCGATACCCCGAGGGGCGAAATAAATGCTGACTTACATCGTGTTTTTCCTACTGTTTGAAAACAAAAAATACCGTTGCTAGCGAACAAAAGAAAAACTTTGAAATATTGACCCGGGAAAAATAAGTGACGCCGTCTTTCCACATTTGTAGCAGATTATTGGTCAAAACAGCAGACATTGTTCCATATAATATCGGGCGCGTGACCCAACCACGTTTTATTTTGTTTTCTAAATTAGTAAGAGTCACGATATAAATCTCGAACGGGAAAAAGACAGGTTAAAAGCGCAGCAGGATAGGAAAAAAATTCTGACTTTCAATCACTTCTGTAACGTGACAACTCACAAAGAAAACTGATGTTTATACTTAGCTTATTTCATTACACGTGGTAAGGCAAATTTCCGGCTGCGGACAGCGTGTCTGGGAAAGCGAAAGTTCTGGCGTTCAGGTATAATGGTGTGAATGTTTCTTTTATTGTACAGCTTATTAACGAGCACCGCTGCCGCCAATTTCGTTTTACACGTATTTAAGGCGTTATTAGAAGACAGGGAGCTAAGGAATTGTTCAGTTCTCTCCGTCACGGGGGAAATTAAATCACACTCCATGGTAAATTGTTTTCATTTTGATTCGCTCGTACACAATTACCGCTCTAACAACGTGGCGCTAAGAAAGTAGAACCACGCGGTGACCCTGAATAATCCTTGAATGAAATCCGATTTAAAAACTTGCTCTTATTGGATTATTTGATTCGTTTTCTGGTAAGTTGTGCGCTTCAAAGTAGGGAGAGCGCAGTGAATTATTTTGCCTATAAAGCGATGTGTATAATAATAGGTGATAACCATGAAAGTAGGTTACTATAACTACAAACGATTGTTTGTTACACTCGGTAGGTGAGGCACGGAGACTGCAAGTTTTCCCAATGAAGCAAATCGATAACGAACACTGTGATGCAGACAGTGGAATGGCACCAACAACCCCGTGTTATCCAAGAATCCCAAGGAAAAAAACTCAGGAACAACAAGCTGTGGTGGACGAGATACTTCAAGTGGTTGCTGATCAAGGAAGGCGCTTTTCGCTTTCGCAAACGGACTACAGCGTTCAAAAGAGAATCGAATGTGGCCTAAGACGGAAAAAAAGACTAACAAGCGACGCGTCTAGTTTTGATGATTCCAGTTCATGTGCAAGCGGCTCCGACCTTTCTACTTCGCCACCACCAACACGGCATAGCAGTATCAGTATCAATTCAAGTTTTTCAGATGATGGCAAGATGTTCGAATATAGCAGTAGACCGCAAACTCTTCCGCCGCTCCACCGAAATAGAAGCCACAGGCCTGCTCGACCGACGCCTCCTAAAATTGACTTTGACGAGGAGCGAGAAATAAGTCGCTCTGGCACCTTGTCGAGACCTATGTCCGCGCGGGGACAACGATCACGCCCACAGAGAGGTTTCACGTTATAATTCCAGAAAACGCAAAACATTGAGAGAGATCGTTATGAATTTATTACTTCAGTGAGGACGTTAAATCTCACCCATGGAGGAAGTGTTCTGGCTTGAATTTTAGTAGTGTAGAGTTTTGAAAAAGAAAACAATTCATGCGTATAGTGCACAACGAGGGCCAACATTAGGATGTCAACATATAAACTCTAAGTTCAACTGCCAGAGTAGAAGGCTTATGACAGGTGCCGGAGGCCGAGCAAAAAGAAATTAGTTAAGCTGTTGCTCGTTTAAGGAAAAAAAAGGGCCCTGAAGGAAACGATCAAACATACTTGAAGTCTGATTCGGTAGCAATATAGCTGAAGATTACATCAATGATTCCATACACCATGTGCAGCAAATTTATTTTCAAAAAATCGACGCCAAAACATGCCGAATACAAGAGGGATCATTAGCCACAACAGAACTTTTCAAGTGTTATCAGCTACACGTAAACAATTGCATTTTTCGAGAACAATCTAGGAGGTAAGAGGGTTGTCTCTTTGCAAAATTCATCATGAAAACTGTTAGAAAAGAAAAAATAGTGACATGGAAACTGAACAGCATTCTCTATCGTCAAAAATGTCATTGAGCGGTTGTAGATCACTTATAGCATGGCGTGTAGCAGCCTCATTTAAAGTCAAAACAACGGACGGTCTGAAATGAATCGTTGCAAAGACTATTCCTTTGTTTCATTCTATAAAACCTACAAATCAAAATCAATTTTTAATAGCAGCACATAGCGACTCATTTCTTCTCCCTAAGTTTTCAAAAAGCGATATTTGTTCAATAAAAATAAAATATAAAATGCTAATTTACCTAGATATTCACGGAACATTTGATCAATAATTCTACAATGTAAAGAGATGATCGTCTTTCAGGTGAAGATCGACCGGAAAGGAAGATTCAGAAACAAATTTGTAAAAAGGAAAAAATATAGGTTTTGGTTAGAGTAAATATGGAGTAAGAATAAAAGATGTAGTACACAATTACACCCGTGGTGTTGTCTGAATTACAAACTGATGCGATTTGAATATGCTAAATATTTGTATGGCGAATTATGAGAATGCGTGTTCTCATACGTGTGACGGTAATGTAAAAAAAAAAAACAAGGAATACAGAACACAGGTGTTAAAAGTAATTTTCACATTTAAGGGTTTAAGAATAAAAATATATTCCCAGAAGACTGATGTCCGTGAATAACAAACACATATAAACCAAAAATCACTAACAAGTAACAAAAGTCGCGACGTGGTGGAAAAAAATTATCTCCCATCCAACAGACAGGTTTTCGATGCAAATATATATATATATTACATAACGCGTCAGTATTTCGGGCATCAGCCAAGTAATATTATTTGTTGCCAAGCAAGATATTGATCCATCTACATGCTTTCTGCAGGTAGGAAATTAAAAAAAAAAACTTGAAGCTAGCTTGTTCTTCTATGTGCTTGGCTAAAACATTTCTGGCGTTTGTTGCTTTTTCATTCTTATTTCTGTTCTTTCGTTACCGCTGAAATCGGTGAAAAATATAGAGCATTGGTGCAAAAATAACATATACCTTCGTTTGCCGACATCAATATTAGCAGCTCTCAAATTTACAGAAGTGACACTATTTTAAGTAATTTGAATCAATTTTTTTTAAATCCCATCAAATGTTGTTGCAAATCTTATTGGGATGTTCTTTTATTATCCTTCAGGTCAAAAGAAAAAAAAATTCAACAATATGTACCGTGCTAAAAAGATTGTTGCGGTCAAATTAACCCGCATATTAACAAATTTCATTCACCTGCCAAAGTCAAAATCGACATAGTACATAATGAGGCGAAATTATAATCAACCGGACAAAAACTACAAGCTCATTTGGTAGAAGAACCGCGGCAATATTTATACTAGAATTTGCTTGATACTCGCAATCGTTCAGTGTTAAATATGGAAACCTATACATAGTTGTGTTAAAATTATGGCATCACATTTGAACAATAGCACACAAACAACATATATGCATAAGGAAACTTTCAATATAGTGATCAAAAAACAATATCAACAACTTCTTCCCTTGTTATGTAATAACTGTTGACGAAAAAGGTAAAGAAACATCGATAGTACATACAAAAGCACATCTTTAATTTAGGAAGACAATAGAACGTTTCATTGACTGAAAAAACGGTTGATAACTGGCGTGGAACGGGTATTGCTTAAAAAATGCAACACGGCCTAATATAAGTGGCAAAAGAAGACTGACAGAACTAGCAAGCGGAATCTAGTTTTAAAGAAGATGGAGTCTTATTTCAATTAAGTAAGTTGTAAAAGTGTAAAGAAGCTGAAATGCGATCAATTTGCGTGATGTACTAAAACAGCATCCATTAAATAGTCTTTGAACGAAATTTGCAATATTCAAGAACATGACGCACATGTGCACTTCAAAATGACATAATGACCTGTGTTTCTAATTTTATCGAGATAAACCCGCCAGAAATTTCCAGGTGCGACATCGAAATAAGTCACTAAACTGAGTGAAAACAATATTGGCACAAATTTTAAATTCGTTTCTCAAATGCATCTTGGATGTTCTCGATATATATCACAGCGATCGCTGTTACAATTCAATCATTCGTATTGGCTGTCCATAGTCTTAGCTCATCGCAAGAGCGGCCATAAACACTAATATAAACTTACGTAAGAATTGTTGTTCTACTAATTAGAAAAATTTACAGAGTTTGTGGCAACACAGTTTACAGCAGTCATGTTCCTGCAGATTGTAGACTGTAATACATTTCCTATAGCTTTGATTAGTGTTACTCACAATAAAAAATTTCTATTAGCAAAATTACTGAATATGGCAGCTTCGGAGGACAGACAGCGGCGTCTTTCGTGCAATATTGTTTGGCGCGAGCAGTGACATCATGTACGTTATGAGTCAGATCAGCGCAGGTAATTATAAAATCATAATAAAAGTTATTCATGGCAGAACTTTTTTCGCCTCGGGGAAGTTATCGGCTTAACTGCTCGACTTTTAGGAGAAATACATTCTTTTAATATGTTTTAGTTATTTCTTTCTTTTCTGACAATTTGCCGTTTAGGTAATGTACCAGTGATAAAAACAAGTTTTTCTAATGCCTTTTTAACTGGTCGAATTAACAAGTTACTAGTTCTTTGTGTGGCGCAACCTCTTGAATACATCAACTTGCTTACTCAGTGAAATTGGCAGAGTAAACAATTCTCATGATTGCCGATGTTTCTGTCAAACGATACAACCGCCAAGTGAGACAGAAAAGTGCAGTCAAAAGGATGACAAACAAAGTTAGCAGTACAAAGAATAAAGAACTTCACAAATTTAATCATCTTATCTTATCTTAATCTTTTTGTGGTATTCTAGAAAACGCAAGACTGTGAGCTACAAACACGCGCTCGGCAGAACTTGTTTTTTCATATTCTGTGACCCGTTATAACCTCATAGGTTCCACAGAAGTGAGCATTGACTTATACTGATGTAAACATCAATTGTTGTGTAACGCAAAGTCATAGTTTAAGTTTTTTCTCCACAAGTTTCTGTTGTTAGAACGGTCAAGTTTGATTTACCGATTATTCTTCCCTAATATGGAATCTTAGATCTGTTTTAATGATTTCCTTCCTTTGCATGCAGCGCCGCAAGTACCGTCTGCTAAAAAAGCATCCATCATTACAGTTCAGATAACTCGTCCCAACTACACCGAAATAAATCCGTGCGTAAACAATAATTGAAGTTCGATCGAAAACGCAAATTGCGGGGAAGGCTTTCTTCGAAATTGTACCGGGTAGTCTGGGGCAGACATGACAGACTTCTTTATAATGACGGTGAGTATGACGACTTTGAGAGAAAAACACTTTAAAACACAAGAAGCTAATTGTTTCTTTGGCTTCTTTGATGAGTAATACTAACAAAGGAATGGAGCATAAATTTAACCAGGGCAGAGTTTCCGTCCAATTTTTTTTAATCTCACAGATTTGTAAGTTATAAATATCAATATCAGTTCTTACAAATATCATTCACTTACATGCTGGTTATCAGTATAAAATTTCAAATGCCTGTCGAAATTTCCTCGGGATGACATTTTCGTCAAAAAGGAGCTTTGGACGGGAAGAGTTGTACATATTTCTACAAGTTCTTTAGAGGTAGCCACACCTTGATAATAGGCAAATTAATGTGATCTTAACTGAGCTATTTACAACTCTAAAACAGTTCTTTGGTCTATGACGTTAAAACAATATATCAGCTTTCAAAAAAAGAAAGGAAAGAAAAATTATATGTGCGGTGAATTCGCTTTCCTGAAAGTTTTGACTTTTTTAGAAAGAGTGAGATTGTCATTTACGTGATTCAAAATAAATACGCATGAACAAAATGATGTACAAAGATCACATTGTTCCATAAGAAGTAAAGACAGTTAAGTTAAAATTCAAGAAAGCCTTCTTCTTCGAGAAGACTCGTGTCATTTACTGACGAGCATCATGAATTCTCTCATCACAGTATCTGTATTGCGATACTGATAAGCAGAGTTTTGCATGTAAAATGGAGGCAACGTCTCCTGCCATCAAAACTCCTAAGAAAAAAAAAGAGAAATAACATAAATACAAAAGAGGGTACAGAACTAATGGCTCTGAGTTACTCGAACCTCAAGAAACAAACAACAACAAAAATAGCTCTGGGGCTTAAGTGGATATTCAAATAATATTTAAGTATTGTGAAACAACGCAGAGCGAATTACTATGTGGTGAATATCTTGTTAAATTCAGTTTACTTCGACAAGGAGATACTGTTTAAATTGAACAGAGGGGAGTTCGTATTTTTTTTCTGGCCTCACCTGCTAGACAGCGTGTGTTTCACTTGATCCACTTTAGCTGCTGGAAGGAGCAGGCCCTTCTCGTCCAATGGGAGGGACGTGTACCATGGTGTAGGGCGCTGTGGAGGACGCCGCCGAGTTACTTCTGTAAAGCGGTAACTCAGACGGGTGCACTGGTTCCAGCTCCAATGGCCCATCAAACGCTAATTGAGCGTCCAGTCTGCTGAAATTGATGTAAGTCCTTCGTCTTGAGCCTTTACGTACATTTTTAGCGTAAGATAGAGGGTTTGCAAGTGAGGACGGGTCACAACTGATCCGCTCACATTCGCTGGCCGATGATATTCTGGCGGAAATGATCTCTGCTGGCCGCACACGTTGAAAAGTTTGACTCGATCGAGGTCGGAAAGCTTCCGTGTGATTATCGATTCCGGAAAAGTTTTCCAAAGGAGCATTGTAGTGATACGGAGTTTCTTTGGTGGCGTAAACCGAATGATCTCGAAACGGGACGAACAGTTTTCTAGAGAGACACTGCTGAGGCCACGATGCGTTCAAGTTACCTCCTGAACTAGCTCCCTCTTCACTGGTAGGAGAGGAATTTAACTCTGTTCTTTCCGTGGAGCTACGCAGCATAAAATCACGCGAGCTGCTAGGCTCATTTGTATCTTCTTTTGATGAAACGTCCTTACCAGAGTAAAAAGAATCCACCGAATATTGTCGTCGTAAGCTCGACACCGATCTTTTCCGACTGCTTGTACTTCGTGTGCGGGGGCGACCTGACGGTGGCCGAGGCACAATGACGGCCTCTGGAAGATTACTCAAGTTATCGACGTCCGAATTTAAGGAAGATACTTCTCTAGACACGGGTTGATGGCTAGATTTATCAAGCTTTGGACTTTCGTCTGAGACTGTTAGTTTGCTTTCCTCCCCAGATCCCTTGACAACAAGCGCTGAATCTATTAAGTCTAAGATTTCATCGTCAACGATTTTCAAATCCACTTGCGAAGTTTGAAGAGCCTCTTGATCTTTGACAAAACGCAAAACCATTTCTTGCTTTGCTCGATTGATATTTTCTGAGAAGTCATCAAGCCTTGGACTCTCCGGTTTGCTGTCCTTCGATGTAGTCATGGTGAAATCTATTATGCATACAATTCCAAAATTACTCCGTGATTTCGTAAATTTATGAAGACAAACAACTATTATCGGCACATGAGATATCTAGAGATCGATCAGCACCCTTGCAAAAGAAATTCAGATGTATTCTTGAACTTGCATCAAAACTCGAAGTTGTCCTTAAATGTTGTCTAATCATTCAGATAACTCGATGAAGTTTCTCGTCGCTTCCTTCGTCTTTTGCTGTGTGGTACATGCAAGGATCCTTTTAATCCTTCAAAACTTTAGTTACCAAACCAAACCACAGTGACAGGATGACAAACACAACAGCTCCACGAAAGGAACACTCGTTTTGGTAACCTTAACAAGAATCTATTTCAATAAATTCGCTAAAAGTTTAGCGCCATCATTTAGTAATTTTCCATGTCTTTGAATGTTTTCTGCCTTTGTGTCTGTAGCTAACAAATACCGCTCTTAGAAAAGCTGCGATTGGTCCGAAACAATAAACAAATGAATCATAAATATTCATTTCTACTTTGGATAAGATCAATTCTGAATGCAAACTAATTAACTACTGTGTGTTTACTTTGAAGAAAAGAAAACTTCGTTCAATTTTTTCTTTGTTTTGAAGAAACTGGTAAGACAACTATAGCCCAAGATTTTCAAACTCTTCTAAAGATCTATTTTCAGCTGGAATTAATCTATTTATGAGTTTCCAAGCGGGCAGAAAGAAAGCAAGTAATTAGGTATTTCAATTCAGCCTAAAGCAATGTATACATTTTAAGATAAGTCTTTGTTTCTCTGTTTACACATACAAATAGTTCAGTAGTGGCTGAAAGGCAAGTTCGCACATCAGTCGTCTTTTAACAAACTGCAAATTGCTTTAATCGCACACAATGTTTTCTTGTCGTGCTCGTTTACGTGAAGACCTATAATCTTAATATGAAAGTCGTGAACCCATTCATGCTCTGTACTTTGAATCTATGTTAAGTGAATCTAAATTAGCTTTGCGGATCCCTAGTGGATTTCCAAACGCTCAATTATCCATTTTGGCACCCCATGTAAGGGGGGCTATCGCATTTGCGTCAGAGCACATTGTTCGCTTAATCCTGTTGTATGGAAGTATACAAAAGTAATCAATTCTTAAAACTCGACGTCCAAACACATAATTTCTCTCATAATTCGCTTCGGAAGCTAGAGAACAATTATTAAAAGACTCTTCGAAAATAGGCGCGAGAAGAATCTTTGGCAATTATGTAAGAGGAACACTCGAGTTCCAGCGCGATTCTTTCAATTATCAAAAAAAAAACTACCGGAGAGTCTGAAGAGAAAAACCTTTAGGTAGTTTAAGTCCTTCAAAGAGATTATTAGATTGAAAAGCACCTAGCAACACGGAATAAACGCAGCACGTGCGTCCTCAGCATCCTAGCATTTCCCACAACGAATTCCATGCCGCTATCAAAACACATATGTAACATATAAACGAATGTGAAGTCCACGTGATGCCAAAGAAGATCAGACACATTCCACTTATCGTTTCTGATCGAGCCGGCCAGTTCATATTTAATAATATTATACTGAACGTGGCACGTCAATACCTAATCGTTTAGAAATTTCTCCAGCTAAATGGATTCGTTTTCTCGGATGGTCAATGTTCAAAGTCTACCCTGTTCCACCTTTAAACATACACAACTTGGTCTATCGATCATGGAGCTAATTTTTTCAGTGCTTAGCTCTGAGTAAGAAACATTTTGCAGCAAAAAGGAAAAATATGCTCTTACAAGTTACGTAATCTGGAGTGGGGTATGAGGTAATGACAAAAAGATACAGTCTGATAACTGAGTTCAGATAGCTTTGAGTAGAGCTACTGGATAACGAGAAAGCTTTCTTGTTAAACCACCTGAAATGGGAAATAAACTAAACAAAACAAAACAAAAATACAATAAAAGCAGCCTAACGAATCAACAAAAAGAAAAAAGATGAAGCTTAAAGAGACCATGTCAGTGAAAACTGGGGGAAACATATTGGTTCTCTCGCTTTTTTCCACCGTCATGTTTCATCTCCAGTTCTCTATTAGAGGAATCAGGAAATAGAAACATTTTTTTTGCCTTTTGGGAAGGCTACAAAAGACTGCGAAATGGTTTGGATGAATTTTACCGCAGCGTAAGCCGTCCCCATCTAGTCTGGGGAGAGAAGTTTGGGGTAGTAATTTCACTTGTTTTTCAGTCTATAAATTAATAAATCGTCGTTGAAGTTTAGCTGCTAGTCTCTTCAGATTGGATTCGCGCTCTACTTGCCCCCTACCACGGACAGCCGGTTTTATTCGTCAAGGGAAGATAAAACTGTTGCGTTGTGCGCTTGACTACGGCGCGTCTATCAAAACGGTTGTTTTGAAACAAACATCAATTTTTCATTTATATATTGCGGAGAGAATTTCCCACAACATGAGAAATTTTTACACAAAGCAAAACAATCAGCCGCGAAAAGGAACTTTTTCACTCTCTTCAATTTGTAATCCTCTAGTTTCCCTTATTTGGCGTTCAGTAGGAAGCAGCTGTCACCGCAGGCAATTTATAATTAATTATGTGGACATTAAAATAAAAAAGGGTAAGAAAACCAACAAATGCCAAGAACAGAAAAGAATGAAATCTCTCATTTAGATTGATTTACCATCTTCTGACAGAAACAGAAAGACACTGAGTAGCCTGTGCAGGGCTTCATCATTGGCGCCTCCGCGTTACGAGTGTTCTTCGCCCTCAAACAAGTTTGAGGCCTTAGGGAAACGATAGCCGGGGAGAGGTGTCCAAGTGGTCTTGGACCTGTTTATCAATGCCAGACCCGCCCTTGTAGGCTTACTTTGCTCAAAGCCTGAAAGTTACTCGCAGCCGAAGAAACGATCGTGCTGCAGCGCCAATGATGATGGCGGATGATAGCCTGCTCACAGGTTCTACACTGACATTTTTACAACCAACAATCGTCTAAACACTGCATTTGTTTTGCAAATTATCAACGACAAAGAAGGCTTCATAAATTTACTAAGTGCTATGAAATATTAATTGGCAAGAAAAAGCTAAAAACAAGGCCTACAAACGGCTCCTTGGCTACCGATAAGAGGCAAATCACACGAAAATGAGAAAAACTGCGACGAATTTTAAAAAAGAGGCCAATATTTATATAAAAAGCAAACTCAAAATTTTTCCTATCCATAAATATATTCGCTGTAGAGTGAGTTCTTAACTTTTAAATTGATTATTTGTTAAAAGACAAAATGTTAGGCGATCGAGAAGACAAACGAAAACACCGACTTTTCACCGAGTGACGGAAATTTGAGACAGCTGTGGGTTTTCAGGGTTTTACATAATTTGCACCTCTGCTTAAGTTAATCCACAGCTAAATTTACGATCACGAATTTATTTTCGCACTAAAACGCTCAAGGATCGCTCAATGACAGCAACCGTTTGAGTGACGTAAGCAAACTGTCTTTAGCACCGTCAGTCTTTTTGTGTTTATAGCTGTCAAAGCTTTTAATACGCCAACGGCGGGAGTCAGTTCACAAGCACCGACAGCTGCGGCGCTCAACAAGCTTATGTAAACTCGACTCGCGGAACTGCAACTTAGAGGATGTTTAATAATCTGGATGTCACGGATTAATATGGGATAAGGCGCCAAGGAAATGGAATAAGACATGTACGCACCAATTTCAGAGGAAGACAGCTTTCTTCCTGCTATTCTGTGGAGCAATCCTTCAAAACAACTCGAACATGTTCGAGGTTATTACGAACGACAGCGTCAGTTGAATTTAGTGCTCGATCGAAACTTGGAAGACATTCGAATGGCGTACTCTAGGAAGCTGTGTACTGAAAGAAATCGGCTTAGCAAGTCCCTGTGGGAGATAGAGGTTAGGAAAAGGAAATTACTGCATCAGATTTTGGAGTCACAAGCGAAACGTGAGGCGACATGGCGAAAGCAGTCTATAGCTGGACCAAAAAAGCATCGAATAAGGCACAAAGAGAGTGAAGAGGAAAATAAGTTGCGGAAGGGATATAATAAACATGGCAAGCACACTTCTAACGAGCGTCAAAACAGGCAGCAAGAAAGAACTGGGAAAGAAAAGCCCAAAGATAAAGAAAGCTCTGGAGGAGAATCTGAACAGTTAGTGATACCCAAATTTCTTCTTCGTTGAAATCAAGTTATGTATACCCGCAGCGAATTCACGTTGCTAAGACACGGAAAATGAAATATTTATCAAACCGAGGTAAATACGGAAATTATTCCATCATAAGGGAAGCCAATTTCAGATCATTAGAATTAACAGTGAAATATTTGAAAAATAAAAAGAGAGTCAATTCAAAAGTACAAAAACTCTCTCAAAAATTTAAACTTCTGCTTCACCAAAATTTTATTTACAAGGAAATGATTGATACGTATTTTTCTGTGTTATTTCAGCTGCATAGTTATTGAATTTTCAAAATTCTATTCATGAAGGAGAGGAGTGACAACCGTTGGAAACGCTTTAAGTGAATATTACCTTTCTCAAGTACATTTATTCGATCAAAACTGGCGACTCTAATGATAGGGTACTTCTTAACACTAATAAAAACATTTTTGAAGTGGACGTAGATGTTAAACATAGAAAAGAAAATCCGTCAAAACAAGCATCTAATAAACTAAGAACATTATTTATCTTTTCAATATCAGCTTATTACTGCCGCAAAGAAAAAAGTACACAAACATGAAAACGTTCATTAAATCTTGCAAACTCTCTGTTTCCTTCGTCTTCCACTTCGCGCCAAGCTAGTTTATTCGAGATTCACTATTAAATATTTAGTTCGGATTCATAATCGACGTATTCGAAATAAGAACTTTAGCTTGGCCGGTCAAGACTTCAAAGAAGCCTTTACATAAATCTCTTAAACTAACATGTTGTGCAAATAGGTTCGAAGAAAATGGACAAAAGAGAAAATCTTCAGATAAACAAAAGTAATTTAAGCTTTATTGCTGGAGGGGCTGTTGTACTCAATTCTGGCCGCCTGATTTTGTTCAAAGTTAAGAGTTTTAACCAATAACGTAGGACAGCAATCAAAAAGAGGGCTATAATAGACACTATTAATGCATTAGCTAAGTGCATTGCGCTGTTAAATGCGGCGCTAAGACACAATGGGGAGATTAAGGGAAACTGGGGTAGCTATCTCTGCTGTTTAAGATTCAATAAGGAAGAAAAGCGTTAAAAGCTTTCTTTTTGTTAAGTGCGAATATTTGTTCAGCAATCTTCAAAGTTCAGTCATCACAGCATTGTGTTGCGGAAAAAGTTGCAAATATTAACAAATTAAACAAAAGATTGAAAATTCAAGTTTTCGAGAATTCTCTTTTGTACTTATAGAGTAGCTTCTTAGTTCTTCAGCCGTTTAATGAGGCTGTTACGCCGGGTTAAATAACACAGCTACAAACTCAGTATCGTCCGATTCATTTATTTCTCTCAGAGATCAACTCTGTGATTTAATTAAAGGAAATTAATAATGCTCTCACTGTCTTTTAAAGACAGAATATTCTATCAGAATACAAATGACGTTGCTTACCATCAGTTCATACATATAATCTACGGAAAATTAGCATTTATAAATTTTCCTTTTGCTCTTAAAACAGAATATCAAATAAAAATAAAAAATAAACCGTATCAAAAATAGAGAGAGCTTGCAACTTTTGCTCTCAAAAAAGAAAGAACGATATTACCGACATGTCACATTGACCTATCAAGGGATAGCACATGCCGCCGGCAGTCGACGACATCTTTCGTTATAAGGTCTCTAGCAGTTTCTGAGCTTGTTCGCTTGATTCTTTGTCCTAAATTTTCGGCAATGAGAAAAAAAATTTTCAGAAAGTCAAACGTGATCGTTTGTTTGGTTCAATGAAAGCATCCATCATCGTAGAAATCGTAGAAAAGGAATTTTAGAATAACACTTAAAACATTCACGAGTCTAAAGTTTTTTTTCTTGAGTTCTGGCTTCAATGAATTCCAAAGTAGAAATTCTAACTTGGCTTCTCTTTCAATTGTGGAAACAACGACAGTGGTGCGGTTTTTTGTTAAATGATGAGAAAAGCAGAAAGTAACAAAGAGTCGTTGTTCTGTTCTACTTACGTCATCACTGGAGACTGGAAGCGAGAGAGCTTTATTCAACCATTCTTTCGCCTTTGGTACATCTCCATTTTGTTTGTAACACTATGAAGGAAAAACTTGTAAAATGCTTTGGAATATTCGAATGTATTCTATGTAGAAATGGATTCTTTGCGTAGAAAGTTGCTCGAACCATTTGAGATCCCGAGTACAGGTCTTAAGAAATGTGTTGCAATGTTTCTCTTTTCTCTTCACGAAGATCAATTAACGTGAACTTAAGATGACAGATAAGAACACAGCTTTTATTAGCTTGTAATTTATTACCTTTCCGATCCAAAACGAATTTGTCAGCCAAAATCCCGGCTGGAGATCTTCAGCCTGGAAAAAGGCAATCAGTTAGATAATAAAAGAGAGTCATGTAAAATCAAACAAAAAAATCTCTAGTTGTTCTTTGGTAATAATAAAAGTAATATAAAGGAAAATGCCAAATATTCAGTATGCTTGACCCCAATTCAAAATGTCTAGTTTCCAGCCAAGGCCAGGTCATCTGTGTTGACTGTGTACGAGTAAGAAACTTAAAAAACTTTACTTTCTCGGTGCCACTCTCCACTCTGCTAATAAGGAGGAGTAACAAGACTCCTGGTCACTTCATGCACAGAAAACTGGAATAAACTCCTCTATTAATGGTTTCTAATCTTCTAAAATTAAAACCTATTTTAATTTAAGTTAATATTCTTCAAGCAAAGTTTAGTGTGAGTTCCTGTTTCAAAGGCTGACCTTAAGAAAGTTTTGAAGAGCCTCGTCAATAGATGATGATGGAGGTTCAGCTACAAATGCTGAGGCAGCTTTCCTCTGCCACCACGACAACATAGAAATCTGAAATAGAATTCAGTTTTATTAAAGCTCAGACAGATCTTGAATGAGAAAAAAATCAGAAAAAAATTCAATTTTAAGTTGCAAAGTTACCTCAAAACACCATCTTCCAAATAGATGATAGTTAGCAGGATCATCCCTGTTGAGTTTAATAGCTTCTTGAATATGTTCCTATAAAATAACACAGTTATCTCATATCACTGGAGTCCATGTCCTTCAAAAATTGCTACACAAAACGAGAAAAAAAGGTTTGTAAACAATTTGACCATCAAATTAAAGGTTAGATAATGTGAGTGCATTCAGATCTGTGCAAAGTTCAAATACTTTAAAACTAATTTAATTATTTTTTCCTCTACCTTGTATTCATAGCCCAGCAAAATCTGATCTTGTAAACTTTTATATTCTGTTGTGCTTCCAAGAATTATTGCATACCTATAAAAAAAAATTAGAAATACAATATTGGGTGTGGTAAGTATGTGCAACTTACAAGACACTGTGTTCTTCACATAGACATGAAAATCCAGATATTGAGGAGCAATTATGTTTTAATCAGTTACTTACCATTTGTGAGCATTTGGATTTTTTTTGTCCAGTTGAATTGCTTTCTTTGCCTCTGCAATGCCTTCAAATTTTCAGTTTGTCAGATTAAGGTATCAAATGTATATGATTACAACAAAGCTTCATGGAAGCACCAAAACAATTAGGTAAATTTTACAGAGTATTACCATCTGATAAGAAACTGAATCTTAAGTGGTTGAAATGCAATTCAGAGGCAACTGATTAATAGATGCTGGTCTGGTACCGAACACCAATCAGAAGGTAGTGCCGCATTTTCTTAAGAACACTTTTCAGGAAGCTGCCCTCCCATGATTTGCTGACTTTAATAATCAAATGGCAAGCATATAGGTAGTGGCTATACCTTCATATAACATGTTTTTTTTCCCATCAGCATCTCCACTTTTTCCTTTCATTGTTGCAATATCATAGCAAGATCTTACATATCTCCAGCTAACTTCACAGTGTTCATGTTTCTGTAGGAGTGAATCATGGTTACAAAATTATATCAGTCTACTAAAAATATTTATTATCTAATGAAGTATATGATTTTGTAATAAACATTCAATTAACACCCCTGACCTGTAAACACTCATGTAGAAGTCCATGAATTTTTTGCTTGGCTGCAGTCTCATTATTGGAGTGTAGCTGGTCTACTTCATCAATGATCACTTTAAGATGGTCAAAGTCCAAAGCACTAGATGTAATGCCACAAAATGAAATATCAGTTAAATCAAATGTGTTGAGGAGAGAGAGGTGGTGGCAGGAAAATTAGCCCACTGAACTCTCGACTCTAGACTCTGGGTCAAAAAATCTTGGTTTAGATCTTAATGTGTGTTTTTAGGCAAAACACTTAATTCTCACAGCACCTCTCTCCACCCAGGAGTATAAATGGGTACCACCACACTGTCAGGAAAGTCTGACAATGCATAGGGAGGTAATCTGCGATGGATCAGCCTCCCATTGATTTTGAAGAAGTGCTATCTAGGTTTGCAAACTGGAGTATGGATCAAAAGGTCCAGATTTTAGCCCTGAGAAGGTCCAGCAATTGTGTTATGTTCTTGGGAAAGACATTCTATTCCCACATTTCATATTAACCCAGTGAATAGTTTGGGAAACTTGTTGAAATCCTGATGTGCAAGGGGGGGGAGGTTAAACCTGTGAAGAACCAGAATCCCATCCAGGGGTGAGTGGCAAGTCAGTCTTAATTGCTAGGACAAGCTCTGGCAGTATGGGCCACTCGCCCCATGAATAGACCACAGAGTTTTTTTAACAGGTAAAGGCTAGCAGTTTCAAGCAACTAAACTAGCATATATGTGTAATCCGTTTTTCATGGGTAAAAAGCCTGGCTTATGTTACAAAGCCCAACAATTCATATTTTGAGACACAACGTTGTCAAAATATGATCTGCATTCCTATTTGTCGTTTTATTTCACAGCTATTGTAGGGCTATAAAAATTGTCACCTATCACCTCCTCTCTAAAGTTCGCTCGAATTGTAAGTCGCATTACCAGTCAGAGAGATAAAAAACATATTTACACTGTACCTGGAGGAAAGTTCTTCCCCGGACATTTCAAAATATTCGTCTTCCGTCTCCTCATCACTTTGTACAGTCACTCGAGATAGTTCATTCTTCAGTGGTACATTTCGTTTATTTTTCCCTTCAGTGAGGGTTACTTCAAGTCTAACCACTATACAACGAAGTTCTCTTATTTCGTCCCTCACCTCAGTGAGCTGAACGACAATATTTTGTTCTTCCTTTCTCACAGCAAGCCATTTCCTTGAAGCAGCCATTCCAGCACCTATTCCTATCCCAATTCCCAAGCCAATGGAGATTCCCACAAGAATATTACGTCCACAAGATGAAAAGAACCCGAAATTATCAAATAACTGCAAAGACGCCATCTTAGTTTCCTTTAGACATTTCCGCTGAAATCACTCCTAAATCGCGGGCTCCAAACATAACATCTCCTTTCATCAGGCGTTTGTCGCTTCATTCGCAACTTTCCGCTAACTTTGTGGCGTGTTTAGGACCTTAAAAGGCAATCATTATGCCTTATATCCTGATAAGTTGTCAGATAAGGCTGGTAAGATCTTCTTTGATAATCCTTCTTCTCAATTACTGTTATTCTAGTTAAATGCGTCTCTGAGTAGTTTCGTGCATTACCACAATTAGCCTGTATTGGCAATCACAGATTGTGACCGTGTTTGACATCATTTAGGCAAGTGGGCCCACAACCTGTGGGGACGAATTTTCGGACAGAGAATTGATGGAGTATTTGGGGGCCGAGCTGGTGCACACTTTTGGTAACACCTTGTGAGTATTTTTTGTGAATGTTTTGATCACATATAACTGTGTGGGGGATGGTAGGGAGACAAATGTCGATTGATATCAAAGTTGAATGTTAAATTGGAGGGGAACAGGGAACCAGAATCTTGGAAAGTACGCGCTAGGTAAGATACAGGAGATAGAAGAAGAAAGGTCCAGAGGTTGTAGCTGTATTTTTGGCATGACACAGGAAAGAAATACAAAGATATGGGAGCGTTTGTTTTATTATTACTCAGCAATGATTTCGTCATTGAGGGTGGGAGGCAGCAGTCACCGGAAGTGGACGTGAAAGGAAAGACAGCACGCTTCAAAATTTGATAGATTCCCACGGGCCCTGCTTCCCCCATCCGTTTTCACTTAGACAATATAGTAATCATACTGCTTAATGTCACCAAAAAAAATGTTTTATGCTCACATGTTCAGTAAGGAGTACATCAGCACTGATCCACCTTGTGCAGTCCTTAACAGACTGGAAGGTAGAGGATACAAAGTAATAGCAGCAACAGGTGTTGGTCAAACATTAGTCTGGACACTCTACAAGGACGACAACCAAGAGATTGTGGACAAAGGAAAAGCTGACAGGTATATGTAACTAACTGATAAAATAGGTTCAGCTTAAATGTTGTTTGCAGTAATGAACCAGCTAAGAACTAATAATTTCTTACAAGTATTGCCCATGCATCCCAGCAAAGGTAAATTGTCATTGATCAGGTGCTCTTCAGGATAGCTGATAGCTGGGTCTGTTCATTCTCAGTCACAAATCACTGTTAAGGCTTCACAGCAGAAGCACGAGTACATGTTTTTTACTTGGAGGCTTTCAGAACTAATTGAAAAGTATTGCATTAGAGGGATAAGATTTTCCATTTGCTCTTCAAAGTCTTTTCACATGTTCTTTATGTGTAACAAGTGTGGAAATGGTATGAAGACTATGCTTTGTACAGACAACTGACATTGTTTCTCATTTGATTCACAATGTAACAGTGAATGATCAATTTCTTTGGGCTGGGGTAATCCCTAATCTGCAGAACACTCAATGCAGATTGCTGAATTCCAAACAAGCATATGTCTGGTTTGCATGTCTAGTGGGCATTGTCTTTTGGTAATTAAAGCTGCACTGGAAATATAACATTATGTTGATAATCGTTTTTTTTTGCATTCTGCAAAGTATAGCCACCAGTGTGAATTATCTATAGCATTTTACCCATTGTTTAACAAGCATAATATTTCTCTTTTTTTCTTTTTCTTTTTTTCACCAGATAAAATACCTGTCTTCCAATGCATAACTGTTTAATGGAGTGTGAGACTGTACATATTACACAATGACTGAAGTTCTGTACAAGCAGTTAATGAATGATTAATAGCTAATCTTAATTATTTTTCACTGTAAAATGTCAGTCCCATGAAACCATGAAACACAGGAAATATTGTTAGAGGTTCTTTTGATGACAAGAACTTAAAAAAGTGAAATGTTTCTTCTATTATTTATTAGTATATTTAATACTGTAAACCTACTCAAAGAACTTTTTAAGGTGGAATGTTACTCAGTGTTGGTCATCTGTTGCACAACTTTAAGAGGAAATGTATAACTTGTTCCCATTACAGCCATGCAGCCAAGGAAAAAAAGGAAAACATAGTGGCACCTAATCAATTGTTAATAAAATAAAAATTCATATGCAGTCTTCAGAATTATTTAATATTTTAAAATATCTTCTTCCTTTTGACTACTCTTATACATTTTCACATAGCACCATTTTTCAAGAGTTTGATTCCAGCTACTTTCAGTGCAAAGGATTTTTAAGTTTAATGTGACTCAGACATGAAGAGAAGAAGATTTACGGTGTTCTAAATTTCTGTTCAATGTTTCTTCATTTGTTCAAGTTAAGCTAACCATGAGGCTGATTACTGTGCCACATATAGCATAAGGCTGAAAATGAAATCATGGCCTCATGGCTTTTAGCATATACAGCTATTTATCAAGAAGCTGGAACCGGCTTTCAAGAACTTCCTGCAAGGGGAAGCCCTGTCTTGAATTACCAACTGATCCTTCACTCGGTTGTCAGCGCTTTTCCTCCTCTTCCATTTCTCTAATCAATCGTTTCCTTTCCTCAAACTGGCGAAGTTTCATCAACACTACACTTTCATAATCTCTTTCTGATATGTTGCCATCTGACTGATAAAATTCCTCAGAAACCTGCAGTAATCAGTGACGTAGTACATCTAAGCCTAACTGAGAAGTTAGTCAATCAAGGGTGAATATCAAGACCCCCACCCCTCCTTCCCTCCTTACCTCAGCCAAACAGTGTATATTAGTAACTTTCAGTAGCAAGGTTTTAAGCAAGAGAGGCATGTCTTGGAGACAAGTACAAATCATTATGACCATCTATGACTGCAAAAACCCTACCTGAAAGATAGTTTCCATAAAGACAAGTCAACTCTCACCATGTATTTATCTGTAGCTTCACCAACATCTCTTGTTGATTTTGAAACCCCTGGGTCAGTTTCTGAACTTGCATCATTTGAAGATGGCTCTCCATCCAACCAGGAGATTTGTAGAGGGTTGTCTGGGATACCATGCTCATTCTCTACTGCAAGTTTCTAAGGTAATTCAAGAATATACTTACCATATCACTATTATTAGGTCACTCACATTGCAAATTCAAATAAAAACTTACAAAGAATATCATTCTCAAAAACCAGTTTACAATACTCACTGCACTAGCCATTGATGTGAACTCTGCCACAGCACTTCCCTTTTTATTGGAAGATACAATCACATAACTCACTTCACCATACTACAAAACCAATGTATGGAACAATTAAATTAACCCAGTGTTCTTTCATCCAAAATAAATGAAAGTACATTAACAGTAATTCCTTAAACATCTACTGTGTTGAACAACTTTCAAAGTAAGTACAGTACCTTTTCAAAGAGTGACCTGATCATTTCTTGTGTGTATCCACCATTGGTTAAATCAGATTTCTTGCTTTTCCACCTCACCTGGGCAGGTAAACAAAGTACAGATGCTATTTGATACAGTTTATGTGCATTTATGGTAGGTAAATATTTGTTTTTGTTTTTCTGCCTCATATTGTGGCACTAGATCTTAGACTTGTTGTTATTGCTGGACTTCTCTGAGCTTAAAGTGGTTTTCTTAACTGACAAACATATTCTACCACAAACTGAAGATTACAGTATGTTTATCACAAATTATGTGTAGTTATCCCTACATCATTAACCTTTAATTTCGGAGTGACATCTTGGTAGATTTTACTATCTTTATCAAATTCAACTTCTTTCTTTAACTGGTCTCTGAGAAGTTCTTGTTGTTCCTTTAAAAGCTTTGATCCTTCCTCTCTCAACCTATTAATCTGAACAGCAGATATAAAAATGAAACAATTTGTGTTTGATTAAAAGTTTGCTTAAGATAAAAGACCGTGAAATGACAATAAAGAAACTCACTTCAGCTTCCAAATTCTTTGCAGCTATTTCATCACTTTCCTTTTCTGTTTTGGCTGCATCCTCCCTTGCTTCAAGATCTGCAATAAAACTCTCAAATTTTACTTTGTACAATGTATTTTGTCATACTCCCCTTGATATCAGCTGATAACCATTATAGAAAACACATTTTCCTGCTAACTGCCAAAGAAAACATTGACATGATCTGAAAAAAAGCATTACCGTCAAGTCCCAACTTCTCTAAATAGCTTCTCTATAATTTTTTGGGGAAGGGGAGCAGAACAGGTTATCAGGGAATTGGATTATTCTATGATGTAGGTGTCATCATTTTTTAGTTATAAAAAAAAAGAACTCTATATTAGTGTATAGAGAGTGGTATGTTACCTGCACCAATCAGATCATTTGAGATATGTATTTCACTCCAATCCAATAGCCACATTAGGGTATTATCTCGCACCAATCAGAGCATCGGTTTTGTTCTTCAGTTTGAGAGGTATTCAAATTTCAACAAAGTAATGGGGGATTCAGAGAGAGTGGTTCGTAAAATGGAATCATCCTTTAGAATGAGAAATGTTGGCTTTTCTGTGTTTTTACATGTATTTTACCATGCTCTACTGCACAGCTGAAAGATATCAGATTACCTAAAGTAAATGTGTTACTCATGCTGTGGAAATGGTAGATAGTTGTTCAAGAGAAAGTGGAGTTCTGTGCACTGTAGCATGATCATGGTTATAGTTCCTTCATGATGAGAATGAGAGGAAAATTTTTTAGTCAAATGTTGCTTGATGTGTTGATGAGTTGCACCAAACATTTTGATTTGAGCAGTTCTTTGAGCGCAAGCTGTGTTGCAAGATTCATGATTTGTTGAGTGTGCCAATAATATTTTTCTGGATTGGTTTGCTCAGTGCTATCTCTAGATGAATGTCTGATTAAAATTAACTATGGACAATTTTGTGTATCTTTTCAATGCCTGGAGAAAGTGATCTTGTGGAGTCATTTGTGTTTGGCCAAGGATGAATTCAGATACCATTGTTAACATGTTTATTTGATTTTGTTATCTGGAATGAATTATTTACAGAGGTAAGTTAATAGGATGTGATCTACTAATGTTGAAAATATATCAAGTTGAAGGAACAATTTTGGTCTCGGTCCACATTTTTGTCAACGAAATAAACACATACCCTTTAAAAAGATGATAATACAGACCACATGCAAAGCTGTCAATTTTTTCTCGAATATTATGTGTGTTAAATATTCAATGGTGACATCTCATTGACATCTACATCTACATCTGCTTTTATTAAGTTGGTAAAATCTGTACAGACATCACACTAACCAATTTGCGTGCAAAGTGAGAAGACTATATGAAGGCTTGAAATTATTAAGATTGATTTTGATTGAGAAACAGTTGTGGAATATTCCACAACAGTGCAACTAATCATGAAAGCTGATCATGGAAAAGCAATTGTGTGACATTCAGTAAGTTGTAAGGTGACATGTTATCACATACTAGACAAAAAAACTCTTTAGATTCTCAGTCTGCATTTTATACCAACTCTGCAGTCTGCAGTCTACATTTTGTATCCAGTCTGCAGTCTGCATTTTGTACTAAAAGGTATCTGTGGCACCAATACAGTTTACTTTTGGTAACAGTTATTCCCACAACACACACAATCTACCACAAAATAACTGTGCATGAGTTAATTCAACATTTTTGTTCTTTTCCACATTGATACTCTTCTTTCCTTTTGTAAAAATGGAGACATCACTTACAATGTTTCAATCACTCCACCCACCCCCAAAAATAACTCTTGCATGCATAGCATGCCCGCATTTTATTTGCTTGTTCCAGTTAACAACCAGTAGTTGTTAGTTGCAACAACTAACAATCATTGTTTGTTTTTGACACACGGCTTATTATTCAAAGGACTCTTATCCTACCTTGTTTAAATTTTTTTCTCTTTGCATCCAAAGCCTGTGTTCGTAATCTTGCTTGTTCTTTAGCCTTCAGTACAGCATCATAAGCAGCTTTTGCCTTTGGATCACTGAGTACCTCCAATGCCTTTGAGAGCTCATGAAATAATTCAACTAAAAAGTGAAATATAGATCTACAGGTATAAGTACGAATAAAACCTATACTTATACTACTTCCTAAAGAAATACTCACTTCACTTTGATCAAAAATGATCACTGCATGACTAGTACTTCAACATTTGCACGAAAGTCTATATTTCTATATTATGCATTAACATAAATTGCATCCTTACGGGCTTGTGGGTTATCAGGATTCTTATCAGGATGACATTTCAGTGCCTTTTTCCTATAAGCTTTAGCAATCTGCAAAGCAAACCAAAAATAAAGTTTCTGTGAGCGGTACCAATTTGCAATGCAGTTGAGTTGTACAACAAGATAAGTTAGCGCAGTACAAACTTTACAAAATCCCCCTTGATAAGTTATATTCAATTCTTTCAGTAAAATTTTAATCATATAAGTTTTTACCTCTTTTAAGCTGCTTTCTTTGGTAACTCCAAGAATTTCATAATAAGTCAATTTGTCCGCCATGTTGAAAATTCTGACCCAGACCTCTCACGTCCTCTTCACACAGCCGTAATATAACGTGCAGGTTAAAATGGATGTAGTTAATGACTCGGGGATCAATTTTATCATTTATTTACAAAATTCTTGCGCCGATTGGCAAAAAGAGATGCTCTTCCTTTCAAAAGTTGGTGATCCTAGAAACTCCTTTCTGATCTATTTTCCAGTGGCTTTTCACTTGAACCACAAGCTAGGAGTGAGTGTGTTATGGACGGCTGTTCTGTCTGAATGGCTCAACTTAATTTTGAAATGGTAAGAAGGAAATGGCTCGTGTGCTATTATCTTGTGGTGTTAAGCAATCATCTCATTATTATGATGATAATAATTTATCTCATTATTAAATGCAAGGGCGTGGTTGTATAAATATGGGGACAGAAAGTTATACCCTTGGCTGAAATTAACTCCCTTAAGTCCCATGAGAAATTTCAGTTTTCCTGCTACTGCTGCTTAAGTGTCCTGGTGCTGGTGTCCAGGTTCCCACCTCTAATGAGAATCCTGCCAGATGACAACAGTCCATTTCCAATTCAGGACTGCCTTCATTCTGACAATCACATTAAGTGATTAGGATGTCACAAGTTATCTTATTCTACATGCACCATCATAAATTGTTTGCTAAGATGAATCACTGTGTCTGTTAGGATTCTGAGAGGTGACAGGCCATACTGGTGGGTACATGAGTCAGAACAATGGAAGAATGTGACACTTCAGCAGTTTGAATTGACTTGTGAAACAGGACCAGGCAAGTAAAGGAATTAGACCATATACCACCTCTTTACCTAAAAGTACAAAGATGCTTTTGAAATATCAGCTCACTAACCTTCTTTAAAATTTCACATCGTGTTATTGGTTGGTCAAGTTTATTTTGGGACTGATCCACAAACTTGCAATATATGGTTTTTCTAACTCTCAAGAATTCTCCAACATCCCCAAGTTTTTCAATCTAAACATACCTATCAGCCAGGCAGTTTGTTAACTGGTATATAAACTAGAGTAACATCAACAAGTCATGTATCTTTTGCACGGTAGATAATTTTGTTGTTACTCTCTCTCATTTCAACAGGGTCACCATCTGGTCATGCTATGGTCACCTCAGCTGTGCTATGCATATTAACATTGCATGTGATGAGCTCACTCAAGGAAACAATCTTACTTCAAACACATCTGTTGTTGAGATATTTTACAACCGTGACAGTTTGGAGTTTGTTTTTAACTGTTGTCTCTCTTGTGTCAGTCTCAAGAATATTCCTAGCAACACATTTTCCTCATCAAGTGGTACAGGGCACAGTAATTGGTGTGATACTAGCATTTTTTGTAAGAAAGAACATTTCTAAATTACTAAAAGTTGCCTATTCTTTTTCTTATTGTGCAGCTTTTTCCTTAGCCTTGGTGGCAATAACCTTAGTGTCACATGTTATCCTTTCATTCCTTGTATATGATCCTTCAATTTCGGTAATGAAAGCCAAGAAGTGGTGCATAAAGGCATCGTACATCCATCTGGATACTACACCATTTTATGCACTAGTTCGTGACTCTGGAGCAACTTTAGGATTAGGAATTGCTTTCACTGTGATAAGATTGATTCTTAAAACAAGGGAAAATAACTGGAGAGGATTTCAAACAACATTACTGACAGGAAGTCTAAAAATTCCATTGTCATTTTTTGTATTACAGTTATTGGAAGTGATATCTTTACCTAAATCACACCCTACGCTGTTTTATTCTGCCGGGTTCATCCGTTACTCTCTTATTTCAGTTGTTGTAATTTTAATTGTTCCAAGCATAGTATTACTGTGAGTGTTTTAAAAAAGTGAATTTTGAAGAGTTGTTTGTGTATTTGATTGATGCATATATTTATAATTATAATCATATTGATATTACATGACTTAGATCATAAGGATGGGTTTAACTATTATTATCTTTTACGCATGTCCAGATTAGCCTCCTTCAGTTCCTGGTGTTACATGTACTTTCGAGTGACAATTTGGTTTTGAACCTATTGTCGATGGCAGTAAAACTAATTTACGTGAATGTTAAGAATAGAAATATATAAATCATGCCATGGATGAAAGTAGCCTTTGCAAAGAAAGTGTTCCTTTTTAATTTTTTTTTTAATGCAAAAGAGGCAATGCATGGAAATGGAAATAATTTATGATACATTTAATGAATGAAGAGATGAAGAAATAAATGGATAAAATCAGAATGCTTTATATTTTAATAAGTACTGCGTGACATCCAGGTGTCACGCGTGACCGATAAGCGTGATAATTATGTTCGGGCGCGGGAAGATTGGAAAGGAGCGTGCTTGATCCCAGTTTCTTCATTTCACGGCTCGCCTCGGCAGGTAAGGCGAGGGTCCACGCAACATGAACGTGAGTAGCATTGAAATTTGAGGGTAATTCAAACATAAACCACTAGAATGTCTGCTAGGGAAGTTCACGGCAATCTTTACTACAACAGGTGTACACGGATGGCGACGAACAAAAGAAACTCTGGGATGAACTTAGCAAAGGAGTAGAAAGCTCACGATTAGTTGTTGTGCATTTGACGAAAGGAGACGAAGGTACGTAAGAATATTTATCGCGGACTCAGCTATTTTGACCTTCGGACCTTATTACCTTGGCGTAATTGTCTTTCCGAACGCTCTCTACTTTGACGAAATACTGATACGTGGGAATGAAAATTTTCTTTTTTCGCAAATTCGAGGTCGACGTGAAGGTATTATTAACAAGTGTGCGCTAGCTTGACACCTCACTGCACGGAATGTATGGAGCCTCCATAAATAGATTTGAGCTCATACAACCTTTAAATACGATTAATTTAAATACTTGCTAATGGCGTTAGAGTTTTAGTTAAAGATCTGTCCGGTTTTCAGTTTGAAAGCATATTAATACCTACCGCAACAAAGTTGTTATTGTTCGTGAAAACTCATTCAAAACAGAACTCAAAGATGGTCACAGCATCATAAATGGTGCGTGCATTGTCTACACAGTATGTCTTACGTTTCAATATCGCAGCTTCTCGTTTATCTACTCAAAAAAGCTTTGTACAGCGAACTCCGTTTAAAGTGATGTTACTTCACATGTTCACATAAGATCGTCTAGAACATACTAATTCTTTCATTTGTTTGGTATGTTACACATTTACTAAATGTCCATTCTAGGAATTTCCTTTTGAAGCCAGTATCACATAAAATCGATTTAGGTTGAAAAATATTAAGTAGATCACCTGATGAAGTATATTGTTGAATTTAAAACTAGATGGACTCCTGTGTGAGGGAATCCCCTTTTGTTCAAAATCCATCCACTAGCAGTAGAGTAGATTTGAACAATTTTAAAATCAGTATTTATAACCTCAAGGTTTTAAATTAGACATCCAATCATTATTTGAGTTGCTATTAGTGGAAAATTAAAAGACCCTTAGTTTTATTGGAACATCATGAAATAATAGATGAATTGAAAGCAGGGAGGCTGTGAGCTCATAAATACTGGTTGCAACTTTGATCATCAGGCCTAAAATTTGTTTTATCTCCTTCAGGGTTTGGTTTTAACATTCGAGGCGGAGTTGATCACCCTCATGTCGGGTGTGACCCAGGAATATTCATCACCACTGTCAGAGCTGACAGTGTGGCTGGGAGAGATGGGAGACTAGAACCAGGGGACAGGATATTGGCAGTATGTAGTTCAAGCAGGATTTTTTAAATAAATGAAAAAAAACTTAATCTTATAAATACAAAAATACACCTAATATTCCAACTACTAAGACCCAGTTCAGGGTTGACCACCAAGCTTTGTCTTCTGGCAACCTGTTATGGGTTCTTTTATAAAAGCTTTAATAAGGAAAGAATCCGATAACACTTTAACCTCCTTACCCTTTAAGGAAATTTAAAGATATCAGTGGAGAATATCAATACTAATATTGGGGTGTAAAAGATAAATCTTCAGCTAAGATGAGAATTTACTTTGTGTTGTAATTGATTTTGGCACCGCTGATCCTAGCAGAATGCAGGAGGTTCCTTGCATATCAACCTAGCAATGGCCTTGCTCAGTGGAAAGTTCTCTCACTGTTACTCAATGGTAGAGCATCTGGCTACAAAATCCAAAGGCTTGGGGTTTGATTCCTTGTGGGAAACTTTGATCTTTCACTGATTTTGAAAAACTTAACTTCGAAGAACATTACATATGGGTTGACATGGCTCTCAAGACTGAACACAATAAGGTGAATTACTTAAAGTTTATTGTGATTCTTTGTATTTTTTCAATAGCTAAATGCCACAAATCTTGAACGTGTGACTCATGATGAAGCTGTCAATGAATTCCACAAAGCAGAAGAAACTGTTTCCTTACTAGTGGAGAAGAATGCTGAGGCATATTTGTTGGTCAGTTTTGAATATTGTGTACTTTTTTGACTTGTTTCTCGATATTTGATTTTATGAAATATAATCTTTCTCTATACAAGTTGTGGGATGGCCAATGTGGGGTTACAAATCAGCAGCCTATTACTGGTTGTAAGTAAGGATATGAGGAACTATTTCCTCTATACTAAAAGTGTGGTTTAGTTCGTTGATTTTTTGGCCTATTTTGCAGTCAAACGAAGTCCCAAGCTCACCAGAAGTAACAGTGACAGATGGACCAGTAACACTTGAACCAGATCAGGAAGAACCCCCTAATGCAGTTATTAGTACATTAAAACATTTCTACAATTCCAACCTAGGAGCTCTGTCAATTGGATTGGCAATTGGAAGTTTAGCTGTCTATGTTGCTCTTCGAATTTATAAAGTTAACAAGTAGCACTAGAGATGATTAGGGATAGATACACAATTCTTCAGCCTTTGTTACCAAAGATCCTCTAAATGTGAATTCTCATAGCATGGAACCAGATCAAAAAACATGTGGATGTCAATGGCAAAAAGTCTTTTTTATTTTGGAATGTCTACAAAGCAATATTGACATTGATATGTGGAATTCTGTAGGGAGAAAATAGCTCATGGTTGCTTTAAAAAACTTAATCATTCCATGCCCCTGGAGCAGGGTGAATTTCTACATCAGTTGATACTCTGAAGGTCAGTCTCATAACTGGTAATCGTCAAAAGCTACACAAACATTCCAGCAACACAGAGTATACCTCTCACTGTTAAGTGGTTTGACGACACAGAACAAAGTGATTGGTTATTTCTTATTCTTGCAACATAATCGTTCCATAAACTGTCCCCTCATGTCCGAGGTTGCGTTTTAACTTTATGTCAGATTAATGTTATTTTCTTGGCCGGTTGATCATCCACATTATCATTTTACATGAGGGACTAAATAATATTACCCTAGCGCTGACATTACCGTTTCTTCAAGAACAGCACGGGAGGTTAAAGATGATTGGTTTATGTTGGGCTATTGTAGGTAGGCCTTTGTTAGCTAGATACCGTTCAAGTTGTTTATTATTCTCGCCTTTTGTTCTCCCCTCCACCTGTCATTAGAAATAGCTAAGTGATAAATTAACTTCATTCTTTTGAGATCGTCACCCATGGTTAAAAAAATTGAAGATGAATAGCCATTAGCTTTTACTCTTGATTCCAAATTTTTGTAGTTTATTTTGCATACACCAACATGGAAATAAAATACAAAATCCTCTTTCTTCGCCTCGCCTCTGAAATTCAATTGAATCACAGGAACCCCAATCTCGCCATTTAAGAGCGTTCATAGGGACGACCAACATTCAAGGCTCCCATGAACTGAATAGTGTGGCATTTACTGACAGTTTTTCCTCCCGTTTTTATCGTATCGTGGCAGTTACTACTGCTAAGGTTATTAAGCCTATTTCACAGATTATATGTTTATGATTATTTTGGTTACTGCATCGCTAAAATTCCTTTACGAACGGTTCCTCAGTTCCAAATCTGTTGTCATCACCGCACCAAGTTGACGTCCAGTGGCTACTAGATCATCCGCAAAACGTTGTTCATTTTTGCGGATGATCTAGTGGTCATTTTTACAGCAATTGAAAGTTAAAAGACGCCATTACAGCTATCAAATTTCAGATGTTGTTTACAAAACGCGGAGGGGTGAAACTCCTGAAGTACCAAATTAAAAGTACCAAATTAACAAATGCGGTGAATTTCATTGACACGCTCGGGACCTGTTTATAATTAGCAATTTTTGCACATGTTCTCGTATTACCAAGAACGTAAAACAAACAACACAACCAATCAGATTACGAGTAGCACAGGCATAGCTTCGTCAGTACAAACAACATCGCGTTTTGTAATTTTGTAGTTTATGATTTTATCGGTAATCAGCGTATTGATATAAGGAGAATGTTTAAGGTTGATGTATTCAAGACTCCCTCACTTTTCTTTCTCCATCAAACTCACTGCCTTGAGTTCGTAACATGCTAATTTAACGGCAAAACCATCATCACGGTAAGTACAAATTCTCGACTTCTGTCTTGACGCGACCTGTTAGTGTATGATTTCTTTCCCTGTATTGTAGGACAATAACTTTTCCTATCAAGTGAGCCCTTTGCAGGAAAACCGATCAAGGGCTGCTACAACTTTATGGTGAAAAAACATGGTTTTGCGGTTGTGAAATCAATGCACCTTTTTTTTTTTTCAAAATCTTTCCTTTGTTCTCTGCGCTGACATTATAGTGGCTATTCTTCCATCCCTTCAACGAAAAATGAAACAAAACTAAGCCTTGACACTTATACCGCATAAAGTGAAAATATTTTGAAAATTGAAGAGCTACTTGATCGTGTGAATGGAACAGGACAATATTGTTGGAACACATTTTTCAACAGCTTTGTTCGAAAAGAGAGGCCGACTGAATCTGCTTCGTATACTCGTGAGTATCCTGGCTCTGAAGATTTGAAAACAAAAATGTCTTTCGTTTTGAATTCATCTACTTATTTACCGATTTATTTTCTAACAGGCAAGAGAAAGAATGAAATCTAGCTATCGTTATGACGATGCAACGGAAAGAAGCTCTTGGTAGTTTGTTGAACATATTGACTTAGTTAGGCTTTCATTCTAAGAGCAGGTGAAAAATTAATTACATAAAAATTTCATGTACTCGCTATGGCTATGAGTGTTCTAACGCACTATTCCTTGTCACGAATGTTCCCGTTGTTGCCAGAGAGAATACGATCAATTATTTAAGACTTCTGTCTTAAGTACTGCAGTATTTGAAATCATCAATACGAACGGTTCCTCAGTTCCAAATCTGTTGTCATCACCGCACCAAGTTGACGTTCAGTGACTACTAGATCATCAGCAAAACGTTGTCCATTTTTGCAGATGATCTAGTGGTCATTTCTGCAGCAGTTGAAAGTTTAAAAGACGCCATTACAGCTATCAAATTTCAGATGTTGTTTACAAAACGCTGAGGGGTGAAACTCCTAAAGTATCAAATTAACAAATGCGACGAATTTCATTAAGACGCTCGGGATAAATTGGCAATTTTCACATTTTAGTCGCGTTTGTAACAAACTTGTCAAAACTATTCAGATGGGACACGCGTCAGTTGAAAATCCATCTCTGACAGGATACAACAATTCGCGAAAATTACTACTTGACAACGAATCTTATTTTGCGGGAGTTAGCGTTTTTGCGGAGTTTTTTCGTTCGGTCCCAGCAGAACAACATGGTGCTTTAGTATTGTTGGTGCACAACCAGCAAGCTTTTCTGCCGATAGCAGTTACTTCAAAAAGACGTAGACTAGCCTCGCTTAGAAGCTACTTTCCGCCGCAATTCTATCTACACGTCTTTTATAGTATGGCAGTTAAATGGTTCAAATAAACTGCATTTTTTGCCAACATTTGAAACCCTCTCAGACAGGACGTTAGCCCCTTTGTAGATTGACAAAATTGTAACCATTAGCAAAAAATTGGCAATATTCTTCCTATTTTACCCTCTTTGTTGACTGTTCAAAATTTCTTTGAGCAAAATAAGCTGTTGTGTGACTATGAATTTGTCGAAGTAAACTAAATGCATTTAAAAGGAAGATCTCAATCAATCCTCAATCCTTTATTTAAACACGTGACACCTAGGAGTACAGAAGTTCTCGTTAAAACGTGTACGTGTATGTACAATTAGAAATAAAGCATAATTTCTGTAAGAATACAAATAGTAAGTAAATCTATTAAAAAGCTAAAAACAGGATCGAGAATCATGGACAAGAGCTATCAATTAGAAGTTACAATATTAACAATATTAACAACAATAACGATATTTACAATCACTACCATTAAGCCATGTGGGCTTTAAGAGAACGCTTAAATGAAGCAATATCTTGAGATTCTCTGAGTCTAGGGGGTAGCGCATTCCAAAGTTTACTAGCTAAAAATGAAAAAGACCGATGTAAAAACTCAAGATTAAAAGGAGGTAAATCTAGCCTTGTACTGAGCCCGCGTAAACTATACGGTACATTTCTAAAATGAAAAAAATCACTTATATAAGGAGCCCCCTTATCATACAAGCACTTATATAACAACCAACGATTGGAATTGCCTACGATTCTCCAAAGACTTAATGTCGGCCAACTTGAGGAGGAAGTCGTATGACACAGTTGTTCTTAAACACCTTGATATTAAAAAACCTGTTTATAATTAGCAATTTTTGCACATGTTCTCGTATTACCAAGAACGTAAAACAAACAACACAACCAATCAGATTACGAGTAGCACAGGCATAGCTTCGTCAGTACAAACAACATCGCGTTTTGTAATTTTGTAGTTTATGATTTTATCGGTAATCAGCGTATTGATATAAGGAGAATGTTTAAGGTTGATGTATTCAAGACTCCCTCACTTTTCTTTCTCCATCAAACTCACTGCCTTGAGTTTGTAACATGCTAATTTAACGGCAAAACCATCATCACGGTAAGTACAAATTCTCGACTTCTGTCTTGACGCGAGCTGTCAGTGTATGATATCTTTCCCTATATAGCTGGACAATAACTTTTCCTATCAAGTGAGCCCTTAACTTAACTGTCAAGAGACGGATTGCACAGTCATTGAAGGAAAGGTCGATTTGCAATCGCAGCATGGTTACCAAGTTCTTATGTTTACTCAAGTGGCGAAGTTGAATTTTCAATTCTGTTATTTCATTTCATTTATTTTCCTTACTAGTTAGAGACCCATCCGGCGGATACATCAGACATGTTAACGGAGCTTTTCAGTGGAATCATGATGACTTTGCCTCTGCTCGTCATCCTTCATTCTGCGCAGCCTGGTGTACTATCTTCCATAAACAACTGTTTAACAGGAGGATTCTTCTTCGCTTCAGGAAGAAACATGATAAACAACCGTGCCCTTCGGGGTCACCTGTTACGTCAGATGACTGTAACACAGCCAATCAGATGCTTTGAAAAGTGCCAGTCTGACTGTCGGTGCATCTCGTTCAATTATCTGACCGATGTGAATAAAAATAACTGCCAGCTGAATGAGGAAAGTAGGTATACCAATTTCAGTGCGTTGAAGCCTCTAGAGGGATCGCAGTACTACGATCTAATCGTCAGCTATAATATTAGGGTAAGGAAAGCTTAAGGTGATTCCTCAATACTGCACACTGCATCTTGTACTTCACAGATTTCGAAATCACATAATCAGGCGAATAAGCGCGCGTGCATTCCGAGAACACGGTCGTGTTTTTTCAATTAATAGACCAAGCAAAGAGGTACGATGGTCCTTAGCTCTTGAACGAACACGGTGACCTACATTTTTTATTGTTTAATTTTGGTGTACAAATCATCTCCTTTAAAGTGGAGAAATTAAAAAAAAATTCAGTGAAGGAAAGAAAGATATAGCTTAAAACGGCACGAAACCTGCGGTTACTTCAGGATGCATATTATGACCTTGGAAGCAACGAATCGAGGAAAGTTTTGAGGAATTTTAGTGCTGTTCCTGCGAGTCAAATTTCACTTAAACGACCATAATTGGTACAGGAAAAAAGTGGTCGCTTGATGGACGTAGTCTCCGAAAAGAAAAAAGCACTACAAAAAGCCTTGCAAAAACTGATTAGAGAAGGTTTTAACTTTTGTTTTCTACAATGCATTGTGACAAAATTGTTTGGGGATTAAAAGTAACCTTGAAATAGCTGAAATGGAAAACTCTTCTTCCAAGTCTCCAATATCACTATGTTTCACATGCCATTTTAGGTCATGAACTTATTCTTTGAAACATAACTTTTCTTTTTTTATGTTTTTACCCTTTGGTTCTGAATAAACAAATTTGTTTAGACAAACGTCCCCTTGGCTGAGTGTTACAATGGATGTTGTGCAACTCAGACCTGCTTTAACGGTGGAACATGTCACGAGACTTGTGACGTCACAGGCAAGCGATTCAAGTGTTCATGCAAGCCAAACATCGTTGGAAAGTTCTGTGAAACTGGTAAGCTTAGTACTCTAGGTTTATATGAGGTTCTTAGATCGACATTGTTTCAACTTCCGTGGCATTTGAATGTCAATTATTACTGCAAATCATTACATCCGATTGGAGGTTATCGCTAACGAATAAACCACACTCCCTCGAACATTTCTTTTGTATCGAAAATAGAAAGAAAAAAGTAAATCATCGATTGGAAGCGATGAAGAGCTGTTCGAGACAAATTGGGCTCATCAGCCTGGTATCGCTAACATGATTATTTTAAGTTCCTACATAAGAGATGTAAGGATGTGGTCTCGGAAGGCTGGAACAACTTTGTATGCCCTCGAATTAGAACGCTACCTTCATATTTTCTTTTGGTAATAAAGACTTAGAGCCAATATACCATAATTACCATTGGTGCATGCACATTCTGTTGTTACAGCACACCATGTCATCATTTGACTGCTTACACAACAACTAACACAGTGTCACTTTCCACAGCCACATGCTCCACTCCTGGCTGGCTCAGAGTTAACAATTCATGCTATAAGGAGTTTAATGAACAAGTAAACTGGTTCACTGCTCAACAAGCGTGTCAAAACTTGAACAGCAATCTTACATCCATTCATTCAGATGCAGAAAACAAGGTTATTCGGGAAAAGGTTGCATCGTCAATTTATTCAAGATACTGGATTGGACTTAACAACTTAAGAAACAACTCCGTGTTTGAATGGAATGATGGATCTTCTGTGTCATTCACTAAATGGTATCCTGATGAACCAAATAATAACGGAGACGAAAATTGTACTGAGGTCGTGGATAACGTCGCTGGCGAATGGAATGATTTGAACTGTTATACTCGTTACAGGAGTTACGTTTGCGAAAAGCAATGGAACCTTTGAAGTCTTTCACTTTGAAGAACTTTACTTTTGATCACGATGCTCTCTTGTTTCAAGCCATGAATTTTATCTCTGTAGGATGTAAAATATCTCTCTTTATACTGAGAGAAGATGAGACCCCCATCTACCAAAGCCCAAGAAGGATATTGCACAGTGTCAGTAAATTTTGCTACTTTTTATAAATTTTACCTGATCTTGTCAGGAATGGGTTAATAATGAGCTAAATTAAAAGACCGAGTGACATGAAGGGCTTGAGGAGCGTCTAGCCCCACTGGGTGAGAAAAATCTGTTCAAACCCATTGGAAACATTACATTTGTAGTTTGTACTTTGAGTTTATCTTATCGCTCGTGTAATTTCAGTGCACCGTAATGATTTCTCCAAATATACGAGAAGTCAGTCTTTGAGATCTCAGAGCCAAGTCCTTCTCAGAAAAATAATGTAGTCAGACATCCCTCCATATTTCTCGACAAAAATGACCAAATTAAAAAAAATTTAAATCACGCTCTCATTTTTATTCTCTGGTTAAGAGAATTGCAAAGATCTTCGATTTCGTGTTGGCCTTTGAAAATTAATTCTTTCAGATGCTCTTTCATAGTCAAGGGTTTCGCCTGAGAGGAACAGTCCATCGTATAATGTTAGTCCAGGTGGGATGAGAGTCGTCCTCAAAATAATTATGAGTCATTATCTCTGAAAAATAAACTGACGTTTCGACAACCTGACCTCCATCATATGGTTAATTGAGGAAATGCGTGGTGTTGGGGGATAATTCGTGATAATAATGCTTTACTTTTCAACAAACGTTCAACACACTTTCACGAACTAAGTCAAAATTCTCTATTCAACGCTTTCCGAGCTCAAAAATAATCTTCACTCCCATTCTAAAAAGTCTCACTGACTCCATCAAATGACAGGCCGTCATTTCGACATATATAACAGGCTCTTATCTGTGAAGGGAGGGATTTTTCCACATGGTAACAAGTACTAAGCTTTTCGCCATCATTGCCACAACGGATGATACTCCATTGATAACGGAAACTGTTATGTTCACGATAAAAACGTATAGAGGTACATCGAGGTTGATTTCAAGGCAGTAACAGTTCCTATCGAGGGAATGATTTAGCGAATTCCTAGCTTCGTAAAAGCTGTAGCTGTTGTTCATTTCTGTACTTTATGTCTCTTAATTAATGTTGATAACAATTGTCAACGGTGAACAAGTCGACTTTTCAATACCCATAACCACCTTGAATGTTCTAGCTTTGAGAAAAAGCCTCTGAACTCTACGAGTTCACAAGCAAAAAACTTCTCATCCTCATTGTGTTTGTACCTTTAATTAAATTTGCAATTATCTTTGTAAGTGCGCTTTATTTCACTACCTCGCCTCAGTCCAAATAAATATTCCCCTTATTTTCACCACTGAGGTGTTTCGTCGACAGCGCGTTTGAGGAATTTCATTGAAGACTGAAAACTATTTGATCGATGTCGTTTTTTATATATGCCTTTACGAGTTATCTGTTTTTTGATTAGGAGAACTTACCACACTATTGACGGGGCCTTCGAACATGTGTGAAACGATATCAGTTAGGGAGGCACGAATGAATTATTTGCCGAAGCTTCGATAGCGAAAAGACAGCCCTGGTTAAATATTATTTCAAGTTCGATAAAGGTTTATTAGAACAAAATAAACTGATATGAAAACTTAAGAGGAATTGGCAAAATACACCTTTCAAGGTGACAAAACAATTTGGCTTATTTTCTTATAGATAGGAATGCCTCTTTGAAAATTTCCATTAACTTTCATTTCTAAAGCAGGAAATTAAGTTAAATTATGTTTGTTTGATTGGAAAATGTATCCTTTTGAGAAAGTGAAGGTTGAAAAACAAACCAAGATATTGATATTTGTATTAATGATCTTATTCTTTAGAAACATTGTTACTCGGTAGTAAAAATGGAAAACACTATTTGCTGCAAATTTTGAATAATAACCAATGGTACATTGCTCTTTGAGAAAGCAAGTGAGGAATGTACTAAGAGAACAGTTTAAAAGAAAACAGTTAATTAACTTTGAAGAAGAGAAACACTTACAAAAGGTATTTATGGGCAGCAAGAAAATCTAAAACAAATACAAATCACATTTTTTGACAAATTTCATTTAAATTTTTCGCGAACGTGATCGTATTTTGCAGGTGTCTGTGTGGGCCTGAATTGAAAAAGAGAGAAGAAAAGATCTTTTCGAGAGAGGGATTGATATGACAAAAATCTGCGGGTATTACTGCGTTTAGTTTAAGAAATGAGAAACACAAAGAATGCAAATTTAGCACACTCATAAAATAGTCAGACAACTGCACCGTAAACGATCGATATTCCCAGGCTTACAGTGTGAGATAATCAATTATAGTTCCCAATCTTTTACCAAGATTGCCTCGAGAGTTTGGTTACTGTTTGTATGTAGCTGACAACTTCTCTTGGTTGAAATCCCGGTTCCTGAACCTACGAGCCATTACTGTGCTGGAGATAATTATTTTAACAAAGTTTGAAAACGGAGCAAAGTGACAGTTTGAGCCAAAGGGAAATAAATTACAGAAAAACTTCTAGTTCGCCGTTTGCAATACTTTTCAATCCTCCTCCTTTTAAGCTATATCTATTCCTCTCTTTCTCTTTTTTTTCCTTTTTTTCCTTTGAATGAAATATTGAATTTGAATGGACGGATGTGGGGGAGGAGGTTGTGAATGACTGTCCCCCACGTACTCTGTCCGAAAATTCAACTTCTTGACATTTAAACCAACACAGTTTCAGTTCTCCAAGTCACTAATCAATACTTATCGGTTACCTTTGCAACTTTTCAAAAGTCTGAAGACAGCTTTCCGTATTTCCCGCATTCTACAGCAGTAAAATATTGGATTAAGAGATGAATTGATGTACACAATGGTGGCTGCGACACCAAGTATCACATGCAAGTCTGTTGTGATCTTACCTTCTATCGTTATGGCAACAAAGCACCAGAAAAGTGGAGTGTAACATATCAGGTACAAGGCGAACAGGTATGTCATGGTTAGAGCTGTCTTAGCTCTCGATGTCACTTCCAGGTTTCTGACCTGATTGGATGTCACGTTACGGTTGATATCCCGGATCGCTTTCTTGTGATGACGCGCTAAGAGAAGAATTCTCAAATGCAAATAGCAATTTAGTACCAGAAGCAACGGGATGATCACGTGCGCAAGTAAACCCAAACCTGATTCTACGAATCGCGACAGTGCTGAAGATGAAATGAAGATCCAACAGGAAAGCACAACAAATAACACACGATTCTTTGTAACAATGGCTTCGTACCTCAGTGGATACATTAAGCAAGTGTATCGTTCCACACTTAGACAAAACAAATTTAGAAATGTCGCACCAGCCCCAATAGCACCAAATGTCTCAGACATGAACCACAGGAAGCAAGCTCTGGAAAGATTCACGTTTCCAAACCCCACCTTGACCATAAAACTGGTTTGCGAAAACAGCCCCACAAAGAGATCTGAGGTGATTAACGAACAAAGCAGACCATTCTTCGGTGAATGTAGTGCTGGAGTTCGTATAATAGCGCACAGAAATATTGAATGTGATTGCTGTCGTCGACGTTACTGCATTTGCGGTGATGAGGAGAAAAGCAATTTCTCGCTTGTACCAGGAAACATCGGCTTCCAGATCTAGAAATGTACAATGCTGCACAAGATCTGCAGTTTGATTTCCTGAGGGCGGTAACCCAGCTCTACTTTGGTTAATTGATAGCATAAGAATTTAAACATAAGCGTAACTTGAATTATAGGAGCTTATTCGGTCTCGTTGTAGTACAAGAACAGCATGGAAACTTTGTAAATTCTTCGCTGAAAAGAAACTAACGCACTGATTTGAAAGAAACGATTACGTTGAATATAGATTGTGCAATGTTTACAGTCGAAGTGTCATATTTCAAATATCTTTTCGTAAAAGTAAATAAAATTTATTTATTATTGAGTCCGCTATGTTTGTTTTTCACCAAACATCTACTTCCTTTTTCAATCAATAGTGAAGTATTTTAATAACTTTATACCGCATAGCTAAAAGATTATTTACACTCAGAAAAATCGAACAGATGGAGTTTCACACGATTCTCACAAAATACGAGGACGATTTTTTGTAAATTTCGTCTGTTGCTTACGAGATTAAATTAAAGTTGACCTTCGAGAATTTTCCACCCATAGCTTTGGATCTTAAGAAATAGGAAAAAAAATCAGTGGCGAATTGTGATTTGAAGAGGATCTGGCTTCCATTTCTTCTTCTTCTTCGTCTTCTTCTTCTCCTTCTTCTTCTTCTTCTTCTTCTTCTTCTTCTTCGTCTTCTCTTCTTCTTTTTCCTCTTTTCCTTTTCCTTTTTCATCCTCTTCTTCTTCTTCTTCTTCTTCTTCTTCTTCTTCTTCTCCTTCTTCTTCTCCTTCTTTGGCTTCCTCTTCTTCTTCCTCTTCTTCTTCTTCTTTTTCTTCTTCTTCACCTTCTACTTCTTCCTCTGCTTCTGCTTCTTCTTCTTCTTCTTCTTCCGTTTCTGCCTCTTACTTTTATTCTTCTTCTGATTCTTCTTCTTATTCTTCCTCTGCTTCTACTTCTTCTTCTTCTCCTTCTTCTTCCTCTTCCTCTGCTTCTGCTTCTGCTTCTTCTTCTTCTTCTTCCTATTTTTCTTCTTCCTCTTCCTCTGCTCCTTTTTCTTTTTCTTCTTTTTCTCCTTCTTCTTCATCTTATTTTTGTTCTTGTTCTTCTTTTTCTTTTTCTCTTTCTTCTTTTTCTTCTTTTTTCTTTCTTCTTCTTCTTCTACTTCTTACTCTTTTTCTTCTTCTTCTTCTTCTTCTCCTTTTTCCTATTTCTTCTTCTTCTTCTTTTTCTTCTTCTTCACCTTCTACTTCTTCCTCTGCTTCTGCTTCTTCTTCTTCTTCTGTTTCTGCTTCTTACTTTTATTCTTCTTCTGATTCCTCTTCTTATTCTTCCTCTGCTTCTACTTCTGCTTCTTCTCCTTCCTCTTCCTCTGCTTCTGCTTCTGCTTCTGCTTCTTCTTCTTCTTCCTATTTTTCTTCTTCCTCTTCCTCTGCTCCTCTTTCTTTTTCTTCTTTTTCTCCTTCTCCTTCTTCTTCTTATTTTTGTTCTTGTTCTTCTTTTTCTTTTTCTTCTTTTTCTCTTTCTTCTTCTTCTTCTTCTTCTTCTTACTCTTTTTCTTCATCTTCTTCTCCTTTTTCCTATTTCTTCTTCTTTTTCCTATTTCTTCTTATTATCATTCTTTTCCCTCTTTTTCTCTTTCTCTTTCTTTTATAATTTTTATTTTTAATTCTTGGTGGTCATACATCTAATTACTACAATTACATTTTTCATTATCCCTTCGAGTCCACATGTGACTTTACACAGGGCTGATGCGCACGCTATGTTAGTGAAAGGATGAGATGGAGGGGTTAGTAATGCAAGTGCGCTGTCAATCAAAGATTGAATGAAGTAAAACTCAAAACGATCAGGACTGACCCCTGATCTTTGTGTATGCATGTTTTCCTTTTATCAAAAGCAATTTTTTTGCCTCATTTTGAGAACCCGTGCACCATTCAGAAAAATGGCCCACAACATACGTTTATAATTATGCAGATCCTTTAAAACAATGATTGTTAACACGAGGAAAATTTGCATTTGAATCATTAGAAAGGATGAGTGCAGATTTACTGAACAAAAGCCTTGCACACTAACACAATGTATTTTTAAATTACAAAACTGTAAAGGAAAAAAGAGGTGACAATAGATACAAAGTTCTTCCTTAAATTTTGACGTGCAATAAATACGATATTTCATCATCTTATTCAGTGCGTGCTTAACCAAAGGTGAACCTATTGTTTCCGTTTAAAATACTTTTGCGCGTCAATTTATCGCTTTAACATTCGACTATTGTCATACTAACGTCCCAAGAGCTAAAAGCTAATTTTCGTCATTGAAAGCATTACTTGATGTCCAAAATTTGGCGTCAGTTTGCTCTAATAGAACAGGTTTTCGTTCGCACGTATGCTGACGAAAAAAATGAATATTCATCAACGTTTTATTTGGTTCTTGTAAATTCAGAAAGATTAATCTAGCAATACGACAGCTTTTTGTTTCTTTTGAAAAACCACCTGCAGTGAATACTCAGAAGTCGAGCTTCGCGGCGAAAACTAAATCGACATTTGTGAGGAACGAAGTATGAAGCGTTGTTTTGAGCCGAGTCAAGCTCAACATTTTTTTATTCTCTGAAATTTGTTTGGTATTTCCTCAGAATTTCTTTGGACTCATCCATCGATGAAAATACGTCGAGTTTACGAACAACTTTTGAAGCAAGAAAAGCGAACAGTCCTCCGATTGAAGTGTCTTTCTGGAGCAACAGCCTTTATTGTCTTCGCTGTGTTTCTCACGACGTTTCTTAGCTCAGAAGTCGTTCGGAAAATTGCTAAAGGTTTTGGTTTTGAGGAAGGTGGCTGCGTTGTACAAGAATCATATTTTACTGGTAGCAATGTTAGCTGCGCATGTGGAATGCACACTTGTTTTAGCCTCTATCCTTGTTTACGGGTCTTGGTAAAAATGACTGCGAAACGGACTGAAGATGCTGAAACATCTACGCCAGTCCTTCTGCATAACACCATTTACGATATGGGATCTGAAGTAAGTCAAAGGATGCCTGTTCTTCTGAGTTAACATAATTTTGCGTCTACGCACGGTTAATTATTGTTCACAGAGTTGAATAATACGTGGTAGAAAACGGAACACTGTGTTTTAAAGAGCATGTAGAATGAAACTCCCGGGCTTAAAGGAATTCCTAAACTTGAAAACAATTTACGTATGAAAGGATTTTCAAAATTTTTTCGTGTCAGCTTCATATGCCAACGCCAAGACAATTTAAACAAATAATCGAACGGAAGACAGCCTAAAGAAGTACATCGATCCCAAGTTTTAAAAACAAAAACATATCTACAAGACTCTAAAACCGTTCAGTCCAAAAAAATTTCAACTTGAAATCTAAATTATGAATTGAAAAAGTGCAACTAAAGTTCAAACACCAATTTTCTAGACCTTCTTTCAACAAGGAACTGCAAATTGGCTAGACTATCCCGTTTGTTTACAATATAACCTCAGACGATTTATGCAAAAGTATAATCACCCATGGTGTTTCATTATGTTAATTAGAAAACAAAATACTATCTGTTCGCGATAGCTTGCTTTAGTTTTGAAAAGCTTCCTTCGTAATAATTTATGAATCATTGATGTAGATGTTTTCTTCAATTTCAGTGTACCTACGGGCCTCCTTGTGAGCCAAATATCACTAACAACTTCGCTTCTGTGCTCAAATACAAAAACTCCAAGGGACAGCGGGATCACCTGTTGCAGTGCTACTTTAACCCGAATGATCCCACAGCGGTGATATTAGACAAAAGTGCACATGAAATGATTGCGTTTCACGCCATGTTTTGGCCATGTTGCGCATTTATAATCGGTCTGTGTATTCTGCTGAAGACATATTACATGAGGAAAGCTCACAAAAAGCAGGATGTTGTAAAGCCACAAGACATTGAACTTGGAGAGACACATCTCACCTCTAATAACAACGTTTATAATTATCATTTCGTCAAATGTCTTGCGGAATAACTGAAGAGGTGTATCATATTATTTCATGCGAAAAATAAATTGTAAAGCAGAGATTTAATAATTTCGGAGCATTGAGTATATTTCATTTTGTCTGTTTTAGTTCCGGTTGTTCGTCTAAACCTAAGAGACCAATAAAGAGATTTTTATGAAACCTTGGAGTTCCCTCTCGGCCCTGAACTCTTCCTTCTTTTGTTAGCGCAAGAGTAAGATCGCGGAAATAGTAGGATATCAAGGGCACCGCGGTTCAAGCATCTCGTTGCAGCCTAAGTGTCCCTTAAATGCATCCATTGTTCGAAGTGCAAAACACTGACATCCCAATCGTAGTCCCATTCGCTGTTAGCGATAAGAAAGGAACCAAAATATTGACCGTAAACTTCAATATTCTCATTGTATATTGTTTCTTTGATTCGTATATATAACTTTGATCCATTTATTACTCCAGTTTTTTTTATATGCTTTTTAAATAATTTCGTTTTCATTAATTATTTCAATAATTCGTCAATATTTTAAAATGATAAATCTCTTTAAAAAAATAACCTTAAATAATTATCATTATTATTATCAATATCATCATTATTGAGATAGGTGAATATTTATAAGGTCATCAATCGTTTAGTTCTCGATAAGCTTTACACTAATTAGTGCTCTTTGTATTAAAAAGAATAGTTATAATAGAAGAGATCTATTTAGAAATAAAAAAAAATCCTGGGGACAGCAGATTGTTAGAGAGAAAATCCTCCTTAAATACCTTCGTCCAGAGAAGCAGCGATGCAACGCGATAGTGAATTATCCCCGTTGGCTGTTCAAATGCTGCCCATATGTAATTTACAAAATTATCTTGAAAAACAATACGAAGGCAAAAGTCGACCATTTTTCACCTTTTCGGGAGTAAGTGATCTAATGCAGTGGGAAGAAGTTGTTTATACAAAGTCTGAGCGAAATGAATGATTCCTTGAGGACTGACAAGCTAAGCAACACGGGAACAATAATCAGTGATTTTTTTTAAAAGTTTGCATTTATCTCCGTCTAAGCAATTGTTGTCCTTTTTAACAGTTCTTTTCAATGTACTTGTACACATTTTCGCTAGTCTTTCTCTAATTTGTCTTTAAGAAACCTGAAATATCAGCCTCAATACAAGCCCCATAGCCTTCACGATGGTACAAGCTAAACATCTCGGGTGTAAAGAACTGATTAGCGGTGATGTGATGAGGAAATGACCCTTGCAGAAGGTTAGACATGTACTGGCAGCTCTTTCTATGGCAACACAAACAGCAGCAACCTGTCAGTCTGTCAGCTTCGTGTTCAGTAATCTCAGGACTTCTTCCCCATTTCCCTTGGTCTAGATCTCCCAGCTTGATATCAGAATTTTCCCACGATTTTGGTTGCTGGGTGACAATTCTCGCAAGAGGTATGCTCTCAGATGGGTGTCTGGGAGCAATGAAGAGTATTTCTCCCTCTCCTGTTTTGTTGTCATCCTCATCATAATACTGGACTCGGAATTGGTAGCTCCGTGGTCTTTGTTGTGAATTAATTTTCAAAAAATTAACTCTAATATCTTCCTCGATATCTCTCCCATTCACTCCAGTAAATGAGCAGTGTAATTTCTGCCTCGCCATTCTCAGAGCAGTAAGGAGAGAATCGGCGTATTTATGACCACCAGGGTTACAGGAGCCATCAAGTATCACAATTTTCTCCAGCTTTCTGTCAAGTAGTGGAAGTAAGGCCAGGTTTTCAAAGTGTCCTCCATCGCTGAGTCGCAGTACTGGCGGAGGATTAAGTCCAACGTTATTTATGTTTAGAAACCCACGAAGGAAGCGAACGTAGAAAATGTGAGTAACACACCATCTGAAAGAGAAAATATAATGAATCATGGTCATTTGGAACGGCAAAAAACATAAATGAAAGCATTATTTTGGCAAAATCAAATAGAATGAGGCCGCTGATTCCACAGTATAAGGAAGCGTAAAAGTTAACTCTGTCTCACTTGTGGTACACAAAATTAAAGAAGCAGTGACATCCAGCACTATTAGAGGATACAGATTTTGTGATCTGTTTGGTGCAGCTGTGTTTGATACATGCTGATAGCATTAATGACGATGGTGCTCATTCAATCTATTAATAAATAAATGATGGAGTTATTCATCATAATACTGTCACAGTCATGGAAATAGTGATCTAGATGGCCGTCCGTGTTGGCCAACATAATGATGATGACACTGATGGTGAAGTGATAGTAGATGGTGCTCTCGGTGGTAGTAAAACAGTTTTAGAAAAGCACCTGACTAAGCGCTGAATTTTTCCCGGTTGAGTCGACCCAGTATTGAGCGCAGCCAAACTTGCAAGTGCCACAACTACGGCGATGTGTAGGAGTACTAAGAGCACCACACAGTCTTTGCTATTTCCAAGCCAGTAGACAAAGGGTAAGGCCATCAGTGGAAAAAAGCAGGCAATTTCAACCAAGATTGGTGTCACGTACTGAGGAGAACAAAACATTACTTGTTAAGATTGAGTGTTAGCTCCTTTTGCATAAGGTCTTAAAAGTATGCTGTGGTACCCAGGATAGATTCATTAGTGTCATATGAGGCATAATAAGGTCTTGAATATTTCCTGTAAAGAGCTAAATATTAGAAGGGTGAGCAACCGAGGTTCAAACGCTGAAGAAGAAAACCTTCCTCATTACGTTAAGATCGCGTATATACAAAAAGTTTTGCTAAGTTGTCTCCTTCCCCTTTGGTCTGAAAACACGACACAATTTCGTTGAAGTTATACACACACCTTTTCACTGCAATTTAATTCCTCTTCAGAATGTTCGCCATACGCCAGTTCATCTCCTAAACTTATTCCTACCAAAGTGAACAAGTCAGAGACCATATCAAGGCCATTCTGAAAATCGTCTCCCATATCAAAGCTGACAGCAGCTCCAGATAAGGTCATTGCAACAGATAACTTCATGAGGCGAGAATGAGGACAAGCGGCAAACGTATGTGCAGCAATCCCTGTATTTTCTGTATCGTTGCCGATAAGTTTCGCTCCATCTGTTGAGAATGACATCAATTGGTGACGTGAACCGGCACCCTTACCAATTTGCCAACCGTTAACTGTGATATTACTGATGAAAGTGGGTGAAAGACCCTCCAAGTCCTGAAGCGACAGCTCATCTTCCATCTCACAAGGACAAACCCTCCGGAACTCGTTTCGTTTGATGTACTTTAGGATACTTTTGATTGGCTCCACACACCAAGGAAAGACATCTCCATGCCGAAGTTTTCCTCCGTATCTAAAGAAGGCGTTGGACAAACGATACCTAAAACGGGAGACACCTATATTAAGTTATCTGACCAATTTTCTTTCCAGAGATAAAGGAAGGAGAATGAAGTCTCTTACAACTGCTAATACTGAGAAAATGAGACAGAATTCTAGTTACTTCAACCAGGTTTGAAGAACTATGAGTTAAATTTATTCTTTCGTTTCTTCGAGCTTATGATATTTAATTACGTCATGCCAATTTTCTTTTAGTGAACCACGAAAGGAATCGAATATAACCGGTAAGAGTTCACGATTATTTACGTATCACAAACCTGTAGTATACATGGAACAGAGACTGCTGTAGAGATCTAATGTATGGAAAAAATATGAAGGCCAAGGCACACATCATCAAAGCTGGGTAAAACACGTCATCGGAGTATGGTACATTCCCCATCAAATTTATCTTGAAGACCTTCCAGCTCAGGATATAAGTGTACATGTAAGAACGCAGGCAAAAACCAGCGCTATTACGGAGAACAGGAATAAATAAAGGAAGCCCGACGCTAAGAGAAAAAATGACAAATCTCATCCACATTTGTGAGGGCCACAAAAAGTCATGTGCAGCCCAAGGAAAAGCAGTAAAGGCAAATATCAATCCACTGAGTGTTGATAGGAGTCTAAGGGGGCCTTTGTAAAGAGCCAGGCCTTCCTTTTTCGACAACACATAACACACAAACGAAACTATTGCTGTTGTTGTAAACAGTAACACCCGTCTGACAGGTGGATGACAGCCATCAAACAGTTCCAGCATCAGCACCGAAGACCAGGCATCCGGATGTTGGAGGGAGTGCAAGGAAGTACAGTTCTCCCGTAAAACGTCACCAAAGAAACAATCCACAGCTACGGCAACAGGAAGTGCATAAGGCAGCCACATCATGCATGGCAAAATGCACGTCACAAGTAGCCCGATTTGTATAAGTAGCAGGGATTGAAAAATTCCTAGAATGGGATTTTGCCAGTTGCATAAGTACCCAGAATTAGCTCGCATGTGTTCAAAGAACTCCTCGTGCCACTCCTTGGTGTTATTTTTGGAGCCATGGCGAAATTTCCAATCCATAAAAGCAGCACCAGTGTAACCTCCCCCGGAAACACAGCTCAGATATTCAAACGGGACGTCATCTTGTAACAATTTGCGCAAAGCACCGGAACAAAAGGCAGCCGAGCGGATACCTCCCCCAGAAAACGCGACCCCCGTGCTACTCTTCATCGTTCCATTGGCAGATCCACACTTGTTGATCGATGCTGTATTTAGATCACTGCTCTGATGAAAGATCCTTGGCTGAATACCACGAAGAGTATTGGGGCAGTGCACCCTCACTGGCGGAACCTCGCTGAGTGGAATAATAATTTCTCCACCAGTTCGGGAAGTGCTCTGCGGTGCAGCATTAACGTCCATCTGTAAAAAATGTTTATGAGAGCTGCGTCATACTTTTTTTGCCATTTCCCATTTTTGTACCGAATCTGTTTTACTCAGTCTTGAATAATCTGATTCCTTCTCTGTTTCTTCCTACATAATTGGTGTTTGTCTTTCAAAGGAAACTACTATTTTAAGGTTTTCTCATTATTTGACGTTTCTATGAAATTAAAAATGACCAAACTATCCCAACCTAAAGCAGCTTCCGAAAATTACACTAAAGGGACTTCTCAACTAAGTCTAATTCTAATTTTATTCCTTAGCATTTTTTCCCTCCGATCTCAGGTGTCACGCAATGCCCACTTGAAAGGAGAGATGTGCGTTGTGTGAGATCCTAAAAGGGACTAGACTTTCTCAAAATAGAAGAAAACCAATATTTTGGGTTTAATTACGCAATAGAAGACATGAAAAAGCCTTTTTTCATTACGGTTGTTTTTTTCCAAAGTAAAAGCATAACCCCCATAAAGCTTTGTCTGTTTTATCAGGTGGCCTAATTGTCACGCAAATTCTTTTGCTTCTGTTGCGTGACAAGAAAAGAACTATGGTCGAAGGCATAACATACAACATATATCCCACCCGAACTTAATACACCCACCCTACCTGACCAATCTCGGCCATTCACTCGACTCTTTCAGTGTTATGATCTCTTTGTTACTGAAAAAGAAACCAGATTAAAATAACAACTACAATAAGAAGATGCTGTAGGCTAAAACGTTTTGTCTGATGATGAAGACCACGTATTTTGTGAGAGAACCTAATAATTGTAAAAAAAAAGGGCAAGTTTTAAAGAATATTATGACATTGACTTCAGATCGATTTAACAGTCTCTTATTATTCTGGGTCGCTTTCATAAATTCGCTACTATTCGTGGATCTGAGAACATTCGAAAACAAATCGATTATTTTTCACGCGCACGAACGCGTCATATCACAGTTTTATCAATTGCGCCTTTGTTGCTTCGCAATATAATACTGTTCAATATTTTCTTCACATGAGTCGAGCCTCACGAAAATTTAAAAGCGTATTTCAGATGAAAATACAACATTTCAGGCGACGGAAGGTCAATTCTAACGATGAATTTTTATACATTTGAATTAGACCCTGTCTACTGTCAACTGTTTCCAAAATGAATTCATGAGTCAAATCTGTCAATCGAAAATTTAAAAGCGTATTTTTTAAGATGAAACTAAAGCATTTCAGGCAACGAGGGGATTTCTAAGAATGTGATTTTATACATTTGAATTAGACTCTGTCTACTGCCAACTGTTTCCATAATAAATTCATGAGTCGAATCTGTCAATCTTTCACTTGCACGTTCTGTCGCTACGTGAAAGGCTTGAAATTTACCATTCTGGCTGAAAATAATATGTACTAACCTTCACAGCGTAAGTGGGATGCTGCCATTTTAAATATAAAATAGTAAACAATTATCTTTCTTTGTATTCAAGATATAAAATTTCCTCGGATGCGGAGACTGAATTACAATCAGCGAAACTAATGAATGCGAATAACTAGTCAGAAATTTGAATACAAGGTAACACGTGCTCAAAGATTCCTCTGTAGTAGCTTGTACAGCTTCAACTTTCGCCTTACGAGAGACAACAAAACAAACACTTCAGGAAATTGTTGATTGCAAACAGAGAGAAATTCATCATCGATGACCTATAGAAGAAGCCGTTTGTAACCAGCCCTTGGGCAAACAGTAAATTATATCATGACAAAACATCACCTACGTGGCATTTCAGGTGAATTATGATTCCTTATGAACAGTTCATATCGACATTTCCCTGTGTAGTGCCGACTACTTCATTTTGCATTCAAAAGGCTTCGGTGTAAATGATCGCCTTTTCAGAGAGGAAAACCATCAATCACTTGACCACGTTTTTGGCACTCATCCATGAAGACTTGCTGTGTTATATGTCACGCAATCTCGTGTTTAAATGACCCCCTTTGGTATGAAAGATATGTGTTTGAACTCGGTTGGCTTAAAAAGGGGCGAAATATAGACAAAACAAATAATTCCTAATTTATCCATGATCAAAATGTAACATCGTAAGTCTATTTCGTGGCGTTGATAGGAACAGCTCATAATTGTTTTGAATTCATTTGCATTGCGTGGTTGCATGTCTCTTTGCAGCCGATTGTTGGGTATTTCCGATCAAACCGAAGAAAGCATCCCCTACGATCAATAATGATACTCTGTATAATCATACCCCTCCAAACGTTTGCAATATAAAAACACGTACTCAAAGTTTTTGAAAACTTCCCTACAGGTCGTCTATACATCACTTATTGCTTTTCTTTCGCCGACTTGCCTCAGTGAAAGATCGCCAGAGTAAACTGTTATCAATTTTGTATATTTTTAATTAGTCTCTTTTTTTGTAGCAACCTTTCATATGAATATTGCGGCTCAACCTGGCTAAAACAGTTTGATAAAAGCAAATTCTAACGCGGAATAAAATCACACAATGCTCTCGAATAAATTTCACTGTCATCGTCACCAATGTCTTTAGTAATTTTATATTAAACTAATTTTAAAATGCTTTGCCATCCTTGAATATTTCTTAAACGGATGGCTAGGTAAAAAAATATGACTGATAAACATAAAGTAAGCGTTCAAATCGGACATCTGGGCTATACGTAGATTCTCTCACAAACTGATGATTTTAAAAGCGTTTCATGAAGTTTCTCATAGCTCAAAGGCAATTAGATGCTTTCCATCAAGATAACGTTCCAATGGCTTCATTACGAGTAATGTATTCCGTTAGTTATGTCTCGTTACGTTTCGTCTTTGAAGAAGCTCTCTATGTCAGCTTCAATACAAGCTGCATAGCCTTCCCAGTGATACGCACTGAACATGTCAGGGGTAAAGAACTGGTTGGCAGTTATGTGATGAGGAAATCTTCCTAAAAAAGCATCTGAGATGCAGTGGGAGCTGCCATAATAATGACAACAAACACAAAAGCAACATGTCAATCTGCCTACTTCACGTTCTGTCAGTTCAGGACTTGGTCCCCAATCGTTGTCGTCGAGTTCGATATCCCAAGGTATTCGTCTGCTCACCTCTTGGGTCACAGGCATTTCCTCCAATGGATCATCGCCGTCCATAGCTTTTGGTCGCTTGTCGATTGTTATCAGTGGCATGCTCTCAGATGGGTGTCTGGGTGCCATAAACAGTATTTATCCTTCCTTCCCTGTGTTGTTGTCTCCTTCGTCGTAGTAACGGACTCGAAACCTGTAGCAACGTAGTCTTTTCTTTAAATTCACTTTCAAAAATTTGTCTTTGATATCCTCGTTGACATCTCGGCCATTTTCTCCAACAAAGGAACAGCGTAATTTTTCTCCCGCTAGCTTTAAAGCGTTCAGAAGGGAATCTGCGTACTTATCACCACCAGGGTTGCACGAACCATCGAAGATTGCAATTTTTTCCAGCCGTTTTTCAAGCAGTGGAAGCAAAGCCAGATTCTCATAGTGTCCGCCATCGCTCAGTCGCAAGTATTCAGGTGGCTTCTCGCCAACATTACTGACATTTAGGAATCCACGAACGAAGCGAACAAAGAATATTTTCCTGATGCAGTATCTGCAAAGGAAATCATGTTTTTAAGTAGTTTGACCGAAGTGCACGTTATGATTATGCAAGGTACTGGTAGGTGACGATGCTGCAAAGGTGGGTGGGTACCCATGAGAGATGTAAAGTATTACCAAGAGATCATATTTCCCTCTATGATTTCTTGCTGCTGAACTGGTATTAGCAGTGGGTGTGATGCAAGAGCCGAGGGATCATTGTAGCTCATCATAATAAAACTTTGATAAGTGGTGAGGTTGGCGATGGCGATAAGTGGTGGTTATCTTGGATTAGCTTTTACTCGAAAGATATTTTAGACTCTGTGGTGAAAGAAAGCGTTGTACCTGACAAACTTCTCCCATTTTCCTGGAGAGTCCGACCCAGTCTTTGAAACAGCAATCATGGATAAAGCCACAACAATTAGGAGGTGGACAAGTACCAGGTGATCCACCCATGTCATGCTGTGTCTCAACCAGTAAACAAATGGTAAGACGATCTTTGGGAGAAAAAGGACGAACTCCAAAACTAATGGCATTCCATACTATAATAGAAAAAGAGTTCATCACACAATTACTATTTTCAACGTATATGTTAATTGGTTTGGGAAAGTAAACTTAAACAGTTGATGTTCAAAACAAGCTTCTTTGATCCACTTTTATAACATTGTAGAAGTACTCTCGGTTATAACTGAGTCATTACAAAACTACGGTAAACAAAACTAAGTTAAAATTCAAAAGGATTTGAAATTCAAAGTTGAAAATCCCCCCGCAAGATGATTCTTAAAGCGGGGCATGATATCATAAGTTTACTAATCACTAACCCTCTTAGAGGCCTTCTGTTTTGTGACTTGACACTGATCACACATCATTTCGTCTCCCATTCCAAGTCCCGGCAAGTTTAAAAGTTCTAACAATGCATTCAGTCCACCACTTTCGTATTCTCCCATGTCAAAACTCAAAGCTGCCCCAGATATGGCCATTGCAGAAGATGACCTCATGTGTTCTGGTTTAAAGCAGCCTTTAAAGTTTGGTAGTTTCTCTTGTTGATCTTTACCAATGATTTCTACTCCTTCCGATGAGAATGCAATCATCAACTTGTGTCTTGACTCGTCATCGATGTTCATTTGCCAGTCGTTAACTGTGATGTTGCTTATAAATGTGGGTGAAATGCCGCTGAGCGTGTGAAGTGACAACTCCATCTCATCGTTCTCGTTGACGTTATTATCATGCCCTTTACGGAATAAAGAGGTTATTTCATGTATTGGTGTTACGCACATGGGAAAGACATCACCCCATCGACATTTTCCACTTTTTCTTTCCGGCGAAAAAAACGCCTTTGATAGTCTGAATCTGAAAAGAAGGATAAAGCAATGCTGTCATTTAACTTAGTTCAGCACCACATCTCTTCTTAGCTTCTCACCTTGGAAGAGGGAAGCAAGGAAAAAGCGCAAAGTATGATAAGTAAGATTTCAGCGGACTGAATTTTGTTTAATTGTGGGTGTGTGTACAAGTACACTGTATGAAGATACATTGAATGCAAAACTTTACACAGTCTACGGCTTCTATTGTCTGGTATAATGAGCAATCGCTGACCGCACGTACTTTATATCATAGCTGATTGGACATGTTGTGCAAAAAAAATTAATACAAACCTGTAGTAGACGTTGAATGCAGACTGGTGAAGAGGACCAATCAACGGGAATAAGATAACAGTAATGGCACAACCAAATAGGATTGGATAGAAAAGTTCATCAGAGTATGGAACTGCTCCCATGAACTCTGTTTTGAACACTCGCCAGCTCACAATGTGAATGTATCTGTAGAACACAAGAAATACGCTGGCATAGTTACGAATCACTGGGATCAAGAATGGAAGTACTATACAGATTATGATTATGAAGGCTTGAATCCATGTATTTAATGGCCACAAGTCATGAATGAGAAATGGAAACAGAGTAAACAGAAATATTATGAAACTGATCATTGAGAGCAATCGTAAGAAACCTTTTAATTTATGGAAACGTTTTTTTCTTGAAAGAAAGTAGGACAAGACGGAAAAAAATTAATGTTGTTATAATGAGGGTCGTGCGTCTACCCGGAGATTGGCAATTTTCATAGAGCATCAGCATTAAGGATGAAGTCCGTGATGTCTTGGTACCTGTGCGAGCATGCGCAGATGGGGGACATTTGGCATTCTGACGTAAGATTTCACCAAAGAGTAAGTCTACTGCCACGGCAATTGGAAATGTGTATGGCAACCGTAAGACACACGGCAATATGAACACAACAGTGACCAAGAGAACTACGAACACTGCTGAATGCCAAAGATCTGAAAAGGGACATTGCCAGTCGCACATGTAGCCAGCGTTTTGTCGCATGGTGTCAAAGAATTCGTCATGTCATTTGCTATCATCACTATTATTTCCATTACGCTTTTGCCTTTCCTTCCATTCAACAAAGGCTGCCCCTGTGTAACCACCCCCGGAAACACAGCTCAAGTAGTCTGGAAGAACATTTTCTAACAACATTCTACTCAATGCACCAGAACAAAACGCAGCAGATCGAATGCCTCCCTCGGAAAATGCGACCCCGGCAGATCTTCCAAAGCGGCTAGCTGTTGATCCACTGATTTGCTGAGATTCTTGTTTGGCCCTAACAGTGCGTTGATCATAGAAATCCGAAAGGCATTCCACCGTGCCACTGGGCGTGCTGGAGGATGATGGCCTCTTTGAAGGTATGTGCGAGGAATCAGGAATGACAACAATATCCTCAGGACCTGCTTGTGTTTCTGCCATCTCTGTCAAAAAGGAAATTTATTTCAATACAACTCTTACGCAGACGTTCCACACTAGAACTAGAATTGTACTGGAAAAAACTCTAAGCTGATTGTTATACAAAGAACAAAACAACACATTTCTGACGTATCAGATGACCAATACATCCCAACAGAAAAACAAACAAAGGTAAACAGAAAGCACTACTTAATTTAATCTGACAACGTAAAAGTTTTTACAATTATGTTTCATCGCAAGAGTACGGATCCCAGGTACTGCCATCTCTTATTTCTCATCAACTCTTTTTTTTTCACGACTTCAACTTTTTTTCACGACTTCAACATACCTGCACGACTTCAGCCTTTTTTCACGACTTAGACTTTCCAGCACGACTTTAACGTATTTTTCACGACTTCAACATTCCGGCACGACTGTTGTCATTCAACAGTACTTACAAATGTTTACCTTAAGATTGAATGTCATCTTGTTCAAATTTTATGGGCAATAGGCTTCGGTGGAGACGTTAACAGTCAAATTGTTTAGCAGTGGTGACCCGCAGCGTTGATTCTTTTGTTGAGTCTTCTGGTGGAAAAAGTTAAAGGTCGTGCCGTGAAAAAGTTGTGCCAGAAAAAGTCGCGCTGGAAAATTAAAATCGAGGTCGTTCAGGAAACTTAAAGTTGTGAAAAAAAGCTTTAGTCATGAAAAGAAGTTGAAGTCACGCAGGAAAGTTGAAGTCGTGTCGAAAAAGTTTAAGTCGTGCAGGAAAGTTGAAGTCGTAAAAAAAAAAGCGGTCTCATATAAATTCAGTCCTGACGATTTCATTGTCTTTTGAGGAACAAGATTTTAAGCTCTTTTTTAAAACTTTAAGAGGTTAGAGCAGGAATTGTTCGGTCATCCCGCACAATAACATAACACCTTGACTGCTGTATAAATTCATCGGAGTATGACTGTGAAATGTTTTTTGACAGTTTTCCCTGGTTCGAGAGTGTCTTCTAAACTCACTAACTTCAGTTTTTAGAATTCAAAGAACTCTACTGAAGCGAATAATCCTAACGGCATTGAGTAAACTTAGTGGAAATCGAGACTATACTCTGCAACTTTAAGATTCAGTTTATATTTTGTGACAAATTCTTGTTTGGCTATTTGTAACCCTTTCCCAAACGTCACTACACTTATTGTACGTCTTGAATTGCGATAAATAAAATTTTAACGATGCACAATCCACAACAAACTTATTGGTTTACTCAATCAAATATTGTAGGTACTTTTTGTCCGTGCCCTGAGTCACGCTACACTCCTAAAAATAGCACACCATTACAATAACATTGAATATTTGAGAATGACAGACTGCACTCGAAATATTTTGTGACAGTTTTCCCTGGTTCGATAGTGTCTTCTAAACTCACTAACTTCAGTTTTTAGAATTCAAAGAACTCTACTGACGCGAATAATCCTAACAGCATTGAGTGAACTTAGTGGAAATCGAGACTATACACTGCAACTTTAAGTTTCAGTTGTTCACTTCTTTCAAATTCTTGTTTGGCTATTTGTAACCCTTTCCAAAACGTCACTACACTTATTGTATTTCTTGAATTGCGATAAATAAAGTTTTAACGATGCACAATCCATAACAAACTTATTAGTTTACTCAATCAAATATTGAAGGTACTTTTTCCCGTGCCCTGAGCCACGCTACACTTCTAAAAACAGCACACCATTACAATAACATTGAATATTTGAGAATGACAGGCTGCACTCGTGCAGCTCTGCACGAAATTTACTGCCCCGCAAGGCGATATTCTTAGTGGGCATGTATTGGCAACGCGGAGTTTCAGTAAAAACGTTAAACACAGTGAATTATCTGTGGCTTTAACACCGTCTTAGATATTTGTTCCAAGTTGTACTTCGTGAACGTTTACATGTTTAAATCACTGACTAAAAGAAATGTTCACACAACTAAGGAAATTACGATTATGGAGGGAATCAATCGTCAATAGTCTTAGCAATTGCTTAATATTCTCTAATTTACATATCAGGATGTTTGTCTCTGCTACAGATATTTCTACCTCAATGGATTTATGTCCAAGACTATACAAAGTTACGGAGGATTGGTCAGTTGTCGTTACAAGTAAAAGAGTTAAGTAAGTGAAACGTTTATTGGAAAAACTGTTATAAATTTTATCAGTGCATGCTTCTACAGTTTTCAGAGCTTTACAGAGACAGAACTGGCAATATACTTTGAATCGTTAACAAACCAAAATCGTTCGAAGTACAAACGATGGGAACGCATATCAACACATTATAAATATTGTAGGTACATTAAACCACTCAAAACAAATTTATAAGTTGACGTACTGTTGGGAACATTGTAACGTACCTTAATTTAAACGGTCTTTCAAGCACGCAGACAAGAAACTGTTTTATCAAGTTCACGTGTTCCTCGATATGTTCACCAGTTTAAAGGTGAAGAAGGAATGATCGAGAACTGAATCACACCTTTTGTGTGAACGTGACCTGTTGTGCGTGACATATAGGACTGGGTCTAGGCATGAGTAGTCAGTGAAGCATATCGACGAAAAGACTTATTAAGGCAATTTAAGTTTGCCTGATGGAAAAGAGAAAACAGCAATTTTACCTTTTTCTGTGGAAATAAAATGTGTGACAACGTCACCCACCCGAGTGAAATATCAAGTTGCATCATGAAAATATTAAAGACCAGTGAACGCCTAGAAACCATTTAATGGAACTTATGTTTACATTTGATGATAATTTAGAGTACAAAATATATTTAGGGGGTAAGTTTCTAAAGAAACTGTGGTGCTACGTCGGTGAGAGAGTATAACAGGGTAATTTGTTATTATCAACTGAGTTGATCACGTTAATTAGCTCTGACGTTTCGAGCGTTAGCCCTTCGTCAGAACGATCGATGAAGGGCTAACGCTCGAAACGTTAGCTTTTAAACTCTTTACGGTGGCCAATTTAAATTATCAACTCAGTTGATAATACCAAATTACCCATAATATATTTCTTTTAAAAACAACTAATTTTTTCCTTAGTTTAAAAATTTACTTAACAATTAGAATCATTTGTGTGAAATAATGCTTTTATTTCCTATTTAAAAATTCATCAGTTTCTGGGGATGGGAGGGTGCTCCTCATACGAATCCACAGGACTATAAACAACGTCATTATACCCAAACGCCACCGGGCCTCCAACTGCCAGTCCCTGCGGGGTGGTCCATAGAGGAGAGCAAGGCATGACGATGACAGCCACTCGGAGGCCATAACGAACTTCCTCTGTTGTGATTGGCTGGCCTGTATCTTCATCTACTAAAGAGATCAAATCAGGAACCGTAGCAAGAACACTCCTGGAGCCATCATATTTTGTAACAAAAGCCACGTAGTTTTCATTCTGGAATTCAATACCAAGGTTCTGATTATTAAATTGTCCGGAGCCTTCAATGAGCAACCTTCCTCTGTTAAAGGCGCCTTCAGTTACACGGCTTACGTCTGCTATCTACAAAAAGAACACAATCAAATTTCAAGTTGTCGTATTTCTTACTCAATACAATTTTCTCAATCTACAAGGCAAATCATTTGTGGCCTTCGGACATTAAATAAAAATTTTCTCTTCTAAAATTAAAATGAAGCAGCCCGGCCAGTGGCGAACTACAACTCAACCCAGTGTTGCAATGTCCGAGATCTGCATTCTATATGATGGAAACATGCCCACAATCTACGAAACTAACGCTGTCAAACAGTTGCAATTAAAACAACAAGGTAACGAACCTTGCCAATCATTAAGAGTTTTCCATTTTCATGCTGAAGAATGCTATTCACTGGGGACGCCTTGTTGTGTCTGGCACGAAGAACAGTGTTACCCAGACGCCATGTTCTACTCACAGTATACAGGGCACTTTTTTGTTGCACATCTTTCCAGTCAAGGACAAACGTAAAGCCAACCATGCAGCTAAAGAGCAAAATTAAAATATGTCAAGGAAAAAATTAGTATCTGTTACCGGGACTGAAACTATGGCATTCGGGTTTTTGTCAAATTTGCTTGACTCCATGAGATGACTTATAAAGAGGTCAATTAGTAATAACAAAATAAATGCAAGATACTTTGTCAACTTTTCCTGTCAATCCTCGGTAATCGAAAAGAGTTTCTTAAGTACCTACCCCATCTCTACCGTTTTGATTCTAAGAAAGTCTTCTAAGTGTTTGGGTGTTTCAGCAAATGTCAACGCGACCACATTTCCTTTTTCATCTCCAACGGCCGCTGGGTATGCTGGGCTACCATAAACAAACGGCAAAAACATTTGCAACTCAGGAAACGCTCGTCCCATGCCATCCGCATCCACGATGGGGAGTCCCAGTTCTGCTCCAGCCACTAAGGGCTCGATAGAGTTGGCACCTCCTATCTCCGCACATACAACAGCCACGGGTTTCTTAGTGGATTGAGGCTGTTGATGAACAGACATCGAATTTCATACAAGACGCTGCTGGAAAAGCTGCATTATCAAATACTGAAACCTACCACAAGATAGGCTTTTTATCTAGTTGAAATAATTCAAGTGCAAGTGTTGACTTGCAAGTACGGACAACAATTGCATATGAATTGTTTGTAAATTAACAAAAATGAGAATATGCCTAACAATCGGCCTCACAGAAGAAAGTTTACTCCTATACCTCATTATTGGCAGACATCCACTCTTTAACACCTTTGACTTCCTTGATTCCTTCTCCATTGTCATGTTCATTAACAGCATCACCAGCGCATAAAACTGCTACAGCTGCTTTCACAGCTGAGAGACTTTCTTGTCCACTGAAAAGCTTCTCGATCAAGATAACTGGTGCACCCATAAAGGCAGGCGTCACCACGGTACCCGTTAGTTCAGGAGTGGATCCTAACCTGAAAACACATGAAGGGAGAAGATGCAGCAATCTATATCAAAAGTTGACATCGTTAGCCATAGTATATTTTCCGACTCCAATTACATTCTCCCTATGACTCATAATCGCCTCCTGGCTGTGAATTTAATGTTTCTATATATCATTTCTCGTCGTATAATCTTCATCACCAAATCTAACCTTATAACTGTTAGTCACTGACCTGTTTGGGTGAATAACACGAATTTCCTTGTTCTTCCTGATAAGCTCCAGTGCCCTTAGTCTCCCAAGGTAAGGACTACCTCCCCCTCCACACCCCATGATACCGGCTCCTATGGTGATACACTCGACATCAAACCTGCTCAGAATCCAGTCACCTGTTACAGGGTCTACATACGGATCACTGAATACAATGTCGTCCTCTTCTTGTGTGCTGGGCTGCTGCTCCTCACCAGAAACTTCTTGAATGGGAGAGAACTCCTCGGCTGATAAGACACTGTATATGTCTGTGCCTTTAAACAGAAGCTCAAAATCACTTTTCTGTATTTAATACAATAAACCTGAAACCTTACATTATTATTAGAAGTAAGTGTTTATAACCCTTCCTTTTCATAAAAGCCATTTGCTCTGTCAATGTGTTAGCGCATGACAGTGGAATTCTCTAAATCCTCAAGGAAAATCATCTCTTAACGTCGCGGGTGCTTGTTATTTGAGTTCTCTTTGAAAGATGTTGAGTTTACACACAGGTTTATATCTAACATTCAAGAGACTTAGGCAGGTTTTCTCATAACTATCTATTCGCATCAAGAATATGTTACCCTTGAAACATTTGTTAATCACAAAGGTTTAGAAAATTTTTACAGGATTGTAGTCTCACCTAACTGTGATAGCTCCTCGGGGCTATTGGCTTTGCACTCTGCTAAATCACCAACAACTTTCAGAAAACACCGCACTACATTACCAGGCAGATACGCCAGTGGTACCTCATCCCTATCAATAACTTGTAAGGTTTGTTCGTCAGCCCCAGCCTCCATGGCTCTTTTACGCGCCATCTGTTCGGCCTCATTACGTACTTTTTCACGAGTTGTATTTTTCAAAGGAACAACTTGATCAAATGTTCCGCTAACTTTACTCAAGGCAGCGCCCACCGCATTGGCAACCTTCGGAAATGATTAACACAATTCACTTCTCTAATACATACATACTATTAAGAATGTTATTAGATAAGAAGTACTTTGTCTCGCGTTAGGGTTCTTCTAACATGCGACCAACCTAGAATAGTACTGAAAAAAGTAAATATGAATCCAACTAATAAAATATATTTATACGTATATGTATAATTTATGTAAACTTTTTGAAAGCCCATTTTTTGGCAGAAATATTGAACATCTTCATAATGGACCTAAATATTTCCATTATCCACGATTGGATGATACGACGATCATCCAGCAGTGATCTAATCCAAAGTTGGAAGCCACTTTCTTGCGCTAGGATACAGAAGTAAATTCACATGATCATACAGATGTTGATAACAGAGACTGCATTTTACCTGATAGTATGGAGGGCATAAAACTTTTGAGGCTCCTTTTAATTTCTGTGATAAATCCACAAGAACACTACCTCCACCAACAAGAATTACAGGCTGGTCCTCACCACTGAACTGTGCATAATACACATGATAAGCATTAACACTCTCTTCGCTCTCTTAATATTTATTCTGAGTTGCTTTATATGAAACTATCCTCAGAAGAATTTGTCTCTCAGTTGAAAAGGGGAATTACAAATTCTGGATCAATATAAGTATCTGGGCAACTACCCACCTACCCCTCCCCTAACCTAACAACAGTTAGGGTTAATGTTGGGTTAGGAGAGGGGTAGGTGGGCAGTTGCCCAGATACTGATATTGATCTCAAATTCTTAACAGGTGAAGGACCACTAGGTGGATACACTGTTAATCTGAGTCACACTACGAAGTCCAAGATTGTAACTTAAACCAATTACATATAACAATTCACTTAGAACTTCAAAAATTGAGGCCTTTTTTCAGATTACATCTTTTTTTTCCTGGAGCCCTGCCAGGGTCAAACTGCAAAGTTTACCCCCTTAATCACATTCAGTTCACAGATACCTTAACTCGATCAACTGCAGCTTCAATTTTTCTCTTGATCTCTGCCATTGCTCCAACCCTGACATCCTCGGGAATGTTCCTAATTCTTTCCTTATCTCCAATGTTACACAGGCCAGAAGCAACAGCAATGTCTGTTGATGTCACGGTCTTCCCTCCAAACACTAATGCTTCGGTCTTCAACTTGTAAGCAACACTTAATGGACCCACGGTGATACCCTCCTGTAACAAAGAAATAACAAATAATCAGAGAAATGGTTATTTATAATAATTAAAATAGAAATATATTTTTATAAAATATACAAATTAAAGAAAAATCAGAACATTTTATCAAGATCAAATGACTCCCCTTAACTAGCTAGTGTTGAATAGTAATACCTCCATAACTAACCTAACAAGTGTACAAAACATTGACAATTTGAATAGGTTGGTTGCCATCAAAAACATTTTACATTTTAGACCTGTGCAATATCAAGTTGTAATATTGTGCTCAATATCTCCAAGGTAAAATTCTAACTCCAACTCACAAATGTCTTGTTGGTTACAACTTTAAGCTGTAGAAAGAGTCTATACAAGGGAGCATAAGAGCAGGTTGTGGGGGGAGGGGGGGGGAAGAGGAAGCAACATCAGTGAAAAAGGGAAAAGATGTCTGATGCATCCTACCCTCCCTAAAAATGATCAGTTACAAAGGACACTTAACAGACTGACTAACCTGTAATTGTTCCACTACTGATCCTCCTCCAAGTCCCACACTTAATACATCAGGCATTCGAAAGTTGGTGTTCACACCTCCAATCTAGTTTTGTTTTACAGCAATTCATAGAAAAAATTTTATTTATGGTAATTGGCATACATTTTAACCAACTTATTGAAACATGATATATCAAAAAACCTAGCTCATTCTAGATTCTTTTGAAGCCTGCATTTTTGATAGCAGTCTAAGGTATTATAGACATTGTCATACCAAAATTCAAGTAGTTTTGACAGAATTCATGACTAGAAAAAAAGGAGACAATATTCACCTGGAGTCCCTAATATTATATTTCATTTAAATGCATCTTATAATCATAAACTAACATAAATTATAAGTTTACCTTAACCCTTGTAGAAGCTTGTCTTGGAAATCCTCCTTTAAGAACTCCTACATCAGAGGTTGTTCCTCCAATGTCAATAACTATTGCATCTTGCACACCTGACAAGAATGCAGCTCCTCGCATGCTGTTTGTTGGGCCTGATGCAAATGTTAACACAGGCAGATGTAAAGCTTGCTCTGCACTGAAAGGAGACCAGTAAACAAGTTGAGAAAATTCTAGAGAATTATCACAGTTATAATCAATATCACATCATCATCATCATCTTCATAATAGTTGTCATCATCATTTTACCATTACAATTACCACAATAATTGAGAAACACAAGACAACTTACTATTAAGTTACAGAAGGCCAACGCTACATACCTTATTATGGTTCCATCATTCTGTGTGAGATAAAATGGACACTTCAAACCAAGATTCCTCAAGGCTGAACAGAATGCTCCCACAGTCCTTTTGCATAGTGGCTTTAGGCTCTCATTTAAAACAGTTGCATTCTCACGCTCTAGTAAGCCAATCAAACCCACTTCATGCGAAAGCGTCATACTCATACCTGGGTGAACTGATCTGATGATCTCAGCCACTTGGACTTCTTGCTCTTTAGAGGCAGGAGAGAAAACTCCAACAACAGCAATGTTTCTTATTCCTAAATGAATAGAATGAAAGAAAGTTTGACACATAAGCAAATTTATCTACATCACACCTTAAGGAATTTAATGAACATTCCTAGACAACCATGTTAATTCCTGAATGGCTTTCCTTAGTCTATTACAGCCTAAGTAAACTAAAAGTAACCAAGGCACAATTACATACAGATCATTTGGCAACAAGAGGCCAAGAACCATTTAAATTTCTTTAATCTATGCCTCAGCTAAGATGACTAAAACTACAAATAGCCACATCAAGGTTCAGGGATGATGAACAATAACATTCAGAATGTTTAACTCCTCTTGGCTGCAGTGGGAGCATGTAAATCAAAACCTGCCTAATTTAAATGTTGAGGTGAGTTTAAAGAGTGGATGGGATCAGAATGATTTTGGTTAAAAGGCATTATTATGTTGTGGATATCCAACCTGCTGCTTGTACTTCATTAGCAACCCTTTTTACTTCATTCTCATCAACATCAGTAATACTTGAACAATCATATTGAAATCCTCCATTGAGAAAAAAATGCATTCCACCAATGACATTCCTCAGATCTGCAGGGAAATCACACAAAGGTGGGATGGCTTTAGTTGCTGGTCCACATAACCTTAATACAGCCACTTTAGTGAGGAATTTCCTTTGAACAACAGCATTCACAAAATGAGTGGTGCCAATGTTAACCCTTGCAACATACTGATTAGGATTTGGTTGAAATTCGTCAGGAAGCTGGGTGAGAGTTGATTTAATTGCTTCAGTGATACCAGATGTAACATCTTCTGTGGTGGGAACTTTGGCTGAGGATAGAACAGTCTTTTGTCGCAGAATCACAGCATCAGTGTTTGTTCCACCAACATCAACCCCAATACAAAGCCACGGAACATTGGACATGGTTTTGCACACTTTACTGAAAGAGTTATTAGGTAGGTTCCAGTCAGGCCTGTGGTTCTTGTTTCTCCTCTATTAATTAATAAAAATTAAATATCAAAAATACCGAGCTTACGTGTCTCCTCAGAATTATCATTGTGCGAAAAATTATTCTGTGTTGAGAGCGTAATTACGAAATAATGTAAAGAAAAGGCATGATAAGAATGCAAGATTTCGGAAAAGTATGTGTAAATGGCTAGGAACTGAAAAAAAAATTTGAATAAATTAATTAGAAGTAAGAATAAAACAAGGAGTGTCATTTCACATTGGTCGCATCTGCTAAGGACATGGTCTCAAAACACTAAAAAAGGTTATCTCTCCTGTTTGTACTCTGCCACAGATAAACCAGGAAATCATATGAGGTAAGGCAATAATGCACCAGTTTCAAAGCGGAAAAACGGCTCCTAATAACGAAAAACAACGTTCGATTGCGGAGCAGTGAGTAAGTTGGAAATTGATCTCTCGACCCCATGGGACTCTCCTAAGGAATATACTAAGCTCAGTAACTCAAGATATGTATGTCTCACTTCTGCACCCTTCAACTTCACACCTTTGAGAACTGGGGACGTTCGTGGAGGCTAATGGAGGTTATCATGTACGAATCACTAGCTGTTGGCGGATTAGTGGAGAGCGGAACACCCCTGCATTCCTCCGTCGATCAACATCCGTTGTGCGTGACAGAGTGAGTCTAGACTGAGTCCCCTGAATCTATCTGCTATCTCACGGCCAGACAATTCTAATAGGTACAAAGTTTGAGGTTTTACGATATAAAACCTGGGTTTGCACACTTACCCATATTAATTCTGTAGTTTTTAGTGTAAAAGGTGGTTATGTTTTCACCGCAGCTTCCCAATATTTAAGTGTACGTCGCAAATCAAAAGTACGAGATAAGGGAACTACCGGAGAGTGTAGAACACATGTCCATCGTGAGGTATTAAACACAGGTTCCTGAGGGCAACTGAGTATATTTAGAAGCCAGCTGACAGCGGGGAGGAAGTTAAGTTTGCCTAAAGGAGCCTGCAACCACATGAGGAACAGTAACGAGAACGTGGGCTAAAAGAAAGTCAAGTATGCACAGGACACTTTCTGCGACTTTTTCCATGATTTATCTAGGCACAAGGTCATGCACAATATAGTCTTGTTGTAATATGTTCGGTATCCACTTCGTGTGGGGTTTGAGCAATGCTTGGATAAACTTGGAAAAGAATCGAAAAGGCAATTACAGTACAACAAGAGATAACGACATCAAATCCTTTAAGTTCCAAGATTTATTACCACTCTCGACGATTAAATTCTTTAAAATGTAATCCACCCAATAATGGGAAAGACACTTCTTAATTAAATGTCCCGCTCAAACTGCGTACATAAAGCATCCGGCGGCTCCAGTAAATGACAATTTTGTACTACATTTCCGCTTGAAGGTAACGTTGTTGTCAGAACCAGTGAGTACCTGGCGAGACTCTGACAATAAACTGTTCACTTTTTCTAATAAATAACTTTAACTACATCCACTTCATTTACACGCTTACGTAATTGCTGTACAAATAAAACTCTGTAACGTTACAAAAATAGGGCGGTTTTTCCTTCGGTAATTTCAATTTTTCCATTTTATTCCACTGAGTAGCGGAAGATTTAACGTCTTCCCCTTTCCCCACCAAGCAGGATTAAAAATAACGTTTCAAGCTTTTACAGAGAAAGTAGGAAAAAGGAAATATGATAATTCATAAATTGCACACTTCGTATAATAATAACTGTAATGTCCTATTGGCCCTTGACAAACCGCGGAATATAAATGAGGACATATTTTCAACAACGATTAAAAAAATCTACACTAAATATTCGAGCTCTTCGTCAGTGATACGATATGCACGTCTATAGAAAATGTGTCTGACGTCTATTTTTCATAAGTATTACTGATAATATCCACCTTTTAGATGAAGTAATTCACTAAAAAAGGGTGTTTGGGATGCCTAACTGCTGGTCACGTTGCTTCATCCTAATGAGTTGATTCCCGATTCCCCACTAAACCAACTGAAACGTTGATGTACATCTTCGCTTTAGTGCTTATCACTAGTAAAGTTGTGAGCAAAACAAACAATAAAGCCTATCATACTCAGGACAGTTTGTTCGATGTCAAGTTAACAGCATCAGTCAAATATCTTTGGTTTATCGTTTCGCAGTTAGACTAAGAATATATTACGTTCGTGTTAAAATAGATTATTTCTCTCTCCATATTTGGAAAATTTTAAGAATTGCATTAATTTAAAAAGTAAATATCTGCTGTTGATACAGCACTAAATACTGTACTACCAACAATAGTACCTAACTAAAAGAATATCACAAGAATGCTCGGGAACTAAAGGCGTACGATAACACAACAACCGACAGATTCTGTCGAGAACAAGGCATGACGAGTTTCCACAAGAATCCATCGATGACCTGGAGCTCCCGACACTCCGCTTTTGAGTGTCATGAACCAATAATCTCGTGTAACTTTTCTTGTATTCTTGGAACTTGATTAGATGCCTGCTCTGTCAAACTCCGGCCCATACAGGAGTATAGTGTACTGGTTAGCCTACTGGTGGATGTCTTCAGGGCACTGTTACCGGCGCCAGCACTGCTGTTACTCGCCGTGTTCAAGAGACTCCACAACAGAGGAAGAATATGGCGAGAAACTACTTGTGGCTTTCGAGTGTGCACTGTCGGTACGATATCTAACGGACACAATCAAAAAAGTAATATCGCTGTTTATTTATTTAACATTGATAGTTGAGTAATACTGCAAAGGAAGGGGATAAGAGATACTACAAGAATTAAGGGCCAAGAGAGAGAGAGAGAGAGAGAGATAAGAACACTTATAGGGCACGGAAAAGAAACAAGGAAAGAGGCAGGATACGAAGGGCTGGGTGAGGAGGGTGGGGTAGGTACAAAAGACAAATAAAATAACACCAATCAAGTAAATAAGGCAGGAAAGGTAAAGAGACGAAGAAAGACAAGATGACGTAACAAGAACAAATCATCACAACAAACTGCACAAGAAGATCACTGACCTGCTAACTTGTCCACCATGATCGGTTTAACTCGGCTGCTCCCAAACTGTGCCGTTGAACAAAATGGTTGAACTAACAGAGTTTTGTCTGACAATAAACAAATAAAGTCATTTAGTCTGCCATATCATTATAACTGTTTTTGCAAATAACAAGCCGCTAAGATTTCTTGATGTTCAACATTTATTAGGCGGATCGGCTATGACAAGTATGCTGTTTGTTAATTGACATAAGACAAGCTAAAAAAATTATGTATAGCTACAACAAAGACGAGAAAAAACAGCAACCAGAGCCATTAATACTACGATAACCTAAACCAAGTTGTGTCATTCTACCGATGTGTTTAATGAACTCATCAAGAGCTTCCTCTGCTGCAGAGAAAATACTCGTGTTCTTGGAAGCAAAGTTAGATGTCAACGCAGCAACCATTGGAGGAACCAGAGCAGTTGATTGGTTGGCTAAACAGTGAAGGATCTTGGGGAGGCACTGAAGGGCATACAGGTTTACCTACAAAAACATCAGAGACCAATAGGAAAATTAGTTCTTAAGTCCATTCAAATTAAATCAAAATTCACGCTAACAAGGTACACCTTACTTTGCTATTCGAGTCTTGGAGACGAGGGATAAACGCATCAAAAACCTGCGACAAATACGTTTTGAAGTTAAGTTTATTTGTACCAAAAGTTTCCACTAGATAATCGATTCACATGAAGTATCATAACGTGCTCGATACTTGTGGTATCATGTGAAATTATTACCTTGGTAAACTTTTGTCCTGAGCCATCCGGGTTTAACTGAACTAAATCAACAAACTGATCGATCGCCTGTTGTCGTTCTTTCCAATCACTGGCCTGTAGAGAGTTGATTAAGTTTGGGATCATCTCTTCCCCCTGTCACAAATCAAATGCCGAGGAAACTGTTGCTATAATTTTGTTGCTGATGACAAAATAATGAGGGAAATAAATTAATTTAAAAATTACACAGGACACTCACCTGAATCAATCCATCTCGTGTCACGGGTTTGCCACTCCTTGAAGGTTCTCTCGAGCTAAAAAAAAAAAGACAAAATTGTCATAGTTCTAATTCTCTTACCCACGTCACATTGGTTTCCAGAAGTGATGGTTTTTCTATAGAAAACGCTTAAGATTATATTTTCAAACTGAGAGCTTTCATCTGTTTCTCTCTCTCTCTCTCTCTCTCAACCTCCCTCGCATTAAATCAGACATCCTTTTAAAAGCATCCCTCTCGATCCAGCCCCCCTTCCCTTTACTGGCAGTAACTACTACGCCTCCCTATTGTTGAGCATCTCCCTAATCTACCAGCGTGGTTGACTTACAGTTCTGCATCTGCAGAAAAACCAACAGGTCTTTAGTAAAGCAATAGTTTTACAAGGAACAATCACATGAACGAAGTTAATGCAAAGCTAAAGCGGCTTTCGATGTACCTGGAATTTGAGGACGGAGATGCCGCCACTGATCCTCGCACTCCACCGCTTCGTGAACCTCCACCACCAGATGCAGGTTTCCGCTGCCGTGCGGAGGAGGAAAGGTCTGATGGGGGTTCACCCAGCCCCTACAGAAAAGGAAAAAAAACCAGCCAACCAACCTGAGCTTCATAACAAGCCAACGTTCTCAGCTAACTAGAAAGCCACAACAAAAAGGATCGTGATTGGTTATTAAACATATTCGTACCTTTGTTCTAAGATTGTCCACCGTGTCACGCACGCTCTTCTGCAGATTGGACGGCACGTGTTTAGACACGTGCTTGTCAAACTCGGGATGATCGCATATAGACGAAAGAATCTTGCGTCCATAGTATCTAGACAAGGGGATAAAAAGCAGAAATGGAATCATGCTGACAGTACTAACCTTGACGTGAACAGCTGGAAACTATGGGGCGAAGCCGCAATTCCCTTTACGTGATTTATTTGTTTTTCTATACTTGATGGCACGCACCTAGTTTCCTGTCCACCATCTGTGAGGAATTGAGCTGTAGTAGGAAGAATTTTCTCAGTGACATCTTTGGCTCCGCTCATCACTCGACTCGGTCCCATGCGGTCCGCGAGCATGCTGAGAAACTGGGCAGTGGCCTTGCGTACGGTTACGTTGCGATGGCTGTGAAAATTCAAAGAAAAAATTTTAGAATGTTCTTTATCGATTATGCTTCACACTGTTAACTAAGATCAACAAAAATCCATCATTAGCCGCAACACAAAGAATAGGTATTCTAAAAAAAAAAATCTGGCGAAATGCCAAACTGCACAGGATGTGCTCAGAAATGTTTTCAAGTAAGTACCTGGCTCCTCCAGAAATAAGTGCGACTATTAAACGGGTTGGGGTCAGACTAGAAACCATGGCTGTCAAGGCTTTTTCCACGTCTTCTCTAATAAATCCACTCGATTCACCAGCTTTAGCCAGTAGGATTTTAGCAGTGACTTCCAGTTCCTATATAGTAACAACAACAAACACAAGCGCATGCAGTTGTGAAACATTCTACCCCGGTTGGTAAAAAAAAAAAGCGAACGAAGAAGAGAAAGGTTTACTCACATTATCCATGTTCTTTCCAAGAATGGTGTACATGTCTCCAAGACAGCAGATGCCCGAACGAGAAACTTGTGATCGAAGATTTTTAACCTTTGAAAATTCAAACCATATTTAAAAAGCTATTTCATTCCAATGCTCTTAGTTAAAGCCAATGCAATGAAATAGAACCGTACAGCTTCAGTCAAACAAAAAACAAATGAACAAAAACGTCTGAAAAAGCCCGCGTACCTCTGCTATGATAGCAAGAGTCACTGTGTGTAGCTGTGAAACCAGCACCTCAGGATGATGTTTAGTAAGACGACGAATTCCTTGAATTCCTTCACACTTCATCTCCCTGATATGAACAAAAAAAAAAGAGAAAATTTTACTAAGAGTATTTCATCCGAAATCAAGGGAAACTTTCAATCACAAATTGTAATCCACGTTTCTATCGGCAAAACAGAGTAATTGACAAATACTCTTAAAATAAAGGAACAACATAGGAGGACCAACACAGTGGCAATCTATATCATTTGGGATACCCACCAATCTTCTGTGTTTGCTAGATACTTCATTGCTTCTCGCAGAGCATTGTCTGGATTATTGAAGGGCTGCAGATCGTCCAAACTGATTTCCCAGCACTGAGCTGAAGTACTGCCTGCGGATGCTGCATGATGCCGTCTGATCTCTGATGGATCATCTGTAAGCGCATAACTAGAATCGCGCTCAGACTGTGTCCTGTGAGGAAAAATAAACACTTATAGATTACGTGTACCAAACTTTGTGAAGGATCATCGCGGTGCCATGAACCTTGGCGCCTGATGAATCACCCCTTTGCTCCTCTAAAGAGGAGTAAAATAAGTGTTATAAAGTACGGTGCACCTGAAGTAAACAAATGCGAATAGTTATGTATACGTACGATGAAACAGGTGCCTTCTTTTTAGGAGTTCCTCCTGTGGGTGGTTTTTTGTTGGACTTCAGTGGAGAACTGGACCCTGATACTGAAAGATCTTGCGAAAAAATGAAAAATAAAAAATATGATTATAATTTATATAGGATAATTTTGTTTCAGTCTAAGACAATCAATGACAATGAAACATTTACTAACTCGTATTTTCAGGTTCTGCCGCAATTTTCAGCTCTTTGGCTCTCTGTAACTGCTTCTTCTTCAGCTCAGCTTCCTTTTCTGCCAGCTGTCTCCTTATTTCCTCTTCCTGTTCTCGTTCTTTCTCAGCTCTAAGCAACTTTGCCTCTTTTTGTTTTTGTTTTTGTCTCATTCTCTCCTTCAGCCTCCTTTCTCTCTCACGCTGCTTTTCCTGTTCAATTTCCTCCAACTCTTCTTGTTGTTTCAGCAGCCGATCCCTAAGAGCCTTTTCCTGCCTCTGCAATTCCTCTTGCAGCTGCTGCTGTTTCTGCCGTTCTAATTCCCTTTCTTTTTCCTTCCTATTAAGCATCTTTCCAAGTTCTACTTGCTCTTTTAAGATTTTCTGCCGCAATTTCTCCTCCTCCTCTCGTTGAACCTGCAGCTGCCTCATACGCTCCTTCTCAAGTTCTGCAAACCTTTCCTGCTCCTTCTGAAGTTTTTCTTCTTCCTCTTGTCTCCTTCTTTCCATCCTCTCTCGGGTTGATTTAGACAGACTTTTCCTCATGGTTTTCGGTGTCATATCTCTGATGTTCTCTCTGATTCCCGAGTCACTGTCCTCATCGCTGTCTCCCAGGCTATCTGAGCTCCCTTCACTCTTGATGGTTGATGTTGTAGTGCTCGTTAGTGTTGTTGTTGTCCCTGTGGAGGTGTCACCCTCTTGTGATTCTGATGGAGTAGGGTATTCCTCTTCCTCACTGTCCGATTCACTGTCTACTTCCTCGTCCTCGTCTTCGTCTTCTAACTGTCCTTCCTCATCTTCCTCTTCCTCGTGGTCATCTTCTTCCTCTTCCTCATCTTCCTCCTCATCACGTCCGTCATCATCCTCTACTCCTTCATCAGACTCTTCTGTCTCATACTGTAACTGGGTCGTTTCATCCTCTGCCTTGAGCTGTTTATCCAGTCTCAACAGCCCCTGACCAACGACTTCCACTTTTCCCATCCCTAAATTATCATCTCTCCCTGAGAAGCTGCTACCCACTCTTGAAGATCTCCTATGTTTATCATCATCATCATTATGCACACCATTTTCCAGAGGTGAATATTCAGTTTTCTTCCCCCCTGTGGTCGACAGAAGCCCATGACCTGTCACACCAAGACCTGCATCGTCTGGGTCTGAGAACTTATGGGGTAAAGGTGTTGGACTCTGGAGTTGCAAAGAAGTTTCTGCCGAGAGTCTTCTAAAGTGAATTGGTGTTCTTGCAATTCGTGGTTTACTGTCAAATGGAGATTCAGGTTTGGTGGGGAGTTTTGACAATCTGTAGAACAAATGAAGCAAATATGAAGTCTCATCCTTAGTTGCTGTAACAGCAGTACATTATAGATGATAACTGACATCATCATTCTCTGTGCACAGATAAAACAAATAGCTTGCCTCTTAAACAATTCCACGATCCAATGAATAAGGACAACATGTAAAGAACAAACCGAACTAACACAATCATTACTTTTTTTTTAATAGACTCCTAGCTTAGCATTCAGAAATATAGAATATTCAATTACCTTCCTTTTTCAAACAGTGGAGTGCTGGGAAGATCATTGTTATTCTCCAAGGGTGAAGGGCTACGACTTCTTCCATCCTCACCATCACTGATCACAGAGTACATTTTCAATGCTCTCTTCAACTCTGCTTGTTTGTGAACTTGACTAAAAGCATCTTGAGGAGGAAAATTGCCAGCCTGGTAAAAGAAAAGTAAGAATAAAATAAAATAAGAAATGCAGGTTTCCTCTAAATATTGGTACCTTGCAGTAAACAAGACAATAGATCTTTTGTGCATGCATCAAGCAGTAAAAAGGTCACTATAACACTAATGATGGTATTTACAAAGTAAACATACCTTAACAGGGGCCAGTTGTGTTGGGCGTGTAGGTGTCATTTCAAGGAAGTCCATCACACCTGACTGGATTTCAGTCTTTTTAGTTTCTCCCAGTTCAGTAGCCCTTAAGCCTCGAGTCTTTGATGCTGATCGTGCAAGTTGAGGCTTCATGTGGATGGGTGTCTGAGGTACTTCTATTGGAAATCAAAGGGAACATCCATAACTAATTTTCATTTTTAATTCTGAAATTACTTCTGGTTAATTTGTTCTCAATAAAAAGAACACTTCTCACTTGATATTGTGACACTCAGGATATCATGAAAATTTTGATTTGATTGTAACAGGTGTTTCATGTACTAACCAATCAAAACAGTGTAAAGGTCAGCGGAACAAAACTCAAAACCACAAACTTATCACTGTGGCTGACTATGATTTAGTTTCCCAAAGCCTAGAGAGTAATTGGGGAGGCATAGATACTTTGTGCGATGTTATAAAGTTAGCATACCATTTTTTTTCGTCTCACCCTCCCCTTGCTCACCAGATGAGTCCATGTCCATAGGTATAGCTAGAAAAGATCCATAAAGAGTCAGTAAATATTGACATCACTGTGTATTCGGTTAAGTTTTATCTAGTAGACATGTACATGAAATTGATACCATGTACTTGATCTCAGAATAGCTTATAAGCACCATTACAAATATTTCACACAATCCTTGTGCAGACAGACAGCTGTCTTGTCTCATGTTCTTATAACAGGCAACCAGTTATTCAAACAGATCATCATACTTTGGAAGATGATCTTTAGACAGCTGTTTGTAAAGGGACACAAGTTGCTGCATAATGAGACAAACATTATCATCTGTAAAACTGTATCATTGCTGTGCCATGGGAAAGAGGACTCTTTTAAGGATGTCAAAGTTTGGATCTCTAAGGATTTTCAAAATTTAAAGTAGAAAACTTAGGCATCATGCATACAACTGTACGCACTAATCCTACATAACTTACAATGTGACACAGGTGACAGTCTTCCAAAAGGTTTCATCTCACTTTTCAGTTCAGTCCAGTCAGGCCATGAGCTGGACAGTGACATTGAGAAAGGTTTTCTCTGTGATGAGAGGAAGGGTTCTTCATCACCCGGTGAAAAGGAACTTTGTAGGGAAAATGGAGGAGTAGGTGTGACTGACTGTGCACCTCTTGGAATACCTTCCTTGGGTGTGTGATCTCCAATTGCTGGTTCTGCACTATTACTAGCCTTGGCTTTTGAGGAAATTGTTCCACGCTTGTATAGTAGAGCATAACTATTCACAGTACCAGCTGGAGCAGTTTGATTGAGATTCACACCAGGATTAACAACCTTAGATTTGTCTTTCTTAGCCTTTGCTCGGTGCATTTCAGCATAAGAGCTCCCTGGTGTGTTTTCAGCAGCTTTAGGGACATGACGTTCGGTAGCTTGGTTTGCCTTTTGTATGCTCATGGCATGATACTTTTCAGCATAGGATGATGTGGTGAGTTTTGACTTTGGTGGAGTTGTCAGTGATGTCGTTCGTGGCTGAGAGGTGGATTTTGTTGCTCGATCATTGACTATTTCCATGGGAGCCCATGAATTCAGCTTCATTGGTGGCCGTATTGGTTCAATATTCTCAGCAGCAGCAGCTTGCTGAAAAATATAGATTAAAATATACCTTGGTTAACTGTTTCATGATGCAATATTTAAAAGCAATACAAAAAAAAGCAGAAAAGTCAAATAACAAACAATTGATCAATGAGAAAACTGAAGGTTTCTTCCTTGGACAAAGAAAGAAAAAGTAACCATGGTGATTGAAATAGCAACAAAACTCATAATGGGTTTAACATTTGAAGAAACCTATCCACAACAATCAAAAGGGAAAAAAAACTAGAGAAAAGAAACATGTTAGTGATATCTTATCCATGGCTTACCCACAGCATACCCTAAAAAGCGATATCTAATTTTCACACCTGTTTTAATATTCATGCCCTAGTGACAACAACAAGTTTGTACTGATAGCGAGTATTGTCAAATAATACATCTATTTTCCCAGCTGGCAATTTCAAAATTTGAACAAATTAAGCACAATAATAATTCACCTTACAATCCTTTGCCCAATAGATATGCTCAAAAAAATTCTTCTTACAACATTGTTATTTTTTATCAACAAAATGTGTGTATCATGAAAACCAAGTAGTTTCATTAGTATGATTACTGAACTTTAAAGAGGTGCCTAAACCTTATTAAACATTTGAATAATTTATAACAAGCCACATGAAAAAACTTGGCTGGGGATACATCAACAACATGTTGAGATAAAATACACATAATATATGAGCTTTTTAAGTTTGGTTGAAATTGATTTACAACTACAATTTAAAGTATGGCTTTTTCAATCTTTTAAGTTGAGGCTGGACCCATCATACACAACCTAATTTAAGGATGGCTAAAATTGGGAAGAGTTTTGAACAAATCAATTATTCATTCTAATACCACATTTACTACAGTGAGTTTACTCATTGTTGACCAAATTAAAATCCTGACTAAATTACCCTTTTCCACTTTGGAAGACATTAAACTTAATTTTTGAACTGTCAACAATAACTATTTGCATAATAATTTAAAAGGTGACATGTCAATCAAGCATTGAGCATCATTTGAATGTTCAGCTACTGTCCCTGATTAGTTCCAATAATCAGGTGACAGGAAATTATTTCTTTTCAAATCTATCAAATCCAACTGCTATGAAGATCACAATGTACTTGAGCTGTAATCAACAATTATGAATGTGCATCTGGCAAAGATAGAGGAATAATCTGATCGAAATTAATGATGTAGTCTTATGGCCAAGCAAGGCTTGCATTTGTACAGCTGTTATTCAAACTTATAGGCAGAAGGTATATGTACATTAAAAAATCTTGAGAGGATGAGAGATGATTTCTACAAATTTGATGCATACATATTCACTTTTACGAGAAAAAATACCTTTAAAATTGTGCTAACTAATGCAATGATGTTTTCTGATATCATAATAAGTCTCTTTGGGAGAGGCCCAAGCTAGAACAAGCTGTGATATCAAATCATTCTTTTTTCTCCTTGAACATTCAAAGCTTTAGATTGAAACTGACAAATTTCCACACATTTATAAATGTGGTTTAGCTGTCTCTCTATCGCAAGTATTTTGTTCCCAATCACATGAATAAAAAACATCGTCACTGATAATGCATCTATAAATAAAATCCCTTGTACACACATATGCAATGAAATCAAATGCACTTAATTCTTGTTTTCACCAAAACATTTCAACAACTATGTGCAGCTTTCTCAGGGACTAAAAGTGAGGTCATAAGACCTAAATGTTGTAAAACTCAGAAAAAGTTATTTACATAATGGAAACTCCTAAAATCAATCACTCTCACCTGAGTAACATCCTTGGCCTGGTCACCTTCCCAGGGTAAACGATTCTTTCCTGCACTAAAGAATCTTCGAGGACTTGGCCCAGACATGGAAAATGAATCATTAGGTCCTGGTGTGGAGCGACTGGAACCTGATGGATCGGCTGAGCCTGTTCCAGCAGTACCTGCTAAGATCCAGTCAATGTCAGCTCCACGTGGTGTGTTGCTCTGACCTCTGATTGTTCCAGATGATGGCATAGGAACAGCATATTCAACCAAACCATCCCTATTCAAGCGAGGAAGCTGCCTCCGGGCCAACCTGGCAGTAATAGCTGCCATTACACCATCACCACCCATTGTGAGCTCAATGGCATCAACTGCTGTCACCACAGGTTGAATGCGCCCAGGACCCATTGCTTGTGCTATAACTGCAAAAGCCTCCAGTGCTGCTTGTCGCACTCTTCTTTTACTGTCAACTAATACTGGAGCAATTGCATTGGTCACTTCTGGAAGATTGAAGTCTGAACTAGGAAATGTAAGTAGTGCAGCAATGAAAACATTTACAGTTTCTTCACGCACTCTTGAGTTTCGATGTTGTAAGTTTGATGTCAACACAGTTAAAACTGACTTTGGAGAAAGAATTTGCATAAGCTGCATGAACACCTTCATGTTTTCCTGTCTAATTACAATCTTATTGTCGCCTAATTTGTTAGATAGTGCTAACAGCAAAGGTTTAAGAACAGGACGTATGCCAACCCCCAATTTAGCAACCAGCAATCCAATAATTTGAAGACTGGTGACACCAATTTTAAAGTTCACATCGTCCAGGAAGCCAAGCAGTAACGCAAAGAGCGGTCCCAAATTAGGTTGAATAGGTTCTGTATCAGTTAACTGTCCCATAAGAGTTTTCAGTTCTTCAATTCCCTGGGCTCGTATCCTCCAATTACTTTGATCTCTTAGTTTCAACATCACAGAAACAGGGACAAAACCAAACTCGAGCAGTCCGTAGTTCGCATCAGGGTAATTATCTGTATTTGTTACGGCTATCGTGTGCCCTCTATCGAGCACGGTCCCTCTCTCTGGTAGCTCAACGTCTGAAATGATTCCGTTCGTGTTCAAGTGACCGGCACTTTTGGCCTTGCGACCTCCGAGCAACTCTAATTCTTTAACAGGATCGGCGCTTCGATTTTGAAGCGCTGATACACATAAATTTTGTTGATCAGGCGATAAGCGATGAAGGTAGCTTTCGAAAATTGTGGACCCAACAACATTTCGTATCCTTTCCAGAGAAATGACAGCAGGTGAAGTTTCGGGTCTCGACGAAGTTTCTAACTTCCCAACAAGCGCTTTTGTCAACGTAAACAGATCTTCATGGGCCAGGTTCGGCATAATGAGAATTGGTAAGGCTACTAAACTTTCTGTTCTTGTCCTTCTGTTGTCACTTTCAAGGCCATGATCGATGATTGCATTAAGAACAGCACTGACTTGCGAAGAATGTTTCATGTACACATGTAGGGTCTGAATAGCGGATTTTTTCACCGACACCTGGTTGTCTCCGATGTTTGACACGATTAGAGGAAGAACAAGTGTCATGCAACTATCCAAATCCTCTCCAAACTCAGGAATTATTTCACACAAGAATTCGATGCAACATAGTCGGGTGTTAGAATCTGAGTCGGCCAGAGCTTCTTGCAGAACCTGAAATAAGCCATGTCGATCGTCAAATTGTAAGCGACCACCATTTCGCCGTGCGTTTGCTCTGAGTTCGTCCAAAATGTCAGCTTTCTTCGCAGAGTCACTGTTTCTGGCTAGGCCCGCTAGCACTTCAGTCTCTTCCATATTTTGTACGAGGACTTCATCGGGCTCGGCGATCACTGATGACAGTGGTTTTAGCTTGGCAACACTACTAGCCATCTACCGTATGCATGATTGTATTAATTGCCACGAAATTATCAACAAACCGCTGCTACATAACCATCGCCAGGGTTTTATGCTTAAACGACGTTTGCATACGTTAGGAGTAAAATCCTTTCATCTCAAAAACAAGCAACCAGGCAAAGAAAACATTAGAGGAAATAAACTGGATCCATTACACTCGTCAAGAGTTTAGCGAAAATTCTACAAACTTTAGCTGCGTAAGATTCCCGGATGAACAGAAAGTGACATCAAACCATGCACAGCGGCATAAATGAACTGTTCTGATTGGTTGAAATCAAAGAGAAATTAGAATCTATCAAAATATTGCGGGGGCGAACAAAGAAATCGATTTCTGCAAAAATCCCAGCAGTCATTCCACAAAATTCATCAGCCCCAATCAAATTCAATCTTAGGCGATCTCGGAAACTTGAATAACAGCAACATAATTACCCACCGATTAGAATTGTTTATCGGGATTTTACCTATGTGACCAACAAATAAGGACCGGAATATTTGAACCAATATTCCATACGTTGACAAGCCTTTCCTACGTCTTGAGTCAGTCGAACATTCTCAAGTGCAGGGCAGGCGAAAAGGGGATGACAATATTCAATTCAGAACATGCAAACCTCAAGACACGCACAAAGTGGAAAAAAACTAATTTACGGGGAAGTTAAAGTTTGCGGGTTAAAAACGCGGGAAATAATATTTACTTTACATACTGGATGAAAGTGTGTTATGACCGGGGGAGCTGAATGTGCACATTCAGCGTGCTATAACTTTGGTCATGATTATTCAAAATTAGGCATTCAATTTGTTCTTTCTTATCTGATTGGTTTTCTGTAATAACTTGCGAGCTCTTATTTTATTTGGGAGCGTAAATTATCAATGTCCAGCTAACTAAGCGGTATAAGACCCATTAACACGTGCTCTCAAGGTCAGTTTTTGGCAAGCAGTGCTAATACCAGAACCAACACTAACTGTTGTCAAACCCAATTTTGTGTGCAATTTTCAGCACAGGAGGATTGTCATTTCAGAAAAAGCCATCCTCCATACTCAGCTTATGGGCTGGGAAATAAACAATTCATGCTGTTGAAACAGACTGAAACGGTGTCAAGAAATTACTTTCTATCACAAGGAAAGAGATTAGTCGGGGCGGGCGTCGTGTGTGTTGCTGTCATGATTTATTGTAATTTTTTTTCGTAAAATTTTTCTTTCCAACTGTAAGAAATACACGCAATATGGGAGTGATTAAGTAATACTGGATGATCTCCATCTCACACTAAATCGATCAGTGAGCTCGTTTCAGCAGTCTATCTTTCTTTCGACAGAATAACGTTCTGAACAATTTTAATAACGTACATCGTTTTGAAAGCTTTTGGATTGTAATAGCTCCCACGATTAATGTAAAGTATTTGTTCAAATCGGTAGAGACGTTGTAGCTTAGAGGTATGGGGAGCCTCCCCATATAGAGGAGGATGGTGTCACAACCGTTAATTCTGTTTTGGTCTGTTAGGGCTGTTTCTTAGGTCAGTGAACCATAAATGTTAGAGTAATAACACCATATGCGGAAACCGAGAAAATCTTCTCAATTTTGTAAATGAGTTTAGAAAGTTAAAAGTATACAAACAAATGCAATCATAAAAAGAGGCGAAGGAACGAAAAGTGGATTGTGGGGGATTATGAAATTAATGCCAAAGGTTGGAGCCTTTATGGTGTCTGGTTCATTAGAAAAAGGGTCACAATCGGTCATATCAATTACGGAGGGAATTTTATTCTTATTTTTCTACAGGGACAAAAGTTACATCATGATGCAATTTCTTTTGTCACTGTGATTCGCAGCTGTTCCGCATGGTATCCATGACAAAAAAGTGAAAATGGCCAGCAGCTGAGTAATGGAAGATATCAAGAGAAAGATTATTAGATGATGTTTTTTAGTCAGTGATACAGGAATACAGTTATCAGAAAATATATAGGGCCACGGCCGAGTTCTCGAAACTAAAGATCTTTCGTTTGTTTGAACTCGAAAAAGAAACCGTTATGAAGTCCTCAACTGACAAATCATCGTAAATGTAATACATATATTTTTTTGTTCTGATATGTTCTGCTTTTATCAATCGCATTATCTATCTTCTAAGAGATTGCTATAATACCAGATTGGATTCCCCCTGCAAAAAATTTCTGCGTATTTTAGATTGTCTGCGCACCTGGCGGTTTTCTGTGTACTTAGGCGATGAGTGGTTAAGCCGCGAGAGGCTTGGGACGGATTCTTTGTTCAGGTTGTTCATTGTTTTTCTGTAAAATATAACGATAACATTGCAAATAGAAAAAAAAAGGGAAAAATAAAAGAGAGGAAAAAACTACCAAAAAGAGCTATCTTATATTTAGTAACGCAACAATGTACTATATATTCCAATATGCTCTGACCATTTGACTTTTTCGTTTGAGGGTTTTCCCTGAGCAGTGATCGGTGGGGTGATATCATCGAGTGACATTTGGCTCCCTGTTGAAGGTGCACGCTCCACAATTCAGAAAAGAAGCATTTCATTCTATATCTCGATTTAGAAGTATGGAAAAAACGTCTGTTGTAGTTTTCCTTTTCTGATATCCTTTCATGATCATTATTATCTTTATCATTATTATTATGACGTTTTCACGAACTTTTGTCGTGTGTTGTATGTCGTAATGTCGTAATGTCCTTTGAACCGGAAAACCATATATGGAAGTGGTCTGATATGTGGGCTTTTTTGCGAACAAAAGGTTGTCAAATGGCAGTCTTATTCCCGCGGAAGATACTCTGGTACGCCTAAAGTTTTGTCGCCTCAAGAGATTCCTATTTTCAAACCATCTGAAAGAATACATCTTCCTAGAGTGATTTAGTAAATTGCGAGCACGTCCATATTTGGAAGACAGTCATATTGTCTAAAATTAAGCTTTGTCACGTGATTTTCAGGCGAAGAGAAAATTAAGAATAATGGCAGCGTTGTAGTCCCTTGCGAATTTAAGGACGAAAGATCCCTTCACACCATTGTCATGGAATGAGTGAGTCTTACTTGTTCTCACAACGGCATTGCGACATCATAAACACGGCTCCTGGTTCACCACGAAAGACAAAGTTGCTGCGCAAGTTGAGACCGACTTGAGAGCAGACGACATCATGGCCGGCTGTGAAGAAAGCTGTGGATTTTACTTTGTCTTTGCCCTTGTGACATTTTTCGTGTGGATGGACCTAAGCTTTTTCGATGAATTAGCAGAACATGGTTCATTCTACAACGATTCAATGGCAGAACACATGATGTTCCCAGTGAAAACGGTCAAAATTCGGATGCAGGACCATACGGATCATTACGTCAATGTTCCTTCCATGCAATTTTTAAACGAGAATACGGGCTTACACACTGTTCCCGGAGTTACTCCCAATCTTATTAGTGGAATCCATCTCTTTTTGGCTGTTATGGCAGCGAAGTGCTTTATTTCAGGTTCCCTTGCCATTCGTAGGCTTGGAGTTCTTTTTTATCAACTTCGCTGTGCGTTGGATATTTTAGACGGTGTTGTCTTTCGTGCGCAACAAAATATTAGAGGGAATTTTATGTCCGTTTGGGGATCGATGGGTTATTTAATCGACGCTTTCGCTGATATGGTGGGTGGTTTGTTGGTCGGGTTAGCATGTGCTGTATTTCTGAACCGTTATCCACCTTGGAAACGTGTTAGGACAAAGCCCCACGATGAATTAGAGTCGGGAAGAAAGACTGTGAGTTTTCAAACCGAAGAAGAGGAGCGTTATGTTCATGTTAGTCGGCGTTCTGTAAATATCAAAATGTTCCTCGTTATTGCTCAAATTGTTGCTAGGAGTGGATTCTGGGATCATTACTTACATTCCTATGTGGAATTATTGGAGACACCTAACCCCGATATTCCCAGAGTAAGTGGAGTTCATGAGGAGGTTGTCTGCTTTACACCACAACATCCCCTAGCTTATTATATTGTCTGTCAAGGGAAGATCTATGACAGCAATGTATTAATTAGAAGTTAATGTTCTTAAATGCTTTAGGAAATCTTGTTACAAAAGCAGTAATTACAGGCAGTGCCGGCAAAGTGTATGGAATGATTTCAGTTGTGACCTGTCAAATATTTTGCTCAGGGGAAATATGCTTGTGTATTTGTCCCTCCTCCAAGCTCACAGTTTTCCTTGAGCTTCACTCTGTTGGCATCTTGGAACAGATAATGTTTGCAGACAAATATCCGTGCATATTTTTGCATTAAATAGGGGCTATTGTTTACATATACAATGCTTATATTATATAATAGAGTTCACTAAACTGTTATTGCAGTTTGACTATGTAGTGAACAACATTCATTGGTTACAACATACTCAGAGACAAACTATGATAAGATTGTTTTATGGAGTCTCCTTAGGGTATTTTTAGCCTGCAAGATATGGGTGCCAACATGGTGCAAATTTAAAAAATTGTCAATAAGGGAATCAAGCAGCTTCGTATGATCACATCATTGTTATATTTAAAAAAAGGGTATAGAATAATATAGCTCAAACATCTTCCTTTTATTGTAGATTTTGGTTGTGTTTAGGGTTATGGTTTAGGTTTAGGATTGAGGTTAGGATTTGAAATCATTATTAATGATGATAATTCCAATATTAAGGAAGCATTCATCATTAGGGCTTTGTTTTGGGTTGCTTGAGATCTGTGATTATGGTAACTATATCTTTAAACAGCAAATACAGCAATGTGACCTTACCAATTAAAATTTTTTTCTTTATAAAGGAGCTACAGGCGGAAGTGCTTAGTTATCGCAGTACGTGGGTTATCATGTGGCTGTGGAAAGTGTCCAGTGCTGATGCCTTTTTGCAATTTACAAGCCTGGCAATCCTGTTTGATAAGTTATGGGTGAGTAACTTGGTTGTTGTAATCACACTTACAAAATTCACACCCTCAGTAGATAGACCTTCCTCTGGAGATCTGGCATTGACTTGGTTTTTGTTATTAATTTCAGGTTTGGGTGCAGATCCTAAATTACTTTGGGCCCCTTGAGCTTGCCTTCGTTATTGTTCTCTCTCAATTGCATTTAATGGAGGTATGGCAAGTTTATATATAACAACTAGTAGTACCAGTAATCATTGATTATGAATTGTCTTTGCAGGGAAGAAATTTGGGTCCTGGAATACTTAGATTGGTGAACATGCCAGGAAAATGATGGATTTATGAGAGTAATGCACTTTGGAATGAGCCATAATAATTGTCTGGGGAGAAATGGAAAATTATGTGTCTAACAAACAGTTGACTCTAGAGTATGACAATTTAAATTACTTATATCAGCAAAAAAAGCAATAGATGCATATTAAGTTTTTACCCAGAAATCAAGATAAAAGATGAAAAGTACTAATTTATTTCCACATGTGCAAATGGTTACCAGTCACTTTGCCACCACAGCAAACTTGCCACCACTGAGAGTCAAACTACCAGCTACCAGTGGCAATTTGATTGAGTCATTATGTGTAGCCAGTCGTTTGAAACTTACATCAAATAAAGCCAAGATGTAGTAATGTATTGTGAAAAGGGAAAGGGACTCAGAAGTTATGTGAAGCATCTCAGTTATGGAATGTTGACCGTTAAATGTTGATGTCTTGAAGATTATGATCAGTTTGTGCACAGAGAAATCAGAGTGATTTTCATCAATTGATTTTTGCCAAGTGATATTCACAGATGTTTATGAAATCATACAAAACCTACATCAAATAAAGTTTTGGTTTTGATAATAGGCAATTATCTTATTTATCCGTGCATAAGTCGACCTTTTATGACTGCAAAATCAGCTCAAAAAATCACCCTGGACTTCTGCATGGGTCATAGACAAAGACCTGACCCAAGCAATTCAAGAAATTAGCATAACAATTGCCTGAAGTCCGTAAGTAAAACCAAGTTAGCAAAACCAGTTCTGATTGTGTTCGAGTTTCATCAGTGTTCAGTGTGTTCTTCATTGACGAAAAAGTTTGAAATAATAAATTTTATGTGGCTTAAACAGAAATCTACTGGAGCTGATTTCTATTGTATCTTCTGATATGTAGAGCAGACGTTTTCCCTTACAGTTTCGTTGCTGTTTACAGTTAGTACTGAACTCTCGTTTTCATCGCATGTAGAGTTATTTTAGTTACCAGTGCTCCTCAAATTTGTAGTTTCCAAGATGGCGGTGTTTTCATCAAGTGATCCTTCGAAGCTCTGCGGTGTTTCTTCAGTCTACTAAATCTCCTTTCAAAAGGTTATTTAAATGCATGAAGATTTCATTTTCAAAGCCGTTAACAAAATATGGTAAATTACTTCTCCAGTAAATGGAAGTGCTCATATATGCTTAAATCATGAATTGTGGTGATATAAACAAGTGTTACTAAACTTCACACTGCAGTTTTTTTTAATTCACCATGTTTTCAATACATTCTCAGAAATAAGAGATCAAACACTTGGAAACTTTCTATCAGTCTGAATTTTTCTTTTACTAGAAATGATGAAAAATCCAATCTTTGACCTTGAAATGGGGGGTTGACTCATACTTTGGTTTGACTTATACATGGATAAATATGGTAAGGGTGATTTTGCCAAAAGTGACTCTTATGATTTCAACATGTTTTATGTAATTCAAGGGATAACATGCTATAATTGAGATGCTACACATATAGTTTGAGTTTCTCTTGCTGTATTTGTTGGCACCTCTAATTTTGCAATACGACAACTTTACGTTCATTTCATCATGATGCAAATTTAATGTGAGGCTAAACATAACTCTTTAGTCAAATAGTCACTGGTGGTGATTTGACTCTCAGTGGTGTGGTGCCATTGACTTGAAAGCTTATTTTGTTGCTTTTAGACTTAAATGTCCATTATTTTCCAAGAGTATTCCATTGTAATTTTCAAGATGTCTGAGTGTGGAATGAAATGGTATTTTCCACTCGACAAGCTGATCTTGTTCCATACCCTCTTGGGCAAAAACTAATCAATTTTTTTACCCAAATTTTACTAAATGTTTTATTGAATGGAATGCATCCCTTGTTTGAAGTGATTAGAATACTGAAATTTGCACCAATTCTAAAAATGTTCACTATTTGACAGGTTGTTTTTAGCAAAAAAATTGATTAAATTTTAGATTATTAGTGCCTCTGGTAGTAATCACTCCAAAAATTTACTGCCTTCAGGCCCCATGAATATTCTCAAATATCATCTACATAAGAACTTAGAGCAATTGTTTGGGAACATTTTGTGCAGACACCTTCCACTGAAGTGTTCTTTCTCTTTATCTCTTTAGGTAAGAGCATACTTGCTTGGAACATGAAGCTTTTTTGAACCACATTGCATATTGTTCCTTATTGGAGCTTAATTAATTTCATTTTATTTTTAGACATTGTTAATGTCTAATAGACCACATGCTAAAGAGTGGATCAGTAACAGTTACTGAAATAGAAGGATGTTAGCTTTTTCAACACCAGGGTTTATATTTCTCAGAAATGATGTGAATTAAATAGGGAATAGCTCACTGCTCAGGTTTAATGTGATCCCAAATGTTTAAATGGTTGCTTACATCTCAATCTGAGTTATAATCGTGCTTAGGTTCAGATTAAGTTGTGAATGTACATTTTCCTTAGCTATGTTCATAGAATGAAAATTGCTATCCTTTGCTAACAGTTACTGGCTAACCTAACATTAACTTAAAAGATAAAAATTTCTGTTAATTTACACAAAAGGCAAATGGTTCTCTTTTCCACTTCTCATCATAAAGTGGTGCATGGATTCTCAACCCTGCACTTCCAAGATACTTTACCTTCAAATATTTTATAGGATATGATATGATGAGGTACAACTGTGTTCATTTTTCACTAAAGAAAGATTTGAATGAAAATAGGTGTCAAATCAAGAGCAACATTTTTGGTCAAAAATCCAAAGAAACTAAAAGCAGATTTTCCTTTCAGTTGTGTTCAAATTATTTTGGGATTGTATTATTAAAACAAACTACTACAAGTTAAAATCAGAGTTCCACCAATCAGCATTATTTACATTTTTGTCTTTATTATTTTCAGTACAATTTTAATTCAGATTTATCTAATGGATCACTAGTGACATGATTAATACTATTGATGATATATATTAGCACATTTTCTTCACTTCTCAGTCCTAACTTGCTGTATCACAATAGAGTTGAAAAACAAAGAGATGTTTATGGAGAATTATTTAAAATATTTTCATACTATTTTTTATCTATTTATCACCACAATTGCTGAGGAGAAATTATCACTGTTAGATAACTTACTCCTTTTAAAAGGTTCAAAGGAAGAGAGACCACATTGTATATACAGAATTTACATCTATATAATGTACAATGTTTCTGTTATAATGAAGATCCCTACCTAATAAAAACATGTAATTGGTGAATTTTTAAATGTGTAAGATTATGGCAAAATCCTTAGTTTCATAAGTGTATGGGTGTACTTATGAGAGATGGAAATTGATTTTTCAAACTAGTTGCAAGATTTTGTTCAAGATTTAAGAAGTGCCATGGCTACTGATCTTCCCTTAGTGTTACAACAGTATGCTTTGTTGTTAATTTTATCTCTTTCACATGGAAACCTTGTTTCCTTTAGATTTCTTTGCATATGAAAGGTGAAGGACTAAGGACCACTTAAGATGAGTAAAATGATTCTTATTGCCTCTCAATTAGTATGTTTATTATGAGAGTGATTAATTTAATTGCCATAATGATGCTGACTTCAAATAAAGACTTTGAAAGAAGTAATAAAGTGAAAGTAGGATGGTGTACAGTCACTGTTTTCAGCTCTAATTTTCCATCCTCTTAACTTTGGCTAAGAAAATTAACGTTGCATTATTAAAGTGGTAAGGGTCTGAATTGATATCTATACAGCCATAATGTATTGTGTAAAATGGCTACCTCACAACCATATGGGACAGATTCCAGCTTCACCTTACAACAGAAAGCTTTAATAATGAACCATTAGGTTTATTTTGTACTGTTTGGCTGAACATCAGTGTACATTATATCAAGGAAACAAAAAATACAATCCACATTATAGTAGAAGTAATTGCTATTGCAATACATTCACATATATATTGAAAAAACAAAAACAAAATGAACAGACAAGAGCTGGGAAACCATTTACAATTATTTTGGTTGGAAAGGGGCCCTAAAAAACTTGTAAAAATCTGGTTAACCTGGGGATGGTGAAGGGATTATTTGGGATGCAGGATGGAGCTCAACATTAATATAGGATGCATTTATTTCACAGAAAGGCAAAGTAAGGTGCAAATTGATGTTTTTTCTCAATTGTGACACATGAAGTGTTACTGTATTCGAAGTAGAGTTTTTCTTGAATTTGTGCATGAAACAGGATTAAGACCCCAGTGTCGTCCAACTGTTAGACTATATACTGATACAAGTTAAGAAATGGGAAACTTCCAAATTCATAGGTAGTATATAGCTAAGCAGGGCAATTGTTGTCTGATTGATTTGACCAAAGAACAGTGTGGGTTAGATTTCTGTGGTTAGCACACCTGATTTTGTGAGATTACCTTGCCTTATTCTACTTTATTCCAATCCCGTGGGGCTCTAAGTGATGTGCTCCAAACTGACATTAAGCAGTAAGGCTGGATGGAACTCAAACAAGTTTATTTCCATTTGTACTTTGAGAGAGTTTTTAAGAGAAGCCCTAATGCATCAACTAGGAGTGGCAGAATGATGCAGAATTGGTGGCATAATTGCTGGCGGATGAGATGAATTCATTGGTGATTTTATTGGTATTGGAAGAAAACAGATAGTATTAATACCTATCAATCACCAACATACGAGTTTAGAGTAATTTTTTCTTAAAACCTGACAGTTTCTTTAAGAGCCACCTGAGGTATAGGATGTTACAATAAAAACAAACTTTTTTCCCTAATGTATGAATGTAATGGTCTCAATTACTGCATTCAACTGCACTACTAATATACAATCCAAGAAAGACTTGTGAATTCAGCAGCCATTATATCTAATTAGTACAAATATGGTAAAAATGATGGAGTTACTACAAACTTAACGTAACTCCAAATGGATAGTGGATCAGTGAAAAAGAAAATCAGAGAGCTTATTTTGCAATTCCTAGAAGTAGGCATAAGGTACACACTTCATGGCAATTAGCAGGAATTTGGATTAGAATGGGTCTTCTGTTTTCATCAGATAACCTAAGTTCAACTATTTCTGATACTAGCAATCTTTGCCTCCAAGCAGATCATATGATTAACATGTACAGACAGCATGAAATACACCAAATTCAGGGCCTTTTAATTAAGGAATATCTTACATGACAGTAATAATGAACAAAACAAGGAAGTATAATCCCTAATAAATTGTATGAAAGTGATACAAACATTATTTGCATCAAGATAACTTCACATCATCATTACTTGAGAGTAAATCTTCATTCGCACAAGTAATAATATTGTTAATTAGCACATTGTGTTGATATTATTTCATAAGTTATGTCTTTCAGAAACAAACAGAGAGAAATGGCTGCACTAATAACTAACAGGAACTTAACATATTTCACACCCTAAACAAAAAGAATTTAATGAGATTTTGTATTGTTAAAATAAAAGGATTCTTCCAGACAAGTGTGAGTGTTAATGCATAATCAATGATGTACAATTGTGCTAAGGAGAATCTTTATCATTACCACAAATAGTTCAGCTGGCTGGCCATGGTACAGTCTGTAGATAAAATATATCACTACCACTCCTAAATTTAGAAAGAGAAGTCAGCTCACCCTCAATTCTTAGATTTCCAAGTAATAACAATGAAACCCATAAGACCTGTACATGTAAAAGTTTCAACCACTGACATGGCTGCCTGCCTGCTTGCACCAGGCTTGGGTACACATCAAATGTAAATAATTATTTTAGTCAAAGAATAAAATCCTTGAATTCTTCTAATATTTTATGTTCATGTCACCCAAAATAACCCTTCCTTGGCTGAATAAAACCTAAGATTATTTCTTTGTAACTTTAAGTTTATGGCTGATTAACTTCCAATATTTGTGGATTGTTTAAGCGTCTTAAATCAAGAGCATTAAACATTAGAGAAAAAATAAAGGTTATAAAATTATATTTACCATCCTGCCAATGACTGAATTATTGAGGGCTATCAATTCTTAATAATTATTTTCTGTCCATTAGAACAAAAGAGTTCTCACTGCATGTTTTATTTTATTGTAACAAAAGTTAAAGAGTCGCTATACCAAAACTACAACGACTTGAACACATGCTTTTGACATTGTGCCATGTATTTGTATTTGGATCATAGCACTGAACAAGATTGAGGTAACCTGATCCATCATGTCCTCCAACTGAATACAAAAATCCATTCAATACAGCAACACTAAGACCTGTTCGTGGTCGACTCATAGGTGCCACCATAGTCCATTCACTAGACAACGGATCAAAACGCTCCACACTTCGTAAATGGGACACCCCATTGTGACCGCCTAGTGCAAGATGAAAATGACAAATGAATTTGGCTGCATAAATTGCAATTATCATGAATCACATTTAAAGCATAACATTAAACTTCTGTTAAAGTACATTGAATGAATTCTGACAATTCTTCACAATGGATGAAACAGTCACATCTGAAAAAATTCACAATTTACATATCAAATATTAATCTCACCAACAACATAAAGACATCCATTCAAAACTCCAACACCAAAATTAATTCTATAGGTGCTCATTGCTGGCATCATTTCCCATGAATTTGAAGCAGGATCATATCTTTCAACAGTTCGGAGATAAGATGGCCCGTATCCTCCCAGAGCATAAAGATATCCATCACATGCTGCTGTGGCAAAGCAGCTGCGACTGTAGTGCATTGGCACCACATGACTCCACTGTTTGGTACGACTATTGTAGCACTCCACTGTGTTGAGGTAAGAGTTACCATCATAACCACCAAGAGAATAAAGGTACCCACCTGTTGGTAAAAGACAACGAGTTTCCTACCAAGACTGAACTTGCCTAATAAAGTTAGTGAAATTCAACACTGACTATTGGAAAAAAAAAATTTAAACCATAGTATGGTACCCTGCCAACTTTTTTAGCAGTGTGATGTTGATAATGGCAATGATGTACCTCCTGCTCACACAACTAAAGTGTGTGTTTAGTTGGTAGAAAAAGTAATAACCTAGAGCTGGCCTAAGAAGTATCATACAAATGCCATCCACCCTCCAACACTTACAAGACACACAGCACAGATATAACTGAAGCATTTTATCAAAAGTCAAAAGTTACTTGCCTAATGGTTGCACTGTGTGGTTGCTGCGACACTGATTCATAGGAGGTACTCTACTCCATTGCCCTGTATCAGGATCAAAACATTCACTTCCATTGTCACAGTACCTGAAGGGTGCTCCACTGTGGACACCAACACCACACACCAAGCCACCCACAGCATACAGTTTACCTGTGAGATACAGCTATATTAACATAACATTCACTTAAGATAGGTGCAGTAACTACTAATGGTTACAAACTGGTGTATTGGATTGTATGACAATCTTTAAGAGGAAGAAGAAGATTTATGAGCATTACATTGTTGTGACATAGCAACTAAAATGGTCAAAGGGAAAGTCTTGTTAAGATGGCACACTTTCAAAACTGAAACCAGTGCCTTGATGAAAGTCTAATACAATTTCAGCTTCTGGATCAATTATAAGATGAGATACCTTAAGTTTGATTTGCCAAGCCATACTACTTACTGATAGTAGGAACAACCTTATAAATGCTTTGACTCAAAGTCTGAACTAACGATGTGTCAAACTTAACACATAAATTATGATAAAAAGTTTTTCCTGAGACTGCTGAAAATCTTAGCAATGCATTGTGAATATCTAATTTAATTCACCACCTGAGTAAACTGGCTGACATTTGATCATTTGAGCTAGTCTAAATTTAGATTAAAATGTACTAATTAAAGAAAAGTTCAGCATATGAAACGGGAAAAAATGCTCAACAATGTCAAGGACATGGAAATGTGAAGTATTTGATGAAGTTATAAATCGCTTGAAATAAAATTGCAACTCTTTAAGGATAGCAATGGGCATGGAAAATGTTGTGTTTGTTCCAAAGTCTAAGAAATATGCTCTCTAATTAAAAATATTCAGAGCTTTGCCTCCTCGACTCATGAAATTTTGTTTGCAGACTTAAAATTGTCTTTACCCTTGAACAAACGAGTGTAACTGGTAATAAAATTAGGATCAAAAGATCTCACGATTAATTTCTCATAAAACCCTACAAGGGTTTTATGTCTGAAATCTACAATGAACATGATATAATTATCGGAAAGTATGTTGTTAGAAGTGAAACTATATCTCATTGAAGTTCACCTGTGTTGTCTTGATCGAGTCGAAACAAAAACCTACCATCTAATACTGCTGCTCCAAACTCGAATCTTCTTAGATTCATGCTGGACACTTCAATCCATTTGTCCCTCTCGGGTTCATAATATTCTACACTACTCAAAGTTGCAAAAAGACCATTTTTACCCCCCAAGGCAAAGATTCGCTTCGGCGCACGTCGAGGGATGACTGTGGTGCTAAAAGAAGGGCACTTCCCTTGAATATGTCTGTAATTTAAAGCATCATGTAACAAAACTTGGCTTGCTCTATCTGCCCGAATAAGTTCATTTGTCTCGTAGCTCAGTGTAAGAAAACGCGACGTCAACAAAGGTAAACGGACGTTCTGAAGTAGTTTTCCAAGAAGCGATATTCTCTCCTGGAGTTTGTGCCTAATCCAAGATAGAACTGCTTCGAACACAACTTGTTCTGAAACAACGTTTAGGTTATCGTCGCGGAGTAGGTCCGTCAGCTGACAAGGTGACAAGAGGAGATATTCCTCGTACTGGATAACTTCTTGGAAGTGATCTTGAATGTACTTCCTAGATCTTTTTTGCAGACTTTGACAAGAGTACGCGTCTGCAAACTTGCTGATTCCTAAACAGTTGCTAGGATGAAGCTGTTGGCTGAGAAAGTGACAGCATATCTCCTTGACCCTGTTTAACTGCAACATGTTGGCAGCTGGCAGCAAAACTTGGACGTTTTCCTGTGTAACTTGAGCTTTTCCTGTGTAAGCGAAATCGACTAGAATATGAAGGGCACTTTCGTCGATATCTTTCAAATAAATGACTTGTTTCTGGCTTTCAAGGAGCTTTCCTGTGAACATGGCATTAAAGTATGGGCTACACGCCGACAAGACTACACGATGAGCTGAAACTCTGTTTTTTCCGGCACAAAGTTCAACATCACACAGTTCATGTCGCTGGCGAAGTTGATTCAATCCCTTGAGCAGTTGATTTGAATGTACAATTTCAGGTGTACCTTGATTAGCCTCTGATTCATTAACCATTGTCTCAAAATCCTTCTAATTCTCGGCCTTAACGCCAAACTAAAGAAAGAAGACACCTAAAACTCCAAACCAAAACAAACGAACCCCTCCATGAAGCCTCTTTTCAAGAACCCAACGCTAGACACCTGACTGGACAGCGGCTGACTGCGGGGAATATGCGAAGTGGCCTTATCTCTGCCAGATGGTCTACTTCTGTTCTTATCGGCAGTCAATCAGAAGACTTTAACGAAAATATTTATACATTTTATTTATACTTTGCGATAAAAACGCCGAATTTCCCTCATGTATTGAACGAGATTTTTGAACGGCTTCCAGTACGTGTCGGTTTCGTTGGAAACCGCTAAAATACTTATGAAAAATTCATTGTTATCTATATTTAGACAAATGTTTACTAAAAATAGATGCTAATTGGATATAGAGTCACGAAACCAGTAAAAGACGACATGAAGGCGGCTAATAAGGCACGGGAAAGATGATAATTTAATTGAGAGAATGTTTTTCGTAGTTTGAAAAAGGTGATAGGTGGTAAAAACAAGGTTTTCGTTCTGAGCTTATCTGCAGATGTCTTCTTCAAACAGAAAGGTATCGAACTCTTTTTAGGATAACCCCAATCAGTTCCATTTGGCGTTAGACGTGCATTTTACGTTCATAATTACCCACATATGAACTGGAAAGGAAAACTAACAGGATAATTGGAGTCATCGAAAAGCATCAACTACAAGAAGGAAATGAGTCGTTGAAAACGGCGAACTAAGTATGAAAATGAAACAATAAGAACCGAAAGTAATTGCATTTTTGTGTTCATCTTTATCACTGGTATAACTCTCCATTATTTGAAGATCTTTAGAATTTTCATCCTTGATCATCAATTTAAAGAAACTACTCTTGATATCAAACACAGGCTACAATGTTTGGGCAAGACAGTTTATTGAGCAGCAGAACGAGACATTGGCGCTAGAGATCAATAAACTAAACCAGTAAGGGTGGTGTGGGCGGGAAAGCGCTGACTAGCTCAAAACTGGCAGAGCGTTAGAGCGATCTGAAATTCGATACACTAGAACAGCTAAAAGTAACTGATCGGGGGCGTGTTCTCTACGGTAATTATCCATCATCAACCATGGTGATCATTGTGTGAACATAAATAGCAGCTAGTCGCGGTCTTTTTAACATTGTAATTCACTACTGAGTCAAATTCGACAAGCGTTCATTGTATGTAATAAGTGATTATCATAAAGAGATTCACAATTTTCTGGTATTTGAAATATGTAATTTCTAGTTACTAATCTCCTCTGAATCAATTCCACAAGAATCTATTGTCATAGTTAAGAAATCATGTTCTAACTTAATTACTAATCATCTCTGTTCATCAAGAATCTTTGAGTTGAGGGTAGTTTTTTCATGCTGAGCTCCACATAGGTCATCACCTTTTTAACATCTTGAAACCGTTAAGTCAACCTACTGGATAACTGGAATAAAGAAATGGTACCTGGACTGTTGATGCGCCTTACGGAGTCCACTGTAACTGTTTAAAAGGTAAAGAGAATGGATAATGAAGATGCTCATGATATTTATTCATCTGTGGAAGTCTTGTTTTGTTTTGTTTTATTTTGTTATATTTTCTTTTTCAAGAATGACAATGTCGAAGAGGGAACAGTTTTTTTTACTGTAATTTCCCTCATTATCTTTTACGTGTTTCACCTACCCCTCCCTAGTTGGTACTTTTCGAGAACGTTACCTAGCAACTGTTAGCAATTGACTTAGAAAGGACACTTTACATTCCTGCACAGTTTGCGCTGTTTGTTTTGTCGAGACAAAGTGCAAATATTTTCAAAGTGATCAAAGGCTTCTTATTTTCATTTCAATTTTATTTCGATGTTCTCATCAAATTTTAACAAAGGTCTTTACGGTCCAACTCGGACAAGTGCTCGGACGGAAATCAAAGACGTCCTTTTGCGCGATCATGTGTTACAAAACGGAGAATGGCACGGCGATGATCGGCAGAAGAATCCGTGGAAAACCTCCTTTTCTATTTCTTTTGAGGTAGGATTTAGCCACGTGTCAGTTATCACTTTCGTAGAATCTGTTGTTTTTTTTCTACGGAGTATTAGTTGCTCGTCAGATTGTAAGGATCTAGAGATGTAAGTGAATATGTGAGCTTGTAATGAACTACAGCCGAACCCAGCGGGTCGTCAAGGGTCACCAGACTGGAGAGCCGCAAAATTAATTTGGAAATTAGTGATCGTGAATTACTCTAGAATAGAGAATACCGTTTACTTTGCCGATTATGTACTTAGAATCAGGCGGGTTATTTGCTCATTTCTCTTTTTTCATCACTCTCGTGTACGCGTTGCAGCCGAAACCTTCGAGTCATAATTTGTTTACAGTTTGGATTCTCGAGTGATATGGATGATTTGACATGGACATAGCTAGCAGTGAAACGATTGACGATAATTTTTTTAAAAGGAAATTTAGCTTACAATTAATTTACAATTGTTTAAATCGCGTGTTTTTCCTAGAAACCCAGCGTTGGAAAAAATGTCAAGCATGGCAAAGTTAACGTGCGGGTAAGTTGATTGAAAGACAACAAAGATTGTATTGATATTAATTATTGGAAAGTCTTACTACACAGGCTTGCTAAATAGATGTGCATGACATTAACTCTTGTTTGATTGTAACTCAGATGTTGATTTGGAGGTGCATTTCGCCTGATTTGTATGCTTCTAATGCTCTGTTTATTGTTGCTTTCATAGAAATGTCTTTTACTTTTACAAAGAAATCTATACTTAAGTTACATGACTATGAGGTTTGATGAAGACTGAAAATCATTTATCTTTTCAATTCTCTGCTTCCTCTTTCACTTTACGCAGACAAATGTAACCAGCTTTGTACTGGGCTCAGAGGGGGGTCTCTCACTGGCAACTACAGCAAAGGACTTTGATAACAAGCTTCAGGGAGCTCCTTTCAAAGCTGCTCCTAGCCAGTCAACCAGCATTGCTGTAAGTGGGTACATTTGTTTTTTTGTTTTGGTTGATATTTGGAACCGCATGGATAACACATGTTTACAGTGCCTGCTTGGGGTTAGTTAATAAAATTATTCATACTGATGTGTCTGTTGTACCTGTAAACAGGATTTCTCTCCTAAGTACATGTCTGATGAAATATTTGGAAGGTCTGGATCAGTTTACAGCAGAACGTTTGCAAAGGTATGTTGCTAGAGCAAGCCCATTATCTGATTTTTCATTCTTAAAACAGATAACAGTAAGTTTTAAAATTTATTGAATCTTTCAAATATCTAGTAATTGATTACTTATTTATCACCTTAACTTCTTTTGAACATGTTGATATGTTTTGTGTAGCTGAGTATTTCAAGATGAAGTGAGTATTGTAATATGTAACTGATTTCAGCTTTTCTAATTCACAGGGACCCCAGGCACAAGGCTCTAATGCTAAAAACAGAGCTGAATGTCAAAAGCTTACCACCCATCTCAATACATCTCATTTTTATTTTGGGAGTGATTTAAATGGGTGAGTAATCTGGAGCTAAATGTTAAAATGTTTCAGTCTTGATGAATTTTTACAACTCAGTTTTCATTACACATTTTACAGGTTGTATTCCTGTTATCATGTTTTGTATATTATTGCCAACACTGTTATAAATATGACCACAATTGCTTTTCATATCGTCCTTATCAGTTTTATTATTATTTGACAACTTTTATATGGGTACCAAGGAAGCAGCAAAACTAGAGAGGTGGGATTTGACATCAAAGGATCCTCTGTTGTTATTATTTTTTTTTAATGCAATGATCACTCAACAACCTTTTTCTCATTCACAGATATGGCACAGAGACAAGGCACTCATTTGAGAAGAAGTTGGAACATTCTGCCAAGGAACCTGGCCCAAGCACAAACCTGGCTTCCAAAACAGCTCAGGAGACTTACAAATCAAGTGCTTTTAGACACGGTGATTGGAATGTGGCTGAACCTCACTTTATAAAACATTCAGTGACATGTAATGACTTCCATATCAAACCCTTTACAACAAGCCACAATGTTGGATCAAAAGATACTAAAGGACAAAAACAGGAAAAAGATGAGTTAGAATACACTGAATCCAAAGTACCTTCCATCAGCCCAAAAGGTATTAATCAAAAGACTTCCAACGTACTTTGTCTTCGTTGCATATACTCTCAGAAGGATGTGAGGAACAGCTGAGAAACAATTGATTTTTGTGGCCTTTGATAAAAATTAAACCTCATGTTTTATTTTTGGAATGAATACAAATATCAAGCCCTTGCAGTCCTATGTGTTACCATGATGTGTTTATTTATTCTTACAGACAATCCTAGCCATCCTTATTATCAGCGCAGCACTCACTTTGTGGTAAGTCTCACCAATGAACAATCTGTCATTTAAAAGGTAAAACTGTATCCCTTGCTTTATTTGTTATGGATCCGAAATGATGTTAATGTTGGTAAATGCAAATTCATGACATTTACCCTAACAAGAATCTTTACCCTAGAAGCTAGTTTTGCAAGAATATTTGACCCAAGACACTTACAGAGTATGTAGAGATGTACAGCAATCATACAGGTGAATGTAACATTCATAACAAGCATGTTGATCAGCAGTACCCTTTAAAATACCTACTGTGTAAATTGCTTTTCTTTTATGCTTGCAGTTAGGAACCAACACAGATGATAGAAGTTCACTTCATCAGAAAGGTAACATTGAACATGTAAACACTGTGGGCTTTATTCTTTTGCCAGTGGATCTTACTCAGAAGTACTCCATCCCTTTTCACTCTTTTATCCCTAGGAGTGTCCACAAAAGAACTTCTTCTTTTACTTTCAATATATTTTTTAAGCCAAAAGTGATGAGAAGAAACAAAGATACTGTATCAGCCAGGGGATACAATGTTTGATTTAAAGCCAAACTATCAAAGGTTATAGATTATAAATAATGTATGACTGACAGTCTGGGGAATTGTTCTTAATTTTACATCTTGGGGGTAAAATGGTGGATGTATATCAGTGAACAGTTTTTATTGTTATCCTCGTAAAATGTGAGAAACATGTAATAAATTATTCACATGATGTTTTGTCCAAATTACTTTTTGACCCTTAGATTTTATTCTTAGTAAGCGAGAGTGCTTGATAAAACCACCAGCAGCTCCTCCTCCAATCTCTTCCAAGGTGATTAACAGAACATGTTTAACTTACTTACAAGATGTTATGTTCCCTGAAGCGATTGAGATCATATACAACCTTGCAATCTTCAATTGAAAATCAATAAATAGCTCCTTCAGTTCATTCTTACACACAGTGTGGATGAATTAGAGATTAGGGTTTATGTTTTCTTTTTCTGGAAAAAAAAGGAATATTCATCATTATCATTTCATTAATTTCAATTGTCACACAAACTTAGCACATTTTTTAATACATACAATAGCAAAACTTAAATCTATAGGTTCTTTTTAGCTGCATGTTTTAATACAGTAGTTACCATGAGGAAAAGATAGCTGTTGACCTTAATTCATATATTCCTTTCTCCCCACTCATGACCAGGTTCTTCCAAACCTGGAGGACTGTAGGCCCTCTTGTTCAACACATACAGCAGATTTCACTGACCACAAGATTCAAATCACTCAAATTAGTCAGGTATTTGTAATTGCATTGTCATCAGGTGATCGACATTGTACTGTTTGTACTGTTTAGATAGAGCATCTTGTCATGGTCATCCCCCATGGATTATGTGCCAAGTTTTCTTGTCTTTTGGTTACAATTACAGTCTCAGTTTGTTTCTTTTTATTTACTGGCAGGGAAGGGCTGCTGAGACAAAACTTAATAGGGCACGTCACAATACACTTGCTGTTGTCTTATCATGTGATGCACAATGTCATGCTGGTGACAGACAGGCATCAAGTAAGTCCCTTAAATGGTAAATTTACCACTTCCTTTCAAGAAATTTCTGTCTCTCAAAGTGGTTAAAGAACTAAATGTTATTCTCAGTCAGTAATAAGCATCCATTTGATGATAGACAGTTGTGTGTGTTATGCGTTTATCTATATTTATTAGAATAAACTGCAGTGTTTAATTTGACCTCTTCATCATTTGGCACTCTAGTGACAGGGAGTGGTTACTTACATCCACCAAAGGACCATCCATATCTCAGCCCCCAGAAGGAAAAAAATAGTAGATATCGATACTTGGACAGTGATGGAGCCCTTCTCAGAGCACCAGAGTGGCCTTCACCATCAGAGACAAAGGTTTAGTTTCATTTCTTATACATGTTAGAAGTGTCATGTCAGTACTGATGATTAAGTTCCTGAAATGAAGTCCAAATGTCTGACTTATTTTCATTTTGTTTTGTTCAGGAGGAATTTATTCCCATTGAAGAGCTGGCTACGGGCAATGGAGCAGCCAAACTAAAGCAGAAAAAAGATGATTGCCTTGAGAGAATTACAGATAACAGGAAAACACATTTTCAGTTTGGCTCAGATAATAAACATAGACACACAGAACAGGTAATTAAATTCTATATCCATGAAAACATAACATTATGCTTGCCTCAAAATTCAAACAAAATGCTATTGGGAAATGTATAAATGTCTAAATAATTAAGTGATGTGAGTCAGCAAATTTTTGCCGTGTACATCTTATCCCATGTAAAGAGCAGTATATTTTATTACAAAATTGAAGTAGTTTAATATCAATGAATTTATAATAAACCTTGCTTTTTCTCAGCACGACCAGTTCTTATCGTCTCTGCAACTTGATCCAGCCCTTCCAGCTGCAGGGAAGAGTGAAGGACCTGAACAGAAATACTCCCATGTATACCCAAGGTTAGAGAGTTAAGCATTTTTCATGTCAAATGATGTATATATTTTTGGTCTGCAATGTTTTTATTTCTTTGGGTTTTCCTTAGTGAAACAACACAGCAGGGAAGGCATCGAGTATCAGAGCCTCTCCCTCAGGACAAGGTAGCCACGATTCAACAACAAATGCTGCAGTTCAATCAACAGAGGTAAGAAAGACATTTGGTTTGGTTTTTTCCACTTAGTTTTGTGAAGGTGCCAAATCCATTACAAATTCCTTCATTAAGTGGTGTGCGTGTCTCTGTGGCTATTCTGTCATTTATTAATTGTATTTGCATTCTTCAAGATTCTATAACTCAGGAGACACCATGAACATTCACTTGCGAAAAGCCTTCCTAGATTTTGATACAAGCTTGTGAGTACTTAAAAATACCTTCCAATGTTTTGCTTTTATTACTTAAAGCTCTTCTAGTTAGTAATTGTTGAAAAATTGTTCATAAGTAAGTCTTTCACCTTCAGTATATCCCTTTTTTGCCCTTGCTTAGGAGTGGTAGAATTTCTATTGAAGACCTTAAATCTGTTTTGGCAAAACTTGGAATCGACATGGAGGAAAAAACCCTAGGAAAACTCATTGAAATGTAAGTGGAAAGTAAATGTTTGTGCTTACTTTACTCTAGCCTCCGTTCCAAATTCAGCATGTCCAGAGTGAGGAATAAAACTTCATGACAAACCTAATCAGGGCATTAACGGTTTATATCGCAGGTGCGATGCTGGTCGTACTGGTTTCGTGGACTACGAAGAATTTTCGAAATATTTGACGAAAGATGCTCTAATTAGTCTTGGAAATAAACCATCAGAGACTTCAGTGATGAAGACGGATTTCTGTTCACCGGAACAAAGAAGGTAGATAATTTAGCCGGTTCTAAACACCAGCTTTTCAGGATTCATGATCTCGCTGTAGTTACTGTGTACATGTCTATCCACAGACTCAGTTCTGCTCAGCTGCGTACGATAGAAATGGCTAAGAAGATCGCACCAATGAAGGTGAACTCGCATTACTTCCACGAGCATCACTCGGGAGGTATGTATTATTGAAGAAATGTAAAATGGTTTCCGTGTTTACATAGCCTGATGTAAACACGCGGGAGGTTGGGAGAACACGAGATAAGCGTAGGAAACCACGACGCGAAGCGGAGTGGTTTCCAGCTCATCGAGTGTTCTCCCAACCTCCCAAGTGTTTACATCAGGCTATGTAAACACGGAAACCATTTTACATAATATATTAGTTTCAAACCTTAAGAGCTGTTATTTCAAACCCTCTTCTCTACTTCTCTCGGTAGCACCTCGTCTCTCAACCACGGCTCAGGATTTCGTCCGACCTGACAGAAGGCCAGGTAGATGAATTTTTATTCTTGCATGCTCTGAAGATTGGGAGTGTTTTGTGCCCTGTTCTGTTTATATTAAGACCGTTTATTCTTTAAGTGTTTGTCATATCGTGCGTTATCAGTTCCTTCAAACTTACTTTTATTTTCTAGGGAATCCTCGTCTTTCTGTGTGATATCATGGAGACAAATGTCACTGATCTTGTTCCACCCAAATTTTGGGAACGGTTAAATTTCTGTATTGTGTAGTTCTACAAGTGCGGTTGCTACGTGACTTGGGGGTGTCTAACCGATCACGTGACCCTCCGAAGGTGCCTTTCAACTTGGCTCTGAGTAGGAACCAGTCTCCCTCTTTTGTAAATGCATTACGATGTTTTAATAGTGCAGAGTTTAAGTTATTTGTGTCACATAATAAATCAAATTGTTCGCATAAAACCCTATGCTGGAGGAAACCTTACACGTGTTCCTCGATGTAGTTACAGACTTCGGCCGACTCTAGTTATAGGTATAAGGATCTTGACTTAGATTGTGCGTCTAAACGATTGTTTCACTTAACTGAACTGAAGAAATCAACCCGACTATTGACAACTTTGTATTGCTGTTTAGGCTCCTTATAACACACAAGGCTAGTTTCTTGTAAACAAAATTTTCGAGGAGTCAACAAAATACCCATATCTTAAATAACAAATAATACCCTAGTGATAAATTTAGCCAACTTTCTTTGAACAAAAGATAATTTTTAAAGAAAAATTCAATTGAAAATTGAAAATAAGTCTTCCCTGTGACTCATATTCAGAAGACCTGACAATGTTGGGGTTCTAATTTCTAAATAAAAAGAGACGAAAAATTATCTGCAAGCGACTCACCGAAACAAGAGTCAGAATCATCGCCCAGTATACCTAAGACATGAAAAGCATCAACCTGCATTAAACTGAGGTCGCTTCTATAGTCTTAATTTGCGTATTATTGACCACAATTTTACTTTCTACTGTGCCATTTTTCTTGTCATTTTCGTCAGCTTCACAGTGTTCCCTTAACAACACTGTTTCTTCTCTCGTTGGGGTCTCTTCTGAAGTCTTCATACTGCGCCAGGAAAAAATGTCACTCCAACTAAACTGTCCCCAATCCCCCTGTGGTCCAATCGTGCAGCAAAGTGCTTGGAAGAAGAACGTCGAAAAAGCCCATCCCAGGGTCATCACTAACATTAGGAAATGTCCCATCTGTAGGTAAGATAGGACCCTGGATGGCAGCATCATTGCACCTAAACGTATAAGATAGTAATCAGTGATAGGTCGAGTGTTAGCAATGATTCGTGGTAGAATGTATAGACGGTTTGAACCCAAGAGTGGCAATCTATCTTGTTGTTGATCGTAATCAGAAAAAATTCGAGTGTTAGTAGTAATTCGTAGTAGAAGGTATACACAGTTTGAATATAGGAGTGATATTCTTTCTTGTTGTTTGGTCGTTCGCGTGAGAGTATCCTTGAAAAAGGTTGTTGTCGACTGTTGTTGTTGTGAAGTTATCAATAGTGCCAAGTAAGGACTTTTTTTAAGTGAAAAGTTAAGATCAATTGTGTGAAAATGGGTTCGTTATCGGCTGTAACAGTCAAGTAGTATACAGTAAGTCAGTTATTATCGCTCAATTTGGATCCGTCGGTTTAGAAAGATAGATCTTTTTGGTTCTTTGAAATTTTAATGTCTTGATTGTGTCGTCTGATCAATAAAATTCACGAATATCGTCGACTGTATTTTTCTCTTTACTGGGTGTTTTTTTTTCTCTATCAGCGCCCTTATTTGAACTGACCTGCAATAAAAGTTGTAACAGCAGCCATGGTGATTGCAGATCCCATCCGGGACAGCGAAAAACGCACACGTGCCTTTCTACATTCCTTATTAGGTGCAAGGCAATAAGCTACCCCAAAATGCATCGCAAAATCAATGGATACACCAACAGCAACAGACATAGTTATGGACTCCAGGATGTTGAGTTTCCACCCGCTAAGGACCAAGGAGCCGATAGTGACAGAGATTATGCCAATTATTGTGAGGATGGCGTATAAGCTTACTAGAATATTCAGCGTGGTCAGTAACATCACACCAAACGCCATGGCGATGGCAATTGCCATAGAGACTAAAGTCCCGGTAGAAAGGCTCCTCTGTAGGTCGTAAAACTCCATGCCGCTTATCCACCAGCCCCCACGCATGCCTTTTGGTGCATTTCGTATTTCCTTCATCACCCAAGACTCTGTGCGTTCCCAAAATTGGTGCACTGGCTCATATGCGCGGGAAATTCTCACATTACTCATAACGCGCAGGTGAATGCCTCTAAGACTGCCGCGTTCGTCGTAGATGAGGTTTCCAATTGTGGAATCCTGTCTCTTATACTTAAATATCTGAGCGCGGACATCTGCTATTGTGGCGCATAAGTTCAGGATGGTTTTATTGAATGGAAAAGGAGAACCTTTGCAACAAGGGTAGTAGGAGATTCCTGGTGTCAGCGGATCTGTACAGCTTTGATTGTAGAACGTTTCTAGGAAACAGTAGCTTGTTACACCTTCTTTCTTTCCATAGAAGTCTTGCTTGCGCAGCTTTCTACAGAAATTCATCAGCCACGCTTGAGATTCACGACTTGTTATGTCGAAAGATTCATCCCACTCAATTGTGCCATAGTCGTTGGGATCCAGGTAGTCACCGTTGTCGACTGGTTTAATTCCCCAGAAAAAATCGATGGGAAAAGTGGCACTACCTTGCGAAGAACTTGTCTCGAAACGGAATCTGTCTTTGAAATGGAGTTCGTAAGCCTCAAGGGGATGTGATGATTCAAACATCTGAAAATCAGATGATGTGGGCAGATGGAATCCAGGCTTGAAAAGAAGAACCTCCAAGCCACCCAAAGTAAGAACCGAAAACAGCAAAATCCAGAAAATGCGGAATTTTATGACCACTCTCGGAAGAAAATCACTAAACACAAAGCGCACGGATTTAGCCACGTAATTCTGATACAAAAGTTCTATTTTATGGATCGAAGACTTCTCTGCGCATGGCCATGGAATCTGCACACTTTCATTGATGACGCAAACAGCAGGAAACCACGTGACCATCATACTAAACTTGCAGAGGATGGCAATACCAGCGTAAATACCAAAACATTTGATAGTGGTAATTTGAGAACTAAAATTGGCAATAAAAGCAGCTGCTGTAGTAAGACTCGTCACAAACATTGATAAAGAGGCGTGCCTTAAGGTGTCAGCGGTGATTCGCGTCAAAGGTGCACCGGGATTATTCTGTTTTGCCTGGCGCCAGACATCGGTGAAGACAAACGCGTCATCAGCTCCTATCCCCACCAGAAATATAAGAGTTGTGATGTTTAGAAATGGAAAAAAATTCAAACCTAACACGATCGTGTAGAGGAAATAAGCAATGATCAGAGCACTGACCACAGAAAGCACTAAAAGGACGGTGAGTAAAACAGACTCCGTGTAAAACCACATGATGAGTAGAATAATTAACATTGCTATGGATGGATAAATAATGTCCGCCAATAGCTTGATGTTGAACATGTCGAATTTCAAAAAATAAAATTCCGTTGCTACTAACTTTACGTTTCCATCAGACAAATGTCCGTTTTTGATATGTTTCTCGTATAACTTCTTTCTGAACTCTTTATTGCTTGTCGCAGGGCTCAGAACTGATGTATAAATCAAATTTTCTCCTTCGGCCGCGAAGAAATCTTTGTCTGTCAGGTAGTATAGAATATTGTGGACCGCGTTATATCTCACACACTCTAATGGAAGTCCCAGACACACTGGATAAGCAATATTATATTTAAAGTTCCAACAGTTTTCTTTGATCGTCGCGTTGTTGAAAAGTGGTGCACAATGTCGTAAAATTGATAGAACTTGTTCTACATCGTTTGAAGATATATCTTGACAAGATGATCTTCCTGAGAGAGCTGCAATATAATTACCAACAGACCAACTGGGACAACAGTCTCTGAATGTGAAAGTTTTGTAACGGAGCTCCCTTTTAAAGCAGTTTGAATAAAAACCCATTGTCTTTCTCACGACTATTTCTTCCATTTGACACACAGCCCGTAAACTGGCAGAATTGAACACATTCCCACCTGAGGTTGTTGAGGCAAATACCATTTTGTAATTGATGGTGCTTTTCATAAAAACATTCGGACTGTCACACATTGAAAGGCGATATCTATTCTTGAAGTGACGCTGGCTTCCTTCTCTCCCTTGTTCTTTCCTCTGTCTTATGTTAGGTGTGGTCAGGTGTCCATAAAGGGAGGACATGTTGATTAAAGTGCTCATGGTCACATTTGGTATTGGACTAATTCTGACTAAGCCACTACTCGCCGCTTTGCCAAGAACAACTCCTGCTCGATGTCTTTTGTTGATAAGTGTTCCACGAGGCTCGAATCCCTGCGTGAAAGAAAGACATTTTCAGTTACTGAACTCTTTTCAGTAGAGAGGCGAGACTTTCTTGTGTGAGAAAAAATGGAAAAAAAAAATTAGAGCAATATGAATGACTTTACCTTGACTGGAGTTGAAAACTCTGGAATATCAGGGGCACTAAACTGGGGGACAAAAGAGCAAAGGCCACAAATCACAATCAATAGGGATGTCACAAAGAACACTGCATACGGGTATTTTGCTAGCACCGCTGAGTACCTTGGGAAAAAGAGATACAAAGAGACGTTAGAAGCAAACTGATTTTAAGATCTGAGTTTAGGAACATATACAATGGTCGATAAAAAGCGTCCTAACTCATTGTCTCGAAAGCCACAGCTGAACTCAATTATCCTCAGTTGTGGCAGAAATTATGTATTCTTACCAAGAGAGATCTACACGAGGTCGAGGAGTTTCTCATTCTGTGTGACCTTTTGAGGAGATTGGGATCCCTTTCGCTGGTAAGTGGGCAAAGACGTGTTAAAATAACGTCAGCTACTAGTTGTTTTTACTGAAATGGGTATAAGTATCAGTGCTTATTGTTACCTCGGAAAGGCAAGCTGTCCTGTACTTCGTTCACCTTGCAACATCACTTCATTGGCGGCATCATTGTTATCAGATTCAATCTGTTTTTCTGTACCGGCTGGAGTTTCTTCTTGGCTTTTCAGACTGATTGCTTGGTCGCAAATCTCCTTGTTATCCATGACTGGCTAAGTTCACCTTAGAGGTTCGCTACTTTTTCTACCCGAAGATATGACGAAAAGCCTGTAGAAATCAGGAAAGTCCGGATCCATGCTACATTAGTGAAATACACTCAAACCTCAAACTCTTAATTCTGCGGGGAATGTTTTTCAATGTTTTAAGTTTGTCTTCTTAATGAAAAAGGTCGTCAAGCTATACTCAACGTTTTTTTCCAATCTTGTAAACACTTTCTCGTCCTTTCTAGTAAATGAATAATATATATTGTTTGACTTTATTTAAGAGTAAGTTCGTTCGTCTTCTGTAACAGCGAAATGCCCATAATTTTCCCTCAAATCCATTTGTTTTGATACACATTGTGATGTTATTGTCTTCAAAGGGAGGCTGAATACCTTAATTTGCATCAAGTCAGGTTGAATTCATTCTTTAAATAGTTCAAACTAAGATTTACAGGAGTTGCAATCATCTATTGCTATACTTGAACGCATAAGGCGTTCGTCTGAGGAAAAAATACGAATTTTAATTAAACTTTGCGTGCTGGTTTATGCGCAAACAAACTGAAAAGCCTAAGGTCTCTCCAACTATGTGTAAAAGGAAAGAGGAATTGTGCGGACTACTATTTGCTATTGATTCATTGCGCAAATTGGTGATTTTTGCCGATATTTTAGAGGAAATATTCTTTACTATTTTATTAGAGAGGATACCTGCCGAGATTGTGGTTTGCAGCGTGGTGTTTAGCATTTAGACTACAAAAAATATTTAACAACAAATTAAAAACATTCATTCCATATTTAGGCCCAGAAATTACATTTACCTGTTTGGGAAATAATTCAGCCAATTTCATGGAAATTCAAGTTTTTTTGAGTTATTCTTCAGGTAGGGATGTAAAGAATTAGAGCGCAGATTATAGTGGTTTATTAAAAATGCTTTGTATCTTCTGGTCAAAACGCAACATTTACCTGTTACCTGCGTTTATCGTCCGAGCCTTTCGTTCTTGTTTGCTCTATAATTCAAATTTTCAATATGCCTGTGATATCTGTTACATTTCATCATTCTATGAACACGGTGGTTACACAGTAACCGCCAGCATTAGATGAAAAAAATTGCAAAACCGATAAAATTTAATGATACACGGGACCTTAATTTTTTGGAGCAGAAGACTGAGCGAGACACAAGGCTAAACATTTTTCGATTTTTATTCATAGGCACAAGTGTTGATGAATTACCCGATGTTGAGAATAACTGAACGACAACTTCGCGCTAAGATTTGCAGTAACGTTGTTTTGTAGGTGCTAAAATTCAGATAACACACGGTTTAAAGAAATGAATCTCCGATTTGCTTAGCGGTTGTTATGCAAAGCATATGTTTCCCTGATTCGGCCGATCTTGTTTCTTTTTTCGCCACGGTTATTTTTGGAACAAGCTCCTCTATAATATTTTTTTCGTCGTCACCATAAAATTCGCATTTGGTACAAACGCAGTACACTTACCTAGAAAAAATAGAAGGAAAGTGAAGGATCTGGAAACGAGGTAATCAAGAAGTTAAAATCCATTGAAGGATAAATTCGGCGCCCATTTCATCTCCTCGGGGACTCCAAGGAAAATCCGCAAACAGAGGTAATTCGCCGCGGTAAACACTAAACTTGACTTCCGGTTCTTTATTACTATGACAACCGGCAGCACATCCGCTGATACTTATTATGCCACCTGTCGCAAAAGTGAAAAATATGACTACTGATTCTTAGGTTGGGCCAAACAAGAAGAAATTGATGATGGAAAATCCAAATTGAAAAAAATTAGTTGTTTCAAGAAGCTGTGAGCGATTTCTGCAAATTCATTTGTCTAAGGGAGTTTTCATCCGTCAGGAAAGCTTTTTTTTAAAAAAATGTGAATTGAGATTTTAAAATGCGAACAGACTCAAGTTTGTTGCAGATGTTCAGCGAAACCCACTATTTGAGTGAAACCAAGAACAGCTACCTCGTCGGTTTCAGGTTGAGGTATACCTAAAGATTGTCTTTGATAAAAGTGTCTTCCTTACTATTAACTATAACACAACAGCCGCAAAAGACGAACCAAACACCTCACGTCATTCCTTTGCTTGTTCCAGACGCTCAGTTGGCGAAAGGAGCGCTTTAGTGGCGCAGAGCCTGGGTCGAGTTCCAAACTTCCCTTCAAAGGGAGAAATAAGGAAAAAGGAAAAATGCCTCTGTCTTCGTGGGAAGAGGACCTTCATTCAGGCACCGACCCAAGCAATTAAAACATTTTCACAGTTTTCGATGAGGATATGACATCCGTAAGATGCTTTAAGACGTTACATTAAATTGTGGATTTGCTTGTTGATGAATGTACATACACAGAAACATTCACATGAGATGGAAATCAAGCGGTGGATGAGGTATTGAAACACATGGATAAAAATCACAAAACACAAGTTATTTTAAGCCCCTTTTATTTCAATTGCATGCATGTCGTTTGAGGGATATTTCAGTACCTAAAATGAACTTATAAAGTCACTGAGCGATGAATTTGGAATACATTTTACAAAGACCTCTACATTTATAAACTAATTGATCTTTTTATGAGACATTTTAAGTCTCGCCTTGGCAATTAATTTGGTCGAAACCTACTACTCGTTTTCAACAACGAATTTTCTAGATTCCATTTCTGGTTTCATTTTAGAGAAGAATTAGTGAATCAATGAAAATATTAAATTAATGTTGGACCGTAATTAAACATCAATACGGTATTTCTTGCATAGCGAAAGCCTTGAAGTAAGAATCCTAACACTGCTTATGACATATAATGAAATGATAAGTCTGAACCTACTAAGAGTTAACCACTGTCAATAAAGTTCGAAGTTATAACTTGTTGATATTATGGGGCTGTGACTGTAGACTGCCTTTCAAAAGCTTTCTTTGGCCTGGATCTCATCTCGCATGGCGGGAATGATTCCCTTATTAAAGGCCACGTGTAACAACTCATCGACATCTTTGATGTTGGGATATTCACGCACCGCCCACTTGAGGTAAACCAGGAATTCATTCCAGTCGATGTACCCGTCATTATCCATGTTGATGGCTTGCAGGGCCTTCTGTGTGTCAGCGCACATGAAGCAACCAAAGTAGGGAGCCATGAACCCGTTGTAGAAAGAGCGGAACATTAGCTGATCGTCATTCGGTTTATCTTCCTCGATGTCCCACTCGTTCCACATACTGCGAACCTCTTCAATGAGATGTTGGGCGTGTACACTCGTAACTTTCACTCGTTGAATCACTCGAGCCATGTTGGCCGTGAGTTTTCCTCCTGCGCGATCAAACAGCAATGCTATACCTGCCTCGCTCATGTACTCTTCTTTCCTATTACCACTCAGGTCTTCAAGCATTTTTTCTTTCATAGCCCCAGCCATTTCCATCGTAAACTGCCTATCCTCACCAAATAGATCTATCAGCCTTTCCTGGATCATACGCTCGGAGGAAAGGGTGCTGATTCTCACCGGAGCCTCCATTCCAAAGAATGCCGCTAAGTCAAAGTCGGTTTCCCCAACGGTTCCACCTGCTATGCTTCCAAAGTCAAATGCTAAGTCCAGCGCCCTGTCGCCATAGATGACTTGCTTGAGATGGGGTGGAAGGCCAGTGGTGATCTTAGTCACGCTAGATGCAGCGTCCCTCAGGGCGGGGCAGTTGTAGCGTTTTAGGACCTTTTCGTTCCCCATTCGAACGAGGTTCATCAGCGTGACTGTAGAACATGCGTGACCAAGAGCAGCTCCCTCTTCACAAACGCTTGCCCAGATACCGTTAGCTCCGTTTATAAGGCATTCAAGCTGCACCATTTCTCCAAGAGCCCACTTCTTGTGAACATGGACGAAGAGGTTTCCATTGCTCCAACCGCGCGAGTCCATGATCCTTCGTACACCTGCGGCATAGCATAAGATAAAAAAATTGATTTAAGAGAATGACACTGTTAACAAGTTTTCAAACCGTTTAAGAATTCAGAAAGGATAAGATGAAAATTCCAAGTGCTTTTAACAGTCCATTTACATATTTTGCTTTGAGCTTACAACAGGCTACCTTGCTTTCTCAGTTTCGGATTCCTATGTGACTGAAATTAGCTAGTATACCGCCTTACCAGCAGTCCAAGCTCCAACCTCCTCAGGCAAATACTTGCCTGTTGGCTCCTCAAAGATAATTCCAAAAGGACGTTCCGTAGCAGGTAAAGATGCCATGAAGTTCACAACCTGTAAGAGTCGTTCCATTTCATAGACCATGGCGTCTGGAAAGTCTCTTAGATTTACCAGGATCTTGGCATCTGGGGACAGATATTTTCGGCTCCATTTGAATCTTTCAGTCAGCAGTAGGCACATGTCCTTCGTGGTGAATTTTTCCCAGTTGATACTTTTTATGGCCAAATCTATCTCTATGATAGGATTGATCAATCCCTGCTCTTGCATCTTTCTCAGACCCACTGGAATAGTTTTGGTGTCAGGAATACCTTGAGAGATCGACTCGATAAACTCACTGAATGCAAATAGGTTACCCAGGTCTTCTTTGCCTTCCTCACAATCACGGACGATCGCAGCGACCCAGTAGTCATCCACGCGTGTCATATGGGAATAGGCTGCCACAATCTTGAACTGGAATCCACACTTTCTGACTTCATCGTAAATCCTACGCTTGTTTTCCAATGTGTGCCCACGAAGCTGACCCACAGTGCTCTCACGAAGTGAGTTGTCTAGCACAATGAGGTCCAGGTCTTTCAGTCTGGCTCGTTTCTTTTTCTCTTTTGCAAGATTATCTTTAACATCTTTCATGATTTCTTTGAGTGACATGTTTTCGCCAAGTTAACCTGAAAAACGTTATCACAGGAAAGCTGAACGAGCAGCAAAAAGTTTTCTTTGAAACTCCAAACATTAAATTTTTGGATGCAGAGATGAATAAGGTATTAACACCGAAAGAGATGAGGATTTACCAATGAAACTGCTGTGAATTCGAATGAGTTAGTAGACATAAGAAATTTACAACAGCAAAGTGACCTAGATATGAGGATCTAAAGATCAAAGTTTAGTTACAGTAGGAAGCTTGCAAAGTAAGAGTACATGCATGCGATGTTTTATAAAGCGTCTTTTTCTATGTAGAAGGAAAAAGATGAAGAGAGGGCATTATAACTTACCAAGAGATGACAAATGCAACCAGTCGATTTCTTTGTTAGCAGTCTTTACACAAACAGTGTCCGCTTACAAAGGCAAGTTCTGGACGATGAATGAAAAGGGATAACAAAAATGGTCACTTTATGTATGTCCAACAACAACGAGGCTCCCTATGATTGGCTGAGTGTTATCCTAATTTAATCTTTCTTTACATATTATCTGGGATGAATAAAAAAAGTCTTAACATATTTAAGACTGGATATGGCAGTGGCATCGTGGAAAAATAAACCATTGGAGAATATCTGGACATTTTTTTTATATCTACCTTGGAAATACCTTTGATTCGAATGAAATTTGGGGAATACGTTTCTAAGACTAGGAACCAAGACCTGATTAGATATGTGTTATTGAGTTAATATAATTGCTTCAAAATGTGTTTTTTGGTAAAAATTAAAAAAAACCTCTTTATATTTAAAATAAGCTCTTTCAAGCTGCGTCACTTTTAATGACAGTTTCACACTTGATACCATTGTACTTCCTTTGTTGCTCGAGATCTTCAAGTTCTTCATTCCATCATAAAAGAAGGCTTTTTGAACAGCTGCCTAACGTCAAGAATTACAATTTTTCAATTATCATTTGTGATAATATCTCATTATCACCTGTAATATATATCTCATTATCACCTGTAAAATATAAAGGCATCGTTGTTCAAACATAAGCAAAGGTAATTATGGGGTTTTCATCTTTGATTGTGTTGTATGCCAGCTATTGTCTTTTTTGCCTCAACTGAGCATGTTGCCATGGGAATGTTCAAATTTTATAATTTTTTTAATGATATTTTCAATGGTCTATTGAAGCAGTGTTTCCTAGCTCATTTAAATATTAAAAGGTATATTTAAGATTATACAACACCCATTGGCGCATAGAAGCTATTATTCTCATAACTGCACAAAAAATATCCCGGCATCGTTTTTGAAAAACAGACAAACAAAATGATATGTTTTTTACCAAAATGAATGATATGGTTTTCAGTATTAATTGTTCATTACAGAAGCTATTGTGATGTAACTGCCATAATTTAGCAAGACGCCTTGAAAATTTTCAAATTTTATAACTTTTATTTAATGACATATTCAATCCTTTATTGAGCCAGTGTTCCTTGATACCTATAATTCCAAAAGAATTCATTCGATGCACGTTTCTAAATAGAACGAAAAACAACTTTCAGGATCGCTTCTTTGAGGATGTTGTTCCTGGCATTTACAAATTACTTGCTCGTGAAAACAGAACAACAAAAGGGTTTACAAGCAAAAGCAAAAGGATCGTTACGAACTCGTCTGATGGATAGGACAGATTATCAGTACAGGTTAGCTCTGAGGAAGTTATCTCATTATGAAGGAAACAATTTATTTCTTAAGGCAGATGCTGAATATGATCAAAGTTAACCCTCTAAATCTATTGTGCTGTACAGAAGCCATTGTCATGTTGGTGCACTAATTGAGCACGTTACCATGGGAAAGTTCCAATTTTCCAATTTTCATCTAATGATCCTTTCAACCATTTTTTGAGTCAGTGAAAGGGTATATGTTAGATTTAAATAGATCTATTATCGCAAATAAGCTATTGTTCTCAAAATCGCATGTAAAATATCACGACCGCGTTATTGTGAAACAAGTAAAAGAAATGATGTTGTGGTTTTGGTTTTGTTCTGTACGGAAGCCATTGTCACGTTACTGCCATAATTGAGCACGTTGCCATTGGAATTTTCCAATTTTCCAATTTTTATTTAATGAAATATTCAACCATTTAATGAGCCAGTGTTCTGTATAAAAAGGTATATCTTTGATTAAAATGACAACTATTGTCGCGTATACACTATTGTCCTGTTAATCGGCTATAAAATATCAAGGCATCGTTATTGGAAAACAAGCAAACGATATGATAAGGTTTTCAAGGTCTTTGAAGTATGTTAGAAAGTCCCACAAGAACATTTTGCAATGATATCACATTAAGTATAGCAATATGTTGAATTGGATTTGATACACCGATTTTAAGGTGTGGCATCTGTTTAACATTTCTTGAAATAATTAACTAATCCTGGGCATCCTATTGAATGATCCAAGAGCTATGACGTAGAAAATCCAATTACCAATTTGATTTTAAAAACTTGTGGCACAGTCTTAGGTACTCCAGTTTTCTTTTAAAAGTATTTCGTTGGTAAAATTTCTTAGCATGTTTCGCTGCTAAAAACAAGTAAGTCAGTGTATTGAAATTTTACCATCACTTGTCTTGTATTTCACTCGTCTGTAAATTATTGATTCAAACGGCTCCTTTTTACAACAGATGGGATCCAGATTTGTAGACTGATCCTTCTGTGCACATTATTCTTCATCTCTGGTTCTCTTGTTTTTGCTTTTGTTTTGTTTTGTTTTTTCTCGTAAACTCCTTAGTTACTTAGCGAGGCATACTTTTCATCTGAGAAATGGTGTGAGGCATAAACTCTTACTTCGGAAAGATGAATGGAAGATTTGAATTGGGTATACACCTTATCGCACCAGGATTGTCGGAGAATGAAAAAGCCAAAAAAGAGGAAGAAAGCCAAATCGGAATTTATTAGCATAAAAAAACCACCCTCTCGTTAAATGCTCGGAAGCCGAACAATTTTCGCAGAATTTTCACTGAAAAATTCTTTCAAAACTCTCGAGGGTGTCAGATATTGTTTAGCGTTTTAAGCGACTCCAAAAATTGAATAAAAAAATTTATATGCTAATGTCTCTTACGCTATATTGTAATCAAATCAAGTAGGGTTTTTTTTCTTTTTGTCATTCTTCTTTAGGTGTAATTATAAGGTTTAAAAAATGCATTTTTTTCCGACCAACAACAAAATTAGCTTCGGTTTCCAAGGCTCTTTAAGTTCGGGTGCTAGTGCAAAGGTATCATGTTATGTGTTATGAGGATATGTAGGTGTGCAGTGTCAAAGGTTTTTATCTTAGTCCCAGTCTTGCAGGCGTTCTTTTGCTTACCCTTTTTTCCCTGGCAAAATTATTGTTTTACTTTTATCTCATTCTTGTAATAAATGTAACGACCAGCGTCAGCTGGGAGTGAACAACCCAAAAGCTGGTACGTTTTGTTTTGGGAGTTTTACTTCTCTAGAAGAGAAATCAAAGTGAACAAAATACATTCTCAATTCGGTTGATTTAGCACAGTGACCGCCCAGAAAAAAAATAAACTTTGCAGATAAGTATAAAAAAATATAGCAAAGAGAGTCTGTTTGAGTGTGTGTAACTGACAAGAGGATCGCAATGATTAGCTGAAAGTCAACAACATTCCCTTAAAGGTTAAGCTGAATGATAAAATCACCTGAAATTGTACTTAGGGTGTGTTTCTGTTCAGAAATTTAGAGAAAGAAAGGAGTAAGTTTGGATGATAAATCTATAACTTTATAAAAAATTGAAACCATGAAACAATATCTGTACAGACACTTCACTTGATCTACCTTTAGTTTAACCATGCACTGCTCCACCTACTGGAAATTCAAAAAATAAAATGATAGTAGCGTCGTAGTAGCGTTGGGTGTCAATGGCCTTCGTCTTCTTGAGTGTCAGTAATGTGCTGTTAAGTTTGCGTTGAAGCGCAGGAGTCGGGTCACGTTTGAGTTCTCTGTAAGTCTGTTTGGCGTTAACAAGTGCGTCCATTTTGTCGTGATAGTCAGTCTTGTCCATGACAACAGTGACTCGTCCTTTGTCAGCTGGTAGAATAACTATGTCCTTGTCGTTTCTCGGTCGTTTAAGGGCATGTTGTTCGTCTTTAGTCAAGTTGCTGTCATGTAGTGACGCTGATTGTATAGTGGAAGCAATTCTACTTCTGATGTTATCCTTAGTAGACTCAGGTAGCTCTCGTTGTCGAGACAGAGCCGCCTCAACACTAGATACAATAGCTTCGGTCGGTAACCGTTTCGGAGTAACTGAGTGTTTCAGTCCGTATGACAGTCCGCGAGTTTCATTCTTGTCTAAGGGACGGGAAGAGATGTTTCTTACCCAGTTGTCGTCCGGTTTACTTCGTCTCTGTTCTTTGTTGCGTAGAAGTCGTGTCAGTTTCTGTTTATTTCCAGTACGGGCGCGTTCAGTCGCTTTGTTGCCTCGTTTGTCGGCAATAGTCGTAATAGTGTCAAGTAATTCAGAAGGTATCAGTTGGTTCAGTTTGTCGTGTAGTTGTTGTCTTTTGCTATTGTAGCGTTTGAGTCTTCTGTGGCAATCCTTTTTTCCGCGCTTTGACCAGTCGTCTGCAGGTGGCTTTGACGATCTGGATAGCCTTCTGTGTGACGGGGGACTTAAGTTTAAGCCCGGCCGGAACAAGGCCGTGATCTTTACAGCGGTGATTAAACCAGAGTTGCTGTCGTATTCGTCTGACAGTGCTAACTTACGTGATGTAGTCGTTCGCAAGTCTTTCGCTCTGTCGTCCAAGTGAACGTAATACAGTAAATGGTTTGAACCCGGGGGTAACATGTAATAGTGTAGTTTGATCGTCCGGGTGAGTGTAGTCCTGAGAAGGACTGTTGTCGGTAGTGGTGACTGACGTTTCGACAACCTGAGCGGAAGTCATCATCAGAGTCAAGTGAAGACAACAACCTTTCACTTGACTCTGATGATGACTTCCGCTCAGGTTTTCGAAACGTCAGTCACCACTACCGACAACAGTCCTTTTCAGGACTACACCCACCCGGACGATCAAACTACACTATTACATGTTACCCCCGGATTCACACCATTTACTGTAAAAAACGTACTAATTAGATAATTCAACTGTTTTCAGTCAGCTTTTTGTTCCCTAAGAACAATAAAGATGCACTGTTTGAATGCATTTCGTTTATCCCAAGACTTTCTTGCTTTAATCGTAATACCAAAATGAAATTGGGTATTACTTTCATTCCATGCACTTTCACCGGCTTTTAATTTGTTTGCTGACTCGCGCTTGGTCTTAGCTCATTTGCTATTGTAAGCTTTCCTTCTCATCCAAATGAAAACCATAAAATTGCAAATGGGAAGACAGATTTGCCACTCGTGTGTGAAAATAGAATTGTGAAGCTGAAAAATTTTAGAAAATGGCTGTTGATTCAGTTACAGCCTGTTGACATGACTCCACTGTAAGGCCCTCACCGAAACCTTTTCTTAGTCCTGTTTTTTTAGCATGTCACACCTTTGCCGCCCTTTCTCTAACAGGCCTCAATAGGCTGTTTTTAAACTTTAAAAACCTTGACTGAAAGTGGTCAGGGAGAGAATAGAAGGCTAACCCTTTAGCAATAATCATGATTTACCAGATACAGAAGTACCACTCACAATCACATATATTTCTTTTAATCGAGCCATACACCGGTGACTGGTACAGACGCGTGATTATGACCTTAAAATAAACCAGAACCCTAAGCCCTAACAACAAGTTTGTGAAGGAAATATCGCACCTACAGCTAAACTTACATCGATCAATTGACCATATTTCTAATGTTGACTAATAATTTATCAAAATATACCCAATAGCATGAATTGCAAGTTCAAGCATTGCAGTAGGTTTGGGATCAGGCAGTGAAAACGGAATGCCTAAATCATTTTTCATTTGGACTTGAACTTCTTTCCCCGACTTGCCTTCCCTTTTTTGCCAAGTACTTCATCTCGCATGGCGGGTATGATTCCCTTATTGAAGGCGACGCTTAACAGCTCATCGACATCTTTGATGTTGGGATATTCACGCATCGCCCACTTGAGATACACCAGGAATTCATTCCAGTCGATGTATCCATCATTATCCATGTTGATAGCTTGCAAGGCCTTCAGTGTGTCTTCGCACTTGAAGCATCCAAAGTAAGGCGCCATGAACCCGTTGTAGAAGGAGCAGAAAATCAGCTGATCATCATTCGGTTGTCCTTCCTTGATGTCCCACGTGTTCCATATACTGCGAACCGCTGCAATTAGATGTTGGGCGTGTACACTCTTCACTTCGGCTTTTGCGATAACTTCTGACATCTTTGTGGTGAGTTTTCCTCCTGATCGATCAAACAACATAGCGATGCCGGCTGCACTCATATATTCTTCTTTAGTGTTGCCCGTCAGGTCTTCAATCATTTGTTTCTTCATTGCAGTAGCCATTGCCTCTGTAAACTGCCCATCCTTACCAAACAGATCTTCAAGCCTTTCCACGATCATACGCTCGGAGGCAAGTGTACTGATCCTCTCCGGGGATTCTTCTCCAAAGAACTCAGCCAGGTCAAAGTCAGTTTCCCCAACGGTTCCACCTGCTATACTTCCAAAGTCAAATGCTAAGTCCAGCGCCCTGTTGCCATAGATGACTTGCTTGGGATGGGGTGGAAGGCCAGTGGTGATCTTAGTCACATTAGATGCAGCATCCCTCAGGGCAGGGCAGTTGTAGCGTGTTAGGACCTTTTCGTTCCCCATTCGAACGAGGTTCATCAGCGTGACTGTAGAACATGCGTGACCAAGAGCAGCTCCTTCCTCACAAACGCTTGCCCAGATACCGTTAGCTCCGTTTATAAGGCATTCAAGCTGCACCATTTCTCCAAGAGCCCACTTCTTGTGAACATGAGCCAAGAGATGTCCAGAGGTCCACCCATGGGAATCCATGATCCTACGTATACCTCGATAATATGACAAATACCCAAGTTAGTATGTAAAGGTTAAATCACATCGCCATCCTAGTGATATTGCGTAAGGAGATATTGGTAAGCAAGCCTTAACTTTTACGGCTGGAAAATCTTTAAAGCATGTTCTTACTTTGACCCTGATATGCTCCTTGGATAATTAAGCAGTATTATCGCCAAGGACATTAAGACAGAAACAACAACAACAGACAACAACAATAACAGCAACAACACGGACAACCAAAAGACTGATTAAATGAGAACATTCTGTAGAGAAGTGTATTAACTGCATTGTTTTGACGTTACAATTTTGTTTGATGCATTGTTTGTTTCAAGCCCTGTGATCACTTATTGATTAATGTTTGTGTCTAGTATGACTCCACCTGTTTTTTCAACATGATCATCTCTTGTCATCAGTGTCGGGACCAGAAGAAATATATCACATACAGGAGTGTCAACTATTTAGCGAGCAAGCTTACCAGCAGTCCAAGCGCCAACCTCCTCAGGTAAAAACTTGCCCGTTGGCTCCTCAAACATGATTCCAAAAGGACGCTCAGCTGCAGGCATGGACGCGATGTAGTCCACAAGTCTGAACAGCCGCTCCATTTCATAAACCATGGCATCCGGAAAGTCTCGTAGATTCACCATGATCTTGGCATCTTGGGACAGATTTATTCGGCTCCATTCGAATCTTTCGGTCAGTAGCGTGAAAATATCATCCATGGTGAACTTTTCCCAGTTGATGCTTTTTATGGCCAAATCTATCTCTATGATAGGATTGATTAATCCCTGCTCTCGCATCTTTCTCAGACCCACTGGAATAGTTTTGGTGTCAGGAATACCTTGAGAGACTGAGTCGATAAACTCACTGAATGCAAATAGGTTACCCAGGTCTTCTTTGCCTTCTTCACACTCACGGACGATCTCAGCGACCCAGGAGTCATCCACGCGTGGCATATGAGAATAGGCTGCCACAATCTTGAACTGGAATCCACACTTTCTGACTTCATCGTAAATCTTACGCTTGTTTTCCAGTGTGTGCCCACGAAGCTGACCCACAGTGCTCTCACGAAGTGAGTTGTCCAGCACAATGAGGTCCAGGTCTTTCAGTCTGGCTCGCTTCTTTTTCTCTTGCTCGATGTTATCATTGACTTCCTGTATAAGGTCTTCAAATGGCATGTTGTGGCAGATCTAAATTCTTAAAGAAAAAGATAAGAAATAAGATTTTTAATTCCCACGATTAACATAAATGTTCATCCAGCTTTATACCAATCTTTAAGAATTCTTTTATAAACAGAGCTGAACGGTATGAATGTGCGAGAGGACGTTTTGTGAAATACGAGGAGGCGAATCCCTTGCTTGGTTGGTGAGAACATGCATGGAATAACTTAACTGAAAACGAATTTTATGGCTGGTGCAACACCTAGATTCGCATTGAATTTTTGTTGACGTCAGTGTTGTTTTTCTTTATCATAAAGTCAGTTGATTAATCATACCTTTTTTTATAGATGTTTATTCCTAAATAAGACAAAACAGTCAATGGACCGTATGCCATTAAAAAGTGTGCAGTGAATAAACCGTGATATCTTTTGCGTTCCACTTCAGTCACAATTGAATTTTCAGAGTCAGACTTACAATGCAATATGATTTATTAGTGTTATTCATAATTAACTTTAACAGCAAATACGTTATCTTTCCAACTCAAAATACTTTTATTTTAGAGAGCAACAGTAGTTGCAGGTTGAAAAACCAAAATCATCAATAAGAGTTATGTTATTCCTGCCAAAAGACTACTTCGTCTTTTGGCAGGAATAACAGTGATATTAAAGCAAGTTTTAAACGGCAGAAAGGCCAGAAACTACAACGGACACACAGGATGTGAGTAAGTTTTATTGAATTTAGGTGAAAAATGTTCATAAAAGTTGAAATTAAAATGTTCATATTTTGAAATATTTCTCATTGTAAATCGACCACATTTCGTTCCTCATAGTATTACTTATATCGTGTTCAAATTTTCAACGTTTTCTCTCGTAACTTAACACCGAGTCGCAACGGGTGACGCTTTCATGAATGAATCGTTGACTTTTTCTCGAGACGTGAGCTTAGGCCGCTTGTAAACTGACGAAGAAAAACGCTGACAAACATAACAAAATACATTAACGAGAAAAAAATATTGAACGAAATAAACAAATACGAATAACACGAAAAATAATTAGCAAGCGCTTATATCTTACATAACCCTAAGTGGAGGCTAAGTTAGGTAGACAAAGGCGATCATCGCTCCAGGTTTTCAATGCAGAAAGTTGCACCATTTTTTCTTACTGGGAAGAAAAACGTTTCTTTTGTTCGTGTCTGCCCTGTAACCCTTAGGGCCGTATTTGCAGACAGAATTCTTTTTTAAATTCTACAGAAGAGTTGAAGGAGTATTCTCTTAGTGATAAAAACTAAACTGACCGAGCGAAGAGGAATCTGGAAAAAGAACCCTCGAATTACTTAGACCTTTACTGAAACTAAACCATGACGAGCTTTGCGTCGGAAAAAATGTTTATGCAAATTAGCTGGCTGCACATTCAATGTGCAGCCAGCTAATTTGCATATTAAGTAATTCAAGCCAAGGTTCGACGCCTCTTGGTGGCATGAAGGTCTACGTAAGGTTGCCTCCGACAAACCCTTCTTTATACAGGTCATGGTTTTTAACTTTTAAAGTCCAGAAACTGTGTTGATTAGATAATCCAGAGAATACACATTGCTTCCAACTGATGGTCTCCTCGTTCGGCTTCAAGCTTCGGCGCAATGCAATTATTCTTATAATGACCTTTTATGTGCGAAGGTTTCAGTTTGGAACGGCATTTTTAGCTTTTCCGAAGACATCAGTCTTCTCGAAATCGATCATCGGTATAGGAAAGATTAAGAATAACCCTCAGGTATACACTACCCAAGAGGGTATGCAAGAGATTAAAAAAAACCCTCAGGTATACACTACCCAAGAGGGTATAGAAGAGATTAAAAAAACCATCAGGTATACACTACCCAAGAGGGTGTAGAAGAGATTAAAAATAACCCTCAGGTATACACTACCCAAGAGGGTATAGGAGAGATTAAGAATAACCCTCAGGTATACACTTCCCAAGAGGGTATCCAAGAGATTAAAAAACCCTCAGGTATACACTACCCAAGAGGGTATAGAAGAGATTAAAAATAACCCTTGGGTATACACTACCCAAGAGGGTATGTAAGAGATTAAAAATAACCCTCAGGTATACACTACCCAAGAGGGTATAGAAGAGATTAAAAATAACCCTCAGGTATACGCTACCCAAGAGGGTATAGAAGAGATTAAAAATAACCCTCAGGTATACACTACCCAAGAGGGTATGCAAGAGATTAAAATAACCCTCAGGTATACACTACCCAAGAGGGTATGCAAGATATTAAAAATTAATCCTCAGGTATACACTACCCAAGAGGGTATGCAAGAGATTTAACTAACCCTCAGGTATACACTACCCAAGAGGGTACGCAAGAGATTAAAGGTAATCCTCAGGTATACACCACCCAAGAGGGCACGAAAAATTGAATTCACACTTATTTATATCAGGAGACCGCTCTTTGTCTGGACTCTTTTTTTTTACTGAAATTTGAGGCATCCACCATTAACTTATATAATTATTATCCTTTACTAGTTCCCGAATGTCTTTGTCAAGCACGGCTATTCTTGACTGACATCATTGCAATTTCCCATGATATTTCGACTGGAGGTGTTTCCCGCCTAAAGGGTACGGTCGAGGGCGATTTGATTTACCGCATCAATAACAAGATTATATTTTGAGACCTTGCGAATCTATCTGCTGGATTTCTCCCTGTCCAATTATTCCGGCACAGAGACCAATTGAAGATATAACATGCATGCTATTTGGTTACCTGGCGTTGAACGAACAGCCTTTGTTGGCGCGCTTGAGACCTGCTGGCGGGACAGAACGTATTGTAGTCATCGCGGAGTCGACGAAACAATTCGTTCTTTGCAAAAGCTTTCGGCCTGATTTCACATTAACTTTTCGTTAGCACATACCAGGACTTTTTTGGGATCGAGATTGGATCCCGTAACTATAGAAAGCTCTGCCGATCGATCGAAGACTTCAGCCTCCATGATAAGATCGCGCCAAGTGATTTTAATGCCAGATTTCTTGTGTTTTCGTAATTGAAATTCGAGCATAGATGCAGTATTAGTAATTAGGTGAACCTTTAACTTATAGTCAACAGGTTTAAGTAACCGCACAGACACCTACCGACCGCAAACGTTGATGTAATTCTCTACACTGATGACAGAAATATAGCGCCTCCGTAGAATGCATGCTGCGAATTTTTTCGGGGCCGAAGCTCCTCATGACAGATCAGTAAAAAACAGTTTTTTATATAGTTCATGCTCTCAAGCGAAACGATAAACATGTTTAGGTTTCCAGGAGCATTTAACCACACGCGGTCCGTTGGAATTGGCTGCGGGGCAGCTCGTGGTTTGTTTTATAATGAACTGCATTCGGTTTCTGTGGTTTCTGTGGTCTCAACACAGGCGGCCCAAGCTCACGTCTCGAGAAAAAGCCAACGATGAATTCATGAACGCGCCACGCGTTGTGTGACTCGGTGTTAAGTTACGGGAGGAACCGTTGAAATTTTGAACACGTTATAAGGAATAGTATGGGGAACGAAATATGGTCGATTTACAACGATAAATATTTCGAAATATGAATATTTTACACGTAAAATCAATAAAACTTACTCATGCCCTGTGTATCCGTCGTATTTTCTGGCGATTTCTGCCATTTTAAGCTTGCTTTACCATCACTGTTATCCAAGACCATATTTCGTTCCCCATACTATTCCTTATAACGTGTTCTAAATTTCAACGGTTCCTCCCGTAACTTAACACCGAGTCACACAACGCGTGACGCGTTCATGAATTCATCGTTGGCTTTTTCTCGAGACATGAGCTTGGGTCACCTGTGGTCTCAAGATCTCTTTTGTGATTTGTTACAAGACAATCAACATTCCAGGCATATATTAGATGTTTACGGTTTTGCAAGTTTGACTATAATTCAGAGTTTTAGGGAGAATGCTATAATCTAAAATATCTAACAAAGTACAAACGGTGGGCTATAAAAGTATGAACAGGAGAACCAAAAAAAAAATTATCCGGGACTTTTACCCGACAATTCGCGGTACGAAAGACAAGGAAGATTTGCGTGTGTGATAGCTTTCGCTTAATGGCTACTGCTGTCGATAACTAAAAGGGAAAGAACAAAAACGCTCTATTATTCGCAATAGAGCTATAGTTTAGGAGCTTGAAAGGGGTTCATGAGGGAAAAGCCCGACTTCAAGGCATAGGTAAGCGGCAGAACCAGTGAGCTATGACGCGAAGTAAAGCCGAAAACAGTCACGTTTAGGCTTAAAAATTATTAACTAGCACTCCTATGACTTTTCTCGTGCAGTTTGGGATCGTAAATTTTTCAGACTACAAATTAAACTCGCGCTACGGGCTCGTGCAATTTGGTTAGCTTTCGAATCATTTATTCGTGCTGATTTATCCTAACTTGCACTCGAAATCATGTGATTACCTATTCAAACAACAGCCTTAGAATCTATTCACGTCATCAACTCAGTAGGTAAAAACTAATTATCTTAAAGTAATAGCCCAAAGGACGCAGCACCACAGTTTCTTTAGAAACTTGTCCCTTTTACTCACAGTTTAGACAGAGAGACTTAGCGCTATCGAATAACGATAGTTCAGATATTATTCATTGGCGAGTTCATTATATAAATAGACGCTTTTAGCTGTTATGGCTCAAGTTTGCTTACGCTTCCCACCTTTTCAAACATCTGTCTCCTGATACAATCAGAATTCTAAATCCTCCGCTGTTCATATTTAAAGGAAATTACACAGAATACATTCATAGTTTGGGTCTCGTCATAGAATCTTAGCTCAGGCACCATATTCCACTCATTTTTTGTGACGATTGAATTGTCTGCTAGTTTGCAATTGTTTTTGTTATCGCGTATGGTGATAGCTTTCGCGTGATAGCTTTCGCTTAATAGTTACTGCTGTCGGCCGATACCCAACAGAGTAAGAACAAAAACTCTCTGTTATTCGCAACAGAGCTATGGTTTAAGAGCTTGAAAGGGGTTCATGAGGGAAAAGCCCGACTTCAAGGCATAGGTAAGCGGCAGAACCAGTGAGCTATGACGCGAAGTAAAGCCGAAAACAGTCACGTTTAGGCTTAAAAATTATTAACTAGCACTCCTATGACTTTTCTCGTGCAGTTTGGGATTGTAAATTTTTCAGACTACACATTAAACTCGCGCTACGGGCTCGTGCAATTTGGTTAGCTTTCGAATCATTTATTCGTGCTGATTTATCCTAACTTGCACTCGAAATCATGTGATTACCTATTCAAACAACAGCCTTAGAATCTATTCACGTCATCAACTCAGTAGGTAAAAACTAATTATCTTAAAGTAATAGCCCAAAGGACGCAGCACCACAGTTTCTTTAGAAACTTGTCCCTTTTACTTACAGTTTAGACAGACAGACTTAGCGCTATCGAATAACGATAGTTCAGATATTATTCATTGGCGAGTTCATTATATAAATAGACGCTTTTAGCTGTTATGGCTCAAGTTTGCTTACGCTTCCCACCTTTTCAAACATCTGTCTCCTGATAAAATCAGAATTCTAAATCCTCCGCTGTTCATATTTAAAGGAAATTACACAGAATACATACATAGTTTGGGTCTCGTTATAGAATCTTAGCTCAGGCATCATATTCCACTCATTTTTTGTGACGATTGAATTGTCTGCTAGTTTGCAATTGTTTTTGTCATCGTATATGGTGATAGCTTTCGCTTAATAGTTACTGCTGTCGGCCGATACCCAACAGAGTAAGAACAAAACCTCTCTATTATTCGCAATAGAGCTATGGTTTAAGAGCTTGAAGAGGTTCTTGAGGGAAAAAGGCATAGGCAAGCGGCAGAATTAGTGAGCTATGACGCGAAGTAAAAACAACTAAAGAAGAAAACAGTCACGTTTAGGCTTGAAAATTATTAACTAGCACTCGTATGACTTTTCTCGTGCAATTTGAGATGGTCATTTTTCAGACTACAAATTAAACTCGCCCTACGGGCTCGTGCAATTTGGTTAGCTTCTGAATAATTTACTCGTGTTGATTCATCCCAACTTGCACTCGAAATCATGTGATTATCTATTCAAACAACAACCTAAGAATCTCTTCACGAGCAATTCACATTATCAACTCTGTTAGTAAAAACTAATTAGGTCTCGTTAGAGAATCTCAGCTCTAGCTTCAAATTCCATTCATTTCCTGTGACGATTGAATTGTCTAATATTTACGATTACTTTTGTTAGCAGCGCAGATGGATTGCTTCGTCCTGTATCGATCACGGTTGGTTGACCAAAAATTTTAACATCTGTACAAGCAGTTTTCGCTTTTTTTCTTCGAGCCTGAGCGTTTACAAGCGTTCTTTATATGACCGGTGAAAGCATTTGTTTAAAGCCAAATAAAAGCAAGAGTGAAAAATAAATGACATGAAAAGAGATTGGAAGCTACCACGAAGAGCTTCCACAACTGAATCACTTGTGTCCCTGCTTATAAACACCTAAATCAGTCAAATACGGTCAAATGCAACATTCGAAACTGAAAGTGTTCCGGCTGATGAGGGGTAGGGAAAGGTGTTACTCTAACAAGACATTCAGAGGGTAGGAAGAAAGAGCTAAGAGAAATAAAAGGCGTTATACTTACCGTACTGTTCACTTCGCGTCAACCAGTTAAATCAGAGGCAAATGATGCTATGACAGGAAACGTTTCCCAAGTAGCTATCAAAACGTGGAAAGAAAAACGTAGTCATTATGACATTATGACAATAGGCTTAGCGTGGACACGATTTGAAAAAAGGGAGGAGTTTTTAAACTCCTCCCTTTTTTCAAATCGTTAAAACACTTTTAGTGAGTGCACACTCACTAAGTGTTAAATTCCTTCCTTTTTTCAAATCGTGCCCATTCGAAGCCTATTGTCATGGAGATGTGATTACCTCAAACTAACCCTTTACACTCTGTCAACAATAGCAATATTCGTCATACAGTTTTACATACATTTCATATGGTTCTCACTAGGAAAGTTTGTTAATAATCAAGAAATGTTAGGCTTTATGACACCGAAAGAAGCTCGGTAATTGAGCGCTGAAAAGCTCTGAACTTTTCGTTTCATTTGTGAGGGAGATGACGACGCAGCGTGATATCCACTGCACCCAGCTCTCTGTTGTCTGTTGACGTTACCTCTCGCGCCTACATGCTGTTTTGACAGGCCTTTTTATTTTTCCCTGTTGGTCAATTATTTTGCATTTCTTTGATAGCTACTCGAGAAACGTTTCCTGTCCTAGCGTCATTTGCTTCTGATTTAGGTGGCGATGTCTATAAGAGCGATCTGAGGCGTTCCGCATTGGAGAAAAGTTTTGCCTCAAACTTTGCCCATTAAACTATCTTTTGTGGTAAGTAAGTAAAACCACACTGGTTTCTGGAAATACGTTCAAATAAAAAATTCAGAGCTTTCAATAATCAAAGCTGAAAAAGGCCCTTATTTGACCTCTTAAGACATCGAAAATTTCAAAAGTTGACAAGCTCGCTCTCCGTTACACACTGCATGCAGCAAGAAATCGTTTGCATTCCCAAATTTTGTGATATATGAGGGATTTGGAAAGCGTTTCAAATCTGATATGTGTTCTTTCAGAGGTTCGCCATAATTTATTTAAAAACACCCGTTAGACAGCTTTCTGAAATTGGTCAAAAGTACTCTTTCTTTCGTGGATGATATTTCTCAAGTCTAGACCAGACCATTGAAAAATCCAGTTGATTTCTTCTAATAAGATATTCCAAAGCATAGAAATGTAAAAACATGTTGCAATTATTAATTTTTTTCGCCTTAGTGACTTCAAACTTTTGGTGATTTTGCTAGCGTGACAGCAGAATTATGCAAATTAGTCCGTTGAGCAAACTCCGACCGTTTATTTTGGTAGCCGCATAAATCTTAGATTTTAACCATTTCAAAAAGGAAAGATAGTAGGGCAGAGCTTTTACAACGCACTGATTGGTTTTATAAACATTTTAAAGGGCTAAATTCTAGCAAATGATTTTGTCTCGTGACAAAAAAAGTAAACAAAACGTTAAATTAGAAATACATATTTAAGAAATTAGCGGTCGTCGTTCACGTTCTCCAGACAAGGCAAAGTTTGGTCATTTTGCGTAGTTTTGCAAACAACAGAGAGCTGGGTGGATATCACGCTACTGTGTCCTTATCTCCCTCACAAATGAAATGAGACGTTCAGCGCTTTTCGGAGCTATTACCGCGCTTCTTTCGATGTCATAAATACACAGTTTCTCTGGGTTCAAGGCGGATAAACAGCCTAACAGTTCACTTTTCTGCTTTAGCATCTATTTGCCCCTTAACCAAAAGAGTGACCAGCACTGAATGTAGTTCTCCAAACAATGTCACCCCTGAATCAAAATCTCTGGTCATGAGAATAAAAGAAATAATCCCAAAGCTAACACTGCTAAGCATCAACCTTTACGCAACATTTACCAGAAGCATTTATGTGTTACAACCGTGACACTGCAGTATTTTTGATTGTGGATTTGTCGCTACCTTTTTCGTGTGGACCCTGTTGTTATATACAGGAAGCGTGTATACGCAGACGTTTTACTCACATGGACGACACAAATTATTTTCAAAACTCAGTTTTCAGCTAAAAAACCACCTGAGTATTATTTGTCACGGAAAAATTAAGTAAATTGAAAAGATTCTTACCCTTTTGACTGGTTTTATTTTTCACTTTCTATATCTTACTTCCTGGTTGCGTTTAGTAGATTTTTTAATCGAGTCTTTCTGCCCCAGGGCTAATTTGTGTGTGACAGACAAGTCTCTCCAACGAGAAGTTATATCTGGTACTTTTGAATGACCTTCCAGCTTATAGAAATCTAGCAAGGCGAAGGGAAGTGGTGATTGCGAAAGTTACTTATAGATAGTACAGGACCAGAGTTGGCGGTACGAGATCAAAAAGTGATCGCCTTCAAAATGGTACTTTCCATATTATGGAGATTATTTGACGAAATCATGTGTTGAAATTATTTAATGAAATCATTTGATGGAATTGTTTAATGGAATCATTTGATGAAATTGTTTTGTATATTTTTCTATACTATGGGAGACTAGTGCTATGATCTCACATCATTTTTCCATTGCGAGACATTCTCAGAAAACAGGGAAGTCAATGTTCATGACACCTCTCTAAGATGCAATATGATTTGTGTAGCGTCTCAAACAGCTTCTCCTCATTTCCATTTCCTTATTTGTTTTAACAATAACTTTTTCTTCGTGATATCTCGTGACGAGCTCTGTTAAAAAGAGCGATATCGATACTCTTGTTTTGAAAATATTTTCGTAGAAACCTTGATCTATTGTAAAACAAAGCCGTAGTACCAAAGGCTATTAATCTATCGTTTCCGTCATTGTTTTCTTTATCCAAGAACTGTATGCAGAATGAAGCATAGGGCTGTGCGGAACTTTCCCAAACCGATCAATGACTGTTAACAAACTCTACACGAGTCTTCCAGCCAATCACATCACGGCTAAACAGACCAATCACGTTCAACAGACCAGACTTTATAACATCATCGACTGACAACTACTCCTCACTTGACTCTGAAGATGACTATCGCACAGATAGTCGAAACGTCAGTCACCAACAACAGTTCTTTTCAGAACTACACTCACCCGGACGATCACACTACACGAACTATCACCTCTTTGTTAAATGCCGCGCACGCCACCAGAGTTTTCACTGGAAGACTAAAGTGGAACGACAACCCGCAAATATCACTGATTTTTATAAGTCCAGCGATTTAACTCGGTGTTATTCTTAATTCCTAAGAAGTATTTTCCCAAATACCAATTCTTTCTTCTATTTTGTTTTACGTTACGACCAAAACCAGATAGTTTTAAAACTATCACCTCTTTGTTAAAAGCCGCGCGCGCCGCCAGTGTTCTCACTGCAAGACTAAATTAGAACATTAACTTTTAAATATCATTTTTTCAATCCAATCACTTAAGTTGAGCGTTTTTTATTTCCTAAGTGGTATTTTCTCAAACACAAAATTTTCTTCTTTTTTCTTTACGTTACGAGAGTGAAAGCGTGATAGTATTAATACTAGCGCTTCTTTGATAAGAGCCG